CCGACGGATTTTTATAATATTTGTAAGAATATAAAGACTATTATTCAGTCACCCTATAATTACTAGAATCAATCTAAAGGGTTCGTAATTCCGTTTTCCGCGGCGGTTACCTTCATAATTAATTTTATTATTTATAATAAAAGGAGGCGAAGAAAGTACTTGAAAGGAGTTAGGTAGTAACGAGTTTTCGTCTTCTACGTATTTAAAGCGTATAGGTTTGTTAAATACTTCGGGAATAAATTAATTAAGTATATTAGAAGTAGGATTAGGTGTAATATTGTCGGTAATTACTTTTATAAATAATTGGCCAAAATGAATTTTATTAATTAAAATTAAGGAATCTATTACCCTATTGTCCTATATTAGGATCGTATCGGGCCGGTAATTAATATATAAGTAAAGAATTATAATATATAACAATGAATAACTTACTTATTATTAATATATAAATAAGTACGTATATTGGTAATTAATATAAGGTTATACCTTAATAGTATTATATAGTATATAATAGAAAACGTAGTAAGTAATAATATCTATTATGGTCATGGTCGCGCGAAATTTAGGGGGCTAGTAGCAGCCGCGGGAAAACTACGGGAATATAACGTAAGCGAAGTACAATAGTACAAATATTATTAGTAAGCGCTTAGTATAATTTTCTAAGTCTTGCGCAAAAGTAACTTTTGTAGCTAGTACTGACCCCTGCAGGCCAGAAACCCAGGACCTCGATAATGCTCCCCGGGTGGTCAGGAGATCCGAGAAGACTTCGAAAGGTTTGGCTTAGTCGGGGGAAGAGAGGCACGAGCCCGCTGCATTGATGAGGTGCGAGGCTGAGAGGTGAGGGAGCCACTGGACCCACTCAAGAGAGTTCCTTTCTGGGCGCTTCGGCGGGCGGACATGCTGCAGTGGGGTCGGACAAAGAGGCCTGGTGGTCAGGGCGCGACCTCATGACCAATCAAATTTTCAGCTTTGCTAAGAACACCGCTGCGCTCTGGCACCTCTGCGCTTGGGTTCGGGCGCGGTGGGTCATTGATGGGTGTAAGCGCGGGGGACTGAAATCGGGAAGTCGGGAGATCAGTCTTGTTCTCGGCTTGTGCTCCGTCGGTTCGTTTTTCTCAAAACGACTTTAATGTTTGAGTCACTGAGAAGGTCCGATACCGCTGGATGGTTGTAGTTGCTGGGCCGGACCATCTTTGGGAGAAAGAGAGACGGGCACAATCGAGAGCAGTCACAACTCACAAGGCCTTCTCGACACCTCGATGCCATGCGGAAGTCTTGAAACTCTCACGATGCCTTGCCTGATATATGTAGGGACATCTGAGCCTCTTGTTAATTTGACTTTTCAACTTTTATCTTTTGATATCAGATCTTGTCAGCGCTGTCTTGGACGATCAGGAACGCGCAAAGTGAAAGGACCCACATGAAGCATTCATTGCTAGCGCCACCTCGGCAGTACCCGAACGCACGCAATCCATGGACAGTTGCTCTGTTCATCAGTTGTGAAATCCAAATATCTTCCATGAACGAAGGAGAGGAATCGGACCTGACATGACTAGTGACCTGAGCACCACAATACAGATCGATTTTACGACTTTTCGCATCTGCTTTTCAAATCATTGCTGCTATTCTAGAGCATCTGTTTGGGCACAATGGGCAGGCATTTCCACGTGGACTTGGGACAACAAGGTACCAAGGCCAGGTGCAGACCTGAAACGGGCCTCGAAGATCGTCAACCAATCGACCCGGTGAGTTCACCCCAACTTGAAGATGCGTGCAGTCACTGTCCAAATCAACCCCGACAACCATCGAGCAACATCCTTGGCCGTCTCCCTGCAAACATGCTCGCTTCAAAGAGGCGGCTGCAGGGGCATTGGATGGGAGTTGATCTGCACGTCTTTTTTTATGCGCTGTGAGAGCCGCCTTGCGTCCACCGACTGGCTCAAACGTCGAGGCCGTGGAGCCATTCCTAGCTCGCCAGATATCTGGGGAAGCTGGAGCAGAATGAGAGAAGAAACTTTGAGGCAAGCAGATCTGACTGGTCTGTTTTAACCTTATCCCACGGGTCCTCACATTCGGCTCAGCCCAGAATACTCAAATCCCAGGTGGGACGACTTGACTCCTTGAGCGCCTACTGCTTCATTGGCCATGAGAGTTTCTTCGAAAAAAAGACCCATACGAAACACTAGAAACACCCACGGCCCAGATCCTTGCTGTGTCTATTCATGTGCTGGACCGTCGATCTTTCAATCCTATTGTTCGACGAAACATTGCCTTTGTAAGAACGGGTGTGTCACTTCTCTGCCGTCCGATATATCAGTAGGCTCCCCATTGTGTGCTTTGCATGTGGTCCACCTACTCCCCATTCATCCGTATGAACAATTCGCTCCCTTTATTCAACCACTCGTAGCCCTATTGTCCTTGGGAGACAATGGCCTTGAGCCATCCTTAGCCATTCATTTCTTATTGTTACATAAATCCTCGATAGAACCCAGACCTCTACGGTCTCTACTTACTTTTTACGCCTTTCCTTGCTTACCTGTTCCCCCGGATTCTTCCCCCCTACTCTTCGACAGAGAAAAAAGATCACCATCAACATCTGCTAGCCAGATTCCGCCATCAGAAAAAAACACAAGAAATAGCAATCTGCAGGTCAGAGGCTACGATAGCGGTCTCATAAAGCCATTCATTGTGAGTCAATATGCACGAACACGAGCAGCACGACGGCGAGAACCAGTTCCCTGTACCGGACAGGACTGACCCGAACCCAGAATCAGCACTCGAATACGAGGATCCCGAGATGCTTCCCACGATCAAAGGTACCGGCTACCTAGTCCTCAATGGACTTCGAGCTCTCACCCTCATTGGCCTCGCTATGGCCATGGCGTCCTCTTGGATCATGATCGTCCTCTCCGGCCTTGGTGGACGCTTCGACTTCTTCGACACGGCTTCCCACTTCTTCGTCTTCGCTGTCGCCATCTTTCTGTTCATCTCCGAGTTGAACATCAGGTCGTTCCGGGGTTTCTTTGCCAGGAACTGGCCCGTCCTATGCCCGACTCACTCGCTGGTATGGCTCGGTCTAGCCATGGTCGTCATGGGCTGCGCCATCATGGGCGATCTGGTCAAGCCGGCCTACTCCATGGACAACCTCGGACTCGCCATGTGGCGCCTCGTACTCGCCTCGGGCATCCTCTCCCTCACTTTCGGCGTCTTTAACGTCGTCGCCTCGCTCATCTTCAACACTTCCGAAGGCGAAGGCAAGATCCGGAGACGAATCACGGCCAGAATGATCCGCAGCCACGGTGACCAAGCTAAGGGCATCATCGAGAAGCAGGACCCATTCCCGGATTACTACAGCAGCCAGAGCGGCTACCCCGAGGATCTGCCACCCGCGGTGAACAACCACTACTACCCCCCGGCGGTGCAGGAGCAAGAGCAGCCGGAGCTGGACACCACCTTCAAGGCGCGGGCGCACAGGTGGACCAAGGCGGCGTTCCCCAAGAACTTCCGCAAATCCGGCAGGTTCCCCGTCATTAGCGATCCCATCCCCAGCGTTGGGGTGGTGGCGCCCACTCCTCAGATGAACGCGGACAGCAAGCGATCCGCCGATCATGCTGTCGACCTCGAACGCGGCGACAGCTTCCGCAGCAACCGCAGAAGCAGTGGTGGACGCTTCCCTATCAACACCGGCTCAGGAAGAAACATCAGCCCTCCACCTCAAAATGACCGCTCCAGCCCCGTCTCGCCGAACGTCCAGAGACCGCCGACTGTGCTACACCCTTACTACAACGGCGGTAGGAGGAGCCCGAGTCTGTATAGCGATGCGAACATGTCCCGGTTTTAAGGGTTGGCGGGCTGGGGGATGATGGGTCGTATAATATGAGATGGGTTGGGATATGAACGACGGGACTTCTGAAGATAGCTAGCATTTTCCTTTTCCCCCCCTTTTCTTTTCATTTTTTCTTTCTTTTTAAAATACCCAAAGTATGAGAGATTCTGCATATGGTCAAGGCGTTTTTGTATTTTTGGCCAAGGTGCCATGATGAGGAAGAACTGAGAATACATAGTTAATGGTTCAGTTTCGAAAGAAGATACGACTCACGAAAAGGGAAAGCTGGAAATGTCCGAGATGCTGGCTGAAATATATGAAGATTGGTATGCGTATTGGCATTACAAGAATCAGAAAGACATAATGAGATGACTTATCCGAATAAATCAGTCTGCACTCAGTTCCATCCGTGACCTACACATAGCCCATGGAGTTGTAATGATGATGATGGATTGGGCATCGGAACGTCTGTTGGTCTGATAAGCTCAGGCAAGGGTGGGTGGCCTGTGCACACCGATAAGATATGCACTCGTGTCGCGGCAGGCTAGCGGTACGTACCTCTATCGCAAAGCACATTCACGCACTTCTTGGCCTGCAGTGGCTCCAGTGTCCACCCTTTGCAGACAAAGCAACCTGGATTGCGAGGACGGGAGGAGCGACTTCTTCTCGTCACCAATCTTCCCGCCCTCCTTCCACTTTGCAACTCGAAATTGTAAATCCAAGCAAATCGTACATAAACCGCGACAAGTGTCTGCTCTGCAGCTGTTCTCTCGACAACCCCCCCGGTCAACCAAGAGGACAAAGACCTCTCCGAATTGACCCGTCAAAGAATCGCCAGTTCAGCAGCAATTCACCCGCCCATCACCACCGAATCACCACGCTATCTCAGCCCATTCATCTGACGGTTTCTGCCCCTCCGTTTTTCTGCCGTTCTCTTCGCGCCACATTTGCGACTTGTCGCCTCTTGACAGCCATCTAGAGAATTGTATACCGGCGAGCATTGACTACAAGAAGCACGCTTCGAATGGTGCGTCGATCGTGGTCGGGGTGACACATCAATAGAGGCAGGCCGTGGAGGATTGCGCTTTGGGAAAAGAAGCAAGGACAACACAAAACAAGACAAGGCACAAATTGATCAAGTCGTGACTTCTGGTAGAAGATAAACTATCTGCCTCTTCCGTCTTCGAACTTGAAGACCAGGAGAAAAAGACTTGCGCCAGTTTGAGCATATCTCCGTGTGGTGGTGCATTCCCTTCTGCGCAAGCAGTCTACTGCGACAAACACAAACCAAGAATCTAAAAGGTCTATCCATAGTTGACGCGCGACCTTGCGTCTGTCTCATTGTTCTATCAGTTGACGCTTTCAACAATGTCCGACGAAGCTGCTGATGTTGCCGAGGACTACCGGCAAGCCCTGGAGGACTTGACCGTAAACTCAAGGATAGAGATCGCGACCTTGACGAATATTGCACGAGAGAACGCCCACCATGGTTTGGCCATCGCTGACGTCTTGACAAACCACATCAAAAAGGTACGCCGCCTATTCACCGCGATCATAGACATCTGAGACCCATGAGCAACACCACTTTCCATCTATACGCATGTGTCTAATACTTTACCCAGGTTCCACCTCCACGAACACTACCGGCACTCTATGTGCTCGACTCGGTGGTCAAGAATGTCCCGACACCATACGCCCTATACTTCGGGCCCAAGCTCTACTCGATCTTTATGGGCGCCTATACCAAAGTCGACAACCCAACCAGGCGGAAGATGGACGAGATGCTGAAGACCTGGAAGGAGCCAGTGCCGGGCTCGATATCTACGAAGCCTGTGTTCCCTCCCGATGTGGTTAAACCGATCGAGAACGCTTTGATCGCGGCCAAGAACGTTGCCCTTCAAGTCAACCAGAGCAGTTACCAAGGGCAGCAGTATATGCTCCGCGGAGCCCGTCCCCCAGCCCCTCCTCACAGAGATACTCCAACTCCTCCAAATGTCCGACCAGCGACACAACAACCAGGACAGCAATATCCACCTCCTAACGGACATATGCCGCCGCACGGAGGAAACCCGGCCTTCCCTATGCGCCCTCACAACGTATGTGCCCGTTTCCCTTGTTCCATCTCTTTTGTACATTGATACTGACAACACTCCCAGGGTCCCGATGTGCTTCCTCCTCGGGCTACCACCCAGCCTCCGTATGGAGCCCCCTATCACCAGCCCCAAGCTCCTCACCAGGGTATAAGCATAGAGAGGTTAAGAGACGATATCCAGCAGCTCATCGTTGCAGAGAGGGCCGAGTTTGCGCGAGATCCGCTGGACGTAGGTAAACAAACTAGACTGAAGGCCTTGCTGGATCTGCAGACCTTGATTCAGAGGCCAGATGTGCCGCAGGAGCAGTTAATGCTCGTGAAAGAAAAGATCACTGAACTGTCCGTAAACATGCGCAGCGCTTCTGCCGCCTCCGCTGCTGCTGGCGTTGCTCCTGTCGCCGCGCCTCATCACTATCCCGTTCCATACACCGCTACCCCAACACCTCCAGTCATTGCTGGTCCTGTTCCTCCTCAAGTACCGGGGGCACGTCCTCCTTCTGCCCCGGCCGGGGCGGGTCTGGGTGCTGGTGCCGGAGGTGCCCTGTCGATAGACTCTTTGTTCGGGCAAGGCGCTCTCGCCGCCTTACTGGCTGGTGCTACCCGAAAGTCTGCCACCCCTACATCATCACAGACAGGCACGCCACAGCCTCCCATCGCGACACCGATACCACCACCGGCTATACCACCGGTAGCTGGAGCTCCTGTTCCAGTTCCCGCTGCTGCCGCTGGCAGCCTGGCAGCCTTGTCGCCCGCCCTCGCGGCCGTCCTCCGATCACAAACACCCACAATGGCCACGGCCGCAGCACCACCACCACTCGAGGCTTCCAAACCAGCAGCTTCCGCTCCTCCCACCGTTCCCGCGGCCGCACCGCCAGCACCAGTCTCCAACCCATCAGCTCTACTCGCCATGCTCCGACAATCCGGTCTTCTTGCCGGCACCACTCCCGCTCCCGCACCTGCCCCCGTAGCAGTAGCACCCGCCGCCGCGGCCTGGACCTACACCCTAAAGCAGTACCGCGGCCCGCACCTCATCAACCGGCTCCACGAAGACCTCGGTCCCCCCTGCACGCAGTGCGGTCGACGATTTGGCACCGACGAGGAAGGCCGGCGCAAGAAGACGGCGCACATGGATTGGCACTTCCGGGTGCACCAGCGGGTGACGGACGCGGAGCGGCGCGGACAGCACCGGTCTTGGTGGGTGGAGCAGTCGGATTGGGTGAATTCGTTGGAGGCGATTGATATCGATCATGGTCATCGTTCTGACATTACTTCTGGCGGTGGTGCTGGTGGTCATGGTGGTCATGGTGGGGGTGTGCCGGGACAGGACACGCTTAACTATGATGATGATGTCGACGATGATGATTACGACCCTGAGGCCAACTTCAATAATTCTTACAACCCGAACGCTGTTTATCCAGGTGCCGGTGCGGATATGATGGGAGGCCATAGCGGTGGTGGGAAAGCCATGGCTCATGGTGGTCACGGTGGTGGTAGAAAGGGAGGCAAGAAGAACGGCCTCAACTGGCTCCCCGTCCCCGAGGATTCCGCCAAAGTCAATAACATGTGCCCCATCTGCCAGGAAAGATTCGAGATGAAGTGGCTCGATGAGGCGCAGGAGTGGGTGTGGATGGACGCCACGAAAGTGGGCGAGAGGGTGTACCATGCCAGTTGCCATAAGGAGGTAAATGGCACGAGTGTTGGTGGTGCGGATGGTGGTAGCAATGGTATGATGAGCATGGGCATGAGTGGGGAGAATGGCCTGGGAGGAAGGAAGAGGAAGGCTGAGGTAAGTATCTAATTCCTGTTGGTTGTCTCGGCTGCTAGAGCTGTAGTTGAATGCATGGCTAACTTGGTGAAACAGGATGATGGTTACTCAGGGGTAAAGGGAAGGATAAAGTTGGAATATTGAGAGTTGTTGCGAGGTGCGAGCCAATCAGTCAGTGGGAAGGCAAGGCACGGCACAACTAGCAAGAGGAAAATGGAGACGGAAAGGAACGAGGATGGTCAGGTAGTTGAGGTTTGGTGAGTGCATATGGTTAGCAAAAAGCATGAGTGTCGAAAGATTATCCCAATACAAAGGCGATTCTTCGGAGCGTCATTGAGCTAGTGCTCTATCCTTACTATGCACTTGCAATTCAGGTTGAAGTCAACCGTTATTCCAGTGTATTTGGTCTCCCGAATCTCACAGGACACACACAGCGCGATACATAATCCTGGAGAAGCACAATACGCCATTCTTACAAGTAAACACGCCCTCGAAGAGACTTGAGTTTGGTCTAGATTCCTGTCATATGCCGGCCGAATGAGACCGAACACCATCTACGACAGCACTCATTCAAGCCCCGACATTTATCACGGTGGATATGTAAAGTAGACCATTATTATGCAGGACTAGCCTAGGTGGGAAAGCTTCTCGGCGAAGACTACAGTAGAATACAATAAGTGTACATTTTTCTCGCTCCATGATTACCAACTATCATACCGGTTTGCTGAATGGCAAAGCCGTCAAAAGGCATCTAAAGACAGAGAAGGAAGGAACTATCTGTCGCGGAAGAACCATAACCATCAAGAAACCTTCCGCTTTGAGAAACCGATAAGGTATACTGGACCTAAAGCAATATCCCACCGCTGCCCATCTACTAACGTAATGCCCAAGAGAAATCAATACCAATACGCCGCGAATAACGATAGCCTCCGGTCCCATAGCAGTAACTTTTTTCTCTCCATGATCCTTTATCCATCTCAAGGGGTATCTCCTCCCTGAACTAATCCCTCGCCTATGTGCTTTCTCTTCCGATTCGCGTTCCTCAGCTTTCCCCTGGGCCTTTATCTCCGCGAGACAGCAGGAACCGAGCCCACTAGTTATTCGACGTGCTGTTGGATGTGAAGGCATAATTAGGAGGAAAATTAATGCCATTCGGTCCAACAGTGATGTTTCCAGGCAAGCCCATCACTATCGGGTCATCGTTCGCTGCGTTCTTGTCATTGCGATCGCCGCGTCTGTCATCGCCACTGTTGTTCCGATGCTTCTCGCGACCATGCCGCCAGCGGTTACCGGCAGGAGGCGGTCCTCCTGCGTTGCCGTTAGGATGCTGGGGCTCCTCATCTCGGCGGCTTGACTTGGGGCCATGGTTACCCCCTTTGTCTGTCTGCATACGTCGACTGATGGCTTTTGACGAAACACCTGCGCCAATCTCAATGTCTGGCTCCTCGACAACAAGACCGGTGGTAATAGGTTGGCCACCACTTCCGCCATAAGGCGCCGTCAACATCCATTTCCGGTCGGCTTCGGTGAGCTTGTGAATAGGAATGACACTAATTCCAGTCTGGTAGTCACTGCAGTCACGGGGGCCAAAGCCAACACCCCAACGAGTCTACAAAATCGTTAGTTGGCGCCCAAGACGAAGATATAAGTCTCAAACTTACCCGCAGCTGGACGTCGGAGCCTCTGTTCTCTTCCATGGCCTTCTTTGCATTCTCAGCATCTTGACGGTAGTACATCTTGACAAAGGCATGTCTTTTCTCTTTGTTGACGATGCACGTTTGTACTTCGCCGTAGCGACCAAAGATGGAACGGAGTTCAGCTTCGGAACATCTACATGTCTGTCAGTCAATGCACATATAGGCCGGGGAACAGCTTGGTAAACTTACGTCACACCGCCGACAAACAGTGTGCGGCTATACACCTTGATGTGGCCATTGGGAAGAGTAGGATCGTGTTTGACCCATTTCTCGGAGGGCGGCTCCTGGCCGGGGCTCTGATGTCTACGGTTCGGGGGCGACCGTTGTCGGTAGTCGGGAATACGCATATCCCGGTCTCTGCCACGATCATCCGGACGGCCACGGGGCGGGGTGTTTCGCCCATACTCAAAGTGATCGTTACCGCGGGATCGAGGCGACCCCCTGACATCCCAGCGCCGCGGCGAGCGTGAGCGAGAACGACCCCGGGGCCTATTTGGAGACCTCATCCCATCATGATAGCCATTACGATCACGTGATTCATCATGCCTCACGGGTTCCCATGCAGGGGCAGCGGATACACCGCCAGCAGGGGGAAGAGCCCCATAGCCAGCATAGGGGGGTTGAGCAACGGGCTGGGGAAGTGCTGCCGGGGCGGTGCCACTTGGTTGACCCATCATCTGCATTACACTTGCAATCTTGTCGAGAGGGATGCCCTGGGCAGCAAGGACTTTGAACAGCTGAACAGTTGTAGCGGCATTCGCACCAGGGGCCGCTCCTGGCACTTGCGCAGGCTGAGCTGGTTGTGCCGCCGGAGCTGGGAAGCCAAATGGCATCGTCGGTGGCAAGTTCACCGACTGCCCCGCCGGCTGCGATGCTGGCAAGTACGGCATGCCCGGGTGCCCCACACCGGGGAGATATCCGGCTGGCAATGCTCCATTACTAGGCTGGCCAGAAGTAGGAAACATGGGATGCGGCGTGGAAGTAACAGGAGGAATCTGAGGGACTCCCACCTGTACCGGAGACGGGGCCACAGCCGCAGTTACAGCCGGGGCGGGAGCAGGGGCGGCCGCGCTGGGAGTACTTTGAGCCGCATTCGCATTCAAGCGGGCAAGATTTGCTAGGGTCTCCAGGATGTTGGGCGGCATTGTGGCGGAAGTTGTAGGCGTAGGGGCAGGTCTGCTAGCGGCCTGCAAGAAAGCCAGCGTGTTAGGAGGGGGACTGCCTGGTGGTGTTGTCGAGACATCTATCGATACAGTTAGATCAGGCAAACAACAAGCACCGCAGAGGCGCAATGGGATATGCTTAGGAGGATACGGGCAAAACCTACTTTGCTGTTGATGGGCATTCAACTTCTCCTTGAAGGTGTTGACCATATCGGGAGGGAACGTCTGGCCCTTATCCCAGATGTCGACGAGCTTCTTGATCTTCTCCTACAAGACGACATGGGTGTGAGTTTATGATCCACCATGGTACTGAACACTAAATATAACCAAGAATGGATGCACGAATCTGGTCTAGAAGAGTGATGACGACTGGTATGGCCGCATCTTACAGCCGCTCCCAAGTGTGCTCGGGGTCTAGTCCGTGGCAGAAATGGAGGTATATGTGTAAGACGGCACATGAGTGTGCTGTTGTGTGCGTACCTTTTGATCCTCGGGGGCCGAAGATATGATGGCGTTCATGAACATGGGCATTAGTTCAGTCACTCTATGGACACCGGCAGCATAGGTGCCATCCTGGGCACCGAGGGTGACGGGCTGTCCAAGGGCCTTTGCCTGATCCAACCATTTGCGGGTTACGGAATCTACGACGTATAGGACGCCCAGCTTGTGAGTGTTTGGTGTCTTCTTGTAGTGGGTGTATAACTTTGTGACCAGCTGTGATTCGTACTGTCAAAGAGGATGTGTGGTCAGCTCTGGTGCCTCCATCGTGCATGCTATCGAGCCCAGACATGGCGCGCTTCTTACCTGGACGTTGTTCAAACACAGCTGGGTGAGGCTCCCGATCCTTGAACCAGAGACGCCGGGCGGTTTCAGGTTTTGCATGTCCCCGAGGCCCTTCTCTAGCTCAGCTACGGCCGCCTGTGACGACAACATGATTGATGACTTTTGTTTGGGAGAATCGATCTAGACCAGCTGAAGTCGGCAATCAACTTGGCCGTTGGGCTTGGAGATACAAGCTGCGATGTACGTAGTACGGTTGTGATGTGATACGGGGAAAGCTGATTATGGTTTTTATGCCAATACCACTATGCTCCTTTGTCACAGGTGGAAAGACGGAGTACGTTGAATCAGGCCTTTCTTCTCGGCGTATATCACCGAGGTTACGAAGCTGCAATTTGCCCACGCCACCGGGTACTAAGAAGCCGAGAGGCCAGAGAGATATGTTGCTGGCCGACGCGTGTGCGAGCAAGAATACGGTGGTCCTTTTAATTTTTGACGTGACGCGCGAAGTGGAAAACCACCAGCTGGGGATGGCTGTGACGACGGCAAGAACCGTAACGAAAGCAGCAGTACGGAGGGCAGACGAGATCAGAACTTGACCTGCGCGGAAGTGATCTGGGCGCACCCTTTTACTGTGAGGCTACTAGAAAGTGAGAAAATCCGGGTGAGATTGAGCTGACTCGAGGCGCATGGACAAATCCTGGGCGACTAGTCGATTACTCGTTTGCTGGATTGACAAAGGCGATCTCCGTTGGCGTTGGGAGTTGTTTTTGCTGATGACGAGAAAAGCGTGATGTGGTGGTGATGCGAGAAGTGAGGAGGGAGTTGGGGTTGGAAAGCGGGGAGAAAGAAAAGTTGTTGTTGCAGAACGAAACGAAAGAAGTGGACTGGACGGGAAGTGGTTGGTGCCTGGTTGGGGTTGGTGCAGGTGGGTGGGTAGTGGCTGCCCTGGTCTTGGCTCCCGTCTGTTCGAGTCGTCCGTCGGGTTCGATTGCATGCTTTGCCTGCCATGCAATTTCCTGTGCTGCGCCTGCTGTGGCGCCGTGGCTGTTGACGAAGGCGAGGACTGCTTGCGTGCGTGGCTCGTGGGACGAACTTGCACTTCCCCAGCCACACCCAATCACGCCTCGGTTGGTTCGAACAACCTCGAACTGAAGACTCGGAAACCTTATGTACCCGAGGTGTGTTGTGGCCTGACGCACGTACCAAGAGTATGAGGCACTAAGGCAGCAACGCCCAGACGGGATTAAATTAAGAACCCGAAACCTTCGATCCACATCCACCTGGGATATTGGATGAAGCTCTGGAGTCTGTTGCGTGCTCCATCCTCGACGCTCCATTTCCATGCGACCCCGAAGGTTCCACGAAGAACATTGACGATGAGCGTGAAAGGACAGAGTGTCGAGGACATGCTACGGAACGCATTGCGCAGGCGGGTTCATCTGTTTTCAATGGTGGATGAAGACGCATTCCAATTGACCGCCCGCGACCGACAATTGGCAATTCCAACATTGTTTTCTGGAAAGGCCGGAGCAACGTTTCCACACCTGTCAAAAGGGGCGGCTTCCCCGGATGAGTTGGGGATAGTCCCAAAGGCCCAAAGGGTTCCGTGACGTCAATGCATGTGTCGACCTCGACATGCGGCTGAACAGCAGTCTTGACATCGCGATGCTGAGATCTGGTCTGACAACCGCTGTCCCTCGAGACACATGCGATTGCAGAGACGTGCATATGATGTTGGCGTCGCAAGTGTTCAGCGTGGTTGTGTCCAGGTCTTCTTCCGGTCTTCCGTCGTCGATCACCCCTTTCACCGCGCGCATGGACGGGAACTGGGAAGCGAAACACACGTGTGAGAGCCGCCCCGCGTTCGATCTTTAGAACGGCGTCAGCGAAGCCCCGACCTCTCAGGGCTCGAGCTCGGCAGCTCGGCCAAGCTACCTCTACGTAGAAACATTGAACCTTTGGCCCGCAAGAGTTTAGCTTCATGTTCCAAATTGTCTACATTCAGGGTTGGGTAATCATCAAAATAGATCGGCGCCGGCCTCTACGGTGATTACGGTGTAGCCTTCTCCAGTCTCATCCTCGCGGATACGCGCGGGAAGAGGAGCATCTGCCTGTCAATCATCAGTCTACAAGTCGACCATTGTGGATCAAGCAGCGTGTCGTGGGTGTCGTGTCAAGAGGATGCCGTCGTGGAACACTGAAAGTCGAGCCATCACGGTGCAACTTCGTGGGAGGACTGGCCCGAACACCCCGGTCCACTGGCCCGAGCAGAGTGGGAGCCCCGCCTATTTGCTCCCGCCCGTCAACATTATTGGATCCAATGCAATTCGCATCCAGTCGGGGCAGGCCAATCCCCCGGCAAGAGCGAGCAGAGCCCGCCAAAGCCAACGGTTGCTACGGTAGGTCATATTTTCCAACGCATGCCCGCTCCCCGGCTGCGCTTTTTTTTGAAGCCCGTGCCGCCTTGATTGCTTCAACCTGAACTTTTTCCCTTTCTTCTTTCCTTTCCGTACTGTTCCTTTCTCCTCAACCACACCACATCCCTCCCACCCGCTCAGTAAACCATGGCTCCCATTATGCGCCTGGGCTCCGCCGCCCTGAGGTCCTCCTTCAACCTCACTTCTCGCCAGACTGCCTTCACTGCCGCCAGATGCTACTCTTCCAAGACTCAGGTAAGGCAGTCTCGTGAGCCGGGGACACACTGACATCATCCGCTGACCGCGCTTCTTTGGCCGTGATAGACTCTCAAGGAGCGCTTCGCTGAGCTCCTCCCCGAGAACATCGAGAAGATCAAGGCCCTCCGCAAGTAAGCTTTATCTCTACCTCGGCATAAGTTGTCGATAGCTTCTCGTCTCGTCTATCGTGTTGCTGACCTGTCCTGTCAACCTCAGGGAGCACGGTTCCAAGGTCGTCGACAAGGTCACTCTCGACCAGGTCTATGGCGGTGCCCGTGGCATCAAGTGCCTTGTCTGGGAGGGTTCCGTCCTCGACGCCGAGGAGGGTATCCGTTTCCGCGGCAAGACCATCCCCGAGTGCCAGGAGCTCCTCCCCAAGGCTCCCGGTGGCAAGGAGCCCCTTCCTGAGGGTATGTTCACACTCCGACGCGCCTTGTCAGCACCACCGTGAGGTGTCGTGTTGTAAACGGTCTTGTGTATTGACTTGATGCGCAGGTCTCTTCTGGCTTCTCCTGACCGGTGAGGTCCCCTCCGAGCAGCAGGTCCGCGACCTCTCTGCCGAGTGGGCTGCCCGCTCCGATATCCCCAAGTTCATTGAGGAGCTCATCGACCGCTGCCCCTCTGACCTCCACCCCATGGCTCAGCTCTCCCTCGCCGTCACCGCTCTCGAGCACACCTCTTCCTTCGCCCGTGCCTACGCCAAGGGTATCAACAAGAAGGAGTACTGGGGCTACACCTTTGAGGACTCCATGGACCTCATTGCCAAGCTCCCCACCATTGCTGCCCGCATCTACCAGAACGTCTTCAAGGGCGGCAAGGTCGCTGCTGTCCAGAAGGACAAGGACTACTCCTTCAACTTCGCCAACCAGCTCGGCTTCGGCGAGAACAAGGACTTCGTTGAGCTCCTCCGTCTCTACCTCACCATCCACACCGACCACGAGGGTGGCAACGTCTCTGCCCACACCACTCACCTTGTCGGCTCTGCCCTCAGCTCTCCCTTCCTCTCCGTCGCTGCCGGTTTGAACGGTCTCGCCGGTCCCCTCCACGGTCTTGCCAACCAGGAGGTCCTTAACTGGCTCACCGAGATGAAGAAGGTCATCGGTGACGATCTCTCCGATGAGGCCATCACCAAGTACCTCTGGGACACCCTTAACTCCGGTCGCGTTGTTCCCGGTTACGGCCACGCCGTCCTCCGCAAGACCGACCCCCGCTACTCTGCCCAGCGCAAGTTCGCCCAGGAGCACCTCCCCGAGGACCCCATGTTCCAGCTCGTCAGCCAGGTCTACAAGATCGCCCCCAAGGTCCTCACCGAGCACGGCAAGACCAAGAACCCCTACCCCAACGTCGATGCCCACTCTGGTGTCCTTCTCCAGCACTATGGTCTTACTGAGGCCAACTACTACACTGTTCTCTTCGGTGTTTCCCGCGCCATTGGTGTCCTTCCTCAGCTGATCATTGACCGCGCCGTCGGTGCCCCCATTGAGAGGTACGTCTTGCTGCTATATGAACTTGTTTTTACCCCGAGCTATGGCTAACTCTTTTACTCTAGGCCCAAGTCTTTCTCCACTGAGAAGTGGATCGAGATTTGCAAGAAGCTGTAAATTAAGCAATTGTTGTGATAGTAGTAATGGTTATGTAGTTTGGCGCGACGGTCGGAAAACGGTCGGGCTTCGGTTCTTTTCAGCATAGAATGGATGGGATCTTCCTTTCAAACAGCAGCAGCAGCAGCCTTTGTTCGCGCCTCAGATGATGTATTGTGAAATGTAAAACACCAGGAGGGTTGGTGTGTGTACAGACATGAGGAGAAACATCCGGGGTTGTTGGAAGGCGATATCATCCATTCCAGTTCGCTTGTACTATACATATGACGACAATATACCACACACGCGTTCTTTGATGGCAATTCTTGACCAAACCGTCCACATCATTGAAGTTCTCACGACAATGATGCAGACGTCGCTTCAGCAATTTGAAGCTTTGAGCTCATCCTGGCATTTCTTGTCCGAGGCACGCAGACAGTCAAGACCAAGAACGCTGGGGAATTTGTTGGCGCATGTGACGTGCAGCGCCAATCATGTAATGTTGCCGGTGCGAACGTCAGACCCCTGGAGGCCTGAGTGCGACTTCGGACCCCGGCAGCCGTCCATGCAGCAAGAGCTACCCTGGAAGCCAGGGAGAGATTCCTTGGGTCTGTTTTTTTGGTAGCTTTTCTAATTCTCTGCGAATGTGCTTAGCAGGAGCGCGATAAGACTTTCGACTCATGAATTCTAAGACCTATCGCCATAAAACCCCCATCAGTTGCTCATTTTCAGTTATTGAGAGGAAGTTGATTGCAGATGGTTGAAAGTTGTCAAAGGTACCTGCCGCTGACCCATCTCCATCCGGACCCCGCGACAAACCTGGCAAACGGGAGCTTGGCCGCGGGGCTCTCCAACATTTCCCCAAAGCTGTCCGCGAACGCCCAGACATTCCCCATTTCCCCTGGCACCCCAAAATCACAAACGCACCCCCCTTGCGCACTTGGTTGTTGGGAACGCCGAGGCATGATGGTTGGGAAATTCACGACTTGCAACCACAACCAGCTGATTTGATATTTTTCTGCTTCAAGATGCCACAGCCTCACATCATCAACCCGCCGATGTCCCAATTCCCAAATGGGTTGGGAGCCGGCAAGTAAACATTACTATAACAGTCCGAAGTTTCCACTTTTTTTCGTGTTGATATTTGAATGAATGGATGAACCCCAAAATGTCCCGACGTCAAGCATCCGTCTGGGACCAAAGATAGCTGTGCTGACACTGCATGAGGTCTTGGTACGAGATTCGTGATACGGTACGGTAACATAAGCACGCAGTATCTTTGTGGTACGGACTACGGATCAGAGTAATCAAGGCCGCTTCCACTGCTTTGAGCATCCTTCGCTTCCATCGCAGAGACAAAGAGATGGAGTCGGAGGATTACAGTGATCTTATGTTTATTGCTCTTCTCCTTATCACCTGCTTTGGCCTTTGGATATTGTCAATTTGCATACACTAGCTAACTTACGATACTACTACACAGGATCTGACCGTCAGCCATTACTGTAAGCGTAACACACGGCCATGTCATGTCGGGGTCCGAACGGAGTTGATACAGGTACGCAGCCGTATTGTATGGTGAACCCTTGGACCCCCAAAAATCCGTCAAACCCCCCGTGTGCTGTTCAACCCTCCCCCTCGTCCTGGGACACAGCATTGCACCGTGTCCAATCCACCACCCGCGTCTGGTTTTACACAATCGTCGCTTCCAATTGGCTTCTTTGTTGAGTTTTGTTGTTGAGACCGGCAAAAAGACGAGGAGGAACGGTGAACACTTTGCTTGAACAAAACCCAAACATCCACCACGCACTCAAGTGGCATCTTCTCATCACCACTGTCGTCGTCGTCCACGGAATCGAACCGCCATTCTCTCAATCAAGGTTAGTGGGGCATATCCTATCACGGTTAGAAGCCAGCATGGCCTAGGGCAAAACCAAGATGCCCAAGATGCCGCGGTGCAGCCGCTACAACAGAGGGTCCGGTTGAGCGCTCTCGGTGGTCGTGGATGGTCTGCTGGGCGCCAAACCTAGGCGTGCCTGGGCAAGAATCCACCACTTTTGCAACTTGACAACACCGAGAGAACCGCCCCGATTAACACGTGCAACAAACAGGTCCCCCTCCCGCCGCCATCGCTTGCTGCAGCCGACCAAGACAAAAGGCCAGATACCCTCCAATTTTTAAGTTTAACGAGCTGGTGCCCTACCGACTTCAAGTGCTATCCTGCTGCCATCAACTCATTGCTGTCGACAACTCCGTTCGCTATCGTCACGATCGTCATCGTCGTGAGAAATACTCCAGCAGCAAGGTCAGGCCCGCCGGCAAAAGAAGCCAAGTACACTCCAATTACTCCACCGAAGTCGGTCACTTCACCCGAGTAACCGGTGACAGCAGCCCACACTCCGCCTCGGCTTACCTATCACTCTCCCACCTCCAAAACCCCCCCCTTTCCCCCTCAACTTTCGCGAAGAAGCACCCGAATTCCTTGGTCAGGGCCCCAGTAATCCGACAACATCCGATCAGCCATGTCCGCCGCCGTCGCCTCCGTCCCGGCCCCAGCGCCGAAGAAGCTGGAGAAGAAGCCCGTCAAGTTCTCCAACTTGCTTCTGGGTGCCGGTCTCAACCTCTTCGAGGTCACCACGCTCGGCCAACCCTTGGAGGTCATCAAGACCACCATGGCTGCCAACCGCAGCGATAGTTTCGGCTCTGCCCTCCGCCGCATCTGGCAACGTGGTGGTATCTTTGGCTGTAAGTGATAATATGAAGCTTCCCGGACGACCCGGAGATCAGCATCAGTCACCGCTCTCCCCAGCCTTTGCCTTACCTACCTACTCGCCTAACCCTACCATACTCTCCCGCATTTTGATTTCCCCCATTTCCACTTGGAGTCTGGAAGCTAATCGACGAATGCTCTTCGTCAATCAGTCTACCAGGGTCTTATCCCATGGGCCTGGATTGAGGGCTCCACCAAGGGTGCCGTGCTCCTCTTCGTTGCCTCCGAGGCCGAATACCATGCTCGCGCCGCCGGCGCCAGCGACTTCGGTGCCGGTATCACCGGTGGTATCATTGGTGGTGTTGCGCAGGCGTATGCCACCATGGGCTTCTGCACCTGCATGAAGACGGTCGAGATTACCAAGCACAAGATGAGCGCCTCCGGCCAGAAGGCCCCCGGCACCTGGGCCACCTTCATGGACATCTACCGCCGCGAGGGTATCCGCGGTATCAACAAGGGCGTCAACGCCGTTGCCATTCGTCAGATGACCAACTGGGGTTCCCGTTTCGGTCTCTCCCGCCTTGCTGAGCAGGGTATCCGCAGGGCCACCGGCAAGGAGGAGGGCCAGAAACTGGCCGCGTGGGAGAAGATCCTCGCCTCCGCCCTCGGTGGTGGTCTCTCCGCCTGGAACCAGCCCATCGAGGTCATCCGCGTCGAGATGCAGAGCAAGAAGGAGGACCCCAACCGCCCCAAGAAGATGACTGTCGGCAACACCTTCAGGTACATCTACCAGACCAACGGCGTCAAGGGCCTGTACCGCGGTGTCACCCCCCGCATTGGTCTTGGTATCTGGCAGACCGTCTGCATGGTTGCTTTCGGCGATATGTGAGTTCCTGTCCCTGACTGATTATTTGTTGTCACTGTAGAGATGCTGACCGCTTTCACCCAAATAACAGGGCCAAGACATATGTCGAGAAGTTGACCGGCGAGGCCGTCACCGCGAAGCACTAAACGCATAAGAAATGTCGGCGTTGATCGAGACCTCGTTTTTGTCTTTTCTTTTTTCTATCTTCACCAAATATTCGGTTAATCGGTCGGGTTGGTTTGGTCGGCAGGTTCAGGATGATGGATGGACGGGATGGGTTCTGTTCTCACACATCATCTTTATAGAGAAAATTTTCTGTTACTAAGGAAACGGAAATGGGCGTGGTTGGTGCGGTGTGGGTCATTTGTTTGGGTTCGGGGAACGGTCTCGCGCGCAGGTCCTCCTTCGCCAACCGGCACATCCCAGATCCCAGGTATCCCAGGACTGAACTTTGTTGTTGTTTTTGGTCACGTCTCTTATTTCACGCTTTAACGATTTTGTTGAGATGGACAGAAATGGATGCTAGGAGTCGATCTAATAACAGCTGATGATGTTGGTGACAATAGGTGGCCTAGACGTATGTATTAGAGGGCGATATAGATATGTAACTCTATCTATCACGAAGCATATCAGATTTTGGCGAACGTAAGGCAAGTGATATCATATGGTCCCATACTGCATTGGCAAGTGTTCATGATGGCTAAATAGGTCTTGTTGTAGTAGCAATCCTGCGGCGTTTGGAGTTTCAATTCCTCCATACTCATGATTTCAATTCACTCTCTACAACCTCCAGCTCCCAATCACCGAGCATCTGGATTCTGATATGGTCTATCACATGTTGTCATCCTCTCGCAGCTCTGGACGCATCAGGGCTTAGTTACGAGCAGCTTTGACGGGGCACACCTGTCTGATGATGAATGAGCGCGCACTCTGTAGACTAGGCATCGGCATCAAGTCCATGACGGCGGCCTTACAGTCTTGGGGATCCTGATCAGCTCGGCACTTGTGCCTGATTTTTCTTAGCAACTCGAAGGTGCTCCCTGGGTTGGAGTGAAGTCGTTGGCGCTCAGCGACACCCACGCCATCACGACTGCCGTCTCCGTGAGCTTCGATGGCAGTTAGAAGGGAGGAGGTGACGGTTCCCTGACAGCTCCTTGCAGCTCGTGACAACGCAGGAGACTATAGGATTTTAGGAGCTGGATGTGTAGCTTCTGAGTCAACAATACCACGTCCTAATCTTTTGAACTACCATGAGAGGGTCCATTATATCTTCATCCTCAGGGTAATGGTCGGGGAAAGCCCAGAAAACGGGCTCATGGGGAGAAGTATACGCTTACATTAGACAGCGAAGACAACTTCCTTCCTTTTGACAACCATCACTAATGCTATAGTGCACTCTAACACCACCATTTCAACAACAAGAACAGGCAACAACAAAAACAGTCTGTCCCCATGCTTTCCTGGAGAGTTGACTATACCAACACACCTACTCTACTAGCGTTGTAATGCTTCTGATGACGGGACGCCGGAGGACTCGTCAGACACTAGATACCAGAGAGATATATGTGAATGAGATCAATCCCATCACTCATTATTTTCATTCACAAGACAAAAGCAAGGAGAGCCTCCATCAACACATCTTGGGGTGTATCCCAACTCATACTAACTTACCTATGTACTGCACAGCCTTAACAAACTCGACCATGTTACTCTGTTGTAAGTTGCGTGTCGGAGTAGGCCTGTGTGCAGTTCTTCTTGCCTGTCCTGTCGGGCGTATGATTCTGAATTGAGGACGAAGTAGATCTGCTTTTCGAGTACTTCTTCACACGAGTCAAGCCGGACGCAAGCAAGCCAAATCGATTTAAGTTTGTGAAGTTAAACTTGACTTGCCAACTTGTCTCGTTGGTTGATGTAAAATTTCCCTGCAGGATAGGGAGTATCTCATCCAGGAAACCTTTTTGTTGTGGTTGTTCCTGACTAGGTTATCTGGACTCCGGACAAGTCAAGTAAACAAACCATTTCAAATCTGACTGCGGATCTTACGTGTAAGCCACGCACGATCTTGGACTTGACTTGACTTGACTTGACTTGTGTGAGGCATCGATCACCACTCGGTCTTGCCTCGCTCGTCTTTGAGCCTTTGGTTTAAGCAGGCAGGCAGGTAAGTAGGCAGGCATACCAGTCGCTCTTGCCTTCTGCTTATCTTCTCGCAACCATAACATGACGAGTACCTTATCTATGAAGGGATGGCCTTTCCTTGATTCCTTCCTTTCGGCAAAGTGTGGCTGCCTGGTGATGCATGTTTGGTGGTTGCATTGGCATGGCACGACGGAGTGGCGGCAATTACCTTAGGCAGGTTGACTCCGTCTGCCTTCTCTTGAGATAGCTGATGACGGATCATCACCGCAAAGTTCGGAGCGTTAACTACTTACGCTTCAAGTCACATCTTAAAGCCATTTGCCTCATTTGCTTCCAAAAATGTCTTTTACTGGGCAATGTGGCATAGTTTACTTGGCTGACTTGTTCGTGCAAAGTGTATCTCCACTGCTGTTGGATTTCGGACTCTAGACAGCAGGATCAATTCGCCTTCGCGAATGTGATGGCATGCCAGAGAAATTATGGGAGGCTTCTTGAAGGTGGAAGGTGCGATTGAAATGCATATCAACCTTGGCGTGTGTGAGTCTACCCGTTCCTCTACGATGCCACTCATTCTGTCGTCGAGAGACTGGACAAATAACTCCTGGTATTAAGGATCATGGTCATAAGGAACATGAGCTTGACAACTCTTCGCCGTCTGCATCAGTGTTCCAGCAAGCTTATCTACGTCGAGTGAACGGCGAGTGTTGCAGTGTGAGACTGCCTACGCGGGCAGCTGTTGAGCCACAACAATGCCGTGGAATGCATATCCGCATGGCATCGGCATCACTATCAGCATCCAGTCACTCAGTCTTGAATTGAGTCACCTTTGCAAAACAGGACGAATCCGGTCTTCAGCTTGATTAATGGCTTTTGGCATCTCGTTTCCGCCACATCACGATAGCTAAGTAGCAACCCATCCGGAAAGTTCGGAAAACGCAAAAAGCGAGCATAAAACCATTATTCGTGGCATATGTTGTGATATTATATGCCTCTCCTTAGTTACAGTCTCGTGGAACGCCGGATATGACGTCGGGAATGCGCTGACAGCTGAGGTATCCGGAACTCCGGATATACCGGGCTGTTGCTCGACCGATCTCGGGAAGGCGGTGCCACTCAATGCGGCCTTTGACCCATACAGTAAGTACCACCATCACCAAATCCAACTACACGTGTTTTTGTCCAAGTTTTGTACATTGACCTCGACAGCACAGTATACGGCGATCCGAGCCGCTTCGAAAGACAAGAAACGGTTTCGCAACGAAGCGAAGTTTAGTTTGACACCGACGGCAAGGCTTTCCTTCCACTCCACGTGGAAGCCACGTGAAGTGATCAACAAGCCAGCAACGCAAAAATCATCCATCTCGAGACAAGAATGTTCGCGTTACCACGGTTGCACCAGACACGTACCTTAACATTCAACACAACAAACGTTCGGGCATGGAAGACAACTAGGGAGGAGATCCTAGACACTGGGTCGTAGGCAGTTGGTTCTGTCTGAAATAACGACAATGCCGTCATTTTCAATATTCAATGCCGGCACTGCATGAAGCTGGCCATAAAAGGAACAATGACATCATCCCTTGACCAGTGACCCTTCAGCCTCACCGGTCAAAGATGTTGTCTCAACCTTACCCATCAGGACTTGACAATCAATGAACCTTTCAAGGATCTGCCCCGTATTCCAGATCTCTCCAATCGGCCACCATGAATGGTCAAGTTCGTCGATCCATTTGATACACTGTAGCCGGGAAGGTACCTAGGTACGACGCAACTACGGAACAAAGAGTGATATACAAGTTTTAGGGAGGCAAGGCAAATAACGGCAGGTAAGTACCTATCGAACGGTACAGAATCTGAGGCATGTTTGACACCTGTTGTACTACATACTACCTCCCTCCACCTGCCTTTGGGTACTTACACATCGGTTCAAGTCCTCAGACAGCGCTGTGTGACAAGCAAAGAAAACAAACCAATGAGTTACCTTTATTTGCATGGTTGACATATGTTTGAGATTTGCGGAAAGCATGTAAGGTGCCGTCTGCCAGCCCATCATCCTAAATCTTGTGTCCCTGTAAGCCGCAAGTGGACAAAGACACGCGGTAAGTTCTCTGCTCATTAGGATGTGTGATTGTTCACTTCTGGCGTTGCTTTTGAGGCTGGGCTTTTGATGAATAACCAATAACTCAGAGTCCGTGTCTAGACTTGAGACTATATTCACACCGAATATGAGGTCTAACTCCAAGTTTATGTGCATTTAGTCAACATCGCATGATCTACAACAAGATACCAGCAACCCAGAACAAGAACTGACTTACAAGCAGCAAGGTCCGGGCTCTTTACGACTTGTGTCCAGCCTCAGACCCGGAGATGCTCAAGCCAGTGAAACACACTTTACAAAAAGCCACCAACCAGCCTGACGATGAGACGACCGACCGCCAAGAGAGAGTGTCAAAGTTCAGAAACAGCCAAGCAAAGAGACAATCGGGTAGCTGCTATCGTGGCAACAAGACCATCCTCTGAGATCCTCTAAGAGAAACCGCCAAGTTGCAAACTCTTTCAGCTCAGCAGCCCAGTCATGTCATGCTTCACTTTGGTCATCCCGTTGCCAAGTTGCCAAGCAGGTGTACAACAGCTTGAGTATGGAAACAACCGCTCTAAGCCTCTAGTCAAGTGAAAGAGGTTCTTGTAACGGCCGAGAATTGTGAGCTTTGAAGGAACCGAATTTAGCCGTGTTGCTGTTCATCATAGGTAGGTAGCTTGGGAAAAAGTTCGTTGTGGATGAGCTTGGCGAGACGATGACAAAGGTAAGTGACCAAGGCAAATAATGGTTAAAGTTGAAGTTGAAGTTGGAATTGGAGTTGACACTGGCACAAACGAAGTTGAAGAAAGGAAGTTGCTCGGGTTTACAAAAGCTGGTAAGTAGGCAAAGTGTTCAACACAGCCACAGGAAAAAAATATCATTGGTTCAAGGGGAACTTCTTTACACATGTGAATTTCCAAATCAGGCTTCAGCATTACCGTTAACAATAATGGAGGGTAGCGTAAGGTTCCCTACTAGGTGACGACCAACCCCAACAAAGGAAAACCCGACGACCCTTCATGCATAATGCAAGGGCAAGTCACCTTTCAGGACAGCAGATCTGGTGCCTGGTTCTTAGATCTGACATGTTTACAGATCGGAATCACATAAGGCTGGCTCTCGGCTGGCCGTCTAAGGAGTTCTTTGATTCGCTACCTATCCTGGACTACCCAGTCCAGGCCGTTCTCTTCTTTTCGTTGTCGACCAACGTTCATCCATCCATCCTGAAACGGGACATGAGCACAAGACAAGAAACTTGTGATATACAAACTGTGTTACACATTTCAAGTATCGGAGACAAAATCCGAAATCTCGCATATCTTACACCGTTGCCCCTTCTCTTTTTCAACATTCGAAGCCAAGAGAGGCTGAGGGTGAACACTACTTGCTGTTCATGTTGTGTCCATTGTCAAACAAACCCTTTGAGAAGTTGACATTGTGTTGGACTAGAACAACATAACACGTTAGAGGTAGCCAAGACGGAAAAGCAAACTTCTTTGATACACCGCAGCTTAGGTTCCATTATGTTTCTCTTTTAGTTCTCATGATCTTTTGATCATGAATGAGTTGTTGGCCTTTACCGCTTCGAGGCTTGGCTGTGTTGTTGATCTCAACTACACGATTGTCTCTCATTCATTCTCTTGGCGGTTCTCACACAGCATCTCTTAGCTTTCTTGGACGGTGTCTCAACACGGCAGATTTTCTCGCTGATTCTCAGTTCCCTCTCAATGGCTACCTAGTGCTAAGAAGCTGAGCTGTGCGTCTCGAAGACTTTCGACTACATTAGAACTCTCTTCTGTGTTGGACTGTGTGGAGGTTCTCATTAAACCAAACGGACCGATCGACGACACATGATCGAACTAGTAACTTGAGAAAACTCCGACGCCGTTTACTATACTAGCAACTTGACAGCTTCCATCATGTAATGTTCTTTTGAGATTCGGTAGATGCGAACGAACGATTCAAGAACTTCGGCAACTGACATCGTCTTCCGGTACGTAACCCTCCTCTCTTTTCCCCCTTCTCGAAACCTTCCAAGCCTCTTCTTTCTCAACCCGTTGTAACTCTCTCTCTTTGACCAAAGCCAATCACGTTTATAACAGACTCAGTTACAATACATATATGTCAGGCTACTCTAACCGATCGCGAATTGCTATGTACCACCTAAATTTGCATCCGGCCGCCTTCGTCGATCGATGTTTGCATTGCATTTTGGTATTTCTTGGCAATTGCTTTCGTGTCACTCTTTGAGTCTTTTAGCCACTACAACTGCGACTGCGGACTGCGGACTGCGACTGGCGGTCTTGTAAAGGTGCATTGCAGGCAGTTCTGCGGATCGTACTGTAGTGTGTTGTACATGATCATTTTACGTGAGTCGAGAGGTTATCCTTCTCATTCGTCCGCAAGAAGGGAAGTTAGGTTCACCTGCAAGGAAAAAGGTAAGCGGTTGGCTTGCGAGGCCCAGCCTGGAAGTGTTGCGCTTGGCTTCGATAGTGTCAATTGGATCACGTAAAAGAACGAGAGCTCGCAATTTCATTTTATGAAAAGCTGTTGTGCACAAAAACGACTCTTGTGCAAGTTGTGAACACAGTTCTGGCAAGAGGAAATCGAGAAAGGCAGGTGTCGAAACGAAACGTTCAGACGACGGAAATGCATCGACGCAATTGGACGAGCCATGGGGGTTTGTTACTTGGATGATGGATGTCCGTCTTTTGGCGAAGACCTTCGCTTCCATGTTCACCCACTTCGGAGACCTCGGATGTGGTGGATTGATGAGCAGGAAAAAAAAAATCACGAAGAAAATGGTCAAAAAAAAGGCCCAGACGTAAAAATTCAAAATTGAAAAAAGCCGGTAGAATAGGCAAGATTAACAAGGGCGATTGAACGGGTCAATGATGAAACTTGCAACCAGGGAGGAGGAGGACTTGTTCCTGCTCAATTCCTCAATAGCAAACACGGCATAATTCATCATCATCATCATCGCCAACTACAACAAATCACGGAGATTACTTCAGGACCTTGCCCTGATTTTTTCGTCACTCTTTGTTTACCTTTTTCGCTTGCGCTTTCATCAAGCTCCCTTCTTCTCTAGGGAAGACAGACAGGAAGCGGTTTCAGCGACAACTGGCAAATCCGCAAAGCGATGGCTGGGGAGCGCAGAGAGAAAGTGGATTCTCTCCTTTCCCCTGCTTTTTGGCTCCTCCCTGGACTCTAGAGCCCCAGCAAGCCTGCGGCCTGCGGTGACACGATTTTCTTCAGCCGCCTGTGGTCGAATCGCAGGGCAACAAAGCAAGGTTCGGTTCCCAGCTCTCTTCGTTGTTGTCTCTCTCTCTCTCTCTCTTTCTCTTTGGCTCTCTCTCTCTCACTATCCCCACAACAAATGATCCACAAGTCGTGTTCCAGTTGTCCAATGGCAGTGGCCGAACCAATGGAGTTTGTTTGTTCGTTGTCTCGCGTGCCTTGCAGTTCGTTGCATCGAAACATGGGGCAGTAAGAACTGGCCGGTGCACAAAAAGTCGAAGCTAGTCCCGAAAGGTACCTACGGCATGAGCACAAAGTGGGGTGTCTGGGTGTCTGGGTGTGAAATGTCCGTGTTTGTCCAGCCCTTTAAAGCGACTGTACAACCGGTCAGCGCGACTGTGTGGAGACAACAGCAGCTTCAAAGTGTAAGTCACCTCCAGCAACCCAGATTAGTGGTTAGGGTTAGCGGTTAGGGTTAGTTAGTTCCGGGGGTGCAGGGGGCCGGCGAGAGGCCCCCGCGTGCGAATGTGAATTTGAGCGCTTTGAAAAAGGTGGTTTTGAGGTCTCGTTGTCGTGGTTTTGGTCGTGATGTGGGCGCGCAAAAGCGATGCCAAGCCTGAAGTCGGCTGTCTCTGGCGACGAGTTTGTATGGCCCCACACAGTCGCGCTGACCGGTATCGATTATTAGGGCTATATGAAAGATACGTACCTTCTCTACTTCGCCCTTTTCTAGTGGCCAAGCAGTGTCTCTTGGCGCCAAGTCGCTGGTCCAACCCCAAGTCTCTCCTTTTTAAGACTTTTACTACAACTTTACGAAAAGTCACTGCATCGAAAAACTGATTGCACCAGTAAATTCAGCGCGCCCAAAAGGGGGCTTTTTAGTTAGGTTAGTTTTATATCAGGTTGTAGTAAAATTGATGCAACGATTGGAAGAAAATCGCAGGTACTTGGGTTTGGTTTGGCTTGCAAGATGTAGGCGGAAAAGGTACGTATCTTTCATATAGCCCTAATATTTGATTCCCGCTGACCGGTTGTACAGTCGCTTTAACGGGCTCGGTGTTTGTGTCCATCCCGTCCTTTGCTCCTGCAGTAGTGAGTGGTCGATGGTAGGCCAGCTTTCCTGTTCTGGTGAGATTGAAGGTGAGATTGAAATGAGATCTTCGAACGACCAGCAACGACAATGATACTCAAGAAATTCCAATATCGTGTCGTGACGAACCTGTGAGAGCGTCAAGTCGCAATGACAGACAGGTAACGGTAGCGATGAGCTGAGGCTGTTTTGTTGACGATGGTTTCGGGTCGTTTTCCCTCAGGAACCGAAAACACTCGCTCGCAGATTTCCACCCACTCTGGCACTCTGGCAACAACGTTTGTCGAAGCCCGCCCCCACGCAGCCGCGCCAAACTAGCTGGTGAACTGTGAAGACCATCCCGCAATTTCATTTCGCCAACTTTCCACTTCCCCTCAAAATCGGGTATCGGATTGCCCAGCACATCATCGTGGGTTGAATTGAGGTTCCTCTCGTAACGAAGAACTGGCGTGTGGGTTGTAAGCGACCTCCGATCATTGCAATTGCCTTTATCATTCCATCGAACAAGCTCTGGGCGTCAACCTGTGAAAGTTTTTGGTGGAGATGACAATGACTGTTGCCGGCTTTCCTATGTCAAACTGGTAGTAGAAAACAGGTGATGATTGTGTGATTGATATTTTCGGTCCGGAGCGGAGGAAGATGCTGGAATGGAGCTGTAGCTGCTGAAGCTGTAATGAAAGTGAATGAAGCGATTCGCCGCCCTCTTTTTCTACAATTCCAAATCTCAGTAATCAGACGTCATCACTCTTGTCGGCGTCGCTGGTGCTGATATGTCCGGTCCGGTGAATAGGTAGCTGCTCGTGTGCCTCTCTTCTGGGCCTTTGTCGACTTGCTGGCTGGCTGCTTGCTGCTCGGAGGCGCGTGTTGGATTTCTCCAGTTTAGTTTCGCCGATAATGCGCGCATAGCGTTCGTTATTATGGGGTAGCGTCTAGTCGTCTTTAATGTCCGAAGATGCCCGCTCAGGAACGCTGGCAGCGGCGGTTGCCCCTGGTTATATGCAAAGCGCCGCGGCTGCCCCATCCGAGGCTTCCAATGCAGGTTCATGGACGGGCATGACCGGCTGCAAAACAGGGACGTCAGCAGCAGATACTACGGTTGCAGGATGCGCAGACTCTTTTCTGCGAGTTTCGCCGACAGTGCTCCAGTTCAGGAAATTGCACTCTGCTTCAGCTTGCTTCCTGGTGTATACAGTGGCCAGACCTGGAGGTTTTCGTGGTTTTCACAGGTTCATGGTTCACGGGCAGCTGAAGGGATTCCGTATTCACGCGAGAGTCCACAGTCCACACACACCTGCTTGCCAGGGAGGAGGCTGGCAGAAGCTTGCAGACTTTTTGTCCAGATTCCATTGCCAGCCGGCACCGAAACGGCAATGAACAACAGGCGATAGCGCTTATCACTACACTTGTTGCACCACCGCCTTTTGCTCGTCCTTTTTTCTGCCAGTTTTCTGAAGAAAAGGGTCCACGCAGGGTCCACGGGTCCCACGGCTGCACGGCACCAAAATGGCAAGAAGAGATCCGCGGCCAATGCGCGCCCGTCGCCCTGATATGCAAGGACACAAGGGGGCACGTGGAGAGCGATTTTTCGTGCCTGTGTGAGCGAGTGCTCACTGTGTGTGATAACAGTGATATTCAATTTCGGTGCGACCTGAGAAGCCTTCTCCGCCGGAAGCGCCTGGGCGCGGCTACTCAAGGGCCAAGAACTGGAGAGGCACGGAGAGCCATGGAGAGAACCGGGAGACAGTTTCCTGTTCCTGAATTGGGAGTGCTTGGCAGCATCCCGTTGTCGACCGTCGTCGCCGGCCCCTGACGATGAGGCTGTCGTTGGCGTCACTGGCGTCACTGCCATCACCTCGGCCGGACATGAAGCCATGGGAATAACAAGGTGGTATCGCTGGTGATGGGTTCGGCGGCGCCGTAAATGTCGGTGATGAGGTGTTCATGCTCCGAAATGCGGGTGAAGCGGCGTGGCTATTGGGCCGTTTGGTGAGGCGGTCGAGTGGCGGACCCGGTCTCTGATCGCCACGACCGCCCCCACGGTCAGCGGAAATATGGCACAATCGCGAACATGGTGCCGACCGAGCGAGGACCCTGCCCGATCGGTAACGGCTCGCCCGATGGTGATTATCAACGTGAGCACCGAGAGTCAGTGCCGTGTCTGTTCCGGTGTCAGCCTCCCGAGTGCTCTTCGTCCGCAATTTTGTTAGGTGTCCAGTCTGTCACCCACAGCAACCACAGACCGACCATTCAATGGCGATGCGGGTAAAAGCGTAAAACGGTGAAGGGAGCCGCTAGGACGGATTGCGTTACGACCGATTTATAGCGTGATCGTTTAACCTTGAACTTCACCACCACGAAACGAAACAGCCTGGAGAAGCGGAAATGCCCCAACTTCTCACCCACACTCGCCCACACTCGCTTACTGGCCCTCGATTGGTCGCAAGCCAACCTCTTTTTGTCTCGGCTGTTCTTTTTTTTTCTTCTTTTTTTTCTCGCTTGTTGCTGTTTCCTCGCTCGCGACGGGAATAACCGCCGGTCTATAGCGGTACCGACCTGGTAGTAATTGTTTCAATGCCCGGCCTCGAGCCGGCCTACTACACTACGCAATCTGCGCTTCGCTATGCTACCTCGGCCGTTCTGTGATACAAGCTGCGTGCGCCTGGAGAAGCCCTAGAAGCAAGCCGTTACCAGAAAGCCAAGCGGTTTTGCAGTTTACTTGATGTCAATGCAGCCAAAAGAGCCGAATCCCCACAGAATCGGAGAAAGAAGTTGCAGAATGCATGCACCTTGCTAGCATGTGCATTGGTGCAGTATCTCGTTCCCACCTCCGTGGAGTTGTTCTTCCAGTCTGCCCCCCGCGGAACTCTGAGAAGCAGCCCTCGAGGTTCTCACTATTATGGCGCTCCTGATTGGTCAGAGCTTGACTTCTTTCTACTTTGCGCGCCACTTGGCGACTGCCGTCCGTTGGTGTTGCCTGTGGGGGCATCTGATGCTCCATCCCACCAATTTATGGTTGCATAAGTGCGTGCATATTCCAAACCTTCTAGAAAACCGACCGCTTCTACTGTGTAGACCGCTTTTTGTTCCATGCAGCCAGGACAGCTTGGCTCTCTTCTGAGACGACGGCGCCCGTGGTGGTCAGGTGGTCAGTGTACACCCTGCGACAAGTTGACAACAACGGCGACGGCGACGACAAGTGGACGATGCCACCATGACGAGAGGCACATTGGTCGATCGGTTCCCAGCACGCCGTGACCTGACCCGCGATTCATGCATGGACCAGCCCTTTCCCGCGATAATCGTTTCCTCGTTTTCCCCATCCGCACGCGATCCATACCATATCCATCGGCATTTCCATCTTGAGGCCGGAGAACAACCGAGCGCACTGTGATGGTTTTGGGTTCTGGGGGATTTTGCGGTGTATGTGTGGATGGTTACATTCTCACCTTGTCCTTTTGGGCTTGGCTTTGGCGTCTTGGATGGAGGCGACCAGCACCAACACCTCGGCACTGGCCTGCTGGCAGACCGGTACTGACACTGGCACTGGATTGGCACTGGCACACGGGCACACGGCTGATGGGCTTTACGCTAGGCGTGTTGTTCCCGTCTGGGGACAGGTAGCTGACCACCATGTTGTCTCTCGCCAGCCGTTTCGAAGCTCGACAGTGTGTGGTTTTCCCTACACCACATCGGCTAGGCCGCCTCGTCATTTTCGTATCGCGGTGATGCAGGAGACAAAACATCATGAACAGCTTGAACACGCCAGGCTTGCGTCCTTTTGCCCGTAAGAGTCAATATTGCGCACGTAAAAATGTGCGCGGAAGCCAAAACAACCAACGGGGCCTAGACTTGTGTGCTCAGCGAGCAATCTTATCCAAGGTGCCAAGTCGGCCTGGGCAGAACACGGGCTATATTATTGTTTCTGGGCATTGTCGCACGCAAGATGCGAAAGTTCCTTCAAAAGTGAAGCCGGTCGCGATTGCTGCCGAAAGGGCTGTAATCTCCCCAAGACGCGGAGGCGAAGATCTTCCCCATGGCACACGCCGCGATTCCTGGCCTTGTCAACAAGGTGCTCCTCTTCGGTCCTTGAGGCTCAAGGCTAGGAAATTGCTGTCCGATTGCCGGGCGGTAGTCCGACACCCACCGGTTGCGACACCTCTTGAAGGCCCGTGTGAGGCTGTCGTGACAGGGCAGGGGGTACAGAGCTGCCCTGCGATAGGGACACTGGTTGGCCGGGAAATTGCTGGATGCTGAGGAGCTTCAACGAGTCGGAAGGGCGCTAAAAACTGATGGTTCACTGGCGACACAGCAGTCTAAAGTTCAGGGTGATCCCTTGTGTAGAGTTTTCCAATTTTTATTTTCTTCAGTTTTTCAACAAGGAATATCGCCTTTGCGACGAACCTCACAATGTGCTTTGTACTGCGATTGCATGATAGCGCGAGGGAACTCCCGCGTTCGATTGGCATGAAAAAGAGAAAGAAAGAAATTTCTGACATTTGATAGGGTTCGGGAACGTCGGCGGCTTGACCTTGTGGAGTGTCAGTCGTTGGTCTTCACCTTTTGCTCTGATTGAGGAAAGTGATGTTTCGTCCCCTTGTTGGCATCTTTGTTCATCATTGGGGGCCTGAACACTATGACGTAGCTCAAATTTCCCCCGTTCGTGATGAGGGACTGCCTGCCTGGTGAGGGTAATATCAGATCACCAGCCTCGGTGCCCTACAATGGATATGGCGAACATGACTCTTTGCGTGGAGGGGCATTTGTGTGTTGCTATACTGGTTGTTTCATTGCTGTTTCCATATGACAAGTCTCAAGATACCGTGTTACTTGGCAACGTGCAGCTCCCGTCCCGGTACTGAGGGGACGACAACCTTAATCCAGCCTCGGCCGCGGCCAAACTCCGGAAAGAACGAGTTAAGGGAAATTGATCAACTCGATATGAAGTCTATATTGCCCAGCTGTCCGTTTGGCTATGGCATTCATGTGGTGATCCTTGCTGTCGTTTACGAATGCTCATCTGTAGTAGGTAGCTTTGCATGATGGTTGGAAATAGGCATATTACACTCTGTGATAGGTGGTCGGTCTGACTTGCACATACCCTACAAACCAATGCCGTACACTGCACCCAATTTGGCGTTAACACGGGAAACCGCCTCACCGTGACTTGTTATGTCCGGTGAATGGGACCGAAGACGGGAGTCCGATCTCATCAGACTGAGCCGGCAATAACACCGCAACGTCTTGGACCTGTCTGGTTGAATCCAAGACCCTAGACTCCCCGTTCCCGTCTAAATTGCCATGGCGCTGTTGCACGGCAGACCAAAACAGACCGACGGGTAGGCACGGGTTCGACCGTTGCCCACGGGTCAATGTATGCCATGCAGCATGTCACGAACGACGGTGACTTCTCAATGGAAGACGAGACAGGCGAGGACGACAGCAATGATCAACCGTTTCCAGTGGGTGAGATGGGCGAGCCATGGAAGCCAGTTTCTGGCAGGCATCCGTCGATTGGTTTCCCCTTCTCATCGTTGCCGGCAGGGATCGAGCTCTCATGGCAACGATAAGGGCTCTTTTGGCCACTGACTAGCCAGTCAAAGCGAAGCAATTGCACGGCATGGGTGTACCCCAGCTTCCGGCTCATGACGGACAGCGTGAGAGGGCCAAAGCTTGTTCGCGCCTATAATCGAGAGCTCGATACAGTCGAGGATGCAGTGTGTATTCTGCTCTCAGTAAGGTACTCTGTCGCCAAGGAATTAGCGTGGAGCTTCACGACTCTGGCCTTATCATCTCCCGTGAGAGCAGCTCAACTTCCCCTGGCCAAGCTGCATAGCGATGCATCAACACACAATTCCATCTCATAAAAGCAAATGCAGCGCATAGGGGAAGGCAGACGATGCCTGGGCCAGACGAGGCCGTACGAGGCCATACCGACTGGCGCAGCCGAGGGTAGATAGCATGAATTATGGAGTCGTGATTATCCATCCCGAGTGACCGCCAAACTGCCTGGTGCAAATGGCAACTCTGGGCCGGCTGACCGCCAAGTGTTCTGGAGACTTGCTCGCCGTTTGTGAGTTTGTGGTGCCGGCGGATTTGCTGGTGAGTGTGAGGTTGGGAGTGCTGGTCTACTGCGGCGGCCCTGGGGCTCTGGCAACGCCCGCCTGGCACTCACCCGCCGGGCCTTTCGTGTGGGAAAAACAGAAAATCCTTTCTGATTTCTGGTTTCCTCGTCGTCATTCAAGAAGCGCGAGCCAATCAGAGGCCGCGACGGCCGGTGTGGAGGTGGGCAGCCAGAAAATCCCGCAGGCTTTTGGCTGACAAGGTACGCAGGTGGAGAGGCACGGACAGGTACCTCAGACGGGCTCGATTGCGGCTTGTGGTAGTGAGCGGCCAGAGGGCAAAGGCAGAGGGCGGGGTGGAGGTACCTGGACGCATTGGACGATCCAGGTATCCTGCGGTAACTCCAGGTCATTGCGACCTGCACTCTGGGAGACCCGCTTTTTCACAAACCCCCTGTTCATGGCCGGGGTGTCAGCCATTCCACTTGCTTGTGAGGTTGGACTTCTCGGAAGGAAGGCAATCACATTCAATCGCGGTCTGCTCTTTGGGGCGTGCCGTAGTGGTAGTTAGTGCGGTGCGCTGGAAGGTAGTGCTTGTCCGCCTCGCCAGCTTGCCAGCGCTGGGCGGTCGCACCGTGTCAATTGGACGACCAAAGAGGCCGACCTGAGGCCGACCCACCAAAGAGGTAAGCAAAGAACGGATGGCGAGGACAGTCTGGGCACAGGCGCACACGGTGGCATCGCGTGGAGGCGGGCTCCAACTCGAACACTCTTCTCTTTCCAGGAACGGGACGGCTCCTCTGGGGGCTCCTCTGGGCTCCTGGTTCATTCGAAGGCCGACCGACGCGTTACTCCATCACCGTCTAAAAATCGAACCCTACGTTGGGCCGCAGAGTCGGTGGTCGTCAGGGCACAAGTCGTTCTTTCTTGCGAGCTGTGGGCACTGGGCAGAGAGTGAAGGACCAGGGACGTGCACGGTTCTGGTTTCGTAGTCCCAGTTCCAGCGGTCGAACTAGCAAGCAGGTACGCGGTACCTGGTGCTAGCGCAGTCTCCACACTCTGTTCCGCTCGATGGGGTGCCCGTCTGGAAAGTGGACTCTGTGGGTGCATTGAGAATTGAAGGGTGAACTGGAAGGTGAATGCATTGGCGGGCGGACAGGGCACCAGAGCTACCAGGGCCAACAAGGACGACAAGGTACCGGGTACAGTCAACGATACAGTGCCGGGGCCTGCAGCCCACTCGTCGCAGCGGATCGTAGCTGGCGAATCCCCCAGTCTGGCGTGCGTACCAAAGAAGGTTGGCTTCCATCTTTGGCCGGAAAGGTCGCTCATCGTTCGGTCACCGGCCGGAAAGATTGAAATACCTTTCTCGCCCGCTCCCTCGACTCGCACCTCCTCTTCTTTTCCTCACGCTCGAAGGCTTTTTTAATCCCTCCCTTCGTCGTGAATCTCCCCAACTCCTAATACTTTTTTCCTTATCGACCCATATCCCTCGGTCTACTTCCTCTCGTGTGGACGATTTCACCATCTTCCAACGCCTACGCCACATACCTATTAGGTCATCAAAACAATACCCTACCGCCGCGTTCCCGAAAACCCTACTAGGTCCGTTCACCTTTTGCGAAATCTACATATACCCGCAACTTCTTCCCACCACCAATCTGCTCCATCCACTTTCAGCACCACCCCACCTGCGGACGCGAGCTGTTCCTGGGATATCCAAGCTTTGCCTACCGCACACTCCACTCCTACTCATACCACCAACTTCTACTTCAACTTCTTCCTCCCACCTACTTGTCAGACTCTGCTCATCTCTCCGAGACCTAATCCTAACATCGCTTTCCTCTCTACAGTACCTTAATATACGCCTAGCAGAGCTTTGATCTGCCAACAATAACGCCAATGGCGGACCACTCGGCCAGCGGCGCTCCTGCGCTGTCGACCAACATCGAGAGCGGAAAGTTCGACGAGAAGGCGGCGGAGCAGGGTGCTCCTTACCAGCCTAAGCCCAAGGTTGAAGATGATGATGAGGATGAGGACATCGATGCCCTCATCGAGGATCTCGAGTCCCACGATGGAAACGATGTTGTAAGTTGTCTACTACACCCCCAATTGGCAACGCACAGCATTCTAACCCACTTCAACAGGAGGAGGAGGAGGAAGAGGGCACTCCCGCCGGTGGCGGCCGCGTCGTCCCCGAGGACATGCTCCAGACTGACACCCGTGTCGGTCTCACATCCGAGGAGGTTGTCCAGCGCCGTCGCAAGTACGGTCTCAACCAGATGAAGGAGGAGAAGGAGAACCACTTTCTCAAGTTCCTTGGTTTCTTCGTCGGTCCCATTCAGTTCGTCATGGAGGTACGTTGCCATCACACGCCAAGAAGCGTTTCGATCCATCCCGCTATCCCTGCGGTTGGTGAAACGAAACGCGACGGCGCCCCCACGCGACTCTGCCGCATAGATGCTGACTAGTACTACTACAGGGTGCTGCCGTCCTTGCTGCCGGTCTTGAGGACTGGGTTGATTTCGGTGTCATCTGCGGTCTGCTGCTTCTTAACGCCGCTGTCGGTTTCGTTCAGGAATTCCAGGCTGGTTCTATTGTCGACGAGTTGAAGAAGTAAGTTGCCAACAACGAGCCGCCAAACAACGCCACTGAGCAATCCGCTAACCTACTTCCCCTTTCAGGACTCTTGCTCTCAAGGCTGTCGTTCTCCGTGATGGTACTCTCAAGGAGATTGAGGCTCCCGAGGTCGTTCCCGGTGATATCCTCCAGGTTGAGGAGGGTACCATTATCCCCGCTGATGGTCGCATCGTCACCGATGATGCCTTCCTCCAGGTTGATCAGTCTGCTCTTACCGGCGAGTCTCTTGCTGTCGACAAGCACAAGGGTGACAACGTTTTCGCTTCCTCCGCTGTCAAGCGTGGTGAGGCTTTCGTCGTCATCACCTCCACCGGTGACAACACCTTCGTCGGTCGTGCCGCTGCCCTCGTCAACGCTGCTAGCGGCGGCACTGGTCACTTCACTGAGGTCTTGAACGGTATCGGTACCATTCTCCTCATTCTCGTCATCTTCACTCTCCTCATCGTCTGGGTTTCCTCTTTCTACCGCTCCAACCCCATCGTCCAAATCCTCGAGTTCACCCTTGCCATCACCATCATCGGTGTCCCCGTCGGTCTTCCCGCTGTCGTCACCACCACCATGGCTGTCGGTGCCGCCTACCTCGCCAAGAAGAAGGCCATCGTCCAGAAGCTCTCCGCTATCGAGTCCCTTGCTGGCGTCGAGATTCTCTGCTCCGACAAGACTGGTACCCTCACCAAGAACAAGCTCTCCCTCCATGACCCCTACACCGTCGCTGGTGTGGACCCCGAGGACCTCATGCTTACTGCCTGCTTGGCCGCTTCCCGCAAGAAGAAGGGTATTGATGCCATCGACAAGGCTTTCCTCAAGTCCCTTAAGTTCTACCCCCGCGCCAAGTCCGTCCTCTCCAAGTACAAGGTTATCCAGTTCCACCCCTTCGATCCCGTCTCCAAGAAGGTCGTCGCCGTTGTCGAGTCTCCCCAGGGTGAGCGCATCACTTGCGTCAAGGGTGCCCCTCTTTTCGTTCTGAAGACTGTCGAGGAGGACCACCCCATCCCCGAGGAGGTTGACCAGGCCTACAAGAACAAGGTTGCCGAGTTCGCTACCCGTGGTTTCCGTTCTCTTGGTGTTGCCCGCAAGCGTGGTGAGGGTTCTTGGGAGATTCTCGGTATCATGCCCTGCATGGATCCCCCCCGTCATGATACCTACAAGACTGTCTGCGAGGCCAAGACTCTCGGTCTCTCCATCAAGATGCTTACTGGTGATGCCGTCGGTATTGCTCGCGAGACTTCTCGCCAGCTCGGTCTCGGTACCAACATCTACAACGCTGAGCGCCTTGGTCTCGGTGGTGGCGGTGACATGCCCGGCTCTGAGGTCTACGATTTCGTTGAGGCTGCCGATGGTTTCGCCGAGGTATTCCCCCAGCACAAGTACAACGTCGTCGAGATTCTCCAGCAGCGCGGTTACCTTGTTGCCATGACTGGTGACGGTGTCAACGATGCTCCCTCGCTCAAGAAGGCTGATACTGGTATTGCTGTCGAGGGTGCCTCCGATGCTGCCCGCTCCGCTGCCGATATCGTCTTCCTTGCCCCTGGTCTCGGTGCCATCATTGATGCCCTCAAGACTTCTCGCCAGATTTTCCACCGCATGTACGCCTACGTTGTCTACCGTATCGCTCTGTCCATCCACTTGGAGATTTTCCTCGGTCTTTGGATCGCCATTCTCAACCGTTCCCTCAACATTGAGCTTGTTGTCTTCATCGCCATTTTCGCCGATGTTGCCACCCTTGCCATTGCCTACGACAACGCCCCCTACTCGCAGACCCCCGTCAAGTGGAACCTCCCCAAGCTCTGGGGTATGTCCGTCCTCCTCGGTGTCGTCCTTGCCATCGGTACCTGGATCACTGTCACCACCATGTACGCTCAGGGTGAGAACGGCGGTATCGTCCAGAACTTCGGTAACATGGATGAGGTTCTCTTCCTCCAGATCTCTCTCACTGAGAACTGGCTCATCTTCATCACTCGTGCCAACGGTCCCTTCTGGTCCTCGATCCCCTCGTGGCAGCTCAGCGGTGCTATCTTCCTCGTTGATATTCTTGCCACCTGCTTCACCATCTGGGGCTGGTTCGAGCACTCCGACACCTCCATCGTCGCCGTTGTCCGTATCTGGATCTTCTCCTTCGGTATCTTCTGCATCATGGGCGGTGTCTACTACATCCTCCAGGACAGCGTTGGCTTCGATAACCTTATGCACGGCAAGTCCCCCAAGGGCAACCAGAAGCAGCGCTCGCTTGAGGACTTTGGTAAGTTACAATCCCTTCTATCTAACCTTGATCCATTGGACACTGGCTAACATCACTTCCTTCACAGTTGTCTCTCTCCAGCGTGTCTCTACTCAGCATGAGAAGTCGCAATAAGCGATATAATGATTTTCCGGGTGCAATGTTCATGAAGGTTGCCTGATTGAAATGACGGGATGATAACTCCATATGACCCCCCCTTGGTATACCCCTTGGTGGCAACTCAGCCATTGAAGATTTTAGATTAGGGCTGGGAGTTTGCCGCCAGGCTTTTCTTTCTGGAATTTGTATCCACAACTTCTTTTTAGGGGTATACGTACCCATTACATTTCTTAGATACTAATACTAAAACCGTAAAATCTAATAACCTAATAAGTTCCTGTGAAATCTGCCATGTTGAGCGCGTGAAGTCTTGGACACTTGGGGTGACTCCTAGAGACTCGAATGCACACTGGAGATTTTTGGTCCTTCAGCTCCTCATGTTTGGGTGGTTTCCCAGGAGTTGGGTGGTGTTGTAGGTAAGGAAATGCAGGTACCCGTGACCTGGCAAAGTGGGCCTGCCTGACTCTCCAAAAAGTCTGAACACCACGCTAACATGGAGCTGGCCACGAGACGAGCGCAATGACATAACTATTTCTCTTCCCTCAACTTCTGACTGGCTTCTGGCGCCACTACCGACTCGGTCAACCTTTGTGTGTCAAAACGTCAGATCCTTAATACACAATACGCTCCTGGGTAAGTGCTCAACAACGTAAACGCGCTCAGACACAGTCTCGGCATTCCAAAGGCAAATTTCAACAGTCGCTAACTACGTTCACAGATACTTACTGTGTTTTGTATCTCTACTTTCGGCTTACAGTGCATACAACGCGCAATACCTATCGCGGGAGCAACTGCGCATGGCCTCCGATCATCATTCATTGAAGACGACCTTTCAAACTTACTCTTGGCTTGCCGGTACGGATTGGATCGGTAGTGCAGCATAGAGGATCGGTCGTCACTTCCCCTTGTGTCACACACGGCGGCGGACTGGTTGTATCAGAAGGAAAGAGCTATCGTGCATTGTCTGCATTGAACGAGCAAAAGAGGCAGGCGAAAGAGACGTTTCGGGAAGGCAGAGGGCCAAGCATTTCAAGGCTTTGCACAAACGCTTGGCTAGGACAGGCTGCCAGATTCCAGCCGAGAACAACATCGCTCCTGCCAAGCAAGCAAGCAAACTTGGCAGCGGTCTGTGAAGCGCAAGCTCCTAAGGCAGCTTTGTTGAGCTTTGGGCGACACAGCGTTGCGTGAAGAACCAAACCATTCTGCCTTGTACTTGGCACGGTTATTTCTGGTTTGTGGGCTGTGAGGACGTGTGGGGAAAAGGTTTGGATGAAAGATTGCGTGTGAAGGGTTCTCTTACAGAAACGGGCCAAGCACAGACGAAAAGGCCAGCGGAGACAAAACCCTCGAGACGAACAAGAGGTTATTCTTGTCGTGGCCTGTGGCAGGATTTGTCACATTGTGATACTTGTAAGGAGCTTTTTGTCCCCTTTTTGTGAGAACGCACATTGTCCATATCTTGCCGACTTGGCAGCGGCGAGAGCAAGACTTCGAAGATGCCGGTAGAGCTCCCGGGGTTCTATTTTGGTACGTATGGTGGACTCTTTCCTTCGCACCCACGAGTGCTCCATGATGTGGAATCCGACCCGAGATGGGGAAAGCTACGTAACCGGGGAGCGGGCAACCCCCGCATAGACTGTTATAGCTCACTAACACTCTTCTAGACCCCGAAAAGGGCAAATACTTCAAGATAGAAGACAGCAAAACGGCACCAACGACTCGCTACACCAATAACGATGTAAAGCGTCGTCGTCTTCTCGAGGAGAAGAAGCGTGTAGAAGAGGAAAAGGCAAAGAGGCTACTTGCGTTCCCTCGAAAACTAAAGCGAGCAAAGATCCTGCAAGACCCTCTTCTGGGAGGGTTCCTGGAAAGAGAGACAGCCCAGGATAGGCCAGTGCTTCACAATGGCCGAGATGACGATACGGTGATAAAATCATGGGCCAGAGGGTTGAGTGACAAGGGAAAGGTCGACCTCTGGCCGGACCTGATTCAAAACGGGATCATGATTGGAACCATTTCTCACTTGTGGGTTGGAGGTTCGGACTCGAGGACAGGGCTGGGAGTTACTTATGCCGGTAGGTGCTTTTTTCCAAGAGGTCAGTTTGAACCGGTATACTGATGATCAGAGCAGCGGTTGACGACGACTCCTTGACGAGCTCGTACATCCCGAGGGATGGGGCTGATGAGTAAGTTGTTCTAACTGCCTTGACACTTGGCAAAATGCTGATCTTACATCGCTATTAGAATCAACTTCGCCTACGCGAACGTCAGATACAGGCGGACGGATTTCATGCCAATGCCGGAAACAATCACCATTCCTCAGCTCTCCTCGCTCAGATTTCATGAGCCATCCGGTCGGATGTTCCTCACATCTAGGATGCCGACGCGCACTCCCTCCATCGCTTGGTTCTCTCCAAGTCAATCCGAGCCTCCCATAGAAGAAGAGGAGCGGCCGACATGGCAGCTGGGCAACTGTAAGTCTTTCTCCTCCCCATATTCTCTCAACACATTAGTCATGATGAAGCTCAGTAGTCGACTAACCCCCTCGACAGCCCCCAACCTAATCAAAATCTCCGCGCCCACCCCCAAGGGTACCAAATACGGTGTCATCAACACCTCCTGCCCGGCACCCTCCTACTCCCGCCTCACCTGCATCGCCGGCGGCGACGTCGGTCTCCTCCAACTCACCAACGACTCCCGCCTAAGCTGGCTAACCAAGCCTCCACCGCCATCCTCCTCCTCCAAGACCAACCATGACTCAGCACCACCCATGGCCAAGCACGGCGAAGTCCTCAGCCTCGATTTTTTGACAGTCAACCCAGCCGAAGTGATCCTCGTCGGCGGACGCACCGGCCGCGTCTGCGTGCTGGACATGCGCGTCCCCGAGGAGGAATGGGGCTGGATCAAGCACCCCAGCAGTGCGGCGCACGTCCGCTCTGTCGGGAGCCACGGGGTGCTGGTGGCGGGTCCTATGAGCGCCATGCGTCTGTATGACATCCGGTGGTGCAAGACTGAAAAGGGTAGCACCATCAGTGATAATGACGGCGGTGACGGTACTACTAGTATTGATACGGTTATGGATTGGCAACCCTCGCGGTCTGGCTCCGGTCCTGGTAGCAGCAGCAGAAGCAGCAAAAACAAACCCTATCACAACCACCAGAAACCACCACAACAACACCGACCCAGGACAAGAAAACCAACCCCCTTCAACCCCCTAACCATGTCCACCCCCACCACCCCCATCCTCACCTTCCCCTCCTACCGCAACGCCGAAAACATCCACATCGGCTTCGACGTCCTCTCCTCGCCGCACTACACTCCTTACAACCTCGCGGCCGCCGCGCACGACGACGGGACGGTGGGACTTTACTCCTTGCTCGACGGCTCGCGCGTGCCGAGCAAGACGATCGATAGGATCGGTTTCTCGGGATTCGGGGGAGACGATGATGATGATGCAGATGCAGATGTAGGACCGTATGATGCTTTCAGCAGGGGGAACGTGATCAAGAGTTTGATGTTTCAGACGTTACCGGGCGATAGACATCCGAGCTTGTTTGTGGGTGAAGGGCCGAGGATTAAGAAGTACTCGTTTGGGGTGGAGACTAGTAAGGGGAGGAAGAACAAGAATAGGACGGCGAGGGTGGAGGAGGGTTATGGCTGTGAAGAGGAGTTTTGAGGACATTGCGAAGTGAGGAAGGTTATCTGCGATCGATGAATTACGACGCGTTGTTACGGGCGTCGCGAAAGAAAAGTATATGCTGTTAGAACCTGGGCACGGATAGAGTCGGTATAGAATTAGCATAGTAGCGTTGAAAATAACAAATGACATGTCACACGGCGTGTATGTCCTGGGCATCGTAGGAAACAGTACGTTATTGAAGCCAATCATCCCCATTAGTCAATCTAACGTGGGCCCCATAACGCCCATAGAGCTCTGCCATGTCCTTCATGTATCTACATTCCCCTCTGTGAACCTACGATGCCTTCCTTTCTCATTAGTGACTTGCCTTCGTGGGGTACCCATTAATCCCTGATTCTCGTATATACCCCGTCCATCAGATGTGCTTCTTGCTGTATCCATAGCCACCATTCATGTGTCCCGAAACCCTCTGAGCAGCAATGACCGAGCCGTTCACCTTGCTATTAACATGTGAGGCCAGTCGGCGGCTTGCTGCACCTTGCGCGCTGAACTTATCCAACACGCTGATGAAAAGAACCTGGATCAACCAGATCCAGACTCTTAACAGCCAGTCAAGGAATCCCAGCTCGGGCTTTCTGCCACGGCTATATGTCGAATCCTTGAACTCGAACGGGACCCGTCCTCCCAAGTGTTCCATGGCAACCCGAATGCCACTGCTAAATCCATCTTCATGGAACCCGTATTTAGTCCAGGCGCCTGCGTAACTGATACCTCGGGTGTTCTGGATGTAGTCGAGCCGGTCTTGAGCTTTGATTGCGGCGGGGGTGTAGAGCGGGTGCGCATATATGTAGGTTCCTTGAACCGTCGAAGGGTCTGGTTGATGCAGGGGGTTCAGGGTCACCAAGACATCGCCGTACTGCTCCCGGGGAATGTGCTGCAAGATGTTCATGTTGTAAGTCAGCGATACCTGATCGATGTTCCTGCCAGTAACGGGAGATGACCGCGTCAGATAATTCCAGCTACTCCAGGCCCTCGGGGACTGCGGCATGAGCGAGGTATCAGAGTGCAACACCGCAACGTTATCCGAAGTCCTGAAGTTGCGCAGGATATCTCGCTCCTCGTCGGTGGCTGAGTCCCGGATGATAGAGTAAGCTTGGTCGCCGTGAGTGGCAAGAATCACATGGTCAAAGACCTCAGAGCGACCGCCCTTGATGTGCAAACGAACACGGCCGTCAGGTTCGTTTGTGGCCCTTGTGACTTCAGACTTTAGGTGCAGATGGTTCGACGGGAAACCATTCATGACCGTGTCGATGTAGCCTTTGGAGCCTGTGGATATCGTAAGCCAGTCTGGGCGGGCGGCAACTGTGGAAAGAAGATGATGGTTCCATCTGCGAGGAGGTCAGCACATTTGAACACAATGACACGAGATATGGTGAGGGTCATACGCACAGAAATCTGATCAGAGTAACGGCAGGGAATTCGAGAGAGCACTTGTCGGGACTGGTACTCCACACAGCCGCGGTCATGGGAATCAGGTAGTCGTCTCGGAAGGCATCCGAGTACCCTTCGCGGTCCAGGTATTCACCAATTGTCTCCTCAGGGTGAATGGCGGCATGCTGGCTCTTTGCCTGGGTAGTGTCCTCAAGGTCCACTCTCAGCACATCGAGGGCATGCTGGTTGAAGCGGATGATATCGAATATGATGCGCCACATTCGTGGGGAGAAGATATTGCCCCGCTGAGAAAATAGGGAGTTTAGTGAGGATCTAGCCCACTCAAACTTTCCGTAGTCTCTAGAGACCGAAAAGGTCATCTCCGTCTTGACGGGCGCAATGCCTATGTGGCTGAGGAAGTTGAGGAGGTTGGCTATAGGGGTGACGTTAGTGCATGCAACCACACAAGCAGCCGATGTAGACTACTGCAAGGTACCGATGCGTAAGTGGGACTGGGGAGAAGACGTACGGTAGGTGGCTTCGTTCATGACGATGAAGCCAGTATCAACCTGGGTGCTATGCTTTCCCTTTCGAAAGTCCACCGTGTTTGTATGTCCTCCCAGCCGGTCGGAAGCCTCAAAGAGGTGGACATCATGAGGGCTTCTGTTCAAGGCCCATAGAGCACCGATTCCCGCAACACCACTGCCGACGATGGCGACCTTCTTCCTGGGGTAACGGTTAGCTTCGACAGTCGTCGCCATGGGCAAATAAGGTCCGTGAGAAGCTGTGTGGTGTAAGGGGAGAAGAGCGGTGATAGCGGCCCCGCTGGACTTGACGATGTCGAACGGCAATGCTTCTCGAAGCAACGTGGCCCGGACTGCATGTTGATGGGCAATGGGGCAGCCAGCCAGCCATATAAAGGTGATGCATAGCTGTATGATGAGATGGCGGCCCTACGACAGCCGATGGAGATCGAAGCTGGTGTCATTCCAATGACAACAGGGCTGGCTGGCTGGATGGCTGATGGTGGTCAATGCAGCCGAAACAGGTCAGCCTGTTGGGACCACTTGGTCGCCGTGTTCATTGGGCCTTGAGCCCCTCGAGCCGTGGCATGAGGTAGAACAGAGGATCAAGACTCCCTTTCTCGCTTGGGCAGCAGAGGTGCTACACATGCATCGCTGTCGTACGTAGTGGGCTTGTCCGGGTCCGATAGCGATTGGCTGCCACCCCCAGAAAGTTGGTGGAGTGGCCAGCAGGAGGACAACAAAGATAAGTGATCCGGGGTTGGCTGACAAGACAAGAGTGTGGTACAGCATGATGAGTTGATAGAGAATAGCACTTACATAGGCTCGTCCGGCAGCTCCTCTTGTCCACCCATCTTGTCCATTGATCACTTCCTCGTGTAACCAAATGGCGATCTCATGTAACGCACGGCGGGGAACTGAGAAAGGGCATTCGATACCCGATTGAAAACCGCTTGAAGCGTCCAGAATAACGAGGGTTTCCACTTGGCCCGGTCGATATCTCCAGCGTCGAAGGTTTCGATTGTTGTCCCCGGCCGTTCAAACGTGCCAGTGGGTTGAAGGTGAAGCGAGGAAAGAAGATGCGATGGCAAAGCGCTTGCTTCACGGCACGTTGAAGCGCAGAGTGAGGAGGCGTTTTCGTATGTATCCCCTCCAGCATCTGTTAGTGAGTCTCAACCTTAACTAGTATGGCAAAAAAGATCGCTCTACTACCCCTCTTAACAGATGTTTTGGCGAGGTACGAGAGATTTAGCGGTTTCCTTGTGCGACTGGTCGTCGCTGCCGAAAGTGAAGGCATCTCCTGCGATTCTGGCAGTGAAGGTGCACTCGCGTTTGCCTGTGCCCAAAAACCTTCAAGTTGGAAGGAGCGACCTTCGGTTGAGTTGAACCTTGGAACCTTGAGGACCTTCCACCGCCATGTAGAGATAAGTAGCAGGCAGGAAGTTCGGACGAGAGCTGCATCAGTCAACCGATAGTTTCGCCGTCTTCAGGTTCGAGGCGACGCCGCTGGTGAGGCTGGGAATAGAAATGGACAGGAAGGGAAGAGATGTTCCTCGTCATCGATCATACTCGAGGGTGGTGGGTGCCTTTCTGGCTCTGGGCGCCAAGGCTCTTCCACCCTCTCCCCATAGGGAGAGGGTGGCAGAAATTTGGGACATAAAATAAATCTGGGACACTCGAATCTGCATACAAAATGCTAAGAAACCAAACCACCAACTCCATTTCAACCACTCAACACTTTTCAAATATTCTACCAAAATTAATATAGGGCCTTTGAATAAAGAAAAGCCAATATCCAAAAGTGCATCATGAACAAAAATTTTCTTGGGCTAGAAAAATTGAGTTTTTGGTATCAATGCCCTATAAATTAGGCGGTGCAGGCTTCCGCTTCAGGCTTGGTATATGACATGAACTAAGGGAACGATGAATTTCTTGAGCAAACCGCAACCAAATTTATTGCTGAAAGTTGGAATAAGCTAGTAATCATCAGGTCTATCAGCTGTGAAAGTTGCATCTTGATATCTTGAGAAATGGCTGCGTGGTGAGAAGGGTCAATGAGATTTCCTGCAATTCCCATACAAATGGCCATGTCCCAGATTTATTTTATGTCCCAAATTTCTGCCACCCTCGAGTACCAAGCGCATGGTATGTATCACCTGCCAAGGGCTGCCCCTGAGACGAACGCATGGAATCGTCGCAAGACTATCGGTCGCCGCTTACCTTCCCCTTTTTCTTGTGAAGCATTGTTATTCATGACTGGTCGTCAAGCATGCCACGAGAGAAACCCCACGCACAATGCAACGCGACTAGCTGACCGAAGGTTCGAACTTCGATGATCGGCTCAATTGAACGGCTGGTATCGTGGCAGGAAGTAAGGAGACATTGATCGGTGAAAATAACGGACAGATTGGAAGTACCAAATGTCATATCTGGCTATGATTATGGAAATGGACGAGGGATGAAGGTGACAAACCGAGATCATCAACGCGACAAGACGACAGTTGCACAGCATGCGGGGTTACCCTTGCTTATAAGAGTAATATGATGATTGATTGTCAAGAAGTTACTCTGGCGGAGTGGTTAACGCGCTGCCTTTTTTGCTTGGCGCGTAGGTTCGAATCCTACAGGTGACATTCTTTTTTCCCTTTTATTTTCATGGACATGATCTCTTTTGTGCCATTTCTTCTCGTGATGATCCTTTTCATCCTTTTTGACTTTTTTTAAGGAAGCGAGGGTTCAGTTCTTGTAAAGTTGAGATGCAAGGTATATACGCGTGTGTATAGGTCTTCGTAGAAGTTATCACCGAGTGGCCAAATTCATAATCTTGAAACCTTCGTGGAAACATATCTTTAAACTTTTTGTTTCAAATACAACCATATTCCCGTAGGGAACTGTGAAATCAAAGCCCATGACATCTCCATTTTCCTAACCATCAATCAAGAGATTTTTCTAGTATCCGGTCTGTCAACTAGCTACCAGCATCTCTTACCAACCATTCCTGTGATGACTACTCAACCAAAGAACTAACATCAGAGCCTACGCAACAAGCACATGGCAAGGCACCAAAAGACAATGACCCTCTTCCTTGAAAGAACCATGGACGACCACACAACTAACAAGTCGACATTTTTCATGCCTGTTTGCACATGCTTTCAATCCCAGCCAGTGAGACACCACGTTGTCCAGGGCACAACAGATCGCAACACACGGACCGGACCGTTCGGCACGGAGCACGGGAGGACCGGTCACGGCCGGACAGCAAAAGCACCCGGACGCCGTGCCGATGTGCTGGTGAAGAGAGCACAACGAGCACGGAGAGGCCGGGGGCCATGATGGACGCACCGACCCGACATGACAGGACCGACGGAAACATGCCTCGAATGAACCTCATGGGCATCGCTTCAGTTCGTGTGCCAATGCCAACAAACGCGAGCACAACCTCAAATCACAGCACATCGTAGTAGAAGCAAAACATCAAAATCATATCCTATCTAAAAAGGGGAAACATGGGATGTCAAAATGTCGAAGCCAAACGGGATCGCGTATTCATCGCGGAGCCTTGAATTTCTGAAAAAAAAAACAAAGCAACGCATTCATAGCAATTCTTGAGACTCTCAGTTTTAATCTCCCCGGTTAATACAACCCAACGACTGTCTGAAACAGTAAAATTCGTCATTGGGCCTATATTCTGCGTCCCCGGGTGCAACTTTCTGAAGAGAAAAAAAGGAGAAAAAAAGTTCTAAAAATGGGGGTGGGGAGGGAAGGCTTAAATAGTCTTTTCCGGGTACAGTTGGTGCGGTGGTGCACAGGGCAGGCGTTTCTCCACTTGGAATTTCATGCCATGCACGATCCGACGGCAAGTGAGCGGCAACTGCTTGCTACCCCTGAGGTTCCAGGGTTAGGGGTTATTGTAGCAGTCCCCTCGGGACAGGATGTGTGGACAGCTCTGATGACACCTCCATTGAACATCACGGTGTACACTTGTGATAAGGATAATGACATACTTTGAAGAGATCGTTCCCATCTATGTAGATACTTTTTAAGTTGAACTCCGTTACCAAACAGACAAACAAAAACAGACATGATATCTCAAACTCTGAAATCCCGGGGCAGTGTCCTCGCAAGGCTATCTAATCTGACAAGATAAAACCGACAAACACTCAGACTTTAGTTCCTTCCCCTTCCACCCTTACTGACACCTCCACGCATCGGTCCACCTGTCCTCCTACCCTCGCCCAAAGTTCTCCTTCCCTGATCGTTGCCTCCGCGACCACCGCCACGGCTAAAGCCACCACGACCAGGGCCACCTCTCCTGTCACCACCACCACCTCTCCTGTCACCACCACCACCTCGTCCACCACCGAAGCCACCACGGCCACGGCCACCACCACCACCGCCGCCGCGTCCACCACCGAAGCCGCGTCCACCGCCACGACCACCACCACGGCCACCGCCGCGCATGTTTTGCTTGATCTCCTTGGCTGTGTTATCATCGATGTCCATACCATCATCCTCGTCGTCGCTATCGTCGTTTTTCCTGCCCTTGCTGGAGAACTTAAGCTTGCCGCGGAGACCCCTCTTGGGCGCATCCTTGCCCTTGAGCGCCGCCACATAGGCACCAACGCCGTCCTCGTCGTCGTTGCCGCCCTTGGGCACGTCGACCTCCATCATGTCGCCGTCCTCGCCCAATATGAGCTTTCCGTCCATGTCCGTCTTGGCCTTGGACTTGGTAGTGTGCCTCTTGAGCTTGGTCGGCTTGGTAGAAGAGATGTTGGCGAGGGCGTTGCGGTCGAGCAGATCCAGAGGCTCGTTCTCGTCCTCCAGAATATACGTGTTGCCGCCCTTCTGCTGTGACTGTCCTCCCTTCTTGCTGCGCTTGCCCGTCATCTCGGCGTCCGAGTCGTCGGACTGCTCCGACTCGTTGTCGTCGTCGCTGCTGTAAAGGGCGTGGTCGTACTCGCTCTCGAACCGGCTGGCCTTCCTGCCGCCGGCCTCGTCGTCCGAACCCTCACCAGCCTCCTTGCCGGCCTCCTTTCTCCTCTTCGCGCGCTCCTTGGTCTTGCGGATGTTGACAATCAACTTCCTGTCATCCTCGGGGCAGTACTTGCTAACAGCCTCAAAGCCAAAGCGCCGGATCATGCGCTCGATGATGTGCTTGACCTTGGAGCGGAAATGACCCTTGTGCTCGTGACTCCAAACCATGACGTTGGGAATGAGTGTGGGGAGGCGGGGCGTCATCATCTCGGTGGGCAGGCTGATGATGCAAACCTTGACGAAGCCAAGAACGCTCTTCACGATCTCGCGGTTGTTGGAGGTAAGGAAGAGGTCCATGGTCTGGACAAGGTCGGACAAGGTTTCCTTACTGACGGTCTCTCGGAACTCGTAAAGGACGCGGGTAATGGCAGTGATAGAGGCCGAAATCATGTGAGGGGTGCTGCCAGCCAAACCGGCGCTGACCATGGTGAAGAACTCCTCAATAGAGGCGGTAGCCGCAGGAGCATCCGCGGGCATGTGGGGGACCTTGCTGTTATCGATCAAGGAGCCCTGAGCAAGAGCCATCTTCTGACCAAGGAGAACTAGAAGGTCGAAGGCGGTAGTGCGAGCCTTCTCGTTGTTCTCCTTGCAGCCAATGACAACCTCCGAAAGGATGGAGGGGATGAAGTGCAGGGAATCGTTGGGGATGAAGTGAATCAGAGCAGCAATGGCAGCCAGGCGCTCTCTCCGGGCAGGTGCCGACACCTTCTCGGAGCTGGACAGGAACAGAGTCTGGAGCTCACCATGTCTCTCCTCGAGGGCGGCCTTGCCGATGGGGGAATCCGCCAAGCGAGGAATGAGCTTGTAAGCCTTCTTCTGCAGCTGAGGGTCATCATCCTTGAAGATGACCACCGAAGCGATCTTGAAAAGGGCCTCAAAGCTGTCACGGGGGAGGTAGATAGACATGGTAACGACCAGATCCATGAGAGTGTGCGCGGCAGAGGGCATGTGATCGGCCTTCTGCTGTTGCTGGGGCTTCTTCTCGATAACCTCTTGAAGAGCCTCGGCGAGCTTCTCGCACACCATGTTAAATGTCTCGGTAAGGCGCGCGGGGGGGATGATGCTGAGGTAGGCGTTGATGGTCTGGAGGACAGGGCCGCGCTTCTGGGGAAGAGTGGTGCTGTAAACATTGAAGAGAACAGCGAGGAAGTCGGCCGCAAAGGTGGTTCCGAGGTACTCCAAGTTCTTCTGCGCCTGCTCCTTGCTGACCCTGCCGAGGAGGATAAGGTCATCGACCTCATCGGAAGTGGCGATGGCCTGGTTGGATTCAACAACGGTTCTGAGGGCGCGGCAGATATCCAAGCGCAGGTCAACCTGCTCATACAAAAGGTTGGTCAACATCTCAGCAAAGCCAGTGTCGAAGGCCTCAACAAGATCAAGGGGAAGGTCGCAGTAGCCGGGAAGAATCGACCAAATCTGCTGAACAACAGTCTCGAAGATCTTGATGTGAATGTTCTTCTCGCCCTGGTGCTCAATCACACGCTGGAACATGATAGCACTGAGGGGAACCAATTCGCTCTTGAAGTGCGCCAGGTTGGTGTTAGAGGTGTAGTCACGGAGAAGAGGAAGCATCCAGGCTCTGCCAGGCTGACCCTTGACGGGCTTCGCGAGGTTCAGGGGAAGCACATTCAGGACCGCCTCAGGACCCATTGCACGAATCGCCTTGCCAAGGACCTCGTCGGCTTCCTGCTTTCCAGCGAAAGAATCGTTGCCGCGCATTTCGCCGATGCTCTTGACGACGGAAAGGAGGTAAGGGTTAGCCTGCCACCGAAAGGCATCGAACATGGCACCAAGGACGTTGAAAGTCTCCATCCAGGCAGCTTGGTACTGAACTGTGAGAAGGCCCTCGACGACCTTGACTAGTTGCTGAATAACCTTCTCGTCAAAAATCGAAGGCTCAAGGACGGCCTCCTTGGGAACACAGTTAGCCAGAAAGGAAACCAAGCACTCGGACGCCGAAACGCGAATGTTCTTGTGCTGAGACTCGAGGTATCCGGAGACCAGAGTGAAAGGGTCGACCAGCTCCTGGAAGGTCTCGGCGGGCGAAATCTGACCCGCAACATCGTAGGCTCTCGACAGAATGGCGATCCAGGGAGGGAGGAGCTGGGTATCGTTGGGCGCGGGACGAAGTTCCCTGATAATCTCGAGCAACCGGGGAAGCTTGGCGGAGGCAACCTCGTCGGTGGCCATGCCCTCGAACATCATCTCGAAGATCTCGAAGACAGCCATGCTCATGTGCTCGTTGCCGGTCCGGGCAATGCTAAGGAGAAGCTCGCACAGAGACTCGATGCTCTTGCTGGGCCAACCACCGCTTCCAGACGCGACAGCCTTGACGAGTTGCAAGGCGTGGATGAGCTCGGGATCGAAAGTAGAGTCGGTAGTCTTCTTCTCCTTCCTCTGGGCGGCGGCCTTGTCGGCGACAAGACGGAGGCTCTGCATGGCGGTCTCGGCGCACATGGGGGCGGCGGGATGGTCGAGAGAAGGGCTCGGGGGAGGGTTCTTCAAGATGTTCCTAAGCGCTTCCTGGGCTCTCTTGCGGACCTTGGGACGCGGGTCAAGGGCAAGGGCGAGGAGGCCGGCGACAGCCCGGCGGGGGCCGATCTGGGCGGTACCGAGCTCCCATTGTGTCGCATCTTGAGCAAGGAGCAAGCTCTCGAGGGAGCCGATCGAGGCCCTCATAAGGGGAGCATCGGCATCGGGGAGGGATAGTACTGGCGCTAGGATGGTGATGATCTGGGTGAACTTGGCCTGCAGGATAGGCTTCGGGGCGAAGGGGGTGACGACATCGAGGAGGTAGACGACGGGGGTCGCGAGGTTCTCGTTGTTGAGTAGACTGAGAAGGGCGGCGAAGTAGGCGGTAGGAGTCGCGGGTGTGTTGCGCTCCTTGAAGGTGGCCTCGATAGCCTCGAGGACACTGGCAGTCTGTGACTACAGTCAGGGTCCATGTCCACGATGGAAGGTTATGCGACAGGCCATTGCAATAGCACGCTGGGGAGAAGAGAGTAGGGATACAGAAGACGAAAGATAGAAAGAGGAGAGATGCATCATGACTCTGACTTACCTGTTTTTGGCTCTGGAGATTCGGAGACCGAATCTTGTCCAGTTTCTCCTGCAAAGACGGAGAAGTGGAAGCCATCTTGAATGTGATGAATGGCGCTGGAGTGGGACAATGCAAGCCGCTTCGCAGTGCTGAGATGCCATGAAGAACAGAAAAGTTAGAAAAGTTGTCGCTTATCGGCGCGCACGCCCCACCCGTGTCATTGATAAGGGTCATGGCACTAGTCCGAAACCGATCCCGACTGTAACTCCAGGGTTAGCTATGGCATCTCAGGTTCATATGTATCGCTTGGGCAGCCATTAAGGTAATACCTACAATACTGATGTTGATTTGTATGAATAACGCATACCAACTAGGAACAAGTTTCTATTGCTTTAAGCCTATTTCACTCCCAGACGACAGGTTTGATTCCGTCTTCAGTAAATCGCCAAATTGTCGATGACCGCAATAACAATATGAGGGGTTCATCCCCATCCCAACCAGAAAACGCCGATACGAAAAAGAAAACCAAGAATCGATAAATGGTTGTATATCATACGTTCCTCCACCCCGTTTATGAGAACTCGCTGTCCGCCTCCTCAAAGTTATTCTTGATCTGGAGAAGAACGGCCGCCTTCCAGTCATCGAGCCGGCTCATCTTATCGTACGCAGCCAGCTTGTCCTGGAACATCTCGAGGTTGTTGTTCGAGGCAGCTTCCAACAAGTCAACTAGGAGTTGGTATTCGCGCTGGCCCGTAAATGATGGGTCCTTCTCGGCATACTTGGCGATGTTGCGCTGGGCAGTGACCATATCCTTGGTCGCCAAGGAGCAGAGACCGGCCTTGAGGAAGTACTCCTTGACCGAGTACCTCATCAGGTTGCTGCCGAGTGACGCCTCCGCGACCTTCTCGAACTTCTCAATCGCGCCGAAATAGTCGCCCGCGACGGCAGAGAGATCGGCTACCTTGAGCCACAGCTTGTTCGCAAGACTAGAAACAGTCGGTTAGACAATCCAGAATGAGGAGTCGTCGGGCTCGCAACATAGTGCAAAAGCCGTGGGCATGAGATCACTTACGCGACAGCACCGTCGTTCTCATACCACTCAGCCGCGGTCGTATAGGCCTTGATAGCCTCCGGCTTATTCTGCAGCTCGTTCTCGTAGACCTCAGCCTGGTTTTCCTTGTGCGACGCAGCTCTCCGGAAGTTGCCCGCCATAGTATACTGCTTGATGGCAACCTCGACGCAGCGCACAGCGTTATCTGGGGCATCTTTCCTATAGACCTTGAAGGCGTCCAACATGGCGTTCGCCGCATCGTTGGGCTCCTTCAACTTCTCAGTGTAGATCTTGGCAGCTTCCTCGAAACACTTGCCGGCTTCGGTGTCTGGGTAGTGGAAGATTGTCAGAACTTGTCGCCAGCTCTACATGGCCCAGAAGCGCATCGTGGGTATGTATGATCGTGATAACGTACTCGACTTCTGCAACCTGAAAGCGTTGGCCGCCTGTATGTACTGATCCGCCGCATTCTGGTACTTGTCTTCCTTGTTTCCGAAGAGGCCCCAGCCCTTGGAAGCGCTCGCAAGAGTCTTCTCTGCCTGGTGTTCGCATTTGGCATCAGCAAGGCGTCCTTTGTCGCGAAAGTGTCAGGAGGTGTAAGGAGGGGTGGGTGGCTTTCTAACCTCTTGCTGGAGTACGCGCGGATCGACAGCCATGGTGGGCAAGTTATGGGATGGTATATATCGATGGGCAAGTCTGTAAGTTGGTGTCGCGTTCGCTGTATGATGCGGTTGATAGGTGTCTCAAATGCTCGGAATCAGGCGCACTCAAAGAAGCTGAGGTGTTGGTTGGGGATGGTGTCGTGTTCGTGGTTGCAGGAGGTGTTTCGTTGTCTCCCGGGGTATGCGGGATGGGATTGGGGGGTCGGGGAGTTGGCGTATGAGGGGATGACTTTAGCGGGCTGTGATCGCTGATGGCTCGCCATGGCTTTTGACGCCTGAACGTGAGGTGTTCCCTGCGGGCAGGTTGTGGGGTGACCAAGTGGACCACTAACATGTGTGAGACAGGGGTCGAGCCTTCAGCCAAAGCTCAGCTATGACGCCTGGACGCCCAGCAGGTAGAATACTTCGCAAATGTCACTCTTTCATCTCACTCAACCTCAGATATCGCGACTTTTTACAGAGCCTCACCTGAACTCACCATCAAAGAGCCCCCAAGCCGCATCATATATCCGAAACTTCACACCACAAGTTAACATCTTCTTTCAACTCTACCACCACGATCACAGAGGCATTTTCTTCCCGTCAAGGTCAACATGACAACAAAAACCCTCTGCCGCGCCTGCCACCGCGCGGCTCGCACAACCACAACCTCCATCTCAGCCCGCTCAACCCGTGGCCTCTCCCAACCATTCACAACCGAAACCTTCCCTCAATCCACCGCCCGTGGCGGCTCATCCAAACTCCCTCCACCACCGCAACTTGACCCATCAGCCATCCTCTCCACGCCAACTTGGTCCGTCCGCTCTCTTCTCCCCCCATCAAGACCAACATCATCAACACCATCATCAACCCAACCCGAAGAAAGCGAAATAACCCCTCAAACCCTCACGCACCTCTCCCGTCTCTCTGCCCTGCCCCCTCCCTCCGCCTCCGACCCCTCCTCCACCGCCCGCCTCCTCTCAGCTCTACACTCGCACCTGCACTTCGTGCGCTCGATCCAATCGGTGGACACTACGGATCCTTCTTCTCTTGAAGGGCAGGAGCTAGCGCCGTTGAGCTCGATACGGGATGAGTCGCCGGAGGGATTGGCGGAGATCACGATTGATCTGAAGACGCTTGAGGGGGCGCTGGCGGAGGAGGATATTGTTGGTCATTGCAGGCGGCCTAGGAGGAGGAAGGCTGAGGAGCAGCTGACCAAAGAGAAGAAGAAGAATGAGGCTGAGGATTGGGATGTATTGGGGTGTGCTGAGCAAAAGGTTGGGAGATACTTTGTTGTTAGGAGTGGGAAGAAGGTGGAGTAGAATGACTGAAGGGGAAAGTGGTTGAAGTTGGTCTAGCGCCCTTGGTAGGGTAGAAGAGCTGTGGGTTTTGTGGTATGACCATATAGGAGGGCCCTGATCTGCTAACTGATGCCGAGCGTATGGGAAACCTGGAAGATCTGATAAAAGACGGGAAAGGCGTCAGAGCTTGCACGGGGAGTCCTCGAGGCTTTCGAGGAACCACTTCAGGTGCCCGTCTTGCCTATACTCCGAGTTCGAATCTTCCGAGGTGTATTCATGGGACAAGAATCACTCAGTGAGGGAACTATGCTGCTGCGATCCAAGCGACACACTGCAATATTTGTTTACTGTACCATACTAAGTGTGTCCTACCCAGATGATCCACATCGGTCGCCAGAGATTACTCTGGTATAGAAAGCTAACTGAACTGAAGCTAATCCTACAATTATTTAGATAACGTACGAATTTCTGTCTCATTTCTCATGAGCCCTGCGTTACCACCCCCTTGTCGTTGTCATAACATAAAAATTAGCAGGAACTTAGGTCCCAAAAAAAGCCGAAGTTAAACGTTCACCAATCCTCCCCCCTGACGAGTCGAATGCAGCGTTTACCTCTTGTTCTTCTTCCTCATCCGGGTCCTGATAATACCCGGATCGTTTTTCGCAGCTTCCTTCGCCTTGTCAATGATCACAATTCCACGCTCGACGGCGTCCCGCTTCTTCTCGCGCTCTCGCACCCTCTCTTCTGCGGCTACCATGGCTGCCTCGTCTCGGCTGATCCGCTCTTGGTTGATGTCCTCCCAGTTGATGTGCTTTAGGATGCTACCGGCGAGGTACTGGTATCGGAGATGTCCACTGACCTTAGCAGAGACATCAACATTCTCGACACCATCAATACCCTCGATCCGCTGCAAACCTGCGACGCCAAACTGGATGCTGCTCGTCCGATACAAGAAGCCCAACAGGTAGTCGTTCTCAGAAAAGACATTGACAAGCCGGCCAGAGACTACGCTCCTCATGGTACACCAGACACGGGCTTCCGAGGGCGCCGGTGTACCCATCATGACGGCGTTCTCGACAAGGCCGAAAGCTCTGCGCTCCGCCAGGACCATCAGACAGACATAGATCGCACGGGCGCCGAGACTGTAACCGATTAGCGTTACTCCACGCTCTCCGTGGGCTTTGTTCATAATGGCGTCGGCGAGAAGAGCTCCGGCCTTGTCAGCGCGGACCATGCCGACGCTCCAGGGGTTGTCGATAATCTTGTTGATCTTGAGCAAGCCGAGGGGCCAGAGGGATTCCGTCATGCTGGTGAAAACTGGACCATGTTTGTTAGCGCGTCTCGAGAGGTTACACTTTGAGATATTGGAAGGAGGCTCACTGGTCCGAGCAATGATTTCCTTCTTTGCCATGGACCATGCCGAGCTCCTTACGACAGTCTCCAAAGCTGTACCCATCTTCGAGAGCGAGTCCACCTCCCATCGCACAGAGTATACCTCGTTCGCCTGTCCTAAAGCGCGCCAGGGGTTAGTGACGTCCGACTCGTCGGTCAGCCATCCACTAATGGCCAGCACAACTCGGAGACGACGGGCATCTGGCTGGATCTTGCCAATCTCGCCATCTTCGCCAATTGAGCCGCACAGGGGGATGAAAGCGAAGTCCTGTATCTCCTTGGTATACTGCTCCATCAACTTGACTGAAGTTCTGGCGTTATAGATACCGAGCAAAGCGCCGACAACAAAAGCACTCTCGCCCATCGAACCCAAGATGCCGGCAGAAGCAGTGGGTCCAAGCCCGAAGCCTCCATTGACGGATCCGATTCCTGCAGCTACAAGGGGCGGAGCGAGATGGCCAGGTATTCCAAAGCTGCTAGTCCCAGCCATACATGCCAATCCGTGCCTCCATCTCCTGGATGGCTTACCAGCGCACTCCTCGATTCTTTTCTGCATCAGCTCCTCTGGATTGATATCCTTGGCCATCCACGCAATAGCCTTGGCAACGCGGACCTCGTCATCAACGAGGACGCGAAGAGGAAGGTTTAGCGAAGAGGTGATATGGAGCAGCAGCACCCGAGTATATGCGCTGTAATGCTCGAGTGAGAGCAGGAGGAGTAGCAGAGCGTGAAGCACCAGCAATCTTTTCTCTAGAGGCCAGTAGCAGAGTGTCGACGGGACCGGCGGGTAGAGCTGCATCAGGACAGGGTCGGACTCAATGCTGGAGGTTGTAACTCCTGTCATGGAATTAGCAGCCGTCACACTATCTCTATATATGTGCCCCTGGTCACTAGGTGGAGTAAGTACTCACCGTTAGGCCTGTTCCTGCCTCGCCTGTTGTTCGGTATCGCGGAGTTGAAGTTGGCATCTCCAGCCCGCTTGACAGAGATGTCACCCACTCTCTTATGTACCGCTGTCTGCCATTTCTTGAAGTGCAGCATGGCTTCCTTTTTCAATTCCTGAAGGTAGGGCCCGATTGTCTTGTCATTGTCCTGTTCAGGGGCGCGTTGAATATTCAGATTAGATGGGTTAGCTGGCTGCAGTGCAGCACCCGTGTTGTTTTTGTTGTCTCGAGGCATGTTTCCATTTTCCTTTTGGCTCCTCGAGGTCTTACCCTTAGTGCGCTTCTTGGGGTTCTGGGGCTGCGTCTCCACGGGGGGAGGCTTGGTGATGCTGAAATCACGCAAGTGGGCTGGTAGTCCGCTCCAGAACTTGTTACGAACCGGGGGAGCGTCATCGACCAGACCGGCTGAGTCGTAAACATGGGTAAAGTGCTTCTGCATAACATCGGTGGTTCTGGTAATGAGTGAGGTTAAGTCGTTCCTCTCCTGGGGTGACAGTAGAGTGCTGAAGTCAGCCTCCCGCTTCGGGGGAATATGTCTTGGTCTGCCGCCGGGAGGCATATCCGCGGTGTTACTGTCGTCAGAAGCTGTGTGGGAGAGGGTCGGTGAAGTTGGTGATGCTGCTTCGGCGGCGTCCTTGGGAGAAGGCAAGCCGGGAGGGATTGGGTTACAAGTCTTGAGGCCTAAGGCCTTTGGATAGCGCACCGCTGGCGCGGGAGCTTCCTTAAGTGCCGCCATGATCAATTGAGGAAGGCGACAAGGCGCGTTGCTTGCTCCTTCTGTTGTTCTTTCTGACACCTCAGTCACTGCCTTGGGGTGGATGGGTTACAGTAGAGATAATTGCCTTGACCAATTGATACAGCGCAGTAAGTGTACTTGTCGCTGTGGTTGGCGAAGAGACGGAACGGATGAGTGTATCGTTTCGTCAGGATGGAGTCTGCGTAATTGCAATTGGAAGGAGTGCGCAATGGGTGATTGCCAGTTGAGTGTGGAATGAGTCCAGTCGTCTTGCTGGGTTGGTCTGGCAGATCTTGTGACAGGTGGCTTCCCAAACTGTTGAGTTCGCTCTCAGATTATGCTTCCCCGCTAGGAAAGATAGAGGGAAAGAGCGATGGTCATTCTGTCTCTGGAATTGTTTGCTGTCTTGGGGGCAGGCAGTTGTACTGCGGTACCACGATGCTGTTCGCTTAGGTTGACCTTGACGTCACAGGAGCCAGCCAGACTGTCACGGGGCCACGAAAGAGTGTCGTTCCTGCGCTTTTTAAACTTAGAGGGCCAGGCACGGGTGTGTCGAATATTCCAGGCCGGAGTTGCGAATATTAGGACTAGAGAATGCGGTCGCGCCAGGCGGTGTGGAGAGGAAACAGACAGAGGAAGGAAGAAAGGCCGAGAGGTCGGGCGTTGTTGTAGACAAAGTATGGGAAAGGGTCCTGGTCCCAGCCGGGGGCGGGGATGCAAGGTGGGTGGTTGCAGAAGGGATATACAGATATCCGTTGGTCGGGAAGGAAGCTGGGGATCGTGAACGTGGACGGGGAGAAAGAGCAGAAAAGGGCAGAGAAACCTGAGGCAGTCCACGCAGTGAAGGGCAGTTCAGTTAAGGGCAGGCAAAGGCAGGAACCCGGTGGAAGCTGGGAGTGTTTTACGGGTGGGCCGATTGCCGGAAGCGTTGCCAACAGCAAAAGGACGGCAATGAGGACCAGTGATGTTTGGCAAGCATCGAAACTCCCGTTGTGCGACGCGGGAGAGGCGGGGTGTTTGGTGGTGTTGGTCTTCTGAGGCAGCACAACATTCAAAGAGGTTCACAAGCTCAAGGATCACGGATATAATATGCTTCCATTGTGCTGCCACGCCAGCTGCTGAACACGAACATCCAAGTGGCATAGATGGGGTGAAGGGTTCGCAAGGTTCACTTTAGGCTGCAGTGGGCTGGACCGGCACCGCTTTCTGTTGTTGACTTCCTAGAACACGCAAGCCTAGCCGCTTGAACAAGGCAACGCACCGCGGAGGTGAGGACTAACAGAGCAAGCCATGATGGATATAAAAAGGACGTTAACGAATATGTGCTACCCTTTGGTACGGCCTCACGATTCAACATCCAAACCACCCATCCTCATTCTTTGATATGTAAACAGACGCAATTTCCCGAAGACCAACGAAAACTTTAATGGCCCAACACGCACATGGAAAGGATATACCATGGATATATGGATATCCAACAAACTGTTTTGTTTGTTTGCAGTGGTCCCTTCCCGATAATACAATGAGGCTCAATTCAGGGGTGTTGTTGGAACTTTGGTTCAGGGTTAAAGCAGTAACCTGCCATCCGGGTTGTGTGAGAGAGAACCGAACATTGCGGACGCTTGCGCCTAGGCTGCCAGGGGGCCCCTGTCAATCTTGCTCTCCGGCTTCCTTCCCGCAGGCGATCTTCGCCCCACCTTTGATTGGCTGCCCTGCATTGTCTGCATCCATTCTGTTGGTCTTGGCGAAGGAATGTGGAAGATGGAATGACGAAGGGGTGTGAGGAAAAAGGCGCCAAAACCGAAAACCTTCATGCGGCCGCGATCCCTCCGTCATCATAGGCTTAAGTTGCTCTAACGGCCATCAACCACACACACACCGCGGCGTGTTAACACTGAATGCACACACCTATACACCCACACACCTTCCAGTCCGTCTTCAGCCTATTCGAAGTCTAGAAGGTACTACAATCTGCCGACCAATACCCTTTGCGCGACACACAGGCCAAGGGAGACGGGCCGAGAGCCATCAGATCAGGAACCCCGCGACAAGAGTCACATAAATTTTCCAGTTCCTGCCAGGCACGCTCCTCGTCAGCAGCGGCGATCACCAAGTTTCCCAAGACTCAGACCGCAATTGTTGTCGCATCAGAAGGCATTCAAACGACGATCACCTAACTCCTTTCTCGGACAGATCACACCACCCTTGAAACCGCGCCTTTGTCAAAAAGAAGCGCTGCTGGAACCTCTTCTTCGAAACCCAACATCCTCTGTGACTACACTACCTACTAGCTAGATACAACTACCTTCTCGAAAACAAACTCGTCCGAAGAAAACACCAAACTCACACAGAAACAATCACAATGGCCTCCGTCGCCCAACGGCAAGCGCAGCCTGCGCAACCATCCACCAGCCAAACCGCTGCCCCAACCCAAACCCGAACCGAGACCTCCGCCCCGGCCATCTTGCGACTACGCGGTGCACACTCGAACGGGCGATCAGTACAATGGCGTAGCGATGTCGTTGACAACGAAGGTCTCGGCAGGAAGAAGTCCAAAGGTTAGTTGGTTTGAGTTTTGCTCCTGCTCCCCCTCACCTGCTCTGTGCGCAAGCATACATACATACAAACATACACACTCTTGCAAGTACATCGGCTGATATAACCGGCGTGCCATAACAAATAGTCTGCTGTATCTACCACAGACCAAAAGGCGTAGACGAGTCCAGCGACGATTCCTCTTCCTCTTCCGACTCCTCATCCTCTGACTCCGATTCCGACTCGGACTCGGAACCTGATCAAGATAAACGAATTAGATCCGGCGGCGGCGGTGGTGGTAGGGGCCACCACGGGCATTCCCACAATCATGATCACGATCACGGAGATGGTAACGGTTGTAATCACGACCATGGTGGTGGGCGCGAGAGGAAACATGGCGGCGATAAAGGGAAAAAGAGGGAGAGGAGACCGAGCCCGAATGCGTATGAGAAGATGCCCAAGTATAAGCCGAAGGATGGAGGGGCTGGGCCTTCGAATCCACCACCTCAGGGACCGGCGGGGAGTAAATAAATGAGAGACTACCCAGGGACGTGCGGTTTGACGTCGGATACCTTTTAGGATTTGATGCGGGGAAAATGATACACAATACGGAATATTGTTTATAGGCGGATACTTAGATACCACGGGAAGGACGGAGAATGTTATCACGGCGGCTGGGTTGCCTCGATTTTGGTTTTTGAAGCCGCAAAGACAATGGATATGTACTGCTTCTTGTTAGAAATTACCCCTTCGCTGCGCGTTTTGGCTGAAGACATTGAACTTCGCGATTTTGATAGCGGTTGATATACACATGCATCTCACTACAACAGCCTCAGATATTGAAGACATTCAGCAATGCACAAGTTTTGCCGCTAGATTCTAACCACCATTGCCCGCCGATACATAGGCGACTTTCCCTATCATATGTACCAGCTATACAGAGCTTCCCAATGCTCAAGATCGTACAAGAAATCTAACCATCCATGTAAAGAAAACCCTCCAGACCTTTTTAGTTCACAGCGCCAGACGCCACTCAACGTTATCCCACTAGTGCAACAGCCAAGTCTGAGTCTGCTCCTTTTCACCCTCGGCAGCCCAAGTAACCCTCAAGTTCAATCCACGCTCGTGGTTCTCGGCGGTGATGTACTCAATCTCGCCCGCAATCTTCTTGCCCGGAGCCGGCTTCGTCTCCTTGACCTTGTTCTTGTCCAGAAGCATCAGGCCCTGTCTCCAGTGAGTAGGCTCACCGAACGGTCCGGTAGTAAACGCCACCCGGGCGTCCTTGTCGCCGCCCTTGCCGGCTGTCTCAGCAACCCACTCCTGCGCCTTGGTGTCCAGCTTGATGGACTCGTCGACGCGGTCGCGCGCGAAGAAGACGTCCCACCAGACGAGGAAGCCGTCGTGGCTCTCGGCCTTCTCCGAGAAGGCGCTCTGCCACTTGGCCGTGAACACAAGGTCCTCGACCTTGACGGTGTGGAAGTCCAGCAGGCCGAAGGAGGCGGGCGTGCCGCACACGGTCTCGGCGGGGCGCACCTCCATCCGGCAGTCCTCGTAGATGCCCTTCTGCATCACCTTCATGTCGAAGCCGTACACGTCGCGCCAGAAGTCGACGTACTCGGCAATGTACTCCTGCTCCGACACGGGCGCGATCCACATGTTGCCGTGGCTGGGGACCAGCAGACCTTGGGGGGCAAGGTACTTGTCGCGCGCCCAGAGAACGCTGTTCAGCATGGCCTCGTACAAAAGGCAGTAGCCCATCCACTCGGACACGATGATGTCGACCTTGTCGACGGGGAGGATCACCTCCTCGATGCGGCCCTTGAGGGTGACGATCACGTCCGAGAGGCCGTTGGCGTAGATGTTCTCGCGCGCCTTGTCGATGATCTCGGAGCGGTCGACGGCGATGACCTGCTTCGCGCCCGCCTTGGCGCAGAACATGGACAGGATGCCCGTGCCGCAGCCGATGTCGAGCACGACCTTGCCGGCGAAAAGGTCCTTGTTCTGATAGATGAAGTCGCGGTAGGCTTCGGTGCGGACCGTGTCCTTGAGCATGGTCTCGTGGATGTCGTTGTGCGCGTACGACTCGAAGTAGTAGTCCGAAGCACCCTCCTTGGCGGCAGGACCCTCGGGGGCCGGGCCTGAAGGCGCAGCAGCAGCGGCGGCGGCCTTGCCCTTGGCGGCATCCTTGTCGTCGTCATCAGCCTGCCAGCGCTGATCGAGCGTCTGCTGTACGGCAAGACGGTAGTTGGAGAACTGCTTGGACAGCTGCTCAAGCTGAGCCTGGAGCTCGGCGTTCTTCTGGATCAACTCATCCACAGCAGGCGCATCCGCGCCCTTTTCGGTGCCGGCAGCGGAAGCCTCAGCGCCGGTACCGCTGGACTCAGGGAGATCATCCAGGCACAAAATCAAGGCGTCATCATCAAGGACGGGCTTGAGGTAGCGGTCATCCTCCAGATCGGCGGCAGTGATCTCAGTGGGAAGAGGGACGCCTTCGTGGACCTTGGAACGGACTAATTTGTTGTCAGTAGATTGACTATCTAGCTTGTGAAATTTAGAGACATACTGAAGTTGATAAGCTTGATCAAGCCGTAAAAGTCCAAGTTGAGACGGTCGCGAATGGCAAGGAAATCAAGACCCTTTTCCTTGCAGGAGTTCAGCATGGAGACAACGTCGGGGAAGACATGGTCGTCGAGCAAGGAGATGATGGCAGGGGCCTCCTCCTGCTCCTCGTCCTGGTCGAGCCACTCATCCTCGTCGCCAGAAGAAGACGAGGCATCAGAGCCGGAGTCAGAGCCGGAGCTGTAGTTGTCACGACGGGGTTCAGACTGAGCCGCCGAGGTGGACGCTTGAGCTGCCATGATGGGTGGTTGGCCTCGAGGTACTTGGCTTTGACCAGTAAATAGGGGAAGTAAAAACAATCAAGACCACAACAAGGAATGTGGATTCTTGAAAGTTCGTTGTTGGGTTGTTGATGCCTAGCTGGTCGTCAAGGTGCGCAGGCTTTGAAAAAAATCAGAAATTTCCACTTCTGTATCAGGTTGGCTGCAGTTGCAGCGTCCAAAATTGCGGGGAAGCACATGCTGATAACGAACGCTTGTTCGAACATTACGTGCGAAAGGAATTTTTCATTATTTCATATATATCTGCAATAGTTCACATTCTCTTCTTTTCCACTTACTTCTTGGACATTATGCTAGGTGCAGCAGTGGTGTAGTTATTGTTCTAGGGGTCGAGCTTCTCTGTGGCCGTTAGCAGGATTGTGTCGTTCTCCAACAAACAACCCCAAAGGCCAGCCCCTTTCCCAGCTTCAAGGTCCAGTTGCCTTGGCAACCAAGCTTTCTAGGAAAACGAATAAGACGGAAGTGTTTGATCCAATCCGCCCTTTATCTTGGTCATGTATTTATAGTGACAATGTATAGTACTTTCTAGCAGCCCACCGCTCTATGTGCTCCTACTGCTCCCTTGCCCATCGTGCTAGCAACTTTGTTACCCCCAAACAACGCCGGTAACTCCTATACATAACCCAGTAGACAAACTCAAGTATTCAATGGCAGATAGAAAAGAGACAGGAGACCGAATGAACAGCCCTTAAGCAAGATTCCAACCCAAAACATGAAGACCAAGCAAGCAAACTGCCCTGAATCCAAATCATAACCAAACCTCACGTATCATTTGCTCACAGTCGGACGCTCGCCCCTATTCCCCTTCCGATATACCACAGCGTCTCTGTCCAGGACCCAATTCTCACTGCGACAGTAGCTTTGGCATCAAGCTTCAGCCTACCACCAAATGCCTCCTTCACCTTATCACGTCCAACCGAGTCCAGAGACCAGTCCACCGGCAACCTAGGCGTGGTGGACACCCCTGGAGGGCAGCCAAACGGCGAATCGTACTTGATCCGTCCAATTTCCTCCGTGTGATTGTACAAGGCCGTAGCATTGATGTGTTCGATATATATCGTATTTCGTGAGAAGGGCGAAGCTAATGTAAAAGTTGCCGTCGAGGAAAATATGTGAAAGGTCGCGCCCCGAATAAAGTGAGGAGCCGTGTCATTGGTGCTGCCGTCACCATCGTGTCGTCCACCGTCATTGTCGCCAGGCACGCTAAGCCTAGGCATTGGGAGAGTGAAGTTGAATTTTGACAGGGCTTTACCCAGCTCCGGCTTTGATGGGATAGTGCCCGGATGTGTCCTAAGCGTCACGGTTGTGTTGTAGCCGGATATGTACTGCGAAATCAGATCCCGGCCTATTTGCACCCCATCTTCTCCGGCCACAGAAGGCCTCCATATTGCCGTCACTTTCAAGTTTGTGTTGTTTCCACGGTTGATGGTCAATTTCTTTGCGCGCGCCTCGCCGAGAACAGTTCCGTTGTTCAGGATGTAGATGCTAATCCAAGGAATGTAGGCCGAGTATGGCGTAGGGTTAGTTACGTTGACTGAGGCCTGGAGAGATATCGAGACAGGACTAGTATCGACAACTTCCAGGTTCCCAACTTGAGGCTGCATAGAGCCGAGAAGATCGTTTCCAAGGGCTAGTGAAGGAGCGAGACGTTAGTTTTCTGAAATGTCCATGGAGTATGCGTAAGCGAATGGTGGATAGCATCAGCAAGGGATGCGTTTCCGCCAACAGCAGCAAGGTGACTGACAGAATATCATTAGAAAAGAGACGGACGTTTGAGCGGAATTCTGCCCTCCGCGGGGACACCCTTCACCACAAATTGTCCAAGAATTGTATGTACGCCAACGTCGACAAGAGCGCTAATGTCGAGAATGACATTGACGTCACCAAATAGGAGGGCCTGAATAACGTCGGTTAAAACATCGTCGTCGGTAACCTTGAGCGGTGTATCGTGGACGCGTGATGTGATCTCAATCAAGTTCTCTTCGCCAGGACCGCCTTCGATTTGAATGGAGCTGGCTTTCTCATCAATTTCCAGTTCGCCAAGCTTCCTAGAGTCATAAAACACATCCGCCTTGGCTTGTACACTGGAGACGTTCAAGCCAATATTCAGTTCAGATGGGAGGGCTGCCAAGGCAACGATAGTGCCCGATACTTTGGGGTTCGAATCGGGGTCATCGGGATCTGCCAGCGGGTCTGGCAAGGAGAATGATACGTCCGTCAAAGAGAAGTTACGAATCAAGTCGTCAAAGGATCGCTGCGGAAGAGGTACGGGGACCGTAACACTGGAGATAATATCTCCTATCCAGCCGGGGGCCTCTCCACCTTGATCTTTCTGACCTCGCACAAGAACGGATGCAGGCTGACCCGCAAGGTAGGCTTCAAAGAGCTTGTCCAACGGCGACATGGTTCCACCAGGGCAAGGACGGATAAGGGGTTCTGGCAATTCCTCGACAATGGAATGGGCGGTGACTTCGACATCGGCTTCCGGCCTAAGGGCAATAACATCGGTTACGGCGGTAGCGACAGAAACGGCCGGGCCATGCTTCTTGCATCCCGGAATCAGGATCTCGAACTTGAGCGCGGGTACGTCAAAAGCAACTGGATACGGGTTAAAGGTGGTGACGGTAACGTCGGCTGCCATTCCTTGCTTATCACCGCCGGGTAAGGGTCTCTCTTCAAAATTAAGACCGGTAATGTTGTAGGAGGGGAGCGGGGGCAATTCCTTGCCTACAAATAAACGTATCAGCATGGTATTCAAGGTCATCATGGTGGAAGGACACGACGTCGGGGCATAACAGATGTTTGTTCTCATTTAAAAGAATGACTTCTCGCCAAATAACAATGCTGCGAAGGGACGGTAGAGGGATTGACCTTCAAACTCCATTGTTTCCGAAACAGCGTGTGTTCCCAGGGGAATGTTGAATCTTGTCTTGACCGTGATATCCGTCGTTCCCCGTACACGAATTGTATCCATCTTTCCGCTCAAGAACTGGTTCGCAATGATACGAATGGTATCGGCATCACCAGGAGCCAGATCGGCAACGATGTCAAGCTCAGTATTGTGGCCATTCGCGATGGTAATGGTCAAAGGAGGGAGGCCAGCAGTTCCGAGCAACATGTTGTCGTGATCGATCCAGTAGACCTGGACCCTCGTCTCCTCTGTCGCCAGCTCTTTGGCCAGCCACGTGGTGAACTGGCCGACCCGTCTAACATGGACATTCTTGACACGCTGAGCATCAAGCCGGAAGTTTGCTTGGATGCGCGCGCGGACACCGTCGGTAGTGATAGATTCGAGCGCCAAGTTTGTCGGCTCGATGACGATAGCCTCCTTGGCATATTCCTCAACCGCAGCTGGAACAAAAAAAGCGCCAATAGCGATGGAGGTCGCGAGCACCATCAACAATAGCGCGGCGATAATGGAGGGCCATCGCGTCGACTTTGGTACTCCATCTCCAGAATGAGAAGCCCCAGCGGAGGCCAAAGAAGCTCTGTCTGGATCATCGCGTTCTCCGTTATAGCGTGGCGTTGTATTGGACGTCGAAAGTAGAGGCGTAGATTCGAGTGCTCCGTCGGTTAAGTCGGCCAGCGTCTTGGTGTCCCTACTGCTTGTCGACGCCGCGAGCAGAGGGGACCGCTCGGTTTCGAAGTCGGAAGACGACATGTCGAAAAGATGGTGCTGGATTCGGCACTTTTTCTCTCATGGAATGAAGTGTAAAAGCTGAAATAGGCAATGAGTCGATGAATGGAGAATGGATGGTTCAAAGAACACCTCGTTCGGATCGCGGCAGACGAGCAATGGCAGATCAGAGCTTGGACGCTCCTGCGATGACGACACGGACGAGATAAACGGTCGGGTGTTGGCACTGAGGTAGCTAGGTTACTCAAGGGATGAAACAAACAGATAAACTAAAAGAACATGACGGAAGATATAGTAGGTATCCAAGGGAATGGATGAGATTTAGGATAGAAGAATGGTGTTGTAACAAAGCAGGACGGTTGGTGTTTCATCGAGGTCGAGATTGAGGTTGGGCTTGGATACCTTATCACAATCACGAGCCCTGCACTAACAACACGATGCGTGAGCTGGCACTATTCTACAGGTCGACAGTGCCTCCATGCAGTTAGTGCTGCACCAAAACTGCACCAAAACTAGCGGCTTCTAGTGGGCAGCTGTCCGCAAGGCTGCCCTGAAGCGATTGCTTGGCTCTTGGCACTTTGGCTGCCCTGTGCGTGACCGGGAATGGGTTGATTGGCTCTGCCGTGCCTGCATGGCTCTTTGCTTGACCTCCGGAGCCGGAACACGGAAGGAAACTCACCCTCCCGCGACGGGACCGGTGATGGTTGGATCCAAATTCCACAGTGGATGGATGATGGCACGGCATTGCACGGATGGACTGGACGGAATGAGTGGAGCCGCAACCCCGAACATGGAGAAGCCCAGCCCCGGCCTGCCCAGAGGCCCCAGACATCCCACCGGCATGTCCCGTCGTGGTGTGGAGTGAAGCTCAAGTAACCAGCCATTGAACAGGCTCCAATTCGTCATCCCTGCATGTATCCGTTTTCACGCTAGGGTTCTTATCCGCGACAGGGAGCTGTGACTGGACTGTTTGACTGTGACTGTTGAGGAAGTGAGTGTTGGAGTTGCGGGAGTGTCAGTGTGAGCACCTCCTCCATCATACCTCAACCCCCAAGAAAGCTCCCAAAAAAATAGAAGAGATTGGTACCAGAACCGGTATCGGTCCAGTATAAAAATCAAAATGTTCTCATTGAACTTTCAACTTTTGGCTGTTATCTTTTGGCTCAATTGACCTATTCCCTGCCATTAAGCACATCCCTGCAAGGACCCTTAACAGTGAGCCACCTAATCGTCTTGCTCTTTGCGTGTGGATTTGGCAAACTGGGGAGAGGCTATTCCGAAAGTCTGGGGCTGCTCGTGCATCGTGTATCTGTTCGCCTAGCGAAGGCAAAAAGAGAAAGGACGAAAGACCAGGGTTTTTCGACACAAGCGGGTACCTGTGAAGAGTCACGGTTCGCGAATCGATTCATAAAGGAAGTGGGAAGGGCCTTGATAAACACTACTGCAGCCTCTTTCCCCCCGGGCCACTCTTCTTGACTCACTCACTTTCCAACTTCTCTCTCACAACTTCATCTCTCATTTCTCAAGATACCCCATAGCACTTTTTTCTTCGTTTGATATTTCTCTCTTTCCTTGTCCACACCTGATACCCATTTTACCTCACCATCGCCATCATGTTGTCCCGGGCAACTACTCGCATCAAGTCCGCTGTCGGACAAATCCAGGCTCGCTCTGCGTCCAACAACGCCGCCAGCAGTGCCCCTCGCCATCTTCTCTCCATTAGCCAGCTTAGCCCCGCCGAGTTCTCCAAGCTGGTCCTCAATGCTTCTGCTTACAAGCAGGCCACCAAGGCCGCCTTCGCTGCTGGCCCCGGTCAGGTACCCCAGACTTTGGACGGCAAGCTAAAGGGACGGACCGTGGCCATGATGTTCAGCAAGCGGAGTACCAGGACCCGCGTCTCGACCGAGGCCGCTGTGGCCCTCATGGGCGGCCACCCCATGTTCCTCGGCAAGGATGACATCCAACTGGGTGTAAGTGTTTAACTACCGATGCCCTATCGTCCTCATCCTCCTGCCTAAAAGAGACATGTATATGCGCAACGACCAGAACATCGATCACTAACGACACCCCCCACAGGTCAACGAGTCTCTCTATGACACTTCCAAGGTCATCTCCTCCATGACCTCGTGCATGGTAGCCCGCGTCGGTCCTCACTCCGACGTCGCCGACCTGGCCAAGGACTCGTCGGTACCCGTCATCAACGCCCTGTCCGACGACTTCCACCCGCTCCAGGCCATCGCCGACTTCCAGACCATCCACGAGGCCTTTGCCACCAAGCCCGCTCACGAGGCTAGCCTCGGGCTCGAGGGCATGAAGGTCGCCTGGGTCGGCGACTCCAACAACGTGCTTTTCGACATGGCCACCGCCTGCGTCATGCTGGGCGTTGACATCGCCGTCGCCTCGCCCGCCGGCTACGGCATCCCCGACCGCATGAAGCAAATCATCCTGGGCGCCGCCAAGGGCGTTGCCAAGCCCGGCAAGCTGATCGAGACCACGGTCCCCGAGGAGGCCGTCAAGGACGCTGATATCCTGGTCACCGATACCTGGGTGTCCATGGGTCAGGAGGCCGAGGCCCAGAAGCGCCTCAAGGCGTTTGCCGGCTTCCAGATCACCAACGAGCTGGCCAAACGCGGAGGCGCCAAGCCCGGCTGGAAGTTCATGCACTGCTTGCCTAGGCATCCCGAGGAGGTTGATGACGAGGTCTTCTATGGTCCTCAGTCCTTGGTCTTCCCCGAGGCCGAGAACAGGCTTTGGGCTGCTGTCTGTAAGTGAAGCAATCAATGTCCCCCTGTCCCAGATGTGAGACACACGGTAGACAAGCCTGAGCTAACCACCTTTGTGTTCTCTTACCTAGCTGTCCTTGAGGCTTTCGTCGTCAACAAGGGCAGGATACTCTAAGCAAGAAGTCACATGACAAGGTTTCTTTCTGGTTGCATCTTGATTCCATCCACTCTTCTTACATCGTAAGCATATCATAGTAGTAAGGCAGGCGTTGTAATCCATGGGTCAGGGGGTTTGGTTGGTTGGTTAATGTACGATATTCTCGTATACAAACAAAAGTTCTTGCTTTTTTCTTCTTCACACACGCCGGTTCCTCTTATTCTATCTAGACGGGCAAGAGAACGAGGGAGAAATGACAGAAAAACAATGAAGGATATTTTGATGAAGTTGCAAAGATTGATCAACTACTTTTGTTGTGTTTTTTTTTTACGCCGCTGCAACTATTAGAATGGGGGAGGCACATAGAGACAATTCTGCGAAGTGCGTAAAATAGGGGACCAAATGACCAATCCAATCCACAACTCCTGGGTAAATCCTTTCCATTTTTCCCTTTCCATTTGCACAACACCACTCGTTTAACCAGGGGGAAGCTGGCTGGCATCAACGACGTCATCGGCCTCCTTCACATGGGTCTCCTCGCCGTGCTCGTAGAGAGGAGAGCGGGGAAGGGCCATGAGACCGGTACGGGCAGACTCAAGAATGCCGAAGGGGGCAATGAGCTTGAGGAAGGAGTCGATCCTGACGGGCTTCGCGGAGCTGTGATAGAGTTTTAGTAAACCTGACAATAGCGTGAGACTAGGGGGTTATTTCAAACTTACACTTCGACAATGCAGCTGTTAGTGCTAATATCCAATACCTTGCCGCCGAACTGGTGGGTGAAGTATGTGATGCTCTTGAGATGCTCATGCTTGTGCCTCAACGCCTCGCTGGCAATCATGCGGCTGGGGTGGAAGTCCTTGGCAGTCTCCTCCAGGCTGTGCTCGCCGCCATTCTCGAGCTTGCCGGCCTCGCCCTCGGTGGCCTCGGCGGTGATCTCGCGGTGGTGAGCGAGAAGCTCCTCGAAGTACTCGGGACCGAGAATGTTGATCTTGGCCAAGAGCAACTCTCTCTGCACGAGAGCGGCCTTGCTGTAGTCGAGAACGGCCCAGACGGGGACCAAGTCCTCCAACTGCCTGCGCGCCTGCTCGACGACACCGTCCTGACCGGTCAGGACGATGGTCATGCGGGAGAGGTCATCAACCTCGGTGTTGCAGACAACGAGCGAGTCGATGTTGAAGCCTCTGGCGGCCAGAATACCCGAGACGCGCGACAGCACACCGGGCTCGTTCTGGACCAAGCAGTTCAGGATGTGACGCTTGGGAGGGGCGAGCGAGGGGGAAGGAGTCTCGTAGAGGATGTTGGAAACGGCGGCCTGGGCGGACGACCAAGCAGGAGGGGCGTCGGCAGCGGGAAGAGGCGCATGGCGGCGACGGATGGCCTTGTAGGCAATGGCAGAGGTCGAGCTGCTGTGGGAGCTGTACCGGACGCCAATGGCCGCCGGAAGAGACTGCCGGGCGACGGGAGCGGCATCCCTTGCCTTCGCCGATATCCGGCGCAACGGCGCGGACATCACGAGGCTGCGAGACGCCATGGTCGTCGCGAGTGTGATGTATAGAGAGAGCGGAAGATGCTTCACTGCCCCTCGTGCGAATCAATCCGGAGCCGACGAGTAACGGATGCTGCGGTGGTGGTGAGCTGGGGGGGTGTACAGATGGAGGTATGGGATGGATTGGAGGATAGCTACGAGGTCAGGAAATGGATGGATCAAACCCACTGGATATGTTTTCACCAGCCGCTAGTGACTCACCCGAGAATCGGAGCTCGATGGAGGATCAGTGATTAACACAGGGCTCTAGACGTGGCTCCAGGCCTTCGTTGCTAGCGGGATGCACTGACGATGTGACCGATGTGACCGCCGATTGTGGAGGCCGACATGGATTGACCAATGTAAAAGAGAGGAGGGTGCTGCCGTCGGGTCTTTGTTCAACCCAGCTTATCGGTATCGTAGCTTGACGAAGTCGGCAAGCCATTGAGACAGTCAGCAGATTGTCTCAGCCATGTTGGCCTAACATGTAATGATATGACCATTGTATTCAGATAGAAAGTGGAAAAGTCGAAACCGGAGCGCAGACATCCAAAATCGGTGTTGCTCAACGTCTGAAAGATCCGTCGACCAACTGTACTTTCCAGAAATTCAACCCGGACTGGACGCCGTGCACCTCCATGGCCCGACGAAACTTGAGGTGCCGCTTCCACTTCTGCAATCCCATCCCGTCTGCAGGCCAAAGACCCACAGCGATGTTGGGTCCAACTGGAAAAGCCAATCATAGTCGAACTTGGCGCTGGCCAGGGCGCGCCCAACGCTCCACGTCTCGCAGCCTCGTGGATTTTTACGAGTCTCCACAGCCAACCCTTTCCCTTTGACGGGACAAGCTTGAACGTCTCATGCACGGGCTGGTGTCTTCAAAGGTCACGGTCCAACTCCAACCGGTCACATCGCCTTCAAAGAAAGTTCAACATTTACTTACTAGACATCCACTGATCAATCCTATTCTTCGACGCCACAAACCACGCCTCGATTAGCAGCAATTCGACGCAGTTAACAACCCAACCCGCTACCCGACCAAATCGATCCAAAGATGGACGACGCAGAACGCCGCAGCGCGAAGCGCTCTCGCTTTGACCAAACCGAGCCCGAACCCAAGAGAGTATCACGCTTCGACCGCCGGTCTCGTTCTCCTCCTGCGAGGAAGCCGGACTCCGGTCGGGATCGCGACCGCAGCCCTCTTTCGAAACCCCGTGATAGCGCGACTCCCGATTCCACAAAGCCAGCAGTTGACCCTGCTGCCGCCGCTGGTATGCCTTTATCTCACTACTCCGAGGCCTGCAAGATGAACTGTCGCTAACCATTCTGTAGCTGCCGCTGCCGCACGAATCCAAGCCCAGCTTCAGGCTCGCAAAGGAATCCAACACGTCGATGTCCCCCCCGTTCGATCTGCCGGTACTAGAGAGGGCAGTGTCCCCGCGAACATCAACGGAGAGATGTACATTTCCGATGGAGACTTCATCAAGGATATCGAGGTCAACGATCTTCGCAACAGATATCTTCTGACAAAGGGCTCGACCCAGAAAATGGTAATTACCCCTTGGTTAACCCACTGATCACATGTCAGCTCTCGCAAGGCCGCATGTCTTGTGGCCTTCTCCGTTGATGCTGTACAATCTTGTGCGGGATACTCTTGCTTACAGGAGGCACGATAGCTCGCGCAGGGCCATCCACATTTGCAACTGCTGACCTTGGCTGCTTGAATATAGATCAAAGATGAGACTGGTGCCGGTATGCCCGCCTTTATACACGTTATGCTTGGAGAACTGTTCATTGACCGTTTTCTTTTCAAGATGTCACCACTCGCGGTAGCTACTACCCAGACAAGAGCATGTCTACACCCGCGGTATGTGACTTCTTTTCGAGACTGGCCTACAAATGCTCATCGCTAACGTACTTGACTTCAGAACCCCCCGCTGTATTTGCATGTCACGAGCACGACCAAGGAAGGTTTGGAAAAGGCCGTCGCCAAAATCGAAGAAATGATGAAACAGGAACTTCCCCAACTCGTTGACGAACGTCGTTTCCGCCGCAGGGACCAGGAACAGGTCGAACGTGATGAATACGGTCGTGTAAGTTTGAAGCCCCCTCAGCTATGTCGACTGGGGCTAACGTGTCTACAAGCGCAAATGGCCGGAAGAGAGAATCCCCATCAATCTTGAACCCGTCCCAGGATTCAACCTCCGCGCCCAGGTGGTTGGCCATGGTGGCGCTTACGTCAAGCATATCCAGCAGGAGACTGGCTGCCGTGTCCAAATCAAGGGCCGTGGCTCCGGTTACATTGAGGCATCAACAGGCCGCGAGAGCGACGACGACATGTATTTGCATGTCGCTGGGCCCGATCCCAAGATGGTGGAGAAAGCCAAGGAGCTTTGCGAGGACCTGATGGAGAACGTTAAGCAGCAGTATGAAGAGTTCAAGAGCCGTCCGCCCCGCCAGTACAACGGTCCCAGGGATTACCGTGATCGGGAGCGGGAGCCCAGAGGTGGCGACTCTTACCATGGGCGTGGCTACAACAACAACAACAGAGATCACCATCATGGCGGGCACCACGACAACAGCCACCACAGCAGCTACAACAACTCGCCTGCTCCTGGTGGTGGCCCTTCGGTCGCGCCCCCTACTCCTACGGCTCCTGCCGCGGCCACGACGGATTATGCTGCCCAATATGCCCAATACTACGGCGGCGCTGCCGCTGCTGATCCTTATGCTGCAGCTGGTGCGGCTGACCCATATGCCGCATATGGTGGCTATCAAGCGTAAGTGAATTCCGACCTTCGAAAGTGATAGCTTGCTAATGGTTTTAATAGCTATGTCCAACTTTATCAACAGTGGTATGCCGCTCAGGCTGGACAGGTAACTCCTGCTGCTGCGGCTACTGGTGTCCCCGGTGCCCCCGGTGCTTCGGCATCTCCTCCACCTCCGCCTCCTACTGAAGCAGCCCCCCCTCCGCCCCCTCCCCCATCGTCTGCTGCCCCTCCCCCACCTCCGCCTGGCGGTCCTCCCGGAATGTCTGGTGGCTATAACGCGGTATGTAAAGCTCCATGTCATGACTATCACAGGCTTAAACTAACCTTCTTTCAGGTCCCCCCGCCCCCTGGCCTCTAAAATTGGAACGTTGACGACATTAGCAGCTCAGAAAGCCAGCGAGTGCTTAGGCTTAGTGTTTAGCCTTACATTCTCTTACAGCTGATGCTTCGGCAGGGATACGAACTCCAAAGAAGATAAAAAGAAATTGGCTTAAGCCAAGGGTAAAGATTGTTGTTCATTGTTCAGGATTATCTCATCACACTAGGCTGCTGCCCAGACGAGGGCCGATTAATTCTTATAAAACATGACGAAGTGGTGGCACACTGACTCATTACAATAGCGACGCAGTCCCCGATGAGTGATGTGGATAGGGGAGGCAATGTAAGACGTCTCTAAACGCTTCATTTTCTGTGACGTTTTGCCAACAATGCTGCACAGGTTTCTCTCTTTTCGGTATGTTATGAGCGCATAGTTGGACTCGTCGGTTATAGAGATGCTGCTGTTATTGAAGTCTAGGTCCAGAAGTGGCGAAGAGTTTGAGACGGACGCTTGACCAGGTAGGTAGATGTTTGATTCGTTTGCTAAAACGATGTGCACAGTCAACATCCCCCGACCTTGTCTAAGTTCCGGGTTGATAGGGTTGAGTTGTTATGCTGATGATTGGTACACTTGGTCGGCCTTTCATATCAATGCTTGCGCTTCAATATCTCTTTAAAGCTTCTATGCTTCTTTTCATGTAAGTGTCTACAGCTAAAGGGTGGTAACAAGACTTCTGCAGAGGAGAGTCAGCACACAAGAAAACAAATAGGGAATAAGGAATGCATGTTAACTAGACCACTGGTCGAATTGCTGTCGTTGTGAACGGCCTCGTGCTTGTGATAATAGCAACAACAGCTTCAAAATGATATGGAGGTAACGGGTACCTGAAGCAACAGAAGACAACCCCTGAAATTCACAATGAGGTCTCCCTGCCGCCCGCGTTTCGGTCTCCACTCAAGCTCCTGTGTGGCCCACACCTGCCCGTAGCTTCGGCTTGGCATTACGTCCGTTCACATTTCCCCAAACGGGACACAAGCGGGAGTTCCAGACTTCAACTCTTCTGAACTTCTTCAGAGTCTCGCCAGAGTCTTGTCAAAGACAGTTTGTCGAACAGCTAGGAATCCGTTACAACCTGGTGATTATCTCTATGTCTTTGTTGAAGAGAAGATGAGTCACCAACGATTCCCTTCGCATGAGGTCAAGGAGCCGCATTCAGTGTCGCTCAAGGTGTTGAGGTAGGTTTAGTCGCCCGATGATTGATACCGTCGCATCTTTCCTATGTCTCTTTTATTCGAGTAGCTAATCCATCCGATCTTCAACTTCAAGGTTATCCCGACCGTCGCTGGTGCCGCAGTTCCCACTTCATCCTCCAGTGATTCCGCCGTCCTTGACCTCTCCCATAGCCGGCTCCGTGCCCGCAGCCCTTCCACAACGCCATTTACCACCCCTACCGGCATCGCTCGCGTATAGCCCGCTCGGTCCGATCAAGAAACACGGAGAAGAGGCACAGGGATCTGAAAGCGCAGGCGGCGAAAGGACAAGAGATGGATACTACAACACCGAGCCCTTCATCCTCTCTCCCATCGTCAACCTCCCACCCTCGTTCGGGTCTGCCTACGTAGGCGAGACGTTCAGCTGTACTCTATGCGCAAACCACAATGCTCCGCCGATCGGAGAGGGCGGCACCAGTGTGAAAAAGACGATCCGCGACGTCAAGATCGAAGCCGAGATGCAAACCCCTTCGGGGCAAACGACCAAGCTAGTCCTGGTTGATACAGCAGGGGATGATAACGCCGGGTCAGGGTCATCAGCAGCGAATACCGACAACGACAACGCCATCATCACCAGTAGTAACGCCAGCGGGAGCGAAGACAACAATCAAACAACAGAGACACAGGCAGAAACAGAAACAGTAGCAACCCTCGACCTCCTCCCACCCAACACCACCCTCCAAAAGATCCTCAACTTCGGTCTCAAAGAGGAAGGAACCCACGTCCTAGGCGTCACGGTATCGTACTACGAGGCCACCGAGACCAGCGGGCGCACGAGGGCGTTTCGGAAGATGTACCAGTTCATCTGCAAGCCGTCGCTGATTGTTAGGACGAAAGCCGGGCCTTTGCCTTCTTTGCCTCCTGGTAAAGCGGGGAAAAGGAGGAGGAGGAGATGGGTGCTGGAAGCACAGTTGGAGAATTGTTCTGAGGATGCGATTCTTTTGGAGAAGGTCAAGCTGGCGGAGGTGCAGAGGGGGTTGAAGTGGAGGGATTGTAATTGGGCGGGGATAGGGGTAGGTGGTCAGGGGGAAACAACAACTACCGGTGAGGGGGAGAAGGGGATCTCTCAACAAGGTCATGGTCAAGGTCCTCCTCGACGACCGTTTTTGCACCCGGGGGAGTCGGAACAATTGTGCTTTATAATTGAAGAGAAAGATGGAGGAGGAGGAGACGGAGCCGAACAAGGGGGAGAAGAGGAGGCGGTTGAGGTCGAGGAGAAGAATGGGAGAATAGAGTTTGGAGTCATGGCGCTGGCGTGGAGGACGGAGATGGGTAATAGGGGGTCGTTGTTGACGCTGAAATTGGGAACTAAACATGTCAAGCCTCGATGATAGCGGTAGCGGTAGGCCGCTGGCTGGCTGGCTGGCTGAGTGAGTGAGGTGAGACCGCGGGATGAAAAGTGTGGTGGGAGTGGTGTTTGGGATATAGTACTACGGCTAGCTTTCCCGTCGAGCGGGATTCCATGCTTTGCCTCGATTACATATCCTTTCTTGTCCCACCATGAATAGGTTGCTGCTAGGGTGGAAAAGGCGGAAACACTGATGATGAGTGCCATGCAGATTGCCTGTTTACTTCTGTTCTAGCAAGGTATTTTGTTACGTACGACGGGATGTGTGCTACTAGCCAGTGGCGTCGGTAAATGGCGGGTAGATGCTATCGACGGAGTACATTATCTCGCTCTTGCGGTGAACACGGTGAGCCGTTCAATCTCTCTGCGTGTCTTTCTTTCTCCCGTCTTGAGATCCTCTATTCCAAACATTCCGGCTTTCTATGTACGAATCCCGGAAACTTCAAGAGACAAATTCAAACAAAGATACCCTCCCTCAAAACACCGCCGAACCGTATTTGTTTGACAGGGAGTTTATGTTCTCCCCCGCGATATCGGTTCCCATGCCTTCGGGTATGTAGCTCTACTCCGGACGTCTTTCTCATTCAAACATCCCAACTGTCAGGAACGTAGTATAACCATGGCCCATGCAACGGGGTCCTACCTAGATACAATCCAATGATGTATCCTGGCGAGTCCCATTCAGTGCTGCCTTTTCGTCAGGGTTCTCACATTCCAGGGCCCAGGGACGGGCGATTTCTCAACTTGAAACCCACCACCCGCTTATGTCCGAGAAGTCTACCTGGTCAAATCAAGTCAAGTCAAGTCAAGTCAAATCAAGTCAAGTGAATTGATGTATGTTCGCTGATTTACAAATCTCTCCTTCTTTTCTGCGTACACATATGTGTATGATGCTTACGCATGAAAGAGAAGCAAGCGTGTTATTGAGTTGTTGTTTAGTACTTTGCGCTTTTTGACCGCTTTTGTTTTTCCATTTGTTAGTACCAACGCAACTAATTGCGAAGCACCGTTAAGGAGCTAAGTAGGCCTCGAGGTAAGGTAAGGTAGGTTTCAGAGGCTTCTGAAAGAAAGTATCAAGACTGTTAATGGCTGATGCAAGATGCGAAGCAGAAAGAACCCCCTGTCAGTAAGCAAACATAAAATGTCAAAGCCATGCCATACCATGCCATGCCAGCTCAGCATCAGCATCAGCATCAGCCTCAGCCTCAGCTTTTTGATTCTCTTTCTTCCTCCGGTGTTGTTCGTTCGTTCGTGTTTGAAAATGTAATCTGGAAATTGTAATGATGGAGGAACAAGGCGACGGGGCTGTGTACATACAGCCTCGAACTTGATACAACCTCACGTTAATGCCGTAATAATGCTCCGCCTTGCTGAATGGGAACAAAAAAGGGGGCGAGGGGGGATGAAACAATGTCGTTGTTTACGATGACTTACATGACATGACATGAAGGTGTGAGCCTGTAAGCTGAAGTGAGGTGACACCACGCCATATTGCCATGTGGTATGATGAGGCTACTTTAAGAGGTGTTCTCTCTGGGGTAAAGCGGGAATTTTTTTGATCTTGCGGTGAAGAGAGGGAGACCGGGAGACCGGGAGAGGGGACCCTGAGACCCTGAGACCCCGAGACTTCTGTTATAATGCTGGGGGTTTTTGTTATTTATTCCCAGTTATCTGAAATTCCAAAGGAGGTTTTCTTGTTCGAGACTTGAATATGAGGGTGGTAAGAGGGTGAGGTGAGGGTATAGTTGATGTTGTTATAGTGTAATGTCTAAATGACGGGTAGATAGGTAGGTATAACCAAATATGAATAAAAAAAAATTATGATTCCGTCTCTCGTCCTGTTTGGCTTTGGCTGATCTTGGTTTCTGAGAAATCAATTTACTTTTTCCCTTCCCGTTTCTCGGACACACAAAGTAAATCGGACACACAAAACCAAGATGAGTGCAAGCCCGGGCCCGCCGGCCGGCTATGTAATAGCAATTTGCTTTGTATATGTCGAGACAAAATTATAGTACGTCGATCATAAGCTTATCTATGCTATATTTACTTTAACGTCTGTATGTACTTTGTACCCTTTTCTCCATATGCGGAGTTTTTGTTCCTGAATCATGATGATGATGATGGTGATTGTTGTTAAGATAAGTTTCGGGATGTTCCGGGTTTTTTTCTCATCTCTTTAATTATGTTGATATTGTACCATTAGTAGGCCAGGCTCCGTAATTCGCATGTAAAACTCGCTGCGAGGAAAAGGGAGCACAAAACGGGTTTGATTTTGTGCCCACTTACACATGTTGGCCCTCTTGTATTCAAGGTTGTACATCTTCTTTAAGACCTTCTTGTGTATCGTAACATTTCTGTTTCACCCTCTTCCCCCCTTCCGCCCGTTGTTCCCGAACAAAAACGTTTTACGGTAAGGGGTCCTGGCTGGGGCAAAGGGGGATTGTGATACGGAAGCATGCCGGGGTAAGGGAAGCAAGCCCTGGTATTTTGGTGCCGCAGAAAAGCGGTTGTGCTAGGCATGGAAGTAGGTAGGGTGAAGAACCGTTGAAAATAATGGGAGGATATACGCAGGGGCAGTTTAGAGAGATCTCTGCTTTTTTTCGGGATCCATGCTTCCAGAATTTGACGAACCTGTATTGGTGATCTGTTGGGCACACAACTAACTACATCCTTGTGTCTGGTTTGTACCTCCCCGGTTTGGATTCAAGTACAGTAGTTCTGGGATATGCGAGTTCCTGAAAAACGTAATAAACCGTAATCTAGAAGGGAGGCAAATATTCGGCGAGTCAAGCGGACCGATCGATCTCGATGCTTGCTCCTTGACGAGGGTCAATGAGCTGCACTTCAAGAGTAATCCAGAAAACATGGGGTCCATCTCAGTAGATGGAGGACGGCGACCAGGTTTCTTCAACTGATGATGCTATTCCCGGAACTTACCATTTTCCATCCCCACAAAGCAGAGGACATCACGAGCCTCAACCACCTTGGTGGCCAGTCTAGTCCGGTTTTCGGTTGACGGACTCCAGAAAATATCAAGGTTGCATCCGATTATCTTGGTATTGCTCATGAGCGAAGCAGACAGAAGCCTTTGGGCTTTGGGCGAAGACTTCTGCTAACCTCCGTACAGTATGTACTTTTGGATGTGTGGCCTCTGTGTTCTCTTTTGTCGGCTTCTATGTGTGGAAAGCAATCAGCACCTAGAATGGTAGCACATGCATGACAGGTCTTCAACCTGCGACACGGCCTTTTCGGCTAGATGTTCAGATGTTACGGTGGACGAGCCGCCGAGTCTCCGATTAGCCTCTGAAAAAGGGTTGGGAAGCCCGACGGGTAGTGGAAGAAGTTTGCCTGAGGAGCCGGCGGGCGTTTCATGGAATGGCTATCGGCAGCCATGGCCGAACCGAACGAACTGATGCTGTTGGGCTGCGATCATGTATCATGATGAATTCCCATACAGTACACGGATCTTCTCATCCACACCTGGCTTGCTGCTGGTGTGGGTCATTGCTCGATGCTAGGTTGTGTGTTGTATGGACGAGATATCATCCTGTCAGCAAATTGCTTCGAAGACACCGATTTGGAGACAAGAAAGTTGACCGGCCAGAAAAAGAGACCAGACAGAGAGAGAGGCTCAATCGAGCCCCTGCATCGTGACTGGACCTTTTCTGGGTCTGGTTACCCACTAAAGAGGACAACCCCTGACTGTCCCTCAAGGGACTCATTCTCCCTGACAGGCTGACCGGCCGGCTTGCAAGCCATTCCCAAAAGGAACAGGAAAGGGGGGCCCGTTGAGGGCCGTTCATTTGGGGATGGTGGAGAACATCACCAGAGGAGGGATCCATCCGATCCGTTTTCTGAGGAGAGAAAGCCTCCCGTCGATAGTTTGCGACTATTTCAGGTTCCAATTCTCCAGACCGACGAGCAAGCGGCGGGCAGCGGCCGTTCCAGGCTTTGCCTCGATGAGGCATCATCCCTCCAAAAGTTCTGGGGGTTGCATTCTGTGATGTTGAATCCATTGAGTGGCCATGAGGGTTCGAAAGCGACGTGACTTGCAGAGGCACACGACAGGTTCGGGCGTCATTCTGGGTGCCATGTGGCAGACAGCTTTGGGTAACTTGTGGTCAGAAATCGGGTTCTTTGGCCCTTTGGTCCTACCTTGCACCGCAGTATCGACGCGTGCTTCAGATATGGAGATGGATCATCATCAGTATGTGGCGCCTGTCGCCTAATCGTGAAGGAAAGAAGATGTCGCCATGAGGCACAGCACAGGCACGACATTATCACTGCTTGGTGGACTGTAAGTAATATGGCATCCATTCCTGCCATCGACCGATTCGGGCACGCTTTGGGGCACGATTTGGGGCCTAATCTAACCACGGAGATTCCGTATCTGGAGGCGTTGCTTTCTCAGGACCAGCCAACCCGTCGAGCCGTCGGGTTCCTAGGAGGTGACATGCACCTTTTGATCGGTCTCTTTTCTCGTTTGACACTCATCAACAACAAAGAGAGAGATGACTGATGGGCAGGTCCAAGATGGAAGATGGGACAAGCGATTGATCGATCGACGAGCTCCCCTCGTTTATCCTCGCCGAGCTCGCCTACTCATCTACGGAACAGGTTGGTGCTGTCTTGCCTGTCTTTGGACCTGCAGCGATCGACAAGATTACTGCTGGTTCGTAAAGCGGAGGACCCTGACGCTCGCTGTTCTCCCTCGAGTCCCTCTTGTTCTACCGCTAATCCTTATTCCTGTCGGATTTATCCCCACGTCTTGGCTAGTATGACGTGGGGATAAATCCGACATGATAGCAGGTCGTCCGTCGTCCGTCAGGAACGGGCCGAGAGAGGAGAGCACGTCTAGTGTATAGCTAGAACACCCAAGAAGTGCTTTCTCTTAAAATAGTCCAAAATCTAGGTCAGTCTGATGATGTCTTGACTTGGAGACAAAGAAGATGACGACGGCGGGAGTCGGGGTTCAGTATGGGCCTGCCTCTAGCCCCAGGGACTTAAGACAGGGGAAATCAGCTCACGGGCTAAAAGTACAACCCAATTTCACCTAGCGCCATTTGGATATTTTTGAGTCAGGGTTTGCTCCACGATACAAACATGTCACAAAAGTTACAGAGGTCTTCCCCGTCGTCTCTTTCTCCCAGGGGTGGTTCCGCATGTTTGCGGTTGGCGATATCGGCGCAGTCTTGTTGCAATTTCTGGTGTGTGGGTGGTAATCTGGAGGTAAGATAACAACAGCCCGACCTGACCATGAATGAGCCTCACGAACCAGACTCTGGACGGCGGCGGGACGGATATCGTGGAAGACAAGCCGTACCTGAATGTGGTACAGTACCGTACCTGAATCCCCTCGTCCAGTCAGGGCCCGGCGACAGGTGCACATGCGCCCAGGCACTGTCTGTTTAAAAAAGCGCCGTCGACCTTACGTTATTAGGTGCCCATTAAAGACGGGCTAGTGATGCAGGGGCACCACCACCCTGGTCACGCCTCCTGCACCTTCTCGCGACTTTGCAACGGGTCCCTGTAGGAGGAAGCTCTGGTGTTGCAAGGGTGAGCTATTGGGTCTCTTTGATAAAAACAGAAAAAACAAACCACAAGCATTGATACACACACAATCCATGGCTAATACCAATACGAAGCCCTTATGTTGGGGAATGGAAAGTCCAGTTGAGCGAGTTTTTTGGTGGGTTGCGGGACAGTAAAGCCTGGTAAACATACACATAGCCAGCCCACGTGCCAGCCGTAGATAGAGATTGTGCTTGTATTGTTGATGGGGGAACCTGGATGCCGCTCCTTATCATGGACTTTTTTTGGTCATTCGTCCTCCACATGCCCTTCCGATCTGGAGCCCACATCCCAATTCTGCTAGGTAGTCTGTTTTTTTGTCTCTGTTTCTACATCCATCCTCCGTCGTCCTCCATATGTCGGTCTCTCTGAAGCATTCGCCGATTGCGCATACTGTACCAGTCTGCCATCTCTTCTCTGAATAATACCCCGTATGTATCTTACCTTCCCTCACTCCTTACCGGAAGAGTGATATAACCTAACTGAACGGATCGGCGCTTTTGCTTCCCTAGTTTCCTCCACCTTCCATTTTGCATATCCATAGCGCCCTTTTTCTCTCGCGTCTGGCAGCCCGCCCGTCCGAGGAAAGCCGGCAAAGTCGAGGGCCATCGCAATCATTTCACTTTTAGTAGGTCCTAAATATTGTAGAGTAGCGGACAAAAGACCTCTGACAGGCTGACAGCCCCTGGCTCTACAGTACGTCGCACTAAACCCCAAGAGGTCCCAAACTCGACCGCCCAGAAACGAACGTCAGCGGCCCCGGTCCACACTGCCCTATTAGCGCACCCCTGGACTTTTGGAGACCCGTCCCCCGACCCCGTCCCGTACTCTACCCCGTCAATCCGTCCCCGACCACAAGCACGCTGCGAGCCCGCCCCGTGTTGCCCTTCCAGTCCCAGACCGTTACGTCCCTCTTCGCATCCCATCCACTCCAATCCCGTCCTACCTAACACATTACACGGCACCACTTCCGTCCTCCCGTCCATCATCCTGTTCACCAGGCCACCACTGCAACTCGACTGCACCCGACCTGCACCCAACACCGCCTACATCTGCCCCTTGTTCGCCCACGATTGTCTGCATTTACCGATTCAGTTCCCATTACCTCAAGCGCGCCTCCTCCGTTTTCCATCCAAACACCCGTCCGATCCCTCTGAGAGACGAAAGCCCGCGTGCGAATCCCAAGCGCGACACACACAAACCGTGACAAAACACCCACGGCTACCACGAATCGAGCCTGGAGGGGCAATTCACGACCTCGCCTCGGCAAAACATTCACCGATTTTTGGAGGACGGAGAGGAATTCACCAGACACAAAGAGGGGGACATTACAGCTCGGTTCGCCGGTGAAATTGATATGTCATGGATAAATCGTCTTCGCCCCTCGCCGACTACTTCTGGATCGCTGGCATAGAGACCATTATCTATGATGACGACCGACAGGAAGAGAGCCTCAGCGCCTCGCTGGACACGCTAGAAGACACCATTATTGAAGATGGAGAGGGAGAGACCGAAGGAGAAGATGAGCTAGGTGACGCGTCGGGTATTTCCTCTCCACGCGCCGGTGGCCATCCCCGCCATGCTCGCAAGAACTCGGGGAGCCGCTTGTCGGCACTCTCCAAGCTCTCTTATAACCCGTCGCTGTCAAGCGATAATGACATCGAAGGTAACACCAGAAGTAACAGAAGCAGCGCGACTATCCGACCCCTCCCCCTCCCTAACTTCGGCAACGGTAACTCCAACAACAACACCTCCAGTGGAAATGCCACAAAGTCCAGCAACACCAATGGCACCAATGGAAATAACAAAACTTCGCCCGCCGCGTCCCCGAACCCCAACCAAAGACCCATGTTCGATGCCCTCGGCCAAATCCCGATCCATGACGGCTTTCTCTCCGATCTCGACTTCGACAAGGCCCTCCTCAAGTTCGCCGCTGAGAGGGAAAACTTCCTTGACGATCTTACCTTCAGCGCTGGCGCTAAGCTCCAGTCAAGGCCACCCATGGTGAACCCTAGAACCGAGAAACTGAAAGTGGACGACGACCAGAGCGGCCGAAAGAGCCCCCTTAAGAGCATCCGTGGAAGCATCCGCCGCAAGATTAGTTTTAGGGACATGAGCAGTACCAAGAAGCAGCCCATGACTCCCAGAGCAGGTACTAAGCCCACCGAATCAACCCCCCGTGTGATCCCCAACCCGTATCGGGCCTATACTCACCCACCTTTACCCTCAGCCTCCAGGTCACCATCCATCCGGACAGCAAAGCGTCTTAGCAACTACAACTCCGTCATCCCGCCCCCGGAACCCCTGAACGCAGACCCCGACATGCACCCGCTTAAGAGGCGGTTCGAGCCGGTCTTACTGGACAGGTACCCTTCGCGCGATGCCACGGTGGACGAATTGTCCAGGAGAGGCCGATTTCCGGACTACGTGCCCATGTTTGCCTTCCCCAACGACATCCAGATCGTTTCGTCGGACGACCGCCCTCGCTCGACATGGCACGGCTTTACCATGACCTCGGATGACAACTCCAAGATCTATGGAATCTGTATAATCGTTTGGACTGCGCTGGACCCCGAGACGGCGGAGAATGTCGAAAGGAGATGCGAACAATGGCGGCAGAGGCATATGAGCAATGAGGAACGGGAGTTGGCCGCAAGTTTGGGCATCCGTTTGGCAGCGGAGCGTGCTCATTTGTCGCAGTTGCTGTCACAGCTGCCGTCGATTCCTTCGGGATCTGCTGCTAGGGAGTCGCTGGATGAGCAGATCAGCTCGGTCGAGGAGAAGATCAGCTTGATGACGGAGATGCTGAGGCCGCTCAGGCACGGAGCTGCGTCCAAGATCGACGGCCTCACGGCTGGCGAAACCGGCCTTTGGGTACCGAGGGCTTACGGAATCCTTGGCAGGGATCCATCCAAGATGACATTTTGGAAAGAATGGCTCCGAGCTGTCACGGTACCCATGACGGACGGTGCCATCTTGAGGGTTGCCCCAAGCTCTCCCAATATTGGACGGTGGCAGCCCCTTGAACGCTACGTTGTTAACCTGTGCACCGAGGCATTCAGCCCCCTCAGCTCGCTCACACAAGTCGAGCTGGGCGTACGCGAATTGCGGCTTTATGCCCGCAAGGAGGCTGCTAATGAATTGCCAGGATCGCGCAACATCGACATCTATGCCCTGTTCAGATGCTTGTCGCTGGAGAACATTGTGCTCTTGTTCGAGTATGCCATGTCCGAATCTCGAATCATCTTCCTCTCATCCCACACGGGCATGTTGCACCTCGCCTGTCACGCCTTGGCGAACCTGCTGTACCCCCTGAAATGGGCCAGCATCTTCATTCCTGTGTTACCCGCTCGGCTGATCTCAGCCCTCGAGGCCCCGTGCCCCTACATTGTCGGCATTGAGCGGCGATACGAGAACATCCAACTACCCGACGATGACTATGTGCTTGTGGATCTTGACAAAGACATCATCGATGCCACGGCACAGGCCGTCCCGCTCCCGCGCCAACACAGGCGCAAGCTCATGTCTCTGCTGCAAATCGCAGCTCCTCACAAGCTGCGGTACGGTGTGGCAACCGGTCCGCCGCCTTATGCGATCGAGGCTTTCCCCTATGATGCATTCTCCGCAGAAAACGAGGCGCTATTCAACCCGTCAGCAAAGGCGGGCACTCTGGGCAAATGGGTGACACAGAACTCATCCACGTTTGCCGAACCAGATCCGCCAAACAGTATGCGCACTCCCCTGTTCAACGCATTCTCCCAGGCGAGACCAGACTCCGGGCATGGTCGTCCCAGAACCTCAAAGTCAGGCAAAGGGAGCCCGCCCTCGTCTGTATCGCCTGTTTCGATGCACTTCCCCCCGTTGCCCACCACACCCGTGTCGCGCAGTGACTCTGGTTTCGCCGTTGCGGCAACCTTGAGAGAAAAGCGCTCGGGACACTTCGATGAGAGGTCTAGACGTAGTTCGTCTTTTGGTATGGATAAGAATGGACCACCTCACCCACCGCTCCACAGGCCCAGTCTGCCTTTCTTGATCGGGCATGCTCAGAACCTTTCGATATCGTCCATCTCGATCGATTCGCAATCCTCATTCGGAGGCTATGCCCCTTCGACCTATGCGCAGTCAACCATTGCCGCGTCTACCATCATGCCCAACATGATGGTCCAGCCTGTCAAGAATACGGAAAACACAGTCTGGGTTGAGGGTCACTGCTTCAACTGGACTCCTAGCGAAAAGGATTCCATCTGCACCATCTGCGATGATCGGTCGGAGGGTAACGGCCTCTACAGGTGCAGTGGCTGCAACTGTCTTGCCCATAACCATTGTCTTGGATTTGCCTCGTTGGTGTGCCCGGCAGCTTTCCATCCGGATCGCGTTAGGGCCGCATTTATCCGCTGTATGGCAAGCTTGCTTTACACTTATAGAAAGCACCTTGGACGACCTACCAAGGAACAGAAGGCGAATGGTCAGCATTATGCCTTTGATATGGATGGGTTCATCAGGAGTCTGCCCTACGATCAACAGGATTATGCGACCATGCTGAGGGATACTCAAGGTATGTTCTGTCTTATTCCTGCTTTTCTTGCTCAAGTCAAATAAACTAACCATTCCGTAGCGTTTAACGAATTTGTTCACGAACGCGAGAGAATCCCCCCGTCCGACCCCGCCATTCGACTATTCGACGAAGTCATCCTGGCCAAGAAGGCGCGCGGGCGTCCCGTCTTTTCCCAAGGACTCTCCCGTCTCTCCACCATCCGCGCCTCTCACGGCGTCTCCGCTTTTGGGCCGAGCAGCGCAAGCGCAGCGAGACAGAATAAGAATCCGGGGTACCTGAACGACACGTCGGACCATATCTGGCGGACCGCTTCGGTACCGGTGCCCTCGTCGACCAAGTTCAACGACGGAGACAACTACAGGTCCATCGTCACGCGTGTGCCGGCTAGGCTGGATCCCACCTTGATGAAGGAACCAAGGGCAATACAAGGGGTTCCCAGACCTGAGCAGGGCCGGGTGAGGGGGCTAATCAGGAAGCAAGTGGCCAGCATGCTTGGACCGCCCTCCGGATTTCAGGGAGTTCCATAGATCATCAGACCAGGCAGGCAGCACTAGAGCCAGCATATACGGCGCTTTTTGTATGGGCTGAATTGTGTCAAGAAACTTGTAGTAACTGTATAAGTTGTAATTTGCGTTGTGGTTGGTGGTGGTCTAGCGCGGGGAAAGAAAGAAAGATGCTGCTAATAATTATGTTTTTCTTGGTTTTGGTTGTTTTGCCATCTGTTTGGCTGTGGAAGAGAAAGCAAAAGCGGGTGCGGGTGGGAGCTGGGGTTAGGGGGAAAGTGGGAACATAGGGACGGTGGCATAAGGGATTGATATTGAATTGTTTTTTTTGTCTGGGAGAAACACACACACACACACACACAATCACATCACACACAACACACTTGCATCTATGGACTTGTCTTTTTATCTTAGTTAGTACCACCCACGATCGCACATAACATCCACAAGAGAGAGTACAGAAAGAGAGAGAGAGGGAGAGAGAGAGTATAAAGGTGGTGTGGCCCTGTCTTGGTGGCTATAGAGAAGGCATGCACGGGTGGTGGTTTGGGGGGGACGAAGGAAAGCAAAGGAGAGATTGTACATTGGTGTAAGGAGACAAGAAGGGAAATAAATGTTGCATATAAGTGCGAGTCATACACAATAAACTTTCGATACAAACAAATACCACAACGACGGGTATAGACAGTGCTTCCTTAACGGCCAGCCATGTGCGAATCAAACGCAACAAGAACAACAGAAAACTGTCATGCTACTAACACGCTTTGCCATCTACAAGGACAAACACGAACACACCGGCACGCCATGCTGTTTTTGTCGTAAAGATCATGCCTGCTATAATAATCATCGCTTCCCATTTCCGCGAACCCAGGACTAATAATAGACCAACTTTGTTTCCCCAACCTAAAGATGAGGAACACCCGCACTCTGCATGATCAAGTTCACGATACTCAGGAAACCCTCACCGAGGATGAAGCCCTAAAACAGAAAGAAAAGCAAAATATGTTAGCAACGTCCCCCTCCTTCAACAAAAACAGCAAGAAAGGGAACAAAAAGAGAAACTTACCGAAGCCAAAACAATCAACGGCGTATCCTGCCACCCCATCACCCCCTTCCACCACCACCCAAGTAACCCACCAATCGTCCTAGCAATCGTAAAACTCGGCACGTTATACATGCCCACCGCCACCGCGATCCCGCCCGGGATCAACGCCTGCCACCTCTTTCCTTTATCAGCACCAACCTTATCAACAATAACAATCCGCGCAGCAGTGGTGACAGCAAACAGCGCGGCAGAGCCGACAGCCCATTCCTTAGCCATGGGCGGCAATCCTTCGCCAGTCACTAAACGAGCGGTGAATATCCACACGTAGCCCGTGGGCACCTGGAAAAGGGGACCGGGAATGGTGTAGACGACCGTGTAGAGCTTGTAGATGAAGGCGCTGACGATGGCGCCGACGGTGGCGCCGATGACTTGTCCGTAGAACTGGGCTTTGGGGGCGGCGCCGAGGAGGTGGCCTGTTTTGAGGTCTTGCATTAGGTCGCCGGCTTGGAGGGCGCCCTATCGGGTATTTAAATGTTAGTCATCAGAAAGGAAAACATGGGGGGAAGGTGTATACGGTACGCACAGCTTCAGACACAGCTCCAGCAACCAGATTGATCAAGACGCTGTTCTTGTTCGACTGCGGGATGATGAAGGCAAAGAATAGCTGTGCCAACTTGCTGATGCCTGACACCGGGTTCAAATCGGTCTCGCCCAACGCCCGGACGCCCATGATGCTCAACACCAGAGCCATGAACACGGCCGTGACGGTGGCGTAGAGAGGGACGAGGTTGCCAAAGACAAAGTGGATGCAGCCGATGCAGAAGACAATCGAAAGCACCAGCCCGATGGCGACGGTCTTGTCACTGACTTGCTGGTCGGGCGGGGCGTCATCGTATTCCTCTTCCTTTTCCTCTTCGAGATCTTCATGGATGCGATTCAGTCCTGACGAGTGTCGTTGTCTCAACCCGCTGTTGAGGTGGGTGTACTCCTGCTCGTCGTCGTCGGAGTTCGAAGCCTCGCTGATATCGGAGAGTCGTCTCCCTAGCCTTGGTCTCGTCGGTCCTCCCCTCGCCGCATCATTGGTGTTGATGGCCCTATAACCCGACCTCGCCACCGGTCTCCTCGTCTTATCCCCGCGGCCCAGGGCTTCCTTCGCTCTTTGCACGACGCCCCGTCCCTGAACCACCGCCCATTTAACCGCCTTCCTCACTCCCTGAACTCTCACCACCGACCGCCCAGCCAGCCATCCCAAACTAACCACGGAATCAGCCAGCATGATAGCTAAGCTAACCCACACAATCCACCCTTTACTCCCCTTCTCCCAATCATCCACATCGCCCGGCGCCCAGCCCCGATTCTTGGCCAGCGGCGAGAGCACGCCCCATCCGATCACCGCCCCCAAAAGCATGTGCAGCGTCGTGGCGGGACCCATGATGATGCCCTGTCCGACATAGGCCAAGCTGGGATTCAGCGTCCACAACCACGTCGTAGCGAGGTAACTGCCGAAGATGGGAATCGACCTGAGCGCCGGGACGAAGTACGTCGACAAGGTAAAGATACCCGAGACCAGGAAGCAGACCAGCAAGAGGTTGAGATTCCGTCGCCACGAAGCCGAATGCGGTTCCGCTGCAGCCTCTCCCTCCTCTTCCGCCGCGTTGTTGTTGTTGCTGTTGTTGTTGTTGTTGTTGTTGTTGTTGTTGTTGTTGTTGTTGTTGTCGTCACCCGAGCCCGACACAACAGCACTCCCCGACTCCTCCTGGGCCGCCAAGCTCGCAAAAGTCGCCGGATCCTCATGCCTCTCGCTCTCGCTCGCCCTCTGCCTCGTCTTGCCATGCAACACACTAATCAACACGGCCGTACTAAACCCACTGGGGAACTTGAGCTGCTCGCGAATAATCACCTGCCTCCTGAGCGGGACCCCAAACACCACCCCAAAATAACACAACCCCAACCCCCAGACCACCAATTTCCCCAATCCCAAATCCAGTCCGGCCCCCCCGCCTTCATCCTCCCTCAACAAAAACTGCATGGCAGGAATAACCCCCACAAACCCGCACCCAAGCGGCATAATCGCCATACTCCCCGCCACCGTTTGGACGAGGACGTTTTCCACCGGACTAAACGGGAATTTTAGGCGTTGCGTCAAAAGTCTGAAAACGCCGAACCCCATCAGAGAGGCCGGCATGCTCATGATGCTGACCCACCCCGTCTGCAGGCCAAAGTACATGTTGGAGAAGCAGATGATGAGGCCGACGCCCAGGCCGACGAGGACGCCCCGGATGGTGAAGGATTTACCCTCGATGAGGGGGCGGGGTGGGGAGTGAGGGGAGAGGGAGGGGTCTGATGAGGAGGAAGAGGAGGAGGAGGAGGAGGTTGCGGAGGGAGTGAGGGGGGCGTCCGGGTTGGTGGTGTCGGTGGGCTCGGAGGAGGTGGATGGTGGTGCGGCCGGACCTGGACCGGGACCCGGAGCGGGGGACGGAGGCGGCAGTAGCGGGTCGCGGGGGTCCGCTGTCGCCGCCGTGCGCGACCGTTGCGCCATTGCTGATTGGTGGTTTTGCTCGTTCAGAGCCCAAAAGTTGTCGTTGGTCGAGGCTAGTTGGTTATAAAAGCGAGTGTAGAAAGATGGTTGTCGAAGTGTTGTGAATGAGCGAGCGGCTGAGTTGCCGCAGTTGCGTGTTGTTGTGAAGAGGAAGAGGAGCCGAAGAGCAAACAAAAGTCAAGTCAGGCAGGCTCGAATAATGCACTAACAGATAACGTGCAACACTACCTGACAAATCAATGGATCCGGCACATCCAAGCCGTTACATAAATTGTCAATGCAATTCGCGGTTTACCAATTATTTATCATATTGAGTCAGTCATAATCACAGCAGGCTACTAGATATACAACCCCGCACTTTATACTTACATTGGGCTAGTTGGATGTTGTCTCTTTTTATCTTAAAAAGGTATCATCGACATTGGGATGTGATATCTTCCCAGGGTTAGGGTCTGTGGTGAGTGTTGAATTTGTATAGGAACTTTCCTTCTTTACACCAGCCTCCAAATTATTACCATTTCCTAGGTATGATTCATGCTCCAACAACATAAGTATATACATAGGCTTTTTTTCACTACAATACTTGCCTAAAACCCAAAGCTATCCAACAACGAATTTGCATCAGGCTCCTCAAACACCGTCGGCGGCGGCTTAGGCTTATGAGGCGTCAATGGTGTTCCATGTCCCGACTTCATTTCCGCCGGCACCTGTAACGACGTCGCTTTTTCAACCACCGGTGACGAGACATGTGAAGGGACTGGCATATCCGCTACCACCAAGGAGCTTCTGCGCTTGAGAAGTGTAAGGGGGTTGATCTCGCCTCCAAGTTCGGCCGGAGCAGTTGGTGCTGGTTTGAGGAATTCCCAGTTTCGGACTGTTTGGAGTTAGCACTTGTTCTTTAGGATACAAATCACGATCGGAGCCGTTGAGATTATACATACCGAGATCAAGACCGAGGAGGTCACATCCCATGCGGCCATACAGTCGAGCATTGTGCAGAACAAATTCCCACTCGACCTTTGGTGTCACTTTGGATGCCCCGCGGAGCGTCTGGAGTGTTTTCTGCCTCAACTGGGCGTAGAGGATCACCAGCGCCGGGTCATCTGTTAGGAATGACTTAGACTGGAGACCAGAAGAACCGGGCGTTTCCAGGAGCGTGTATACAGGCGTCTGTTTGTCGAGTATCTTGTCAGCAACAGCAAATCTTCTCGTAGCATCGAAAAACATGAAAACAAAAAACTCACTATCAACGCCCTAACCGCCATGTCCCTCCTATGCAGCATCCAGAACGCCCAACTGGCGAGCCATCTGTTGCCATCTTTCGCCGCAATGGAAAGCACTTCTTCCTCGAGCAGCTTGCGCAGGACTGGTCCATGGTCCCCTTCATATACCCTCGTGATCGCGATGGCCAATTGTAGATCCTTGAGCTGATTCAAGCAGACATTGACCGCGTCCTGCAAGTGGTCGGCCAGCAAGAAGAACGCAGCAGCATACGCAAACCGCCTCTTGCTCATGAGCGCATACGCGTTCTTCAGGGCCGCCGTCCGCCACTTGGGATCGTCAAAGTTGTTGGCCAGGAACCGTTGGGTTGCGCCTTGCTCGCGGTTCCAAGAAGCCATTCGCCACAAGCCTTGGAGAACCGTTTTCTTCTTGAGTGCCAGATAGAACAAACTGCAGTCTACCGGATTCTTCATCTCGCTCTTGCTGTATTCATTACGAGCAATGATTTCAAACTGGGTTTTCTAGTAGTGAGTAAATGGTATGTTAGCATTCCACAACGCCAGACGGTAGATTTTTGGAGTGTATAAGCTTACCACAGCAGCAGTATCAGTCAACCACAAGTAGATACCGGCTTCCCTGGCATCCTCCCACAGCATTGGGCCATGATGTTGTCTTGACACAAAGTCCAGCAGGATATCCTGACTACCCGAATGGTACGCCCATGCAATCTCCCTCCACGACATATGATTCTCGTTTGTCCTCCTCTTCCGTAGCGCATGTTGTCGATAAAAAAGCATGAATCTGGCGCCATTCTCATCAAGCGACCTCCTCTGTTTCTCAACTGTTCCCACACATTCCACGATATCCACGAGTTGAATCTGTTCATGACGCGAGAGCTGCGGCAGGCCAATCTCCGTTAGTTTTTCGCCAATCTTCATCGCCACCTCTTCGCTGAAAACCTCATCGTCCCCGTCGTCGAATGACATACGACGGTCACCGGAAAAGTAGTCCCCAGAATCGTTCCTCTGTTTCCTTGAAGAGTGTCCAGTGTGGTTGTCCGTATACTCGCCGGACCAGAAATCCTCAAGAGGCAGGCCAAGATAATCGTCAATCGTCTCGCCTTCCACCCAGAACTTGAGCGTCTTGTGAAGAGCCAGCAGAACCCGATGGACCAAAGCGATCTTGCCAGAAAGAATACATTGACTCAGGAACTGTGGGTGAAACACTGGTAATGGGCCGTTCAGCCGCTGCACTACCTCGAACAAATCCCACTTCCCACCCTTACGGCGCGGCAGTCTCAGGCTTGTGATGAGCGAACCTGACACATCAAAGTGCCTGTCGTATATGAAGAACTGGTTGCCAGCACCGATGACAAGATGCCCGTCGCCTAGCCAGGTGGAATCACCGATAGGATGGGGTGTGAGGACGCGGGTGCTAATTTCTCTGATTGGCGCCCAGGCTGGTCCCTTGTTGAGGTAATCAAAACGCATCTGTGAAATTAGCAGCACCCGATGGGGGAACCCGACGGCCAAAATGGACTGGCCATCAGGAGTTGAAGTCCAGTCAAGGTCACGGATGGTGTTATGGTTTTCAAAGTCCTGTGAGTACTCAAGACGACCGCCCCGAACACCCCAAATTGTGAGTTCCGATCGGTTCGAGTTGACTAGGGCTGCCTTTTTAAGGCTGTTGCCACTGACCAGTATCGGATTGGACAGGCCCGTCTCCATGGAGTTCGTAGAAAGCCACTCTACGTGCTGTTTTTCTTGGTCTACCCTGGCTGTCCAGAATTCGACTCTTCCAGAGTGCGTGTAGGAGATGGCAACGTCAACAGCGAAGACGTCCAGGAACCCAGACACCACAGGCGAAGAGCCGGCGGGATCCACGGGAAGAACATATGCCAAGTCACCAGCATCCTTGAGTTCAAACTTGGTGAATTCCCGGACCGTACCCTCTTGGTGATACCCAATACCGTTAACGACAGGGACGTTTTCTTGTGGCTTGTAAAAAGGAAGCTTAACTTCCCAAACAATGCCTTGCTTCTCTGACGTTATGGTGGCCACATGGGCGGTTGTGTAATCTTCTATATGCTGCCTCGGAAGAATGAGCAGACAAAGCGGCTTGCCTGGAACATCGTAGTCTACTTCTGATAGCAACACAGGATTCGTTTTGCGACAATCCCAAAGGGAGATCGTTTTGTCTCGAAGGTACAGGACAAAGCGGCCTTTACGGATGAGCAACATTCGATGGACATGGCTATCCAGGTTGATGGCTGCCTGCTGAGAAAGCCTAGTCCTCTCGTTGTTGAGCTCATGTTTCCAGACGATACTTTGGCCTGAGCCTGTCCGCGACACAATGGCACGGCCGCTATAGTTCCGGACAATCTTCTTGATAGGAGCAGAGTGACCGGTCCACAGGCACCTGAAGCTCAACCGCCTTGTCTGCGGAGTTGGGTCAAACAGCGAAGCGATGTTGGTTCGGTAGACCTCTATCGTGCCGTCAAAGAAGTGTAGCAAGATGTGCAGGTGAATCCCAGTATTGCAGTAACTGTAGGCCTCGACATGAGGCACGTTTGTTGTGACGCCCTTCAAAAAGTCGAATTCTGGTGATGTGATATGAGCGACGTTGAAGATGTTACACTTTTGTGACCTCGATCCAACGTTCTCGAGACCCCAAGCTGACATGTGGCCTCGACCATCCAACACAACAACAACCTCGGGGCTGCGATTAGCTATCGCAATAACGTGCTCAAGGGCTGTCGTGTCCTGATCTGGCCGAGCTTCCTGAACGGCCTTTTCTGTCGCCGCAGACAGGTCTCTACCATGCAGTATGAAAGCCCAACGGAGGGGAGATACAGTTGGGTCTTCTAATGCCCGATCTTGTATCGACACAGCCAGGTCTACCGTTGCACACAGCTGAAGATGTTGGTGACTATGGCCGTCCGAGCCTGTCCAGAGCCGGAGTTTATTATCAATGCAAAAAGTGTAGAGCACATTGTCAATGGTCTGATCAATGTGGCGAGGCCGGCGCCATTGGATGTTGGTCACGGCCTGAGGATGCGGTAGGTAGAGAAAATCGAAGCGCACATCGTCGGACCCGTAGCTGAGTCGTCGCCAGACTTTCACCAAGCGGTCGTACTGGCCCACGGAGGCGATATATGCGGAATCATAGGACACGCTAGCAATCCGAACGGGGTTGGCCAGGCGCTTGCGCCACAGACATCGTGGTGTAGATGACGTTGTTTGGTATAACTCGAGATGCGAATGTGCGACTACCAGTTCTTCGGATGCGCCCCAGGAGAGGGAGATGGACGTCCTCTCTTCAGCCACACACTGATCCCGCTCGACGTCGAAGGAGTAGTGTAGCGCCCACTGCGATGCGACGATTAAAGCAGCGTTAGCGCATCTTGATCTCGGCAACAGGAATCGTACGTTGAAGGCGCACAACATACCCTAAATGCGTCGTCCTCCTGGCCGAACGGTTTGTATATGCGCACAGCGTCGTAGGTGCACACGGCTATCTTGCCCGAGGCCTCATCCAGGGCGATAGCCTCTAGAGGCTCCTCGTTGTCATCGTATATAGTCTGTAGGATGGTTTGTGGTTCTCCAAGGATGGCAATGGCGCTGCCGGTGATGTATGCCTGGTTTGAGTGATTATGATTAGCAAAACTGCCTTATGATCAAAAATAAAGAGCAAAAGGGTATATCTCACGGTTATGCGACGAGAATCCCAGTAGCCCGTCGCCAGAGCTTGGAGCCGGGATTCTGGCCTTCCGGGCAGGACAGCAACCATACTAAACTACCGGCGAGGAATGCTGCTACTGCTAGCTAACATTGCGACGGGTAGTCGATATGCGCGGTCTTGTTTTGACCGGTATTAGGAAGGGGATACGGAGAGAGAGAGGCGACGAGGTCTTAAACTGGAAAAGACAAATGGCGTGTTTGCGATGCAATTGGTGGTGTTGATGGATGCGATTGATGCCGTGTGATGTGATGTTGAGCTACTGTAGCTCCTAGATGGAGGGTCGGGGTCTAGAGGTGCCGCCGGCAGCACTTCCCGTCCGCTATGTCCACTGTGAGTCCCTTTTGTGGCTGCCCACAGTTCCCCATGACCGGCCTCCTATGACGTGGGGTTAGGTACCCGGACCTCCAAGGGGAAGGTGGGATGGCCGTAGACCTCTACGAACGATGCGGAAGTCTAAAAACAATGTCCGTTTCCCAAATCGAAGGTAAATAGAGGTATAGCTAGTAAGCATTCCCATACTCGAAGCGGGAAGCTATGAGAACGGTCATCTGCATGGTTGTGTATTCCCAACTATGCTGGCGCTGGTTCAACCACAGAGTCGTCAACCCAAAGCTGCAGTGGGTCCAAAGGCCCAGGACATTCAGGGGTATTTGTTTACATAGGTCGTCCGTCGACCCCGGACAACGGCACCACCACTTACATCTTCACCAAACAATGCCTTATACACGGATCCTACATCTATCTTACACTGGAATATGATATGCCAGGTTATAGCATACTAATCTCCTCTAAGAAACGCCCGGTACGCCCTTAAGCACGCCATTATCATCGTACTTGGCCTCTGTTAAAAAAGAAGAATCAACCGTCAGCTTTCTGTCCCTTGAGTCCAAACCTCCAAATCTCCCAAGCCGAAATCTCCATCGAAGCGCGGGAAATAAACTTACTAAAAAACGTATACGAAAGCGTAACAGTCTCAATCCCCTTCATGTTCAAATCATTCAAATAATCCGGATCCAGATAAAAGAACACGGGCATATCCACCGTCTCGCCGGCGTTCAGCCGCTGCTCCTCAAAGCAGAAGCACTGGATCTTGCTAAAGTAGGGCGCAATCTGCGCGGGCGTGACGCTGTACGTGGCTACGCCGATGATGTCCTTGTCGCTCTTGTTGGTGGCCGTGTAGAAGGCCAGCGCGGTCTCACCCGGGAGAACCCGCACCTCGCGCTGCTGCGGCACGAACTTCCAGTCGAGCACGTCCGACACTGAGGCGCTGAAGGTCACGCGCATGCGCTTGGCGTCCCGGACCGGCTCGAGCTTGGCGGCGAGGTCGACGTCGGAATCGGAACCGAAACCGCCGGCGCCGTGGGCGCGGACGGGTTGACCGCCCCAGCCGGTTGTTTGGCAAATCTGTTGGAGAGAAAAAAGATGTGTTAGTTGAAAATGGACAGACAGTAAGCCGAGCGACATGGTAAGCAAGTAGGGCACGGGTAGATCGAAGAGAAGGAACCATACCATCTTATACATAGGCACGGAGCCATACGAAAACGCCACGGTACCAAGAATAACACTAATGACATAGTACATGGTCGATTGATTCCTCTTCTTGTACTCGGCTCTCACTCTCTCCATCTCCGGCGACACGCCCGTTCGGGAGCTTTGACTCCTTGTCTGTTGCTGTTGCTGCTGGCGCCTGCTTGCGCCCTCGGTCGAAAACCATCTCCATGCCCTGCTGCTCTGTTGCTTCTTTGCGCCCGATGCTTGTTGCTGTGTCGTTATCGTCGTCTTTCCCCGGGAGGTAATAGACGCCGCGGCCGATGGCGCCTTAGTATCGGACGAGAGTTGCCGGCGCCATTGGTTTTGGAATTGCTGGCGACACGAGAAGCAGGCCCACGAAGCCGATTGGGAGGAGGACGACTGAGCAGCGACGGCTCTTCGGCCGACGAAGCGTGGCACCGAACTCATGGTGGGAAGGGTGACTGACTGCTTTAAGTTCAGTCTTCTGTTTAGTGGAGGTGGGACCGGGGACATGGTTGTGCTGCGAAAGCGTGGAGCTCTGGAATTCTCACCGCCTAAATATGGCCGGCACAAATGCGGGACGTCCCGATCGCAATTGAGGGACGCCCGCACGTTTGTTTCAGAGCGCAGCTTTCGGTGCACAGAGGACAGTATGGACCGCCGTAGTTGCAAGCATCACCGATGTCATCGACATTGTCGGTTTTGGAGTTATCAAAATACAAATGGTAGGAAATGGCAAATGGTAAACACAAAGATGACTTATCAAAACGCATGTTCAATTATTTAATATCAAGTTAATTAGTATATTCGGGTTTAAATTATTATAATATTCTTATAACATCAAGTATTATTGCAACTTGTCACTTTATAACATAGTTTAACATTCTTACATATACACTTTTCTTTGTATTTGCAACTCTACATAGCAAGTCAATTTAAGCTAGAATAATATACTTAAAATTTTGATTGCTGCCTACATATTAAAGCAATCAAAATTCATCGACGTCGCTTGCTTCAACACTACTAAATACAAGCTCGTCGTCATCGTCCTCGTCGTCCTCATAAACAAAGTCCAACGCTCCCTCGTTCAGCTGCCAGTCCACACCTTCAGCTTCAAGCGCCTGCTTCGTTTCCTCTTCCAAAAGATCAACGCTAAAGTCCAGCGGCAGGTTTGTAGAATGGACTTCCTTAGCTGTCGAGAAACTTTCTTCCGTGACAGGTCTTAACGGTGAAAGATACCGTCTAACTCCTTCACTGTATAGCCGCTTAGTTTCTTGCTGCGATGCATAGAATTTAGCTTTGAGAGGCAAGCGGGGATCTTCATCCAAATGCGCTTCTCGCCGAAATAAGCCGGTCTCGACATAGTTCGGGCCTTGAACAACGCCGAGAGTACGGTCTGGCAGTTGTTGAAGCTGCAATTTGGCCAAATAAGATCGGCCTCTCGAGATACCAGATTCCGACTCCAACAGCTGGCCCTGAGCATCATAGGTGGGTGCCTCTGGTTCCGGGTGTGGAATAATAGATTGCGGACGCCGAATCCTCTTTGGCAATTTTTGCCCCGGGATTTTCATATGCATGAACAAGGTGCGGTCGTTGTGGTCTCCCTCATCTTGTTCGTTGAGTGACAAGAAGAAGACTCGTCCACTAGCATCGCCGATGACCAGCCTGGACTTGTCGGGAGAGAACATGCCGCAGGAAACGGGGGCAGGAACCTCCAAGAGGTCGCGGACCAATGGGTTGCGGGATCGCACATTCCATACTTTTACCACGCCGTCAGAGGAACCGGTATAAAACCGGTCAAGAGTCCTTCCCCATGCGGTAAATTTGACACCCACATCCTCGTGCTCACGATCACCTCTGAGTTCCTCTATCGGCTCCCCGTGGCGTAGAATATGGATCGGCTTATCACCTTGAGCGGTGTCCCAAACGTACGTATTTCCGTCTGTGCATCCGGCCGTAATGTAGCAAGAACCGAAGCTAATGGGCATGATAGTAAGCTCATTGATATCGAGCGCCCAGCAATCCAGTGTTTGAATAGGGCTGAATGACTTTTCGCCATGCTCAGAAACGGGAGACGGGGTGAAGACCCGAATTTGGGTACGGGTATTGTACTGCAGGTCCAGGCCCAGTGGTGAAGTGGCCGCAATGAAGCAGGCTTGACTGGGATGCCATAGAACCTCAAAAACATTCTGGGTGGTAGCGGATGTTATCCGCCACCTTTCTCCCGTGATTCCGTCCCAAAGGCAGAGTTCTCCCGTTTCCCTACGATCGGGAGGAATATCAAGGTCATCCCCTGTCCTGCTACGAGGTGAGTAGCCCACCAGAAGCAAATGTCGAACGGTTGGCGATCGACCCCATTGCATAGTGGCAGGAAAGTAGGCCCATCTCTCGGTTGAAACAGTGTTGCCCTCTGCGTCTTCCACCCGGGAGCAAGAAAAGGACCGATACGGGCTGGTCGAAATCGAGTCGTTGCTATGAATGTTGTATATGCGCACAGCATCCGTAGGAACATCTGCTGCCGTTGCAACCATAGCCGTTGTCGAGTCATGCTTTGAGGCAGCCACAAAGTTGACATTGCCCCCATGGGACCACTCGCCCAACAAAACCATGGAAGAGCCGGACGGGTCTACCTTCCAAACTTTGACTTTCCGGTCAAACCCAGAGGTAAATGCCCGATCGTGGACATCGTCATAGTCCGAGGCAACAACAGATGAGTACAGCCACGGGTCTTGACTCTGTCTCATAGCATCGGTCGAGTTTTCACCCTTTTCGACAACCGGACGGACAATCCGATGATCAGCATATGCCCGCAGAGTGCCTTGACTGCAAGATCCGAGAACGAGGTTGCCGGGCTTGTTGTACTGTTGATTATGAGCATCCGAATGCTCCGTTGTCCCGCAAATGAAGCCGTCGTTTGAGACCCAAGCGATGGTCGCAATATCTCCAGCACAATCCGTCCATTCTCTTCGCAGCTCCAACTCATCCTCATGACACTTGACGAACTCATTCGGGAAGTTCATGGGAGCCCTCAAAGCCATGCCGCGGTTACCAGAGGTTTCCCTAGCAAAGAGGAGCGAATTGATTTGGCTCGAGCGAGCGAGCTCACCGTGCAAGTCGTACTTATCCCTTTTTAAGGCAAGTATTGAGGGATCCCTTGATACCTTGTGATTAACTAAGTCATGGAGGAACCGTTCAATGTCTGCCCTGTTTCGGCGCGAAAGTTCGCTTTCCGACCGGATGGCATCCAAGACCTTGACAATTTCTCCGCGATGCTTTTTGAGCTGCTTTCGGAGATCTTTAGCAAGATCTTGCTTCCTGCTCCCAGAGGACAGGCCAAGGACTCTTCGACAAAGGTTCCGCAGAGCCTTGGTTTCATCGGCGGTAAAGTCGACATGGAAGGTCGTAGGTCGAGTGAGCGAGGACTCGTCAAATCGTACAAACTTGTGCACACCGACCGAGATGTTGGCCCTCTCCTCTGCTGACAGGTATGGTCGTTTGGCCTCACTGAACAGCCGCGATGATAAATTTTGGAAATCAGCGCTGTCTTCGTGTCCCCGCCAGGCCAAAGCGTGGGCTCGACTTCGATAATTCTGTGCTGAGGTCGTGACTATGCCACGGTTTTGCGGCCTCTGCTCTTCTTCGACGCGTTTACGCAATCGAGACACTCGGCCTCGCCTCCTCGGCTCCGGTACCGGGTTTTCAGGCAGGTTGCTAACAGAGGGCGGCTGGGCGACAGATGTCGACGGCGGGTCCAGGATCATCAACGATCCAGCGGGTGAATTTGGTTGAGGCACTGGTATGGCTGCTGGTGGAGCTCCCTTGTCTTCTTCTTCTTCCTCGTCATCATCCTTAATGGTTATAACCTGTGGCGGTTGCGGCGGCGGTAGTATGGTTGGTCGGTTAACTACTGTCGTCGTATGACCTGTAGCAACCGGAGCGGGAGGGTATCGCAACCCAGAAGGAGGGTTTACACCTCTGCGTGTCTCCTGACGCCCAGGCACTGCTGGAAGAGGTATTGGAGAGTTGGAGTAGCGACGTTCATTGGCCGCGGGGAATGTATGGGTTATAGCCGAGCCCGCCACCGGACGCGGAGGCGGAGGTGGCAACGGGGCCGTGGCATAGCCGGAAGGTGCCTGGGAAGGTGCCAGGACAGGTGCCCCTGGGATCTGGGGGACGGGTACCGGCGTGTACGACTTGAGCTGATATTCCTGGTAGATGTTAGCAACGAATACCGTACCCTCTGTAGAGAAAAGCAACACATAAATAAACGTTATTAATACGCACGGGAAGCATGAGCAATGCGCGGGTTTCCACCGGGATACGGGCAGCCAGAAGTCGTTCGAACACATCGCTTACACGCCCATTCCCAAGCTTATAAGCGGCCGTAAAGTCGACGCCAGTCACATTCTCGACGACCTGGAAGAGGAGAACTATGGGTAAGGCATGGGAAGGTAACCAAAAGATTATAAGGGTCATAAGGGGAGCGAATGGGAACAACTAACGAAAGCCGTAGCATGCTAACCTTTGTTCCTATTTTTTGTAGGTCGTATTTGTCTCTGGGCAAAGTTGCTAGCTCCCGGTCGACGTGCGGGAACACTTGATTTGCGAGGCATTGGACAAAGACGTCCTGCATTCCCCAGTGGGTAGGAGACTGAGAGTTGCCATTCTGCTGGAGCTGGTTGTTGATGGTGGGGGCTGAGACTGGAACGGTCTCGGTTCGCTGTCGTTTGGAAGGCGGATGTTCGAGATCGTCCGGCTGGTGCCTCTGCTCAGCTACAAGAGAGCCATGGGAGGCAACGGTGGTGGCACCGGCCGAGGAGCCGTTCGTGAGCGGGCCACGCGCGGGATCTCCAGGCCTAGGGGTAGTAGATGTGTCTGTTAATGCTAATCCACGAAACGTGGCGCTGCTAGAGATATCATGTCTTCTAATAGATTGAGAAGGGGGTGAGGTGGTGGTGATCGCCAGTGTCATGGAGGGATCGATAGTAGGAACAAGGAGATGAGGCGATCGAAGGGTAGGCGGGCACGCAACGCGCAACGCGCATCAACAACCGCCGAAGAAGAAACAATGCGATTTAAACTTGGTTGAGCGGGAAGATTTGTCTAAAAGAATCAAGTAGTTGACAAAAGGAGAAGAGAAGCGCGTTATGATGGTTTTTAAAAAGAAAGTTACGTACCTAGAGTTCATTTCTAAACGGTTCGCGGTCAGGGTACACGCTTTGGAAAGAAAAGGAATCAAGTTGTATTCTGATTCAGGCCTGTGCTAGATTAATTAACTAGCGAGATATGCAACGTCGCGTGATATTACGTAAGCTACAGCGACTGCCAAGCAAAGTTCGCTAATTATTATTTAATTCAAAAGACAATTAACTAATACCAAACTTAAACTTTAAATGCTGAATGCCGTTGGCTTTATTATGTCTTTAAAGGGATTTTATATTGTAGTGCACTTACCGACAAGAAGTTTTATATTTCCATATCATTCCACGTCCCGACGCTTCAAGCTCAAATCGCATCTTTACTTCCTTTGTAACTACTTATCATAGACAAGTCTTAACGCTTCGATGTTCGTCCGTTTTGACACCTCGCCAAGCGGGCCTGCTAGAACAGGAGGTCGAAGCATGCGATTCTCGCCCGATGCGGTCGTAGTGGGAAGTCAGACGGCCGGTCGTGCAATGCAGGTCCAGTCTCCAGCCGGCTTGATTTAAGGCTTCAATTTTGCTTGCTGCAATTGAAGAAAACGCAACAGAAAGACATGTTGAAGATCATTCCGAGAGACATGTTAAGATGACAGGGCAGGCGACTGTGTGTGCGAACCTTGATGTCTGGGGAGTTCTGCTTAGGAGCATGAAAACGCGAAGTCACGAGTTCACATGTGACAGCTTGGACACAATGCAGCGCGGTCCGATTCGTGCACCCCCCTTCTACGCGGGCGGACAGCCCCTGCCCAAGACATTCTACGGCGGGGTTTACAGCTTAATAGGAAGGATTGTGGAAATGCCTTCGACATGGAAGTTTTGAAGGGGTTTACGAATCATCGCTAAAGAAGAGCTTGTAATAAGTTATAGTAAATTGCACTGTTAAATAGTTATAACATTATTCCATGTTTCCACTTTCGGAGCAGTAATAGAAGCTTAATTAATACTTTATAATTGTGGCAGAATTTAACTTGCCATAATTATATATCACTAGTACTCTACAACTGCAGTTCTCTTGACAAGCAACGTATGTCCACTCCGGCTATTATGCTCGTTATCGTTAGCGAACAACTCAGCTCTCTGTAAGCTCCCTTCCTTTATGCTGCCACCCAAGTCATAACCATCCCCTTCTCTCACTTAGTTTATACCCGCGAGTAGTTTCAACCTCTCTTCTTCTTGCCACCTTGCTGGGCGCCGCCACCCGTGCTCGCCGCCGCATCACCAGAAGACTCCTCCTTCTTAGCGCTGGTACCGGCAAGAAAAGCAGCCATATCAAAGTTCGACGCCGCGGGAGCGCCACCGCCGCCCATGAGAGCGTTCATGGGGTTCTTCTTCTGATTCTCTTCCCATTCAGCGCGCATTTCGGGGTCCACTGAGGGTACTGTTAGCGGCGATTACTCGAAGAGACGGGAAAGAAGAAGCACACGTACTGTTCTCAACCAGCTTCGGCATGCCAAGGAAGATGACCATGCTGACCAAACCGAGAAGGATCATGGGGTTGCGGAGGATCGAAAGAACGGAGACTAAAAAGTTCAATGCGGTTAGTATATCAATCACCATCATCAAGTACGGTTCCCCCCGTTGCAACACTCACATTTACTCCTCTCCATAAAATATCCCTTCTCCCCCAACACCTTCGCCCCAAACACCACGCCCCCATTCCCCCCTCCCCTCAGTGTCTGCCTCGGCGCCTCCTCCCCCTTATTATCCCAATCATTGCCCCTGTACGTCTCCCACGCCTTCACCTCCAACTTGGCCTCGCCGTGTCCGTCCCCTTCCACGCCGTCCAAGATGGGTGCCACGTCCACCCGAAGCGGGGCGAACGCGTGCGTGGGACAGTGGATGTCCAGCAGGTACGAGCCCTGCGTGACATTCCTAAAAACGAGCGTGTTGGCGACGCTGAGGGGGGCGGACTTGGTCTGTCCGAAGGTGGACAGCGTGCCGTGCGTGGAGGGGGGGAAGACGAAGAGTTTTCCTGAGGTGTCGCCGGGAGGGGTGGAGGGGAGGGTTATTGTTATCGAGGTTTGCGGGGCGAGCGCTGCAAGGGCGGTCGTGGCCGAGGCCAGGAAGGCGAGGGTGGTGGTGAGGAGTTGCATGTTGGGGTTGGGCCGACTATCGAGTGGTTGAATTTGGTTGTTTACGGGCTCTGCATCCTCGAGAAATGAAGATGAGAATGAGTGCGACCACGACAAGATGGAGGAAAATGGTGATGCGCCGGATGCTTGATGTAGGTGGGATTGTAGAGGTCGAGGTCGGGAGGCACAAGTGGGAGGTCACTGTTGCGACGTTTGGGTGGAGCTTTCCATGGGAAGCTCCAGCTGTGACGAAATCGCGGGTGCGGCTCTGAAGGGAGGGGCCGTGCAGGGATTTTGATTGGCGCTGAGCGCGACACGCTTTGGGCATTTCTACGGCGAGCTACAACACCAAATGATTCTAACGAAATATCACCGAATGCTTTTGACCTGGAGTGATCAGCCACGTCCATGATATATCGCCAAATACCCGGTCCTTACCTGTATTACCATCGTCCATCTTCTGGGTGACTAGTTTATTTTTTTTAGTTTCTTTTTATCATCCAAACACCCCATCTTTAGGGACATTCCTCCCGATGCACATATAGCAAGATCATTCACTTCATGACAACGTTGAAACCTTTGAAGTCTTTACCCTAACTTGAGAGCTCAAAAGCAGTAGCTTTTAATTCATATACATATAATGGTCAGATTTCAACGACATACCAAGAAATCAAAAACCATCCCTCAACCAAGTAGCACCAGCACCAGCACCAACCAGCAAGCACAGCAAAGACGACAATTATTCACATCAGATCAAAACGCAAGTAGATTCATACACATATACAAAGAACGCCAACAACGCTAATGATGATGACGACGACAGCACATCTTTGACCTTCCCAATTCCCCTTCTATAGCTTGGCCTTGGTCTGGGCAGCGGCGTTGATCTCCTCGTACATGCGGTCGATTTCGGCCCTGAACTTCTTGGCGGTCTGGGGACGCTTGAGCTTGAGACTATTTGAAAGTTAGCGGTCTGGTTCATTACATTTAGGTTCTCAGAGGGATGATTAAGACTTACGTTGGCGTCAAAAGCTCATTCTCAATCGTAAACGGCTCAATATCCAAATAAACATTCTTGACCTTCTCATAGCTGTTAAACTTGTGGGTCTTGCCAATGCCATCCAGCAGCTTGAGGAAAGCCGTCTTGACACGGGGGTCGTTGGCGGACTGTTTCAGCTCTTCAAGATTTTCAGGGGCAATGTTCTTCTTGAGTATCCTGCTGGCATAGGGCGCGAAGGTGACGGGGTCGATTCCGAAGATGCCCACCAGGCTGGACTCCTTGCCGTCGCCGTGCACAAACGCCATGGCGATCAGGTTGGTGCTGGCCATGTACACGTTCTCGATGCGCTCGGGCGAGATGTACTCGCCCTGGGCCAGCTTGAGCACGTTCTTCTTGCGGTCGATGATCTTGAACCGGCCCAGGCTGTCGACCTCGACGATGTCGCCCGTGTGGAACCAGCCGTCCGCTTCGACCGCCTTGGCGGTTTCTTCCGGGTTCTTGTAGTACTCCTTGAACATGATGGGACCGCGCATGAGCAGCTCGCCGCGGGGGTACGGCTTGTCGTCGATAGTGTAGTCGTAGTCGGGCACGGACTCGATGCAGAGCTCGACCGAGGGGCAAGGGGGGCCGATGTTGCCGGTGGTGAAGTCGCCGGGAATCTGGACGGTGCCGGTGGCGTACGACTCGGTCATGCCGAAGCCTTGGACAAAATCGTTGCCGAAGGCGGCGCGGAGGAACTGGTGCACATCAGGGTCGAGCTGGGCGGAACCGCTGACCATGGTGCGGGCGCGGTCGAGACCGACGCCCTTGAGAACCTTCTTGGTCCAGATGCGATCGTACAGGAAGTGCTTGTTGGTGGCCTTGCCGGCGGGCAGGGCCATACTCTGCTTCTTGGCCTCCACAACGTAGCGGGACAGGGTGCCCTTGAAGCCGTCGGCGTTGACGGTGGCGGCCTGGACGGCGCTGTTGATGCGGTTGAACAGACGCGGGACGGACATGAGGCCGGTCGGGCGCAGGATCTTCATGTCCTCGACCAGGCCGGCGATGTCGCCGTGGAAGTAACCGATGCTGGCGCCCTCGGCCAGAGCGGTCTGGTCGGCCATGCGACCGTAAATGTGCGCCAGGGGAAGGTAGGAGATGTGGATATCGGTGGAGAGGATGCTCTGGTTCGAGCGCGCAGCAGCAATACCGGCCACACCCTGAGCATGAGTGATCAAGACACCCTTCGGGTCGCCAGTGGTGCCCGAGGTGTAGTTGATGGTTAGAACATCCTCACGCTTGGGGGGCTTCATAGAGAGGCCAGACTTGACACCGAGCCTCTGAACCTCACCGATGCAGAAGATCTTGACGCCCACGTTGGAGGCGGCGGCGTTGAGAAGCTCGCGCTTGGTGTGGCCGGCAGGCTCACCAGCATCCAGAGGATCCAGGGAGATGATGAGCTTCAAGGTAGGGCAACGCGGCGCAAGCTTGAGGAGGGTCGGGATATGGGGCACAGAGCATGCAATGGCAGTAAGGCCGCTGTGGTTGATGATGTACTCGGTGGTCTCGGGTCCGAGAGTCTCGTAAAGAGAGATGGGGAACAGGGACTGGGAGAGGAGCGCAAGTTCTGTGATGCTGTTAGTATACCTCGTGCATTATGCATGTGCACGGCGCATTGTGTCAAAGTACTTACCGGTGATCTGCCACTCGGGACGGTTCTGCGCCCACAAACCAACACCATACTTCTCCTCGGTCAAGCCAATGGACTTGTGGAGGGCGACAATGCCGGCGCCAAAGTTCTTCCTCCGCTCAGCAACCTCCTTGTAGGTGATCCAGACATACTTGGGCTCGTAGGTCTTGGTGGCGGCGTTCCATGGACGCCATCCCAAGCACTTCTTGTTGGGCACCTTCTCAACCGAGGCTTCGAAAAGATCGTGGACAGTCTGGTGAGCCGGGTCAAAGGTCTCGAGGAGAGGGCTGTTGACGAACTTCCAGTGACGGTAGACGGGAGTGCGGTTGGGGCGCTCGGTGCCGGGGACAGGTAGGGCGTAGGGAGTGCCAGGCGGAGGAGGCTCGGCGATGGACTTGATATACGCCGCGGTATCTTGTTTGGGCGCCATGATTATAGAATAGGACGGACTAGTACTGTTACGGTCAAGGAAGGAAACACGTATCGCAAGAGGCGCAAACGGTTAAAGAAGGAACCTGAAGGCGCGCACTGAGGTTATCGCCAACACCGTCACCGACACTTATGAGGTAACAAAGGGGGTTGATGGGCGCAAAAAGAGAGAAACACTTGAGGAAGAAGAGAAAGAAACAAAACGACCTGGCAACCTCGGACAAGCAGAAGACAAGTGGAAGAGCTCAAAGAAGCAAGGATGGACGGCTACTGGAAGGCGTTCCCCTTTCCAAGAAGCATGTGGTCCAAACCATTGAGCCAAGGTGGTCCTGAGCCGAGTGTGACGAAGAGCGGAGCTGCTAGTACAGCGAGGTGTGGGTGGTCCAGTCCGATCCAGTCTGAATCCAGTCTGGAGACTGGTCTGTGGTCAATCTTGGTTTCTTGGGATTGGTTGTCTGGAGACTTTGGCGTAAAAGGTACCTCGTCTCGATTTTGGAAGTGCCGCGGCTCTTTTGGAGTTTGTAAAGCCAAGGGATGCATGGAAGTCCAATCGGGATCTGCCATAGACCCATTGGACAGAGAGTCTCACCAAGAGAAGAGGTGGCAGTCCATCTCTGATATTTTTACTCTACCACTTTTACTCACTGCAGCTCTTATACCTGTCGTGATTATTCCAGCCAGTATGCATCTTGTATTTGAGTAAAGCCAGACACTGACTGGCAGAGGTGATGTACTCTGTATCTAGATGTGGAATGGGAAACAATGAAAAAGTGCCCGCTGGCAATGACGATTGCGGACCCTCCGTGGTAACAAGCCGAGGCTCATGGCCGGGGTCAGGTGGACCAGTGGCGGCAGCCGTGGAGATGTCTGAAGCGAATGGGCTTTTTTGAGTGCCATCCTCTCCACGTTGAAGATCGAGATGGAGATGCGATGGAAGGCCAAACACCATCCAATACCGCTGCAGCCAATCATCATCCACCATTCCATCCAATGCCATTTCATGCGCTGTCTCTATCGTCGGAGCCTTTTGGGAACGCGGAAAACCCGTCAGATCCGCACGGCAGTCTCCCCCGACAAAGGCGTTCCGCCCGACAGTGCCTGCGGTGTGCATGTCAGCCGGTAAGGTGCATCAATCATCAACATCATCACACAAGAGATGGTCGTGCACCATTCATTCCACTCGTACAGAATTATCACGGCAATCCCTCCATTTGTGTACTTTGTGTCTGTGATCCTTGCGGTTTTGGTTCCGGTGTTGGTCACTGACAGCCGTTACGAGTCTTGGGCAACGGAGCCATGACCCGGAACGGCTGTCACATGTATTGCTGTGAGCCTGCAACAAATGCGCCGCAGCCAATTTGTTATCGTGCAGTTGACAATTATTTCTGGGGAAGCTCTTGTCGAGCGGGGTTCTTCCCCAAATCCTACTGTAACAACTGGAATTTCTCACAGAGGAACCCTGCCCGATCAAACCCGATAAAACACGGGGCTGTCCTCTTGGCATTTTGTGGGGATGATTCATGAACCTTGTCGCCAAAAAGAGGAGTGAGAACTCGTTCTTGCCTTGTGAGCCTCCAAGAACTGGCAGGCAACAGAGGACGACGATGTTGTTGTTGCACTTGCACATATAAAAGCATGAGGCCGGACTGACATGACTTATCATGTGGTCTTGGCAGTCATAATTTCGAGATGATTGCGGGATGACGGATGCGGGGAATTTGAAACTGACACTGACATGAAGTTAGACCGACATCCCGCTGCAGTCCCACCGTCTCAAAAAAAATTCTCCATCCTGTCAGGCGGTCCTAGCGGTATTTGCACCCGACTCAGTCGACTCCAACAGAAGCGGAATATTTGCATCGTCGACTGGGTCCTGACTGTCCAGCGGCAACCTCTATTTATGTTTGGGAGAGAATGTCATGGCAATATTGATTTATCTCTATCAATCATGGAAAGGAACTCCTCCTCTACCATTTCTCTCTGAGACGGGTTCACCTCCTTTTTCTCCTGTCACAGGGGCACTTCTGACACGATTCATGGCTGAGACACGTCAACGTCCACTCGAAGGAACCGCTTCTCTTGGGGCGTCTTGGGCTTTTGACAAAAAGGGATAGTCAACATCAGCAACATGCTGTGTGGCCTCAGGCTGATATCAGACGCTGCCTGGACCGTCAAAATCGCTGACTTTGACTCTACACCTACCCAGGAAATCGCCAGTTTTGTCAGCCTTCTATATTTACTTGTGAGGGGTACAAAGCACTCGCCGAGAAATTTGGATATTTGTGGTTCAGGAGCAGCTTTTGGGGTTTCTTGTCCTGCCAAGTCGTAACTGAGCACTGCCACAAGCGAGTTTCCAGAAGTCAGGGGATGAAGGGGGGAGAGGAGGATGAAGTGAGCTTCAAGATCTAATCCTATGTTGAGCGCCAGAAGATTTCACCACCTCTTCTGTTGCCTTAGCAATGGCGATCACACTCGGTAACCATACCGAGCGGTATGCAGACCACGGTGAAGGACTCTACTCCCCTTCCCTTTTGGGATGTTCAGGGTCTTTACAGGGCATTGCCATTGGCTCAGCACACCTTCAGCGCTGCGACACGGAGCTCACCCGTGTGCAACCTGTCTGTGGGTGTAGGAACCGTGTTTCATGACGGCTTCATTTACGTAGTATTCGAGATTTCAAGATCGGTTCAGCCGGGCGGTTACTGGATAATGATCCAGAAGATCTGGTTGATGGAACGGCATAGGGGAAAAAGGATGGCCTGGACCTCGATAAGCGATCTTGAGCTTAATGGGCTCGAAAAGCTTCTTTTATGCCCTTGTGGTAAATCTGCAACCTTTTCGCTGTTTATCTGTCCCTTTCCATCTCTCTTAGCTTCTGGCTCATTGTTCACAGCAGGTCTAATTTCTTCTATTCGTGATACCCTTTGCTTGGAGTGTTTCCATTTTGCCTGGTGCATTTTCTTACAGTTTTCTTGACTTTCATTACCAAGTCTTCGTCGCGATTCAGTATCAGAGAGCCAGAGAAAAGGAAACGAAAAGGAAAAGAAAAACAAAACATCTCAAGATGGGCTTCAACATCCTTCTCCCTATCAGAGTCTTTCAGGCAACCTTCTCTATCGTCATAATAGGCCTCTCAGGCTTCGGTAAGCTCACCACCATCACTGCACTGACAGAAAAGCAATCAAAAGTCAAAGCTAACACTTCCTTCCTCCAGTCGCACATTGGTACAACACCAACACAGCCTACCTCCCCCCCTCACAAATCAGTTTCCTCCTCTTCTGCGGCGTCTACTCCCTCCTCTCGGCCCTCTACCTCGGCCTCATCAGCAAACTCTTCCCCAAAACCTCCAACCCGTACGCCGTCCTCTCGCTCGAGATCACCAATTTGCTGTTTTGGTTCGCCGGCTTCATCTCCCTTTCCGTTTTCCTCAGCAAGCTTCTCTTCTGCCGGGGCAGCGTATGCGGCGCCGCCCGCGCCGACGTCGGCATCGCCGCCTGCTTATCCATCAGCTGGATCGTCACCGTGGCCCTGCTGGCCAGGGACGCTATCAGGTCGGGGGGCTTCGAGGGGTTCAGGAACCACGTCGGTTTCCTGAGGCACAGACGGAGCGGAAGTGGAAGTCATCATCGGTCTCCTTCCATGGGGTCGACGGTGGGGATGTCAGACAAGCACCCTATGCCGCTGCCGACGGCCATGATGAAGAAGAAGGAGGGTGGGTATTCCCAGGTGTCGCTGGCTTGAAGACGCTGGTGGTTGTGGCTAGGTTACGTGAGCATAAGAAGAAGGAGTCGAAGAAACAGACAAGACGGCATAGAGCTACACCCTCGATGGAGATAGTAAAGAAGAAGGTTGTTGGTGCTTGGGATCGGAGGGGGGCGAAAGAAACCCTCATCATCCCCGTCTAAGGACGTGTCCGGGCATGTAGGAAGGGCGCGATGGGTTATGAAGGGAGTCATGAGGTCATGCTATCACGAGCGAGGTTTCTTCAGCTGGACTGAACCTTTTTATGTATTATCCAAATCAGGAAACCTGGGTGCGTGCGGTTATCGCGCTGGGTTAAAATGGGAGTAGGGGTGAGGCTCTCAAGGCACTGGCGTTTGGTAGTCGTTGGTCGACAAGGTTTCAATTGAATGCAACAAATTCCTGAATCAGTGTACTTCCTATAGAGCATTGCCAAACCTGAAAATTATACGTACCGTTGATCTTTCAACTTCGTCTTCGTCGCAGCTAGGCAGGTAGGTAGTTCTTCAAGCAGCAAAGCGGAGACCCACTTCTCACTTACACGCCCCTGGACGCTGAGCCCAGGGGCATCGTGACAGCATGCGAGATCGGACGCAGGACCTACAAGTTGCGTCGATCCGGAACTTCGGGAAGCAAAGCGTACGAGTATTTTAGTTGGGAATATCAGTTCACCAGTATTTGGGGTGTCTCAATGGAAACGATGTGAGCTTGCTTCCTGTCGTTTGTCAGTTCTTGTTTGAAGACATTCGCAGAGGTGTGTCAGATATCAAGGTGAACCCCCAACGGTTAGGATGAAAAAGTGATGGACGATCTTCAATCTGAACGTGGTTTAGGTTTGTTACCGTAATGGAAGCCATAGATGACGAACAGTCTCAGCCGAACGTTTTCTGGCTTGAGGTTATTGCCTACAAGCAGACAGGAGAGACATGCGCCAAGGAGGGCTTGGGAGGGGGTGATGAGCTCCTGTTGAGCCTATTCAGAGCTTGTTGAGGCCCCAGCTGGTGTCTTGTCCTGCAAGCCGATGCAACCCCGAGGCAGCGGCGGTCTGTTGGTGAAGAGAATCTCGTGTTTTTGAGAGTCGTTGTTATTTGTTCCTGACATACCTAACGAGGAGCATCCAGGTACGGGTAAAAGCCAGCCCTATAGAGGATCTTGTTGTAGTGCTTTGACATAGCTAGAGGTAAACACTCCTCTTATATATCTCGGGGCGGATGACATTTCAAAGCAACACTTCTTTGACACACCAGATGATATTTCCTCCTCTTCCTGAACATGAGATAGAAAAAGAAACAATAGACGAACCCCGAGTTTATAAAACCAGGAGGAAGTCCATAGGCCAGTGATCAGGCCGGTTGCCCCGCGCCATGAGTCGATGGTGCAATTGCGTGCTCGGAGCTGCTCGGAACTCAACCCCACACTTTTCCCAGCACAAGGTGGGATGGCATCACTGCATCACAGCATCTCAGGGCCCTCAAGGTACCCAGTACGTGTAGATCACCATCGACCTTGGATGGGTTTCTCTCTCCCCAACCCGCGTTTTGCGCGTATTAGCGAGGGCGGAATGCGTGATCCATTAGCTAAGGGAAACTCGAGATCGAACGAAAGCATAGCATGGTCAGGTACCGGATACCTTACCTATGCTTGTCCGGCCGGAGTCAGTTCTGGACCAGCTATACGGCGAGATAAAGAGTAGAAGAAGAAGACATTGCCCGAATCCCGATAGCTCCTGAATCGTGAATCCCTTCCTCCTTCTTTTCCTCTTCTTTGTCCTCTTCTCTTCCTGTCAGACATAACATAGCTTGAGCTGTCAACCAAAGAGCCCCAAAGTTTCGAGCTACTTACCTCCAGCTCTCACAACTTCGTTTCTTACCTAACTTCTCTGCCTTACCATCTCCATCACAGCCATGAGCCAGCACTTCGAGACTCTCCAGCTCCACGCGGGGTACGTTAAACATCACTCCAGACTATGTTGGATAACTTCCCGAGTGATCATTGACTGACTTCTATCGCAGCCAGGAGCCCGACCCGGCCACCAACTCCCGTGCCGTCCCCATCTACGCCACCTCTGTAAGTCGTCAATATATATCCCTCGTACAATGGCATGCACGAGCTGTGGCCACTTCACGGGCAATTGCTGACGAGATCGGTTACTTTTAGAGCTATGTCTTCAATGACTCTGCCCATGGCGCTCGCCTGTTCGGCCTCAAGGAGTTTGGCAACATCTACTCCAGAATCATGAAGTGAGCCAAAGCAAGAAAACTTGAACCGAAGCCGAAACAAATGCCCTAACACTCCTACCAGCCCCACTGTCGATGTCTTCGAGAAGCGCATGGCTGCCCTTGAGGGCGGTGTTGCCGCTGTCGCTGCTGCCTCCGGCCAGGCCGCTCAGTTCATGGCCATCTCCGCGCTCGCCCACGCTGGTGACAACATTGTCTCGACCTCCAACCTCTACGGTGGCACCTACAACCAGCTGAAGGTCATGCTCCCCCGCTACGGCATCCAGACCAAGTTCGTCACTGGCGACAAGCCCGAGGACCTGGCCGCTGCCATTGACGAGAAGACCAAGGCTGTCTATATCGAGAGCATTGGCAACCCCCGCTATAACATTCCCGACTTCGAGGCTATCACCAAACTTGCCCACGAGAAGGGTGTCCCTGTTATTGTAAGTTTCAACATATGTCTTTAATTGGCATGCTCACTGAAGTGTGCTTGCTAACTTGCCTTCTCTCCAGGTCGACAACACTTTCGGTGCTGGCGGCTACTTCGTCCGTCCCATCGACCACGGCGCCGATATCGTCGTCCACTCCGCGACCAAGTGGATCGGCGGCCACGGCACCACCATCGGCGGTGTCATCATCGACAGCGGCAAGTTCGACTGGGGCAAGCACGCCGACCGGTTCCCGCAGATGGTCGAGCCGTCCGAGGGCTACCACGGCCTCAAGTTCTGGGAGACGTTCGGTGCCATCACCTACATCATCCGCGTGCGCGTCGAGATCCTGCGCGACCTAGGCGCCACCCTCAACCCCTTCGCTGCCCAGCAGCTCCTCCTCGGTCTCGAGACGCTGTCGCTCCGCTGCGAGCGGCACGCCCAGAACGCGCTCGCGCTCGCCCGCTATCTGGAAAACAGCTCGTACGTCAGCTGGGTGTCGTACCCGGGCCTCGAGAGCCACGGGTCGCACGAGAACGCCAAGAAGTACCTCAAGCGCGGCTTCGGCGGCGTGCTCAGCGTCGGCATCAAGGGCGGCGCTTCGGCCGGTGTCCAGGTTGTCGATGGCTTCAAGCTCATCTCCAACTTGGCCAACGTCGGTGACTCCAAGACGCTGGCTATTCACCCCTGGTCCACCACGCACGAGCAGCTGACGGACGAGGAGAAGATCAACTCGGGTGTCACGGAGGATCTGATCCGTATCTCGGTTGGCACGGAGCACATTGATGATATCATTGCCGACTTTGAGCAGTCGTTCAAGGCTGCGGCGGCGACTTCGACCGAGAAGGAGGGTGAGGACTTGGTGGTTGGTCAGGGCAAGACCGAAGAGGCGGCGCCTACTGTTGTCTAGGAAGTGATACCCTTTGAATTTTGGGAAAGCGTTGTTGTTTTGAGTTACTAGTAGCGTCACATGAAAATATACGCCCCTCTTTGCAAAGATTGTTGGGCTGCAATGAAATATCAAAGAAGGTGATCGCTGATTGAATGTTGAGGCATCAAGCCAGAACTGCCGATAAAAACAGCTTTTTCTAAGTGTCCTTGGTCAGAATTTGATGGTGACTATAGTATAGGTAGGTTATTAGTAAGGCTCTTCGGCGACGAGGTTGAATACGGTGCCATGGCCAAAGAAAATCATACTTTTGCTCCCGCCTCATTGCGCAAACCTTGAACAGGTAGGTATCTCTCTTTCTATCTACTCTTTGTCTACACCCAACCTTCTAAAACGCCTTTTGAGTACCTTAAAATCGGGGATATCCAGAAACATAATCACGCTCTCTTCCCCACCGTATCTTACATGTTCACACATAACCGCACACCCCTCTTGAAATCATTGCCCACCAGCAGCAGCCTTCTCCCTAGCCATCCTCTTCTTCTCCTTCTTAACACCCTTCATAGCCTTCCTCGGCCTCTTTTTGCCATCCGACTTGGGTTCGTTCAACAACCACGCGCCCATAGGCGGTCTAGACCCGATGAACTTGCCTTCGGGACTATAGACATCGATGATGGGCCAGTTGAGCTTGATTTCTTCTTCTTCTTCTTCCTCCTCTCCCTTCTTTTTCCTCTGGTTGGATTCTTCTTCCGTCTCTTCTACTACTTCTGCGTCCTTCAGGCGGGGCGGGGCCAATGGGTCTTCTTCCTCTTCCGGCTTGGGAACGGGTTTAGGCTTGGGTTGGGGCTCATCGTTGGGGTCGGAAAGATCGAGGTGGTCTAGTCGGAAGGGATCTTGGAAGGTGGAGGAGGACTTTTTGGATTTGGAAGGAGATGGGAGGGGGTCGGTCCAGTATTCTTCCTTCTTTTCTTCGTTTTGTCCTTCCACGGCAGTTTCAGGGGTTTCCTCTTCTTCCTCTTCTTTCTCCTTCTCAGCCTGCTCGTCTCTGTAAGGGTTATACTGCAGACTCTTAGCCCTAACCTGCGCCACAACCTCCACCCACCCAACGCCCTCGATTAAAATGTCAATCGACAGCACACGAAACGGTAGGGTATCAACCTTGAACCCGCAGGCGTTCTTCCTCGTCAACGGTCCGCTGCGCTGCTTCGTCACGTCGTACTTGAGCGCGAACGAGCCGGCGTGCTTGATCTTCTCGGCCGTCTCGGGGAGCGCAATATTCTCTACGTTGGGCGCATCCTCCCGCATTTCCTGCACCGCAATGGCCTTCTCGGTTCCCGAAACGTGCGCCTCGATGGGCGTAAAGGAATAGGCGAGGAAGGTGACGCCTGGGGTCTTGGGCGTGATGCGGACGAAGCCGCCGACGAGCAGGGACTGGCCGGGTTTGAGGACGGCCTGCTCAGGCACGACACGCATCTTCATGACGAGATCGGCGCGCTTCTCGGGCTTGATGTGAAGTTCCAGATCGCCGCGAGAGAGACCCGGTAGGTCGATCAACTCGCCCTTGCGGTTGCCGAAGGGAACGCGGACTGGAGAGGCGGTGGTACCTGGTAGGTCGGAGACGATGGGCATGGCTGGGTAGTTAGTTTCTGGCTGGGCAGGCGGGAGGAGAGCATCGTCGCCCTCGTCGAGCTTGCCGTATGTGATGTTGTCGTTGCGAAAGGCAGGGAGAACAGGAAGCTTTTGACTCTCTTGCCAGTTCATGCGGCCCTGAGGGAAGATGTCGTGGAAGAGCCGGCTCTTGCCTACGTTTACCCGCCCAACCATCCAGTTGGCACCGCCATGCTCAAAGATCTCTTCCTTGAGTTCCTTTGTCCACCAATTCCGGCGTGCGCTGACACACATGACGTTGCCGAGTCTGACCCTGTTACCGATTCTGCCGAGCGCTTGGCGCAGTGTCTCGACCAGGTAGGGCTTCAGCCTGTCCACCTGTTCCTTCTTGGGCGCAAGCAAGTCCGATCTGGTGATAATAAAGCTGAGGTTTATTTGGCGACCGGCATGCCATGTCTCGGACTTTGCTCTTCTGTTCTTCGACCGCATTGGCAGGGCGCCCACTAGCCGCTCGAGTTTGGGAATCAGCGACATCGGGAAGTCGGCGGCGTCGACGACGTGGTACACATGGTTGTATTTATATGGAGATTCCTCAATAGTCTCTCTCAGAGAGTCAATGCCGGGATGGAAGATGGAGTTGCCCTTGCGGTGATGGACCAATTCGTGGCAGCGGTCGCAAAGGGGAGGATGAGGAGGACCTTCGGGTTCCGGGGACTTCTTGTTTGCTTGGTAGTCTTTAGGTAGCAAAGACTTCAGGTCAACACCCATCCGTTCCAGCTCTTCCATATCGACGTTCTTGAGCACATCTTCAATGACCCGATCTGAACTGCGTATGACTTTTCTTTTCTCTGGTTCGATGAGGCCCACGTATTCCTTCACAGCTTTGCGCGACAGGTCAAAGTAGCCTGCTTGTTCTGGGATTGTTGTTTGGGACAGAGCTCCGCAGCCTGTACATTGGATCGGTAGTGTTCGTGTTGGTTCTTTCTCGGCATGGAGAGGTTCGGTCGGGGTATGAGCTTCGTGAGTTGCTTCAGTATGAAGTCTTCGGCATTGGACCGAGGGGATGGTGTGGTTATGGCGACGAGGGCTTTGGCTGAGGTTTGCGGCTGATCGGAAGGCAGGACAGAGATAGAGAGGAAGCTTAGCCGCCGAATTCGAGGTCGTGGTACATCGGTCGAGACAGAAGGCTCTGGACAGCCACCTGGAACTGAGGGTGCGCCCGGGTTGTAATGGCATGACGTCTTTCTCGGGTTGGCCGTCGCAGCTTTATGAGACTGTCGTGAGGATGGTTGCGAGTTCCGAGAATGGGTAAGGATATCAAGATAGAAGTTCCGCCGGCTTGAGATATCTTGGTGATTGGGTTCAGAACTCTGCTAACAGTTCCATCTGATGGACATCAGAGGAAAGAAACGAAGCGAATGACGGATGCTCCTGGTGCTCTCAGCGGATCCCGTCCCAAATCTTATCGAACCTCTTCGGCTTGCGACCGAACTTTTTAGTGGGTCTTGACAGGGACCCCGCCGCTTCGATTGGCGCTCCCGGAGCTTCTGCGGCTCCACTACCTGTGATAGTGGGCTACCGGCAGGCATTGATGCCGGGCGGTGAGTGCTCCAGAGGCGTTGACGGGCCGGCAAAAAATCGACGGGCCCATGTCGCGGCATGGTGTCGAGGTCGTCGCTCTGTGTGGTCCCGAACTGCGACCCCAAGTCCCGGCTAGGCCCATCTATCAGGAACTGTCACCAGTAAACACACCTTTGTTTGCCCGTCCTCAGGAAGCTCTCCGGCTCGACAGTATTCAAAATGGTCGGCGTTATTCGGCGTCTCAATGTCGTCAGGGAAGTGAGTATCTTCCAAATCAAAGCCAACCCAATACAAGTACAGTTGCTAATGCTAACAACCATTGCAGAAGGTAAATACGATCGCAACTTGAACCACTCCACCTCTACGACGGCGCATGCGCAACATGTTCGGCACCTCGTCTTCACTACCGCGACCATCATGGCAATGCTGACGTGCGGCATCAGCTCCTGAACATCCGCGCCGGGCCGGGGGCTGCCCTCCTCCCCAAGGAGGTCACCAAGGTGCACATGCAGTTCGCTCACAGGCTGGAGGGTGGTCACATGGGTCCTAGGTACGCTCGGTCTCCTACAAGTACACGGCGTGTCCAGCATCCGACTAATGGCCGTTTCTTTGCAGGAAGTTCTGGAGAGAGAACCTCCCAAAGCTCAAGTACTGGAATCCCGCGGTCCCCATGGTGATCAACAGGACAACCGACCAGAAGGGTCCCGCCGTCATGACCATTTACTTCCGCGACGGCAAGGATGCTACGCCCTCTTCGACCCCATTCCCCACGTCCTCTGCCGAAGGTTCATCTCCAGCCCCTAAGCCTGCCCAGGGCGAGAGGATAGTCACCATCGATATGAAGAACCGCAACTCGTCCGTTATTCTTCAGGAATTTCTGGCCAAGACTGGTGCCGTCACACTTGAGCCGACGGCCAAGGACCAGGAGGAGTTCCGCGAGTTCGAGGACCTTCACAGGAGGTCCGAGATTGACCGCGAGCGCATCAAGAAGTTGAACGATGCGAAGAAGAGAGAGAAGGCCATGCTGGCCAAGGCCATGAGCGACGCCCAGTCCATCAAGGCTGCTTCCGCATAAACCATGCGCTAGCCACCACCGTATCTAGGGAAAAAGGAAGGGACAGCGTTTGGTTTGTGTATATCATGTGTACAAGTATTATGGGAAATTCATGTCAGATACCACCAAGCAGGAGCATTTGGGGAACCGTCCCGGTTAGCTGGGTCAACTGGGTCTACTGGGGGGCTTAAACGAGGATCGGGCCGATCGCCGATGCCATCTCGTTATGTGCGACGCCAAGCATATGGCCGAGCCAAGAGGTGTTTCTCATCAGCTTTTATGTCTGGCACCGTTCTTCGTTCCTCGATGGGTTGACGCTCCTGGACTCCGGACAGCTGAGCTCGTTCCCCCTGATCGTCGGGATCAGATCTGTGATCGAAGATACTCCGTAACAGCCATGGCTCCCAGGTCCCCGGTCCCCTATCCGTACAAGGAATTGAAACAGAGCATCCTGGACCAAGGACTCTTTTACGCAGCCGGGATTGGGCCTAGCCCATTCTTGCGCGCCGACCCCGCATAGGGGCCCCATACCGTCCCATACGGAACGACTTCCGGATAGGTCGAGAACCCGACCTCGCCATTTCGCGTCCTGCCGTGCCTGCGATGCTGCGCCGGTGCTATCGTCGACTTCGTCATGTAGCCTCATTTTTCTGCTGCAGCATGAGCATCGGCTAGGATCGCGGCGGCCTTCCGGCGGGGAACCACAAGCACGTTTTACTCACAGTACCATACTCATCACGGTTCCGTCTCGCCGGATGGCCTCGCGTCACTCCCCTTGCCCATTCACGATGTCGATCATTATAAGAAAACAGAAATCCCAAATCCCTACAAGAAGTTCGCATGTAGTGTACTAGCAGTGCTTCGTCTGAGTCAGATTTTCCAGCATTTGTATTTACATACATGTTCACCGTCTTTTCTTCTTCAGCTTTGCTCTCTCTATACCCTCAATAACCTTTCACAACCCGTATACGAGTGTGTTGTGTGAAAGCATATATACCCTTTTGAGTTTCTTGGCTGTCTTGTTGCCGAGCTAGCATGTGAGTAAAACTCTCCAACACTTGATCATATCAATGATTTTGAGTCTCAAAGATGGCTGACCGTTGCCGCTCTTATCTAATAGATGACGGAAACATTCTCTGAACCTTTTAGCATAGCTGAGGGTGAAAAAGTCTGCCCCAAACTCACAAATCTCAACACTTGCCCATCATGGACAGCGTCGTTCAGCATCTGTTCAACCACTCGCGGCTGGAGATCACGCTAGCCAGGATAACAGAGTGCACAGCTGAGTTAGTTTCCATTTTATCTCAAGTCTCACATTTTCCATACCCTTGACTGACCATCTCTCCTCGTCCCCACAAACAGTAGCTACAACATCTCGGTAGAATACCAAGTAACCGACACTGGCCCGGTCGGTTCCGTGATCGACAGCATGCTCGTCGACGTCGTCTACCTCGACCGGCCCTTCGGCAAGACGCAGCTGCCCAAGGTGAAGATGCGCTTCAACGGCGCCCACGTGCACTTTGACGATCAGACCATCCACGTCACCGACATGTCCATCTGGCTGCAGTTCTGCTCGGACCTGACCCACAACGAGAAGCTGGTGTACCACCTCCGCAACGGCGAGGCCCATCTCAAGGGCCCCTTTGGGACGACGGCGCAGAGTGGGTACGACAAGGATATCCACGTGTTGGGGATGAACGGGTTCCCGGTCCTGATCAAGGATGTGGATCGGGAGGAAGGGAAGGTCACGCTGACCATGAGGAATCTGAGCGCCTTTGAGATTGACTATGGGCCGACGGTTTTTGAGATTCAGGAAGGTGGAGAGGAAGGGCAGTGGAGGACGATTGCGAGGTTGAAGGGGGACTTCTTCACCAAGAGGGGGGAGTTTCATGTTCCCTTCGAGGTCGAGACGGTATCCTTGGACGGCGAAATCCACCACGCTCAAGGGGGTGAGGTGAACGAGAGTGGGATAAGTCCAGCAGCAAAGCAGTTGGGGTTGGATGTGGAAAAGACATACTATTTCCGAGGGATTAGGACGGACAAGGAGGGGGCATGGACGAATGAGGCGATCAAGTTTATTCGAAGTCCGATCTTGTTGACGGAAAAGTTTATTTCTTTGTACTGATAGGACGGTTGGGATGGAATCAAAATAAAGGGGTCTCGGATTTCAAATTCAGGGGAAGTAAACAAACCCCAAAGCCTTCAAATGATGTGTTCTTTTTTGTTTGCTGTTAGGCCACGGCAAAATGGCCACCATTCGTTTGCAGTTAGGCTTTCCTTCCACTTCAATTGGTAGATTTTGCAGCCGAAAGGAGACACATGTGAATCTGGAAGGCACGGTGCAGATGAAGCCAAGCCCAGAATTGTGAGGGGGAAGCTGCAATTGCAATTTTATACGAGGGGTCCAAAATGCAACAGTGTCCTTACACAACTGAATGCCGTATGATTCAACACCAGGTTTGTGGCGGCTCAACAAGCAGAAGTTGACATGGAAATAACCTTCTTCAGAAATGTCCGATGAAACGGAGCTCTTGAAGCTCTCCCGAGCTCTCCCGTCGCTCCGGGAGATCCATCTCTCTGGTACATGGAGTCCAGGGTCAGCCCAGTGAAATGGCACCCCACAAAATGAACGAACGGCCTTGGATGTGGACTCGCTGGCCAATCAGATGGGAGCTCATCACCTGTAACGCTGCGCCTGCGGCGGACTGCGGGCCCCAAGAGGCCACGAAGAACAAGTGTCAACGAGATGCATCATCCCTTTTTGGTGATACGAGTCGAAAGTGTCTCCAGCCAGGCTTCTGCAGCAGGTCCATTTTCTGTTCCTCCTCCTCCTCTTTCCTCCTCACAGCTCATCTTCTTTCGAGCTTTCTTCAACCTCCACCCCATTTTACAGTTTCGTCTTTCAAGGACGAGCTTTCAGCCACACCCGGCAGCCCCCTTTGTTTCCTTCTCACCCCTCCATTTCAACCTTTCTGAACGCATCCGGACCATTGATCTTCACGTCCACTTTCCACTTTCCTCTTCGTTGCCTGACGTTTTAACCTCCAAGCATCAGCTGGGAACAAAGGTACCTTCTCTGACAAAGGTCCACGGTTCCCCCCGGCCCCCGTCCCGTTATATTCTTAGTACCTTGTCCCTTTACATCACCCACTTCCTTAACTATACTACCACGCGTCCGTTCCACACTCTCTTTAACTCCATCTTTTTTCTCTTCCATGATCGGCCTCGCCATCTAAACTACCACCTACCGCATAACCGATCCTCGATTGGATTGATCTATCTCGTCCACGCCCACGATCGATCGAGACACTTGAAGCTCCCTTGAGCGAACCTGCACCATGGCGACCCCCACGGATGGCTCCGAGCGAGCCACCACGGTCTCCGGTGCCGACCCCGTTGGAGACGCGGCCCGGAGACGCAACGTTCCTCCAGTCACTCCTACTGTTATCGGAAAGCCCCAGCCCGAGGATAATAAGAAGACTCTGGTTCCGGTGAAGAAGGTCCGTAGCTAGCCTGTGCCCCATCTTACGCCCTGTCCATGCTAACCAACATCTGCACTCTAGGAGCAGAGCTTCCTCGATTCTATCGCGAGTTGGGAGTGGATCGTTGCCCCCGCTGTATTCACGTTCCTGGCCTTCTTTACGCGTTTTTGGCAGATTGGTCTCTCTCCCATCGTGACATGGGACGAAGCCCAGTGAGCACACCCGTCTATCCAAATCCCACAGATTTTCGAGGCTAGCTGACACGATGCAACGTACAGTTTCGGAAAGTTTGGTAGCCATTACCTCAAGCGCGAGTTCTACTTCGATGTTCACCCTCCTGCCGGAAAGCTCCTCGTTGGTCTGAGCGGATTGCTTGCCGGTTACAATGGATCTTTCGAGTTCAAGTCCGGCGAGACCTACCCCGAGGAAATCAACTACACCTTCATGCGCCAGTTCAACGCTTTCTGGGGAGCCATGTGCGTTCCCATGGCCTACTATACCGCCAAGGAGCTTAACTTCAAGCTCCCTGCCGTCTGGCTCATCACTCTCATGGTTCTCTGCGAGAACTCGTACACCACCATCAGCCGCTTCATCCTCCTCGACTCTATGCTCCTCTTCGGTACCGTGGCCACCACTCTGTGCTGGGCCAAGTTCCATAACCTGCGCAAGAAGAGCTTCACGCCTGAGTGGTTCTTCTGGCTGTTCCTGACTGGTCTCAGCATCGGCTTTGTCTGCAGTGTCAAGTGGGTTGGCCTCTTCGTTACCGCTCTCGTCGGTCTCTACACCATTGAGGACCTCTGGAACAAGTTCGGCGACACCAAGATGCCCGTTAAGGTTCTAACTGCCCACGTTGCCGCTCGCGTCGCCTGCCTTATCATCCTGCCCTTTGCGGTTTACCTTGTGAGCTTTGCCATCCACTTCTGGGTTTTGACCAACTCCGGCCCCGGCGATGCCCAGATGCCCTCGCTCTTCCAGGCCAACTTGAGAGGCACCGAAGTTGGCAGGGACAGCCCTCTGGAGCTTGCTCTCGGCTCCCGCGTGACTATCAAGAACATGGGCTATGGTGGTGGCCTGCTTCACAGTCACGTTCAGACCTACCCCGAGGGTTCTAACCAACAACAAGTGACTTGCTATCACCACAAGGATGCCAACAACGACTGGTTTTTCTTCCCTAACCGCAGGGAGCAGGCTTATGACGAGAACTCTGATGAGATCCGTTACATTGGTGATGGCAGCACTGTTCGCCTGATCCATGCCCAGACCGGCCGCAACCTGCACTCCCACGAGATCCCCGCTCCCATGACCAAGAGCGACAAGGAGGTTTCTTGCTATGGCAACCTTACCGTTGGTGATGAGAAGGACCACTGGAAGATTGAGGTCGTCAAGGACACCAATTCTCGCGATCGCTCCAAGATCCGCACTCTCACCACTGCCTTCCGCTTGAAGCACGAGGTTTTGGGATGCTACCTCCGCGCTGGAACCGTTAACCTTCCCCAGTGGGGTTTCAAGCAGATCGAGACTACCTGCACCAAGACCAACAACCCCCGTGACACTTACACTCACTGGAACGTTGAGTCCCATACTAACCCCAAGCGTAAGTCTGCACCGTAATTGAGGGTGGCTTTGTTTCCTTTTGCTAACAGAAACCAGTGCCTCCTGCTGAGCCCGGCCAGTTCAAGAATCAATTCTTCCAGGACTTCATTCACTTGGTACGTGTCTCCGTTCCCATTTGCTTCTAGGAAATCCTCTAACATGTGTGACAGAACGTTGCCATGATGACCTCTAACAACGCTCTTGTTCCCGATCCTGACAAGCAGGACGATTTGGCTTCCCAATGGTGGCAGTGGCCTATCCTTCACGTTGGCTTGAGAATGTGCAGCTGGGACGACAAGACCGTCAAGTATTTCTTGCTTGGCAATCCTCTTGTCTACTGGGGCTCCACTGTCGGTCTCGGCGTCTTTGGCCTTCTCGTCGTTTGGTACACTCTCCGCTGGCAGCGTGGCTACAAGGAGCTCGGCCAGGACGGCATTGACCAGATCCACTACGCCGGAGTTTACCCTGTCATCGGCTGGTTCCTTCACTACTTGCCCTTCATCGTCATGGGCCGTGTCACCTACGTCCATCACTACTACCCGGCGCTCTACTTCGCCATCCTCTCCTTTGGTTTCCTTGCCGACTGGTTCCTCAGAGCTAGGAGCAAGCGTACCCAGGCCATTGCCTATGGTATCCTTTATGCGACGGTTATTGGGCTTTACATCTTCTTCATGCCCATCAGCTGGGGAATGGTGGGCCCGAACCAGCAGTACAAGTACATGAAGTGGTTCGATAACTGGAGGATCTCGGATTAAAGATGGTGATGGGGAAGGAAACTACGGTCAGCCCCGTTCTCGGTTGGCGATCATCACCGCAACAGTTTTCCTGTAACTGGTGCTCTACTCTAAAGTGTACCAAATTCTGTGCATCTGCATTGACAATGTCTCTTTTCCTTTTAAGTCTGATCTAAAACAAAAAGAACGATGAGCTATAGAAAAAGGGAAACAATTGATTAGCGTGTCTACTGGAAGGTGTTTGCCGAGATAGCATTGTGCGATTTGTTGGAGAGTGTCTGCAACGAAAGATACTGGTTTCCTTGATGTAATAGATCGGGGCCGTCAAACTTCTATATTAGAGCAAGTCAATGTCCAGAAACACGGTAAACATGTTGAGTAGCCATTTAGTAGTAGTGATTAGAAGTTTATCGTTCTGCCTGCGTTCCCGACATTAATGCCCGTTACCCTCGTTGAAAATGCATATGCGATGGGTCTCCCGATCCACTCATCTCGGTCGAACAGGACTCAACAAGGCGATACACCCTCACATCGATCCACATCTTCTTCCTTGCTCACTTCGCTCTAGCATTCCTGTCCATCCTGCTTCGAATCATTACGACCTGGTACCATTTGTTTATGTCCCGGTCTCTCTTCCTTAGCATGTCGCATTCCGTAAAACGTCTTGATCGTATCGCATGTATATTTTGCTCGTCCATCTTCCCTTCTCCTCCTCCTCCTCCTTCTCTTCTTCCTCTCCCTCCACCCTCTTCCTCCAACCCTCCACCTAACAACACCCTCCATAACTCCCCGCCTTATCCCCCGTCAACTTCACATTCGTCCCCCCGCCCCCTCCCCCTCCACCACCTAACCCAGCACTCGGCCCCTTCACCCCCGACCTTCTATCGTTCAAATCATACTTCCCCGCCTGAATATTCTGGTATATCCTCTCGGCAACCCTCATAAACGCCTTCTCGACATTCTCCCCGCTCTTCGCGCTCGTCTCCACGTATTCTAGGACACCATTCTTCCTTGCCCACTCTTCCGCTTCTTTCCTCGTTACCTCCCTCTTGTTGTTTTCCCCGTCCTCATTTTGTTCTGTAAGATCGGCCTTGTTCCCCACAAGAATAACGACAATGTCCGGCTCGGCGATGGCGCGAAGGTCGTTCAGCCAGTCGGTTACGTGCTCGAAGGTTTGTTTCCTGCTCAAGTCGAAGACGAGGAGGGCACCGGAGGCGCCGCGGAAGTATGAGCGGGTGACGGATTTGTAGGTTTCTTGGCCGGCGGTGTCCCAGAGGGAGAGTTTCATGTGTTTTTGCGGGACAGGGGGGTCGGATGAAGAAGAGGAGGGTTTGGCGGCTATTGGGGGTGGGGGGAGGCCCGAGGAGGAGGAGGTTGTGCCGTTTGGTATTGTTGTTGTGGGATCTGAGGTGGTGGCTGTTGGTTCTTGTGATTGTTGTTCTTGGGAATCGCTGTGAGGAGGACCGACGGGGACGATGCGCGAGCCGAATTCGACGCCGATGGTCACGTCGTGGTGGGTGACGAAACGACCTTCGCAGAGCCGGATCGTGAGCGAGGATTTACCGCAGCCTGAGTCGCCGATGCATACTAGCTTTGCGATGTAGTCCCAGGGTAGTGAGGACGACATGGTTGGTTGTAGTTGTGGGATATCCGCTTGTCGAGTTGGTTGCTAGGACGTTGATGGATATTGGTAGAGGTGATAATAATAATGGAGGAGAAACCTCCAGATGGTCGCGGGGGTAGTATTAATGCTTCTTTTCGATGACGGACTGGACTGGCTGGGCCTTGGTGTTTGTCGTTTCGAGTTGCGCAGACCTGGCTATGTAACCGAGCCGGAGTTTGCAAGGGGTTCGCTCGTCAGGAGATCAGGTGAGGTGATGGATTGCAGAGAGCTATCCCGGGATAGTTAAAGGCAGTGGATCTGGCTCCCTGTTTTATAAGAAGTCGGCGGCTTGGACGGTGTCTTTTGGGACTGGGTTGACTGCTTGGTTGATCGATGATGATATGGCTAGGTACCACCGAGGCTGGCTCGAGGGGATGGCGTAGAAAGTGATTTCCAGACCGTTCCTGACGACAATACAACGCAAGAGGTGATGGTTGCACTTCTGGTCGCTGGTTGGACGTCGTTCAAAGTATCGATGAGGACTAGACTCGGAAGAGAAAATACAAAGAACAACTTGGCAGCGTGAACGATGAACGCTGAATGGAGGACACCCTGACACCTCACGGGGTGGAGCTGTCGGTCGGGATGGGAGCTCCAGTCTTGTTACGGATCTGGCCAATAGAAGATGGCCGCTTGCAGTGGATCACCTGGTCGGGGCTCGCGGTGGCATCGGGTCGGTGTTATCAGTGACGCAAGTGAACGATAACAGACCTCTTCACATTCCCGTTCAGAAGACGATGTCATGGGGCATCATCCTTTTTGATAAAGACTACAAAGGATCAAGCCTTATAAGGGGCCAGCAGGTGAGATACGTGTTCGCACAATCTTTTGGTTTCCTCCACCACTTTTCATTATCTCCCGGTGTGGCTGTTGTGCACTCTGACTGCCGAACCATCATTAAAAGTTGAATCATGATTCGATGAATCCAATGCTGTGTTTCTAGTGTAAAAGGAGCAAACATCCGGCAGGCACCACCGAATGTCGTTATTTGCGGAGCTCCAAGCTGCCTGCCTTGATGTACCCATCAGGGTTCCTACTGAGGGTTGGTTCGTTGGCTGGTAGAGACTGCCCTGGTGGTTGGTGGTTGCCCGTTGATCACGGCAGGCGGACTGGACCTCAGGCTCCCAGGCCAGGGTTGTCGCGTGCAGTCCAGTGTGGGTGAGTGGCCGGGCGGTCAGTCGCCAGCCCACTTGTTTAGTTGTTACACAGTGGACACCCGATCCCTTCCCTTGTCTGCCTGTTTCTTGTACACCCGTACCCTCCGACTACCCTACGACTCTGAATCTTATCAACAGCCATCCATATTCCCTTGTTTTGTTTTCCATCTCTTCATCCTCTTTCTGGTTCGCTCTCGTATGTCTCTATGCCACATGGCGCGCATGCTCTTAGGACTATCCAGTTAATTCTCGTTGCCTTGGGCCGCCTTGTTCATTATCTCTTTGCATGAGGCAGAAGCCTGAAGTGCCAAACCTCCGTCGCTCTGAAACCCCTCCACCGATTAGGCCCTGGCTATAAGCGTCTTGTTAGCAGAACGAAGTCATCCCGTCTAGCACATCTCACGCCGTCGCATACCAGTACGCTAGCACCTTTCTAGATCTCGAGAAATACAATCTGGAATCATCTTTACATCGGCGTCTTCAACTCGGCCACATCGCTCCGACCACCACTGGCGTCCGTCTGCGTCCGTCTGCCGTCATCAGCTACGCATCATCGGTCCCACACCGCCGACTAACACCAAGAGGCACTATTTCGGACAACCTCACTTGAGCTGCAACTAAATTTTCTCGAAATAACTTTTGGGGGCGTGGGATAGGCCGCCATGTTCTCAGAATGTGCGTATATCTATGTCCAGTCCACCTCCCCGACGTTACCCGTCAATCGTTTTCAGTACCATCTTTCATACTGACTAACAGGTAAAACCAGATGCGTCAAAGTTCCTGTCCCAGTCGCAGTCACGATTGTCCAGCTTTGCCGGGCAAGATAACAACGACCGGCCTTCGTCTCGCCAACCAGGGGGCTGGACTGGCAGAGGCAGAGGACTGAGTGGGCGTTCCTACTATAGAGGTGCCGCAGGCAACCCTTATCAACCGACTAGCTCTCGCTTTGGTACCCTTGCCGGATTTGGGTCTCGATACGCCCAGGATGCGCCGCTGTTTCAAGCCGCTGTTGAGCAAGAGGAGGAGGACGAAGAAGAGAGAGACCGGGAGGCTGCAGATCTGTTTGCTTTGCAACGCTCCCGTCGCGTGATACCTGCCGCACGGTTGGAAGATAGCACCGAAGCCGAGGATGATGGGAGTGCTTCGCTAGAGAGGAGTCGGGGCTACCAAGACGCACTCGGAACTCGCCTCCACGGCATCAGAAGCAGTTGGAACGATTCTACAAGCTTGTCCAAGCGCGAACATGATCGCCGACAAGGAGGGAGCAAGTTATTTGGGAAGCACAAACGCCAAAGTTCGGATGAGGATGACAGCACTAAGGGTGCCATGGAAGACGTCGGACTGCAGTCAACTATTGCCGAAGATGATGATGACCCGCCAGAGGATCTCTTGGGTGAGGCTTCTATGGGCAGCTCCCCACCCGCTTTCCAGAAATTCAAGTCACAGCCAGCACCGCAAAGGTATTCGACCAGGAGAAGCTCGGTTCAGGATTCAGAGGCGGGCCTATTGCAAGAGTCTCGAAGGTCCTTCGATGGTGGACTGCCACCAGACGCCGGGCTAACACCAGCGCACCCGGTTTCGGATGGGGAAATATTCGTCCACGATCCCTTCTTCGCTTACATATTCCTGATTGCTTTGGCATCCTTGTTTGCCACGTTTGTGCTGGTTTACCTTCACACAAGCGGGAAGCGGCCACTCGGCGACACCATCTACAACACCATAACCAGGTCTTTCAACTTACTAGCTGTCGACACATTGGTATCGATGATTGTTGCTTTTGTCTGGTTGGCAACATTGCGAGCGTACATCAGGCCACTGGTTTACTTGATTTTGGTGTCCGTGCCAATGATCATGACCGCCTTCTCTTTGTATCCCTTGATCTTGAGTTTCCGGGCAACCAGCGGAAGTACGCGAGCGCAGGATACCGTTATGAGGTGGGCTTCCACTGTCCCAGCTTCTGCGGCAGTGATTTGGATATACATGGTCTTCAAGGGCCGTCTTGCGATAAGATCGGCAATCAATATCCTGGAGTTTTCGAGTCGTATTCTTGCGGCAAATTCGCCTTTGATGTTGGTTGGTGTAGGGTGCCTGGCCACGGTAGTACTCTGGACCTGGGTTTGGTTACTCATGTTTACTAGAGTCTTCCTGGGCGGGAGTTTCTCGAGCTACCTGTCGCGCTTTATCATCAGCGCGTCCAGTTGGTGGCTAGGCATCTACTTTGTCCTGATGTATATCTGGACCTTGTCGATCATCTCCGGGATCCAGCGAGCCACCACGGCGGCGACGGTATCGCAATGGTATTTTCATCGCAACGCGGTCCCAGCAGCATCATCCAAGGACGTCGTCTCTGCCGCCCTGGGTCACGCTCTCAGCACCATCTTTGGCACTATCAGCATGTCGACGCTAATAGCACTAGCCATCCGCCTTCCCCTTCTTATATTGCCCTCCCGCGCCGCAAACATTCTTAGCATGTTTGTGTACTCCTTCGTTCCTACACCGATCGCAGCTCTTACCAACCCGTTGACTCTCACATACGCCGCCATCCACTCGGAGTCTCTCGCGGTTGCTTCTCGAGGTCTCAGCCGGATGGACTTCCTTGCCCCTCAGCGGCCGACAACGACGCTTACGCCGGTCGCTCTCCGATCCGACGTCCACAACTCCCCGCTCCTGCCCTATCGGCTAGCAAAGCTCATCTTGCATGCTACGCGGTTCATAATGGCTACCGCCCTCGGCTTCGCGGGATGGGTCATGACGGCTCGACAACTGACGGTTGAGCGTCCCGATGGGAGCATGGGACTAAAGGGAAGCGCGTACGCCTATGTTGTGGGTATGGTTGCCAGCTTTATCGGATGGGGCATCCTCGGCGCAATGGAAGGAATCCTGAGTGGTATCGTCGATGCCGTTGTCATCTGCTATGGTAGCGAAAGGGGAATGGCCTCGGGCGGTTACTGTATGGAGGCCGCGCAACTCTTTGGTTCTTTCAATGGATCGTATGGTAGGGGCAGAGATGAAGAGGACCGCCGTGAGGTTTACTAGGCGTCCAGGCCTGACGAGTGGCATACCCCATGGAATGGAAACTTGACATTTGAATAATGATGGAACGAAATGAGATGACGGATTAGGATGGGATGGTTTGGCTTGATTGTTTTCGGGACTTTACAACTCGTCCAAAGCGCAGACAATATGAGACAGGAAGGGTTACGGAACGGTTACGGAGACTGCACAGGTATTATTTCGTTGGGTCTTTTCTTCTGCGTTACCGAGCATAACTGGAGTAGAGGACATTGGCCCAAACTGCATTGTTATGGTGACCAAAGGGGGGCAATCATGGTTTTATAGATAGTGTCAGTAGACCGAGCAAGATAGGTTGTTGTTCGAGTTGATTGATGATGGCTCTGGGTTAGGGTTAATGATTGAAACATAGCGACTATATATCAATATATTATGAATGCCTAGGTACAACCGTGCGAATCTACCATGAAATTCCTATCCCAAGGAATATAACAAAGAAGAGAAGAGCTGGCTCTGGATGATTACTGCGAAGCTCTAACTTAAATGAGAATTGCACAGCCTCCTTGGAGTTATCTGGTGTTCTTGTCAAGTCCATGGGCAGTGGTATCGATTTGATCACATGGCAGAATACAACATCGCACATCGCTAAACTACACCATGGGCGGCCTCCATCTAAGAATGTAAGAAGCGTGTGACAAATAGTGAAATTCGGTGATCCAGGCGAGTAATACTGGATTTCTAGAGTTCCTATGTTGACGCTCGCCACCTACAGTGGCTGGTTGATTAAGATAGTACTGCTAGAGGTATTCCCGGAATACCGGACAGCCGATGCCGGGGTTCGTGCAGTTGACGACTTCCCCATAAGTACCTAACATGTACATGCTGCTGAATCATGACCTCGCTTGTCAACCTAACCCCTCGTGAACGGGGCTGTGCAATCGTACGGATTGGATGTTCCTGAGCTCTCCCGTGGCTTCTTCGCCCGCTTGAGTGGTTTGGTATCCGCTGCTGCCTCTACCGTTGTGATTCCCTCTGGTGTTCCCGGCGAGTCGTTCGCAATCGCCAGTCTTGGCATCGCATCCGCAGCTTACATCATACGTCGACTTTCAGTCGCAACGCCACGCCCGTCAAGCCGCTTCACAATGCATTAATAGAACTCCAACCTTCACAATACCAAATCTGTCCTTATGGTACTTACCATCTCAAAATATTTATTTTACATCTTGCTTCTGTTTGCCACCTGGTAGTTACCGCAGATACCAAGAGTATATAAACCAACCCCCGCTTTGAAACCCATCTCTTACACGACCTACAAACTCTTGTACCCCTCCTTCGTCATCCACCTTTTTCCTGCCTCACCCGACATCAACCAACAAGTCGTACGAACCAGATCTCCTGGTATTTTACGCCTTCATTCCTCGATCTAATTGAAATCTCCCCCACCACATAATCAACCTACCATCAAACAGAAAACAGCAAAGTCCGTTCGATGGCCGACTTCGTTGCTCCTCCTCCCGGTCCTCCCCCGCCCAAGGTTCCCGAGGGCTGGGTGGCGCGATGGAACGATCAGTATAAAGAATGGTAAGTTTACTCCCGTTACCCATCTTCGTGTGTTCATTCGGGCGACCGTCTATATCACAATCCATAAGTGTGCGCGTCATTACTAACGCCGTCACTCGCCAGGTTCTACGTCAACACCTACACCAAAAAGTCCCAATGGGAGAAACCCACCGAGCCCGCCGTCCCTCCCCGCGATGAATCCGCCCCTCCCGGCCCCCCTCCCTCCTATTCTGCCGGCGACAGCAAGCCCGTTTATGCAAGCGACACCAAGACCGACAACCCCTACGACAACCCCGCCAACCGCGCCGGCGGCGGTTCTTCTCAGGGTCATTCCTACGAAGACGAAGACGCTCGCCTAGCCCGCCAGCTCCAAGCCGAAGAGGACGCTCGCGCCGCTGCGACAGCTAACCAGCGCGCTCATACCCCCTCCGGTCCCTCGCCGTTCCCTTCGCAACTACCGCCTCGTCCCGATACCAACGACCGCGGCAGCGGATCTAAGGGGTCCTTCCTCGGCAAGATCTTTGGTGCGGCGGGTAAGCATAAGCCCTCCGGATCTTCGTCTCATGGCTACGGTGGCGGTGGTTACCCAGCCCAGGGTCACTCTCCGATGCCATACGGTGGCTCTCCGGCACCTTACGGCCAGCCTCAGCAACCGATGTACGGCCAGCAGCCACCGGTTGGATATGGAGGATACCCTCAACAAGGCGGTTATGGAGGATACCCCCCTCAACAAGGTGGTTACTATGGTGGTGGCGGTTACCCCCCGCAGCAACAGGCCTACGGCGGCAGGAGCGGTGGCGGCGGTGGCATGGGCATGATGGGCGGTGCGGCGCTGGGGTTGGGCGCGGGTGTACTTGGTGGTGCGTTGATTGCTGATGCGGTGAATGATCATGATCAGGAGATTTATCAGGATGGGTATAGTAAGTTTGACCCTGTTCCCTTTCCCTTTTGTGGGAATCAAGTGTGGATGATATAAGTGCTAACGGATTTGAACAGATGATGGCCAGGATGGTGATATGGATTTTGGTGGTGGTGATGATTTCTAAACCCGATTGCTTGCTCGCTCGCTCGTCTGCTCGAGCATGATTCGAGTATGAATCGAGCATAGAAGTCATAGCACTATGGCTTTAAAGGGTCTTTTAACTGCGCTAGGAGACGCTGCACACTCTTCCCTTTGCAGCGTCTCATTTTCTTTTCTTAACGACGTCCTAATGATATGGGTTTGGTTTGGCGTCTTTGCATGGAATCGGCATGGGAAACTACTATGGGAGAGCTACTAGGACATGAACCTTCTACTAAGCCTACGATCAATGAGATACGTATTTCAAATAATTGCCGTGCATTGCAAGTCCTTATGGTGATACTAAGCCTCAAGGCAAAGTGTGTTGGGTTTATATGACCTGATATGTGCAATATATTCATGAATACCACAGGCTTCATTAACAAGCATTTTATATACCGCCGGTAACCAGCTTTTGTCTAGCCTGTTCTTCTTACTCCTCATCGCCATCGCCATCTTCTTCTTCCTCCTCATCATCCTCCACCTCATCTTCAGAAACCTCACCACCAAGCTTCTTAAGTTGTTCCTGTACCGCAGCAAGCAAACAATGTCAGTCCACATAGTCCAAGGGCGGCGCTCCAATCAATTGCAAGGGGGTTAGAGTCGGGGTCGAAGAAAAAAAGCCTTACCTTATATTTCTGCCTCTTCTCCTCCAAATCATCAAACAACAACAGCAAATCGTCCCGCTCGCTCTGCGCGTTTTTCAGTTCTTCATCCAGCTTCTCTTTCACCTCCTTCTCCACCGCCTCCGTTACGGCCTTGGCCACCGCCTTGGCAACGGCTTCTTCCCTTTCTTTTTCGAGTTGCTTCCGCACCGAGGCTAGGGCGTCTTCCTTTTCTTTCTGGAGACGCTTTTCGATTTCGCTCGCTTTTGCGGTGGTGGCGGCCTCAATAGCTGCTGCCTTCTCGGCCTCGGTAGCTGCTGCGTCAGTCTTATCGTTAACCTTGAGGCTGCTGTCAATTTCCTTCCTAACCTCCTCCACAGCCTTCTGAACCGCCTCCTCTTTTTCTTTCTCCATCCCCTCCAACAACCTCTCCCTCATGCTCACCATCTCCCCCTCCTTCTCCTTTAGGGTCCTCTCCACCTCCGCAACTGCATCCTCCTTTTCTTTTAGGGTCCTCTCCACCTCCACAACCGTATCCTCCTTTTCTTTCAGTAACCTCTCCACCCCCTCCCTCTCCTCCTCCACCCCCTTCAACTTCCTTTCAAGCTCCTCCAGTTTCTCCCCCGTTACCTTGGCGGCCTTCTCCGCCTCAGCCAACTTCTTCTCCGCGGTGCTCAGCGCGTCGCCGGATTTTTGTAGTGCAGTTTCTAATTCCGTCATCTTGTTTTGTGACTCTGTCTTGGCCTTGTTCGCTTTCATCAGATCCACCTCCATCCGACTTATCGTCGCCTTCAAATCAGCTTTCTCGGCCTCGAACCGCTGGGCCGCGCGCTCGGTTTCTTGCTCGGCGGTTTTGCGTGCGGTTTCGATTTGGGCGAGGAGTTGGGATTCTTTGGTGGCGTGGTCGCGCTGGTAAGACTCGAGTTTGGTTTGGTGGTCGCGCTTCAGGGACTCGATTTGGGTGGCGTGCTGCTTGGCCAGCTCGTCCTCCTTGTTCTTGGCTTCGCGGCGGGCTGCTTCGAGGAGTTTTCGGCTTTCGTCTTCTTTGGTGCGAAGATCCTTGGCGAGCTTGTTCAGCTCTTGCTCGTGGGCGCGCTGCAGGCCGTCGTTGACGGTCTTGAGTCGGGCTGCTTCTGCTCGAGAGCGCTGATGCTCGGCTTGCTCCTTGGCTAGGTTCTGCTTGAGCGTGGCGACGAGGGCTTCGATGTTCTGGATGGCGTGGTCTTTGGCGCCCAGCTGTACGCGCATGTGCTCGATGGCTTCGTTGGCGCGGTGCACGTCGGCGGCTGTTTGCTCCTTGGTGCGTCGGTGGTCGGCTTGTTCCTGCCCCAGCTGCGAGGTGAGCCTGGCTTTCTCGGCGGCGAAGTCTTCGAGTGCTCGGTCCTTTTCTTCGAGCTGGGCGCGCAGCGAGTCGACCAGCTCACGCGAGATGCCCTTTTGCACGCCGTTGGTGATGACGGAGATCTCGAGCCCGGGGTCGCGGTCGATGGCCCGGATGATGCGGCTGTAGTTGTCCTTGAAGAACTCGACGAAGGTGTCATCTAGGTACACGTCGGGGAGCTTCTGGTCGAGACTGAGGTCGAGTCTTTGGGGAAGAATCTCGTAGTCCCTCATCAAGGGGTAGGAGCGTAGCCTGGTCAGCTTGTCCACGTAGCGATCGCGGCCCATGCGGGACATGACCATTTCGCGTACCTTGGCGCGGGGGACGGGAGAGTCTTTGGTTGAGAACTCGTACACGACACCGATCAGCATGGCACTGAGGCCTTGCACGATGATGTCGCCGTTGGGGTTCTCCACAGCCGCTTGGATGAGCCCCTGGAGGTTGGTGAACTCCCCTAGGAAATCGTTGACTGCGTCCAGGTCCTCGAACAGCCAGCACAGGAGGAGCATTAGATAACCAATGATGACGCGAGGATCATCGTTCCTAGCCACGCTTCTGAGAAGATGGGACGCAACGGTTTGGATACTTGTAACCACTTCTTCGCCACTGGCCTCATCTCCCTCGGTGACCTCCATGGCCAGGTGCTTCGTCGTGGGGAGTTCATGGACCAGATGAAGCATGAGCATAGCGGCGAACCAATACCTATACGGATCTGCCGTGACCTGCTCTGGCACTGGCTGGAGCAACGTTGTGAAGATGTTGGTAAGCTCATCTGCCTGCATCTTGTGGCCCTGGATAGCTCTCGTGAGGAAATGCTTTCGAATCTCCTCATGGTTGTTGAAGTAGGCCTTTAGACAGTTGCAGGCGGCCATGCGCAAGTCGAACTCCATTAGCGAGTTGACGGCCAGGATAAGGTCCAGTAGACCGTCAATAACATAGACCTTTGGCACCCCGTTGGAATGAGGGCCTTGGCCGTTCATTGCAAGCGGAGAGGGAACCTCTTGCCCGGCGAACCTCTCCTGTAGCCTGGCATTACCACGTATCATGTCTGCGCAAGCCGCGAGCGCTTCCACTCTTATGGGAAGGTCAACGCCATAAGTGAATCCCAGCTGGAGAGTATTTTCAAGTACACGATCGTTCAAGAATGCGATCTGGTTCGCAGGGGTTCCAGCCGCGCCAGGGACCAAAAACAGACGTATCAGCGCAAGCAAAGCATAGATGTTCCTGTTTCGTTGCTCCTCAGCCCACTGCGCAACCTCCTCCTCGTCTGTGCTGCCCTTGTAAGCACTTCTTAATAGCTGCGCAAGCCGTGCGATGAATCCCATCTCCCTGACATTGGACTGGTTGGACGAGTTGAGACGAAGCAGGTTCGCCAGCAAGATCAAGCAATCCTCCACCACCCTTGCGCCCTCGACAAGACCTCCCTCATTGGTGATGATGTCGAATATGCGTTCGAATCCCTTCTCGAATGCCACCAGTTTCTGGATATCCACGGATTCGGCGGTAAGGTCGATCAGCAGACTGATGGCAGCATCTCGGACCGCCTCTCGCCCGTCGTCGAGCACGGCAACCAGCCTAGGGATGCCCAGGGGCGCAACGAGGACGCATTCTTCGGTTCTCTCTGTTCGGGCAAAGTGGATGTGGGAGAGCAGCTGGAGCGAGTAGAGGCGCGAGTAGAAGTCGGTGGTGTCGAGCAGGTCGAGCAGCAGCGTGATGTTCTCCTGGCGCTGGGTGAACTCGTCGGCGAGCCATAGCGCAATCTCCTCTGAAGCTTCGGGGCTGTCTTCGTTGGGGCTGAAGAGCATCAGCAGGGTCTCGAGGACGACCTTGACCGTGTCGACATCCTCGCCATCCCGGCTCAGACTCCCGATGAGGCTTCGTAGAGCGCCAGAGGCAACCGAGGCCGGGTATTGCTTGGAGAAGCTGCGCAGGCCGAGGATGGCGGCGCGGCGGTCTTCGAGGAGGGTTGCTGTGTTGAGGCGGCCGCTGAGGACGGCGATGGTTTCGCTCACCGACTGCTTGGCCGGCGCAGCCGTAATGGTCGAGAACATGTTCGAGGATAGAGGTAGTGGACTGGTTTAGATGCCATGGAGGGACTGGAGGATCATAGTGGACGGCGGGGTGCGCGCATGCTAGAAGGTCGAGGAGAGGTCGGATCACCTCTTGCGTCGTTGGGTGTCAGTCAGGGGTACCTGCCCGTGTGGCCCCCCTGGTTGCTTGTTGACAACGGCGAAGTGTCTCTGGGGTAGAGCGCTGTAAGTTACAGGGGCCAAGTGCGCTATAGCGGCTGTTGTCTCTGGGGTTGGATGTACCCGGACAAAACGATTGAAAGATGGAAGGGCCCGCCTTGTCAACCACACAAGCAGCTTCCGTCTGGCAAGTGAAATACAACGGAGGCCAACGAGAAGGGACAGGTGGTCCTTTCAGACGGAAAGTCCAGCCCGCGCAACAATTGGCGATCATCATGATACACTAGCATTCAGTATTGTTACGGGACTAAAAGGTAATGATGCTACGGTCTCTTGAGCCTCAGAATTGTACCTCTACGGTTCCTGCGCCCCAATCGTGCCGTGCTCTGTTAGTCAACATAACTGTTAACCATAGAGCGTCATATAATGTTTCGATAAGTCGATAACAGGCTACTGTGGCGGTGTTGGTGGCCTTATCGGTGCTTATCGCCCCCTTGCCGCATGGTCTTGGCAGTCGCTGAACCCTTGAATTCTTTCGCAATGTCAGAGCTCGCGTTCCGGTCCCGTCATTCTTTCCCCAGTTCATCCCACTGCCACTCCATCACCACTTCTGCAATCGCTCTTATCCAACGGGCATTGCTGCAAGGACCGCTTTAATTTGTCAATTTCGGCCCGGGTTTCTTTGGGTTTTAGGTTGACAAGGCGTGTTCTTCAAAAAGCTACACCTTGGCTTTTAGAGGTGAACCTTGGTGGTTCCCATTCGATCGCCTTGCCCGTGTTGTGCGTCACCAATTGTTGCCGACCGATCCTTTCGACCGATCCTTTCGACCGATCCTATACCTCTTATTTCATCGACATCTCGCTCTTCGCTTCCCGTCTATGCGAATTGAACAGCCTACAATCTCCCCCAGAATCGCTATATCTTTCAGCGACTCCCTCCGATCCTTCTCGCGATACACAGCGGTCACTGCTAGCTAGTTTCGCGACAACTACCTACTTATATCTTACCAACTACATACAAATACCGTCCCTACAAGTGCTATTCGTGTGACCACTCGATCGCCTTTGCAAGATGGGTATTCCGGCGGCTTTTAGGTGGCTGTCCACCAAGTATCCCAAGATCATCTCGCCCGTCGTCGAGGATCAGCCGATTACTATGCCCGATGGCACCGTCATTCCTGTTGACGCGACCAAGCCAAACCCCAATGGCGAGGAGTTTGACAACTTGTATCTCGACATGAACGGTATCGTCCATCCTTGCTCTCACCCCGAGGACCGCCCCGCGCCCAAGGATGAGGAAGAGATGATGGTCGAGGTTTTCAAGTACACCGATCGCGTGGTCAATATGGTTCGCCCGCGGAAGCTCCTCATGATTGCTGTTGGTTAGTACTTAGTACATATCGCCCTACTTTGATCTAAGAAACGGACTAACATTATGTCACCACAGATGGCGTTGCCCCCAGAGCCAAAATGAACCAGCAACGGTCCAGACGATTCCGTGCTGCGCGGGAAGCCATGGAAAAGGAGGAAGACAAGCAAAAGTTCATCGAGCTGCTCAAGAAGCAGAATGGCAAGCCCCAACAGGAAGAATCCGTAGAGACCATCGTCAAGAAGGCTTTCGATTCCAACTCCATCACTCCCGGTACACCCTTCATGGACATCCTCGCTGCCAGTCTCCGGTATTGGTGTTCTTACAAGCTGAATACCGATCCTGCCTGGGCCAACATGAAGGTCATTATCTCTGACGCCACCGTTCCGGGTGAGGGTGAACACAAGATCATGGAGTTCGTCCGTTCCCAGCGTGGTTCCCCCAACCATGACCCCAATACTCGGCATGTCATTTACGGACTCGACGCCGATCTTATTATGCTTGGCTTGGCCACGCACGAGCCCCATTTCCGTGTTCTGCGTGAAGACGTCTTTGCCCAAGATAGCAGGCCGAGACTGTGCAAGATCTGTGGCCAAAAGGGACATGACGCCATGAACTGCAAGGGTGAGGCAAAGGAGAAGAATGGCAAGTTCGATGAGAAGGACGCAGTCGTTCCTCTCAAGCCCTTTATCTGGCTCCACGTTTCCATCCTCCGTGAGTACCTTGCTATTGAACTTGACGTTCCTGGCCTTCCCTTCCAGTTTAACTTGGAGAGGGCCATCGACGATTGGGTCTTCATGTGCTTCTTTGTCGGAAACGATTTCTTGCCTCACTTGCCTGCGTTGGAGATCAGGGAGAACGGAATTGATACCCTTACGGCCATTTGGAAAGACAACTTGCCCGTCATGGGCGGATATTTGACCAAAGATGGCCATGCGGACCTTGAACGCGTCCAGTACATCATGGCCGGCTTGGCCAAGCAAGAGGATGCCATTTTCAGGAGGAGAAAGGAAGCCGAAGACCGACGAGAGGCCGGTTTCAAGAGGCGCAAGCTTGCCGACGAGGCCCGACAAAGGAGAGCCCAAGGCAGCAGGCAAATACGCCAGGCGGCTGAGAACAGTGGCCCGCCAGCTGGATTTTCCTTTCACAAGATTAATGAATTTCCGGGCAAGGTACCGCAACCTTCAATCACTCATGACATGGTGGTGAACCGCAAGGCGGTTGACCAGGCCAATGTTGCCAACAAGAGTGCCGCTAGCGTGCTCAAGGATCAGATCAAGAGCCTGATGGCGCAAGGAACGAGCACGCCGGAAACCGGTGCCGAGTCCACTGAGACTCCTGCTGAAACTGCTGCGGCCGCCCCGGCCACCGAAGAGCAAGCTGCTCCCCCCTCAGCCCTGGGCAAGAGAAAGGCTGAGCTTATCGAAGATGCTGCTACCGGTCCCGAGGCGAGCAGTTCCGAGGTGACCGAGGTTAGCGAGACTGATGCTGAGCCTACCGATTCTGTCAAGTTGTGGGAAGAGGGCTATGCGGACCGGTACTACGAGCAGAAGTTCAAGGTTGACCGTAAGGACATTGAGTTCCGTCACAAGGTTGGTCGTGCGTATGCCGAAGGTCTTGCGTGGGTTTTGGAGTACTATTTCCAGGGCTGCCCCTCATGGGAGTGGTTCTACCCCTACCACTACGCGCCGTTCGCTGCGGACTTTGTTGATCTTGGCAAGATGGAGATCAAGTTTGAGAAGGGCAGAATCTCGCGGCCCTTTGAGCAACTCATGAGTGTTCTTCCGGCTGCGTCTCGCCACGCTATCCCCGAGGTGTTTCACCCCTTGATGACTGAGGAGGACAGTGAGATCCGCGATTTCTATCCCGAAGAATTCGAGATTGACCTCAACGGCAAGAAGATGGCTTGGCAGGGTGTAGCCCTTCTTCCGTTTATCGACATGCCCCGTCTATTGTCTGCCATGGAGACCAAAACCCATCTCTTGAGCCCAGAAGATCAACTCCGGAACGCACCGGGCAAGGACTATTTACTCTTGTCTGATTCTCACCCAACACTCTATGAACACATCACGATCCAGTTCTACTCCAAGAAGCAGGGCACGACCAAGTTCGAGCTGGATCCCACAAAGAGTGCTGGCCTCTCGGGTTCGGTCGAGAAGATTGACGGCTACGTGCCTCACGGCTCGCTGGTTTACCCGTTGAGCAGAAACTCAATGCCCGACGTGGATTACGATCGGTCACTCATGGCCTACTACTTCTTCCCTGATTGCTCTCATACGCACAAGTCGATGCTCCTTAGGGGGGTACAGATGCCAACACCCGCTTTGACTCGAAGCGATATTGACATCCTGAAGGGCAAGGCATCACGCTCGGGACGAAGCTATGGAGGTGTACCACTGAGCAACAAGAGCTATAGTGGAAGGAATGAGCCCATCAACTATGGACCTGGCGGTGGTCAGCAGGGAGGACGCGGCCGCGGCGGTTACCAAGGTGGAGGAGGACGCGGTGGAGGCAGGGGAGGAGGATATGGAGGAAACGGCGGCGGCTACCAAGGTAATGGTGGCGGTTATTACAACGGCGGTAACAACAGCGGCGGATACGGTGGTCAACCACGGGACTCGTATGGCCCTCCACCCGGCTGGCAGCCTCCTCCGCCCCCCGGACTTGCCGGATTCGGAGTTGGACCTCCTCCGCCTCCGCCTGGTGCCGCCTATGGCGGTGCTCCAGGCGCCGGTGGATATGGCGGTTACGGCAACAGTCGCGGAGGGTATCAAGACAACAGATATGCACTCCCGCCTCCTCCGCCGCAAGCGTATCAGGGACAGGGACAGCAGTACGGTCAGGGCGGTGGCCGCGGCGGCTACCAAGGCCAGGGTAACCAGTACAGGGGACCACCGCGTCAGGATCGCGGATATGACAACCGCGGAGGTTACCGCGGCGGTGGATATCGTGGCGGCGGTGACAACCGGGGGTATAGGTAAAACTTTACCCCAAAGAGTGCTTGGGACTAGCGGAGGAAAGAGCAGCATGGCAGTAAAATGTCAAAGCGGAGTTGATCAAGGACATGTTTTTGTCGTCATTTTCTTGTCTTGATTGTATAGATCGGTTTTCATCTCGAGCTGGTTATTGGTTTCAATGTCAAATCAAAAGTTGGTAAACTTGCACTTCAAAACATGTACATCATTGCTGGTAGTATAAGACCGAAGGGCCGAAGGGCCCATAGCGATTACGAAGTTCCCATGTGATTTTTCCGTCCGAAAGATGCGTAGATCGCCAGTTTTCGTCCGATGGTTCAAATGTTTCATAGCTGCCTAAAAGCTCCCTTGGTAATCAAGGGGGCACATCTGGCACTGAATGAAGCCCCTGACCCTGTAGAGGATTATCACCCGCTTTATAGAGCCCCAGTGTCACTGTACCCGCGGACGGGATAGACGGGCAAGGCAATGTAATGTTGTCTACCTATCGCTTTTTAAGCTTTTTGTTTGGAATATTGGGAATTTGGGATAGGGGTCTTGGCGCCGCCATGCCCTTTTGTCTGCGGCTCCATCACATGTTCAATCGGTACAGGAGGACGTTCGGTATGTGTGGTGAAGAATTGGATGAATTTGGAGTGTTCAAAGAGATTTGAAAAGGTCATACAGAACCTTGACCTGGCTTCTACTTGGCATTTTGGGATCAGAATGGGCGGAGGGTTGGACTGTTTGTGGGAAGGAGTTAAGCAGTTAGGTAGTCTCTAGCTCTGTACTATGCAACGGTTTTTTTATTTCTTTTTTTCTTCTGTTCTTTTTTTCTCGTCCCCACGGTTTAGTCTCTGTGAGTCTTGGCAGGCCCCAGTGATCAGAGATGATATGATATGATGATGGGAGAGGAAAGTGGTGGTGAGCCTTATGGATACCCAAGAATAACCAAAAGAGGCAATGATTGTAATCATACGGTGTAGTGTAAAGCTGCTAAGCTTTGGGATTTGGAGAGGTGTTCATTGTCTTTGTTTAGACTCGGACTCGGCAGTTCAGGGACGAATTGAATTGAGGACTCGGAGAGATGTGACTGATGGGGTCATTAGATCAACGTCACTTCAGCTTTGTCTGTCATCTCCTTTTTTCTTTTCTTTGATGAATGAACAATGTTATGTTCCTGGTACGGCTGGATAGTCCACAGAATGCCCATCCATGTCCCATGTCCATGCGGATTGCCGTTCGGTGATGATCGATGGGCAGCTGTGGGTGATGATTTCTTGCAGTGCGTGCAGCATGGACAGATGGAACGTCTCTGTTTAAAACCCATCTTCAGTTGTCCATATCAGAAAGATGGAAAGATTGGTGTGTTCCACTTGTTCAGGGGTTTGGGGACCCCATGATCCCCACCCCCGATTTTGGTCTTCTTGGTCGGCCCCACTTTGCATCTCCATTCAGTTAGAGACACACGCACACACGGCAGGGCACACTGCACTCAATTGCATGCTTTGGAAAGGAAGGAAAGCCCAAGGTCACCACACGTGTTGGAGTAAAGTCTCGAGTACCCGCATCAGCTTCCTATCTGACCAAGCAGAGTGGCCGACGGGACGTTCCAAGTGGATGAAAGTGCCAGGAGTAAAGCACGCCAGGTAAAGTCACTCCCTAGTCCATTCAGTGCCTCCATTCAGTGCCTCCAGTGCCTCCACCTCCACCGCCCTCGCTCGTCTCGTCTCGTCTCTCTCGCTTCGCTTTGTCCCACGTTGTTCCCGTTGCAGCTGCCCGTAAGGTTCCAGTTGTGTTGGGCCAGTAGCAGAAAGGTAGCCAAAGAACGGCCACCACCACCACGAACCAACCCACGGCCGCCGCGTCCCATCACGCACCCGCCGCCGCCGCCGCCGCCGCCGACCACCACCCGACGACGACGACGACGTCAAACCACCTATTGCAGGGCGACGCCGATAACATACACACACTCTTCCGTTCCGACCGCCCCTTTCCGCCCGCTCACCACCCCCCCGAGAGTGAGGCTGGTTGCGACAGGGGACAGCAACAGCTTCCAGTTGTGCCAAGAAGCCCGTACTGCGCGGCTCGGGCAGTCCTGGCAGTCGACAACAAGACCGGCACCGCAGAACCCCATCATGAGAAGACACCGGTCCGCCCCTCTCTTTGCTTGCGCTCCCGCCCTCTTCACAGCACAATGAACGGCGACACGGGCCTGGTCGGTGGCCTGGTCGAGAGGCTCGCAACCAGGGTACGTTTCCCTTGCCATCACAGACCATCACAACCGAACCTCTGCTCATTGCCGTGCCTAAATCTAGCTTCCTCATCGCACCGGTGCTCCCGCCCAGGATCTCTACCACGACGACATCATCTCCATCACCCGCTCCACCCTCATCAGGATCAGCTCCGGCTCCGTCAACCTCGTCCTCGACTCCCTTCTTGGTCTCCTCGAGGACCTTGCTCGCCCATACCGGTCCATCTTTAACCATCCGCCTCTTGTCCTTTTATCCGAAATCTACGCTCTCGAATTGATCGCCGACTGTTGCGCCAGCCATTGGGGCCCCTCCCACACAGAAAATGGACTCGGAGATAGCTATGCGCTCTCTTCTTCGCAGCGTGCTGCCTTGCCTACCCCCAAGCCTCTAGACGACGTCCTGGTCCGCCGCATCTTTGAGGTCATCAAGCTACTGTTCGATCCTTATCCCGATGGCTATGCATTACCCGCCAAGACGCTCCTTGACGAGACCACCGCCAAACCGGCTGCCGTCCGTCTCCCTGACGAGGTTATGCGTACCCCTGTTTCCACGCCCTCCAACGAACCCCTAGAAAGCAGCCACTTGCTGCAGCTTCACGCCACCGTCATTGAAGCCCACGTCAAGACCATTGTCGAATTTGCCACGGCTTCCAGCTGGTCGGCCTCTTTTGAATACTTCAGGCACACCATATATACTGCCCGTCAGTCGGTACCTGGCCCGGGCACGCCGATACCCAATGTCGCCGCTGCCGAGGAAGAAAGGTCGGCTCTCATTATTTTGAGGCTGGCGGCATGTTTTTGGGTCGACATCCAGAAGCTCAGCGCCGTTATCGCGGAATTTAATTCCAGCTGGCTACAATTTCGAAAGAGCTTCCAGAATACTGTCGCCATCGTCACTCCTTTGCTTATAACCCGGTGGCTGGAGCGATATCCCCATGAGTTTGTGGAGCTGCACATGGGCCGCAGACGCCGCGATAATGCGCCCGATACGCTCTTCGACTATGCCCAAAACGGCAGCAACGACAATACCAGGAGAAGGGGCCTTCTACATCCTCTACAGACAACGTTGCTACTTCTCCTGCCGGATGTATTTGACGTTGCCAGTAACATGCGCGAAGCCAAGAGCTCAAGCATGGCCAAAAAAGTTTCGTTCCTCGAAGATCGAAAAAGGGCCCTTAGAAACCGAAACGAAGTGTCCGTCTACTGTCTCGTATTTCTGCTGCGTGCCGCGCGACACTTCGATCCCGACAGCGATTTGGCCCTCGTGAGTTATGCTATGGACGTCCAGGATGATGTGCGCGATTCCGTATTTCGACGCTATGGCCTTGGCCCGGATGGCATATTCTTCGAGCAGGACATCATGACAGCAGCGTTCGTGAGCCTCACGCACCTAAGCTTTGAAAGCTGCGTCGACTCTCTTGTGGATCAGTGTCTTACGCCGTCAGCGCCGCATATCTTCAAGATTGCCGTAATCCAGGCGTGCTCGCACTTCGCGAGGTTGGAGGACAGCAGCAAGTACCAGCCATTGTTCACAAAGGCTTCGGCGTTTGTTCAGGGGCAGCTACAGGTAAGGCTTAATTCAGGTTCTTACACTTCGGTCGCTTTTTATTAACTTTAGAAATAGGCCATGTCAATGCTCCTTATCCAGGGCTATGTCGATGAGCAAATTACGCAGCGACAGCAGATTGAGAGCGCCTCCATGGTTGACATGATCTGCAATATTCTAAACTTCTTGGACGCGTCCCCCATGACGTTGTTTGAAGGGCCTCCTTATGATCTTAACGAGCGCGATCGATTTTACCAGGAAAATTTGGAAGCCCTTATCTCATGCGTAGTTGCGCCAGACGAGTCGGTTAGGCGGCTCGGAACCAAAGTCGCCAAGCGCTTGTATGCCAACGACGTGGTCCTTCAATCGTTGAGGACTTCGAAGAGGCTAGAACAGCCGGCATTCAAGCTGGGCTTCTGGCGGCTGACGTATGTTCCATCTCGTATTCTAGAATTGCTGTGTACCGTGATCGAGTTCGTAACTGACATCAACTCAACCCTACAGATCCCTCATCCTGATGTCAATATGCGACAGAGCTGGCATGCCAGGCACTGCTCCTGGCCTTAAATCAGTCCTGGAGTACCTCGATTCGCGGTTAATGCTCCTGAAATCGTTACCGGTAAGTAAGCTCCGATTCGGTCCTCGAAATCGCCAGCCACTGACTGTTTTTTATTTTCTTTTGCTGCAGGAACTGGCTCAAATTTCCGAAGACATCCCCGAAAGAACAGCTGCAGCCACTAAGCTGGAAACCCTCTTCCTCGTGTCACTTTGCTCGGCGGAGATTGAGGTTTGTCAGATAGTGACATCTTGCATTGGAACCTTCCTCGAAGAATGCAGAATCATCGATGCTGCCGCACCTTCGGCATCGAAGCCCTCTCTGGCCCTCTTGCGAAATGCAGATATTTTCAGCGAGATCTCGTCACGCACTTTCAGGTTTACCGGCCTGGTTGCTTTCCAAAAGCGCAATAGGGGACTGTTACGGCGCTTGCAGTATCCCAGCGCCGGTATTCTGAATGCGTGGGAGACCGTATTCGAGAGGTGGCTTCATTTGTCCAAGGACGTCTCTCTGACATCGGCCGAGTCCATGGGAGAAAGAGTTGTGGCTGAATGGCGCAACTATTCCGGGTTCCTAGCCTCCTTGGGCGGAATATGCACGGCTGAGCAAGCCGCTACTCTTGAGGAGCCGGCAGTCAGTGGGCTGCGGTGGATTGACAGGCTGTCCTCTGACAACCACGAAGAACCTTTCCTCAATAGATACCTGAAGCTCAGTATTCAGCTCCTGGCTTGTACAAATGTTAGGATCCGGGAGACGATGAGGGAGATCCTCGCAACCGAAGTATCGCCTGCGCTGTATCAGCACTTGTTCAGAGCCCTCGAATCAGAACTTGACGTACTATTCACTGGGGCCCTTGAGACGCCCTCGAGGGGCCAAGACAACGAGATTATGTTTGCCGAACAGGCAGCATCGCTCCTCAGGTCTCTGGTGGAAAGACTCGACACGCCAACTGAGCTTGGCGCCGCATCTTCGTTCCATCTCAACTCACTCACGTACAGCTTCGCCAAGTTCTTGGACGGGGTACCAGACTCACCGAACAGTTTGCGCGTCAAAATTAAAATCTGTCAGCTCTGTGAGGCCATTGTCAAGAGAAAAGAACATCTCAATCTCCGTGACGATGTCCGCATCCGAAACCAACTTCTTGCCTACGTCTATAGCTGGGTTACGAGGCCTCATTCTCCCAGGATTGATGCGGGCGCCTTCGGTCAGAGCCGCCAAGACGAGATGGTTAGGGTGCAGAAGGATCTCGACAGGGCATGTCTCAAGGCGGTAGCTGAACTTACATTTCGCCTGCCTTTGCAGCTGAACGACGCGATGACTGATGCCACGACCAGCGAGCGAAAGGGAAAACTGTTCGAATCGTACTTCAACAGGTTCTTGGAGGTTCTGGACCCCCAATATGAGCACATGTTCCGGACCGAGCATGCCAGCAGCTCTTCCTCCAGAGACGAACAGCCATCAACGTCCGATCTCTCCATCACCATCATGTCCAATCTCTTGAGCGCCAACATCGATGTGGGACTCAAGTCAGCACTCAACATCGGATACCATGAGCACACCGAGATCCGAACCGCATTTGTCAGGGTGCTCTATAACATCTTGGTGCAGGGGGCTGAGTTCAATAACCTCTCAAGTACAGCGGTCACTGAGAAATACGATGAGCTTCTGGGCCTTCTGACGGTGGATCCAACATTGGCTATGGCTATGGGCGCGGTTTGCCCCAGTCACGAGGTGGATGAGCTGACGATTTCGCTGCTTAGCATCTATGAATCAAGGGGCCAAAGTTTTGTGCTCCTTGAGGCCCTGATCAAACAGGAGATTGAGGAGACGGAGAATGAATCAGAGTTGCTGCGTAGGAGCTGCGTCGCGACCAAGATGCTCTCAGTCTATGCAAAATGGAAAGGCGCAGGGTACCTCAAAACTACCCTGCAAAAGGTACTGGATCGGTTGATGCAAACATCGAAAGACCTCAATCTCGAGCTCGATCCCACTAGGGTCAGTTCCCCAGAGGAATTGCAGAAGAATGCCCTGCAGCTCGAAATAGTGGCCAACGTATTCATCGATGACATTTGCGCCTCATCGGCCAGCATACCACCATCATTTAGGAAAATTTGCAGTATTGTAAGTACCGCCCGTCTACGGGTAGCTGCCAAGTACTGAGAGCTAATCCGACGCGTGTAACAGATTGCTGCAGCGGTGATGCCCCGATTCTCTGAGGCTAAGTACACAGCAGTTGGCGCGTTCATCTTCCTACGCTTCTTCTGCCCGGCCATTGTTGCTCCTGAGGTTGAGGGCCTGGTTGCTACGGCACCTTCCAAGGATATGCGCCGTGGTCTCCTCCTGATCGCTAAAGTCATCCAAAACTTGGCCAACAATGTCCTATTTGGCGCCAAGGAACCTTACATGTTCCCATTGAACGACTTCCTGACAAAGAATATCTATCGGGTGACCACATTTCTGAGGGAGATCTCGGTCGAGCCGGAAACAATGGAGCGTCCCAACAGCGACGAGTCGTTCGACTTTGGTTCTTGTGTGTCTCTTCACAGGATTTTGTATGACCATTGGGACCAAGTTCGGCAACGGCTCGCCTCAATTGAAAGGCGAGACCTCGTGAGGTCGCCTGGCGAAACCACAAGAGGAAAGCCAAACCTCCTTGAACCCCTGAGGAGCCTCATTATGAATTTGGGACCACCGCCGCTGGCTGTGACCTGGAACAGGCCACTGATCGGGGCAAACCTGCCGCCTGTTTACTCCAGGTTCCAGGATTTTATGCTCCGAAATGCGTTCCGCGGTGTCGAATCTTCGACGACTCCATCCCCCGCCATTTATGATGCTGGCGAATCCAGGGACGGCATCCAGATGATCTGCATCCTGCTGCGGTACATAGACACCGAATCTGCCGACGTTGATGCATACTTGTATTACTATCTAAAGATCGCTAGTCGACTTTGGGATCGGCCGTTTGGCATTTTCATCGACGCTACGTTCTACAACGTGCAGTCCGAACCAGCGGAGAGTCTACTGCGCAAAATCGAACTGCTTACACCAACTGAGCTCTCGAAGCAGCTCTCGCGCGTGTACATTTTCAATATGAACTCCGCTTGCAAGAAGGGGTTCCGCAAGGTGTTCAAGACTTGGATTAGGAACGAGAACAGCATCTATAGCCCCGCCAACATCGAATATCATCTCCTCGGAAGTTATCGAGAGTACGACGCCCACTTCGACCACAAGAAATTCAGCCTGAACAAGGACACCAGGGAATTTATGGACGAGACTCTGGAGGGTTTCAACATCACACGGCTGTCGAAGACCAAGGGTAAAATCGATGTTTCCCTGTCGCTCAGCAAAAGCTTCGTCAGGGTTTCGACCAAGAAGAGGCAAGAAATATATCCAGCATCCCGGATTAGTGTGGTAATCAACGATGCCTTCCGCCTGAGCGAGGTTGAGGAGGCTCCAACATCCATCCAGACGGAGGATGATTCGGCGTTTGGTCTTAGGGCGGATAATGGCAAGATTGTGATGTACTTCACAAGTCCTGAGAAGGCCAAAATTTTGAGTCTCCTTCGCATGAGAAAGGCGCAATACGTCAAGGACCCAAAGCAGATGCAACCGCAGGAAAGATTTATCAAACCACAGGATGTACCCGGTACTCTGCTAAACTTGGCGTTGACGAACCTGGCTAGCCCAGACCCCATGCTCAGGCTATCTTCATATAACCTGCTGGGGGCGCTGTGCAAATCGTTCAAGTTTAAGGCTGCTTCGAGGCTTGTCAGCACCAAAGACATTGCGGTTCCAAGCGATCCTTCGCAGTTCATCATCCAAATCAGCCAGCAGCTAGCCGAATCGGAACCGCAGCTTACTGGGGACTTCTTGAACGAGTTCTTCGCCAGTTGGCCCAGCTTTTCTGATGAGCAGAAGCCGTTATGCCTCGCCTACATGGCTCCCTGGATACCCGGGTTGCGCCCGTCTCTGCTCGCTAATGAGGTGGACGGTGAGAAGGGCATGGAAAAGATTGCAGCTCTCTTAAGGAAGCTCATTGACATTGCCCTTTCAGACCCGCCCATTGTTCTTCAGCTACAACAATGCGTCTGGCCCGCTATCCAGCAGGACGAAAAGTTGCTTGAAAGTTTCCTTGAGGAGGTCATCAAGGCCGCACTTAACAGAGGATTTGGCTTTGCGGAGACGGACACGTTGACCTCGATAGCAGGTGGAATCGGCACGGTTACCCTGCGTGGAAGGGTAATTTCCAGGCTACGCAAGGCACTGAACCGGTCTTCCTTGCGCCCGACAAAGTATCTGCCTGACAATTCGGTATGGAACGAAATTTGCGTCTTGCTACAATTTTGCCTCGCCTTGTCGTTTGACAGTGGCGAACAGGCTGAGATGTTTATGCCGGAAATCTTCCACGTCGTTACCATGCTTGCCAACACAGGCAATCCAGACGTCAGGCATGTAGTCCACCGACTACTAATCAACACCATCCATGCGGCTTGTACTTCGTTTGCCTTGGATGAGGTACGGCTCAATAAGCTGAAGGTGACGCTGGACACGTTGTCGGATCCGCGGAGCGACCTCTTCACAAACAACGTCACGTTTACACGGGATGGGGCTTCGATATCAACCAACCAGGACGGAGGCGCTGCCTTGGCAGCCACCGAAAACCTAGCGACTCTCTTGTTCGAGACCTGCTCTGTTGCCGCCCCTACTGTTGACCTCGCCAACAAATGGCGGTCGCGATGGATGGGCCTTGTGGCAAGCACGGCTTTCCAGAACAACCCAGCTATCCAGCCTCGGGCGTTCACGGTCATGGGATGTCTAGCACGCGAGGAGGTTGATGACGACCTGCTATACCAGGTCCTTGTAGCGCTCCGAAACAGCATCGGCCGCTTTGGTGATGACAGTAACAGTGACATGCTGGTCGCCATCGTCACCTCGCTCTCCAAGATGATGTCCAAGCTGCCATCGGCGTCCCGTTACGGTCTCCAGCTCTTCTGGCTTGCCATGTCCCTCCTCCGACTGGTGCCCCCCAACTTGTTCAACTGCACTGCAATGTTCTTGGAGGCGGTGCTGACCAACATCAGCACAACGGGCGACCTCAAGGGCGAGAAGATGGTTCATTATCTTCTCCAGGGAAGGGCCCAGCTGGAGGAGGCCGCGCTCTTGCTCGATGAGGCATACGGCATTCACTTTACTGCTGAGAACTTCCACTTTGCCGCGTGCGCATGCTTGGTGAGGGGTTTGACAGATACGGTCACCAAGGCAACGGCGTTGAGAGTGTTGTCCACGTTTTTGGAGATGACAACTTTCACCGTGACAACTGTGAACGCAGCTGTGGCAAGTGCTACTCCAGATGGAATCTTGAGCCCGACGGTGCAGCCGCTAAAGACCATGAGAGAACTCTGCGCATCACCATACATGGCCTTGATCCTAGCACGGACGCTCAACTTGGATGAACTTAGGGATAGTCTTTGGTCGGCGGGTATCAACGTCAACCCCAACAGCAGCGGCCTGCCTCCGTTCTCATCCGTTTCTGCCTCTGTTGCTGCCGGTGGTGCCCTTGGTGACCCTCTCGTGGGAGGCGTCGCCAGTGACGCAGTACCCTCGCCCGCAGCCGCAGCTGCCGACACGTCAGCGATCGACATTCGCCGCGGCGCGAACGACTTGGACTACATCAAAGACAAGGATTTGCTCCTCAACACGGCCATCGAGCTGGTCGACTTCCAGTACCTCGAGGACGCAGTGCAGAACCGCACGCTGATGTGGCTCAACGAGATCGCCGTCGGCAGACCGTCGGTTATCATGCGCCTCTGCGGACCCATCATCACCATTCTCGACGACATTGTGCTGCACTGCCAGAACTCGGCGACGCTGGAGAGCGCGCACGAGCTGCTACAGACGCTGACGAATGAACCGCGGTTTTCGGGGGCGATGGAGCAGGCGGCTAGGTTGAATCAGGATCTGGATGACATGGGTTTCGGTGGGCTGTGGAGGAGTTGCAGCTTCAATTTGAGCCATCAGGAGCAGGATAGGCAGTGTTTTGGGTTGACTGAGAAGTTGATTGAGGTAAGTTTGGTCCTTTGTTTTCACAAGGTTTTTGCAAGTGACATTTGACTGACATTGAGGGGTTTGGAAACAGCTTATCATTATCTAAGACCGACAAAGTCTAAAGGAAGCGGTTGGTTACGCGATAGGTGGTTACAAACACAAGGACGGCAACAATGGAGGAGGAGTAACCACCATCGACTACATGTCTCCCGCATTATACAAGCCACCTACGAGCAGGAGGACACGCGGATTTGACCATACAAGATTGAGCTAGTCCCATCATGTACGGTCGCATCAACGAAGAAGAACATGGAATGTGATGAGGCAAAACCTGCCTATTGAGAGCCATACATACAATTCCCCGTCATGGAGGATTTCAAGGGGAATCTAAGAAAAGTGAAGAGGCTATGGGAGAGAGAGCCAGGAGTGACATATGACCAGGAAATGTGGTAGACAGGAGAGGGGAGAGTCTACTCAAGCATTGAGGCCGATAAGAAGTGAGATAGTGATATGTATATACCGTTATATATAAGTTTCAGTTTTCGTCTTGTTTTTTTCGCTTGGATCGCACGCATCAACTCTTATGTCTCCAATGCCTGAGGATAATGATATTCTTGAATTGGTACCCCTCTACCTTTTTTAACCCCGTTTTCTTGACATTGTTGTCCAGGTCTCAAACACATCCCATCAGAACATTGCCAAACCTTGATTACCTATGAAGTGTCAAAACCTCCCGGCCAGGAAATCCGCGGACAGTTTAATGAATTCCACCCATTCCGCGGAATACCGTCTGGTCGGGGTTTAAATCCTTAAAGCCGTACGTACCTCGTTGGACATGCCGCAGCCGCGCGTCATGTGCAGAACTTGTGTCGATGCACCGCAGTTGGAGTTTTGGAGGTCTTGGGGAAGATGATGGATGGGGAGATTGGTAATCCACTGGGGAATCAATCATTCACTGTCATTCAGTGTCACGATGATGGCCAGGTATTGATCCAAATAGAGATATAGAGAGATATGGAATTCATTTACAGTCATCCCGATGTTCTTCGGAGTTGGTTGGGTTCAGAGTAAGTAAGTAAGTATGTATGTATGTATAGATCTTGTCCATGGTGAGTGGTGAGTCCAGTCGTCAGTGGTGACTAATCCGGGGTATCAGACTCGTTACTACCAGAATGTGAGGCTACAGCTTGATGCCATTCTTCCACTTCAGTTTCTTCCTAGGCATTTCTAAACCGAGCCCGGGTCATTTGGAATCACGATCACGATATCGCGATACGAAGCTGAAGACTTTTTTTTCATTGTGTATGTCGTTACATGTCGATACGACAGATGCGACAACCAAGCTGCCAGGGACACAGTCATTATGCCCGTGTATGTATGCCCGTGTAAGTATGGCCTACCTACCTAGTGAAGCAATGTGGTGATTTAGAGTTCTGACCAACGAACGAGTTTTCCTTTTGGGGAGCGGTTCCTGCATAGGTAGGCACCTCGTAGGGTACACTACAGAAGCTGAATGTTATCAAGAAATGATATCCACGGCATTGACTGGCCAGTTAATTCTTGGGGCCGGTCTTTGTTTCTTGTTAGCTACTGCCGACCCTACCTACGGAGCTACATACCTCCTACATTAACCGAAGGTCTAGATCTAGACGCCAAGATCTAAATCAATCTAGCCAAGTCGCATCGCATCGCATCGCATCGCATTCTGAGACAACTTGATGAAGCTAGCTAGCGCTCCCATCATTCTCCGCGTCGCGCTTCCCGCTGTCGAATTCGAACTGTGGATGAAATGTCTAGCATACCTAGCGCAATGCAACGTGATTACGGCGGGATGCCGGGAGGCTTGGAAGGCTGGAAGGCCTAGTCTGGGAACTAAGATGCAAAAAATGTCTTGGATATCGCGATCTGGATCTCGAACTCCGAGTCGGATTGTCTCGGATTTCCCTTTTGAGCTGCCGAAAGGGTCTGGACTCTGGCTTTCAATTGTCTGAGGACAAGGCGGGTCACATTTCTTGGTGTATACGGTTATGATAACCCGGTAGTAGCCCGGAATCGGCCGCCCTCTTCTTTTTTGGTTCTGGTATGCACTGGTTTCTGCGTTACAGTGAGTGAGTGCTATTCAAATTCGAACTCAAAAAGAGTGATCATGTGGGATGTGAGATGTGAGTGGTCGGATACAAGTGGGTCGGGTTATCGGCATTCGTGATCCCCGCCCGTAAACCAGATGGAGATCCCGAAGCCTAGCGGGCCTATGGGGATGTGGAGGGTGGGATCAGACCCGCACTCCAAAAGGCCGAGGCCCAAACGTTAACCCACACTCGAGGCCATCCCAGTCGGCCAGAGCCGAGAAACAAGATTTGCTGGTCCTGGACTCCTGGTGGTGGGTGCACTGCCACACTGCCACACTTTGTTTTCCTGCGACGGATCTGATTGGATGGGAGGTCTAACCGTGCTCAAAACATTCAACGACGGGAAAGAGTTCAATGTCCGCGGAGGTAGCCCTCCGGTTCTCCAGCAGATAGGATAGGAACAAAACTTGAAAGAGTCACAACCGACACAATTGGCCCTGCTCTCATTCTGGGATTTACAATCACTGCGAGCTCATGAAGAAAAACTTTTATCCGGATTCCGAGATTTATGCAATAAACCCATCGGAAATACCGGTTTACAGGTAAACAAACACTTCACAAGCCACACCACGCTACGACAACACCACAACACCACACCACTGCACACACCACACACAGCACACTTTGTCCCAACTGGTGCAGAGGTGCAGTGAAGAATTTTCCTAGAAGCATGTGTTATGCAGGCCAAGACCGTTGCTGCACCTCTTCGTTATGCACCAATGACATTTGCTTCTGGACTCTTTTTTTAGGTTAGAGCGTTGCACATCCTTCTGCAGGTCTTGCGAGTCTGCAACCCTCAAAAAAAAAAGGTTGGATGTAACCTAACCTCTCAAGGACTTTTGATCGTGTTGTGAGTGGGCAGTGAAGAGAGAACAGAAAAACGAGAAATTGAAAATCTATCAGACTTGAAAACGAATCAGACATGTCAATTCGAAAAGAGATCTTCAGTTTCAGTTGCAGTGGTGAGGCACAGCACAAGCAATGGAACCTGAGTTATCGGCACCGGAGTTGCACAGACCACATTTGGGGCAGCCCATTCGCTCCCCTGTTTCCTTTCCCCTTGTAACTTTTGACTTTTCCGCATTTCCGACGGCACTGCCCACGAAGGAACACAATGCCATGTGTTGTGCTACGTCAAAGTCAGAGTTTTTTTTTTCATGGGGGTTCGGGTTGCTACACACCGACCACGAAAATCTAACTTGGTAGCATGCAACTCAAAAGTTTTCACCGAGTTATGAGCGAGAGCGAGATACCACCGTACGTAGTCCGTGAAAAAAAAAAAAAAAAGTGTGAAGCGAGAAGTGATACGGGATGTCCGAATGCGAAATCGGTAGTTGGGTAGACTCAAATCAGTCCCTGGATAGACTAAACCCACTTTTTTGGGCGCGCAGCCATCTGTGCCCGTCAACCGCGCAAAAACTTAGAGGGCGTATTACCAAATCCTCGTGATTGTTAAAGTTGTTGATGCTGGTGTCGCTGCTGTTGATGCTAGTGTCGCTACTATTAATGCTAGTGTCGCCGCTATTCTGCTGTCTCCTATGCTGATTCGGTTGTTGTACGTGAAGGCCTCCCTATGAGTATTGCCTACCGTATAAGTGTCGGGGAGGGTGTTAGAGACTTGGAGTAGGAGCCGAGATTCGTCCTCCATATCCCCCCAATTTAGCTTGCGCTCACCAAGAGCATTTAGCACTAGGGGTGTTACTATGGCGATAGAAAAAACGACAACAACAACGATAGCAACAGCGACGGAGTACAAAAGAGGTCGCGCGCAAATGTATCCGGATTTGGCTGGCGATATAGTAAGGTTTGCGGGCGCGGTTGGGAGCCAGAGATTGGCTGCGCGCTCAAAAAGGTGGGTTTAGTCTATCCAGGGACTGATTTGAGTCTACCCAGCTACCGATTGCGGTCCGAATGTGATTATTTTACTTTGGTCATCGGCATCAGTGGGAGTTGAGTCAAAACCAGTTAGTAGGGTATTAGGAAGTCGTCTAGCTTGGAAAGAAAACATTCAAGCGGAGATGCAAGAAGGGATTTGGAGATGAGATTTGGAGACTGCTGAGCTGCTGCAAAAGCATATGTCATATGTCAAATGCAAGGTCCTTGTACATACGGAGTTACGGTACGCCGAGAATCGGTCGGGTTTTCCCCATGGGCAGAAGATGGTGGTCCGAACTAACTCCACCACGCCATGTACACCACATACTGCGCAGTACAGGGCGCAGCACATATGTTGATACTATGGGATTCTGAGAATGCCATATCAGGCTTAGAGGCCTTATTCCCGTGCTCTTTACGCATATGCGCATCCAGGTTTACACTATACGTGCAGTGTAATAGCGAATGGAATGCACCGGTTGGAGACTACATAGTAGGTCAATGTGTAGAAGATCGTTGGGAAATCTGAAACTGATCTGCAGTTCCAACATTCGCTCAGATGCACACCCGTTCATTTGTCAAACACATACCCAAGAACCGAAAGGACCAACTCCCGATTACGCTCGGAGGTGTGTCCGACCGACGACGGAGAGTCAGTGTTGTCAATTCCATCACAGTAAAAACCCAGGAACAAGGGAACAAGGATGTGCCGCAGGTCAGCGTCGTAAGCGCGGTCGGGTCCCGCAGTCCCACACCCAAGTTCCCACAGCGCGGGGACCGGCCTGCTGGGCCCAGACCGTTGCGCTCAGACACGTGGGACACGCAAGACACGCCAGGGCCCTTTTTCAGCTGAGGCTTGCAGGGCTCTTGCTGGGGCTAGACCGTTCGTCGATTGGATACCTACATTTTTAGACTTTCTGTGAGTTTTGTGGAGGGACGGGGAAAGCTCCGTTGAGACTCCATTGTCGTGGTAGTTTCTCCGTAGGTTAGGTACTCCGCTAATCGGGAGCTCTTTTGAGCATTCGTTTTGTTGTGTTGTTTCAAGTGAGAGATCTGATCACTTGACAATGAATGCTGTTAGATGCGTTGCATACGAGTGTAAACAGACAGGCCTTCGCAGGCCTCCCATTCTTTTTTGTCGATCCGTAACAGATTTGAATCAATGGAAGTATGACTGTGAATAGTGACTTAGTAATTCGAAGGCTTGCGGCATACACATGACCGGGACCGAAACCCATCGGCATGTGTACGTGTTTTTCCGATGCTAGCCTTGAGACTAGTTGGTGCCATACATTGATTGATGAGGATGACAGATTCATTAGCCTCAACTTGTCCTTCGGCTGTGTACACTATTGGGTAGATGACGGGACTCAGCTGTCGGGACTCGGGTGGGTTTGTACCAGTACACTACTTTCAAGCACCGCGGATGCCGGTCTTATTGGTCGCCCTGTCACCATTTTAGAGGCTGACAGTTTAACATGGCTGCATTGTCATTGGAAATTTCTTTACACCTACCCGTGTACGTGCCGTACTGGCGTGTTCTCGGAACCCAAGGGTGTGTTGTTAAATGAGGTAGCTTGTGCGACGGTAAGATCGGTGCTGTCGATCGTTTTGGTGAAGTCAGAAGTGGAAGCGTTGTCGGCCCTCGGATCGAAACACCCGACCTCTAGACTACATGGCATAGGAAATTATCTCCCACCGTTTTCAACCGCAACAAGCGGCTGTGTATTCCGAATCAACATTACTTTCCACTTTCCAGAGGGAACGAGATCATCATTTGTCATACCTTTGGGCGCAGTTGTAGTCGCACCAGCCTAGCCTCAGGCACGAATTCAGCAATGCGATGACTGTGAATGTCTGAATGACAAAAAGGCTTAAGGCAGCAAGTAGTCTGTAGTGTAGCGTGAAGCACGATCGTACGTACCGCAAGGGCTGGTAGGGCTGCCGAAAAAAGTCCGTTAGAGACAGAATCACTGCCCAATGATCCAATGATCCGAACAGCTCACAAAAAAAAGGCGTTCGGCGTTCCGCGCACGACGGGGGTCGGGACCGCGCGGGGGCCCCTGTGCTGCTCCACCCTTCCCGATTAATTGGGAGTGGGGCCAGAGTACCCTTCCGGTTCCCCCACATTCATCCGCTTTCCATCTTTGTTTCGTCCGTACCTCCACGTTTCCACGCTCTGCCGTCCTGCAGTCGTGCACCGGTCTGCAACTTTTTTTTTTTTTTGTTCGGCCACGAGGATGCGGCATGAAGCAGTATGAATGACTAATATAGACTGTCAAAATTGCTTATACAAGCAGGATGAAATGTTGTTCCGACTTGGTGGTTGAAGTGTTGAGAAAAATGTTATAATGAACAATTGTGATGCTGAACAGACAACGAAACGAAACTGAGCCAATCACAGATGTAATGCCTAAAATGTCGGCTCTCCCGCTGGGCTGTTGCAGACGCGGACCAAGAAGCCGCGCTTACGGACGGATCTGATAAACTCAGCTACTTGTTGCTTGTATACATCGCTTTTGGTCACTTTCCCATGCGCGCTTTCGCCTCTTTCTCGGAAGTCGGATATTCCTGGAGTTAAGCGGGCATCAAGCATGTCAACCACCGTAGCACGGCCACAATGAGACGCAGACAGTCGGCTCCGAGTCGGCCGCTTCTCTGCGCTGCTAGCGTGTCCTGTTAAAAAAAAAAAATACCAGGCTGCTGTGTAGAGCTGTACACTACAAGGGAAAAGATACGAGAATGCCGCCAAGATGTACTTTGGAAACGGGAAACTCGGATGGGCAGAGATACGACTGCGCATCCTGACTCATTTTCTTGGGCCTGTTCGATGCTGTGATTTTGAATGAAAAAAAAACTTGTCTTCGAGAGGTTTCGCTGGTGACAGGTGCCAAAGCTAGTTACGCATCACGTGACACGATGGGCACATGATAAACGTCCAACCACAAGATCCCGTGACGACCACCAAAACATGATTCTTTTAATTCATGTTGAGCGGAGGATTGCTTCCGACGAAAGAAAGCTTACGAATCAACAACTCCATAAGGGTATCCGAAGTCGTCCGTGTCAAACGGTTATCCACGTATAGCCGAGAGGTGGCTTGAGACCGCTAAACGAACAGTGTACCCACCGCATGAGTGTTAAGGATGAGCCACACTTGCGACGCCACATCATCCCCACACCCCGATTGGTCAGAGTTCTTGCGGTCGCGGAGACACCAAAGCATCCGTCAGCTTCTGACGTCTCCGCGGTGCTGATGCTAGCAATATGTCCCGCGCTAGGTGTAGCCGTAGGTGAAGGGTGAGTACGTGGCAGTAAACCCAGCTGAACAATGACAGGTGTCTTCCGTGACTCGTTGGTAAGAGACAACAAAGCATAAGAGAAAACAGGCCATCGGAGATGGAAGAGCCGGTCTGAGAAAACACGAGGTCGAACAGCCACACTTACCTCCCTGAGAAACCTGGGGAAAGGCGCATCTTTTCCAATCAGAATCTTGGGGGCAAGATCTCAGTGATCCGGTAGATTCCCAGTGTGGCTCATTCTCTTGGGAAAGGGTTGTAGTTTCAAGGTCGTATATTTACCATGTGCTGGGGAGCCCTCAATCTTAGAAAATGGGGAATATGAGAGGATAGGAGACCATTCCGCTGTCCCCGATTATAGAAAATGATAGGCCGTGGCAAAGCGGAATTGAAAGGTGCGAGATGAAACTTGTGAGACGTGTGCAATGGGATTTTCAGGGTCCTGGCACAGCCCTGCGTCCCTGACATATGAGTATGGATCCGACTGCCGAGTTTTGTGTACAGGGTCGCTTTTCCGTTGTTTGGATGGGCCTACCGCGGAATACCCGTGGGTGTTGAGGTGGTCTCTGCAAGAGAGTGGGTATCGAGCCACCTCAAACACCCACGGGTAGACGACCAGGACGACGCAGAACGGAAATCGCCAAGAGACGTGATGAAAGAGGCTGTGCTAAAAATGTGGGTCGGACAGGTCGCTTGAGTGTGTCATGTGCTACACAGAAAATAGCAGGCTATCGTCCATTGTAAGCTACAAGCTTCCACTTTTCTTGTAGTCATTCCAAGTTTCAGTTGCAGTGAGGTCCGTGCCCCCCCTCCGGCTCGAACCCTCTCTCACCCGAGTTGTCGCGCGACTCCCCGATTCACGCACTTCAGTCCCTCCACACCAAATCGTCGTGACCAACGGCATCATGGCCCAGACCCGTCACAGTCGGCGTATGCGCGGCTTTGGCTAGCTCCTCCTTCTCTTGTGTGTTTTCCAAATAGAACGTCTTTTTCGCACAGTTTGCATTCCAATGGAGCCGTCGGCCAGCTGTCATGGAAATCCGAAATGTTCAGCAATGGGCTGCCCCTGGGCCCTGGCCGTTGTGCGTCACGACTAGTCACGCCCTCGGCAGTTCGCAGCTTTGACCAGAAAACCCAGGAAGCCAGTCAGAATGGGGACGTTCCATCACTTAGGTACCTCCCCTTGTTGGGTAGGCAGTAGTGTCGAAGCACGGCCAGACACTCTACACTCACATGGCCTTGCTCTTCGACGAAAGCAATGACTCGAGCTAGAAGAAACCAACAGAAACCAGAGGTATACACAGCGGTTATACGACTCAGTATACGACTCGAACCGTCAGTCAGCAAGTTCGATGCGTCAAACGTCAAACGTCAAAACCCAGCCGGGTCCCATGGAAATGCCTGGGTTGTGTCGACTCAAACTCGGGCTATGACCACATTCGAAGACTTGCCGAGATTGCAGACAACCGAGGCCATCGACACGGGGAGACGGACTCGACACGGGCTGACATGAAGCTTAGTGAGTTGATCGTATACCGCATTGGTGTGGCCCTTTACCCCATATTCTTTGTGCTCTTCCGTCAGCGGTTCCATTCTTTGGTCATCACCTCTGATCTTTTGGTCCCCTGTTTTTCCCGCGACGGGCATCCGCTAACTCGTTTGGCTCCAAAGTACGACAAGCGGAAGCCCAGCGGAGAAGTCGCACCCAACTAGGACCCCCAACTGCAGGGCAGAGGTTCGAGGCTCATGCACGCACCCAGGGCACCCCAACCCTGGTCTTCCTTGTTCTCGGTCATTCCAGGGCTCGCTCCAGTCGACCACACTCGACCCCCAACACCCGACGCTAGTGCCCTGTGCTCCCTGCGACTCCACTGTCGAGGTCGCGCCCACGGTGCGCACCCTGTCTTCCAGGTTGGCAGGGGGGGTACCTGAAGGGAGGTACCACTGCAACGTCGAGGTACAGAGGTACGGGGGTACGTACACCTCCTTCCACTTCCTCTGCCCGCACTCCCGTCCTCTTACATCATTATCTGGACGGACACCACGGGGCATAACATCACCCCACCAGACTCAACCGCACTCAACTACCTCAGCGTACATTAGTCACCATTCCCGGGGCATCGCTTCTTCGATTATAAGAACTGTGTCGGTGCTTCGAATTGCTTCTCTTAAATTTGCCACTGGTATTCCCACCTACTGCTATTCCAACTACCACCAAACAAAACCACAACATCCTACCACTTCAATATCAGTCCATACATAACACTTACCATGCCACTGATGCCGCAACCCACTTTGATGCCTTCACTACAATCTCCGAGTCCCCCTCAACAACAATATCAACAACAGCAACAACATCGCACTCTCGGCTATCCACAGCGAACACTCTTGCCTCAACAGAAACAGCAACAGCAACCGCCACAGCAACAGCAGCCGTTGGCCTACTTGACGAGTAACTTCAACCCCCAACAGTCGTCTGTGGCCTCCTTCAACTCCAGTCCGGCATTTACTACCATCAGCGATTTCGACCAAGACTTCGACCAGGACTACAGCAACTGTCCTAGTCTGACTGCATCGCCGGTGTCGACGTACTCGCTTCCTGCGTACCCCTCCACCTCGCAGCATCGCTCGTCTTTGTCTGCCTTTGACAGCATACCCAGCACCACCACAGTCCCCCGCGCCGCTCAAGGCGCTGCTGAACCTTTGTTCACCCTTTGGGCCGACCCGATGCAAACGGAAACCTGGCTACAACCCGCTGACCAACTGACATCCAAGTCGGCTGGTCGCTATGGTCACCACCGCGAGTCCTCCCTTTCTTCACTTGGCTCAGCTGGTCCGGCATCTCCCTACTCGAACAACACGTCTAATCCGCAGATCGCCGTAACAGACTTCAACGATTTTAGCGGGTTCGAGGACCTGAACTACCACGTGGTTCCCTCCAAATCGTCGACCACTCTTCATCCCAGCTTTCCCGGCTATGCCAACTCGAATGTGGTGCCCATTACTGGCTACTCGCGTGTCCCTGCGGTGCCCAAGCAAAATAACAACAAGCCTCGGCCTGCGCCGGTGGCGAGTTCCATTATGAGTGACTCATCTGCCACACCAGCAGGCGAGGCTGAGGACGCTGGCAGGCAAAAGAATGGTGAGAGCCAAGAGAATACCGGTCTCCCTGTCCGTGACCAAAGCTTACAATTTGACGATGCAGCTGTCAACACCAACGCCCCTCCCAAGTTCGATCGGACCTTGACTGATATCATGAACGACGAGCTGTACCATCCGGATCTGGTCATCACAACCTCTGCTCCGGCACCACAGCAGACGCTGACCACGAGCAACAACAACTTCAACAAAGTGGTCGAGACCGCAAACCAGCATCTGAGCGCGATGCAGTCTCCTGTGTCGAGTAACAACTCGCCGTTCCGTCAGGGATCCCCACATTCTGCCACTCTCCAAGACTTCTCCTCTTTGAACATGGCGTCGACACCGCAGGTTCGATTAGGGTCCGCGCAACATATGCGTGAGAGCGATAAAGCAGCACAGGATGCCGCCTGGCAGCAATCGCTTGCGAGACACAATCAGGACATGACGCCCAAGACCATCTCGCCCAAGGACGCCTTGCTGGACTTCCGCGAGCCTGAAGGTGAATCGAACTTCCCTCTTTTTCCTCAGCCAGACAACCACGGATTCAACTCGGACGCGATGAGCAAGGGACTCTCGCACCAGTCGCTTGATGGGCTGCCAACTTTGGGTGATATGTCCACCTTCAACTTCAACTTCAACCCGTCGAACCTCGACTCTCTGCCAACTTTCAACGGTCTTCAGCAGCTTCCCCAGGCTTTGCAACAGTACTCTTTCGTCAACCAACCCCGACAGCCCAGCACTGTGCCGTCGCTGGCGACGTCAAGAATGAGCTCTGCGGAAACTGGTATCACGGACTCTCCTCGGAGCAACGTGGTCCAGCGACCGGTGGATACCCGTGCTGAGGGTGGAACTTACACGTGTACCTACCACGGCTGCCCTCTACGCTTCGACACGCCTCAGCTTCTCCAGAAGCACAAGAGAGAGGGCCATCGTCAAGCACACGGGCTAAACTCGAGGCAACCCAACGGCATGACTTTGAATAGGGTGGATACTCAAGCTGGTCCTCACCGTTGTGAGCGGATCAACCCAAGCACCGGCAAGCCATGCAACCAGATCTTTTCCCGACCTTACGATCTTACCCGTCATGAGGACACAATCCACAACGCACGCAAGAAGAAGGTCCGCTGCGAGATTTGCACGGACGAGAAGACTTTCAGCCGCGCGGATGCGCTTACACGACATTTCCGGGTGTGCCACCCGGACGTCCCATTCAATGGTGGAAAGCAGCGTAAGGCTCGTGGGGGCCGCAGCGGTTGAATGCTGAAAACACGTGTGTCCCTGATTGGCAAAAGCGCTATCGCTCCTGACATTCAGGGTCCAATCTACCGTCAAAGCGTGCAGGAACTAGACATTGCGTCGCGCTCTGATGACGGAGTCGGATGCAATCTGGCGACGAGATCAGCAAAGACAGATATGGAACAAGCCTGTCTGGTGGTTCATTTGTCTGGAGCATGCAATCACTTGCACAGCGATGACGTCTGCGGTTGCAGCACGTTGCTGGACAGGCTGAACAGGGCCGGAAAGGGAGGGGTTCTAAGACATGGCTTGCAACCCAATTGCGCCCTCTGATTGGCCGGAGCGAGCCCCTTGTGGTACCCCGCCAAAATTCAGGGTCCGTCATGGCGTCGCTCGCTGCAGGGTCTTTGGCGTTCCCTACCGTCTTTGGCCTTTGCGCACTCTCTGTTCTTGCGCTCCTGCATCATTGATTTTTGTTGGTGTTGCTCAGCCACGCGGTAGAAGCAGCAAGGTCAGCCGAGCGGGTCGGAAAGATTCTGAGGAGTCTTGTGTGATTACGGTGGTTTCTGGCAAATCACCGGCTTCCCGACCGCTGCCCGAGGAAGACCGAACATGGGAATGGTCTTTGTGCACCGCCATATGACGTCATTTGCAACCTTTGGACCCGGTTGTCCACACCAGCCTTCTATCATCAGCATCACTATGAAAGGACACAAGTCCAGACCTGACATCAGAGACGGTTCAGGCCTTTTCTGAGCTTGTTCGATCTCTACCAGCGATGATTTCAGCGAGGAAAGATTCTGCGGACAATTGTATTTTTCCGATGATGCTTTCTGGTCCGGGTGGGATGCAGAGTGATGAGGTGGGGTGCGCCGTACCGCACTATCGATGAGTGGCCGGCAATGACGACAGCTTCCTTTATGGGAAGTTCCGGGAATGGTGTCATGTTATTTTCCTCAGTTTGGGTTCCTCATTGTATTCATGCTACAGCGGGACGCTTAAATGTCCAACATTTTCCTTTTTCAGTCTTCTGCAATTTTTGGGGAAACTGTAATGATGTACAACACTTTGCATGTGGGCTATGATTTCATTTTCTGGCGACCATTTTCATCTTTCCTATCACAAGCGGTTTCGGCTTTTCAATAGTTCGGCGTCATTGCGGGAGATCTTGTTCTGTTTTGGGAAGACTCTGATGTATTATGACTTTTCTTCTCTCGACATTTCCTGGACGCTTTACATCATTGTACACTCAAGTATGGAAAGCGGGGGTTCTAGAGACTATACAGGGTATAAACGAGAGAAGCATGACGATGTTTACGACGGGAAAACGAAAAGGAACAAGGGAGGAAAGAAAGAATGAGCGAAGTGACAAAAATACCTCCAAGAACAGCGATCTTCACAGATGCACTTTATCATGTATTTTTAGATAGAACCAAACCAATAATCACTGAAAGAATGAAGCAGAAAAGATAACACAAATTTTGTGATGACGGCGTGATTGTCGTGTGTTTCGCACCGTGATACCAACCGAGGGATATTGGACTTGGCAGCAGTGGTTCCGTAGTCCAAAAGCAGCACACCTTAACGCTATCAACCATACCACACACATGACTGAACTTCTCAACAGCCATCATCCCTTACAACTTGCCTGTATGTAGAGAGCTCGCTTGTTAGTCACTCGGTTTGCAGGCTCCAAGCCATACCTCTAGCGAAGCGGTACCGAGTATCCATCGTCATCATCATCATCATCGTTGTCATCACCGTTATACCAACTATCATCTACTACTCACATGGAATCACGGTATAACACTGGGTCGTCCGTTCATCTTCGAGTTATTATCTAATGGCGATGGCATAGACAGATATAACTTTGATAGGTGCCTTTGGGTGGGTGCCTTAGACTTGGACTAGGATTTGAGTTTGGGTTTGAGTTGTTGAAGAAACTCAACGCAGAGCAGCCTACAATGCTGGATGGATGTGATGTGCTGTGATGTGCTCGGGCAGTCTGCTATATAGATCCCGGAGACACGAAGACACGAAGACACGAAGACACGAAGACACGAAGACGGACGACCCTAGATAGTAGAGATAAGATAGATGTAGTGTTTGACTTGGGGTGATCGATCCAACGGAGGAGTCTTTGAGTGAAGGGAGCAGAACCAGAACAAATGTTGGATTTTTGATCCAACCGTGTGTTGAATATAGTTACAGTGTTGCATAACGTTACTAATTATCTGGTACAGACATCGAAAGAAGCAGCAAACGGGGAAGAGCAATAGCTATGTATGATGAGTGAAACGGCGATGGCGGAAGGTAATGGTGGTGGGATGCTGGAGTATGTACGTGGTTTAAGTCTGTTTGCGTTTGTGTCTTGTGTGAATCTTTTTGCCATGGCTACCTACCTCGCTATGTCTTGGAGAGGGGTTCTCATCCTTTTCGTTCACGACTCTCACCTAAAAAAAAAAAAAAAAAAAAAAAAAAATTTGCTTCCTAGATGTATATGTAATTATAGAAGTGAACCTATCCTATTAGCTAGCTGTGTCTGCAAATAAGTAAGTAAGTAACTAACCTTTTGATGAAACTGGAAGTTCCACTGGGGGTTACCAAGTTTAAGACGCTTGCTTGCTTGCTTGCTTGCTTGCTTGCTTGCTTGAAAACGAGGGATTGGGGAATTCTCATGTAAGCCATCGAGAGTTGAGGTTGAAGCCAAATCTTTTTCGCAAAGAGATACTGATTGAGGTTTTACGCTCAACTGTTTACTTACCATTGTACCGGACTTCTAGGATAGTTTGAAAGCATCTTCGTAGCGGAATTTGTAGGGAGATATGTTGGGTGAGATAAAGTGAACAAGGCACCTTCATATTGTACCTATTTGTCCATGGCAAAAGTGATCGTATCTATTCATCAATGTAGGTATTTATCAAGATATCATGTCTGCTCTGCAACCAAGTGGAACAGTGATTTGTACCATGTGAGTTGTTGATTTATGTAAAATAATAAATTTCTTTTTAGAAACAGGCAGCAATCAAGCAAAAACATTACAAAACACCAAACCCAGTTTTCGCCGCCAAGTTCAGGTCAGGGTGTGGGCTACCTATTCTACCAAATTTGAGTGATTGATGCATTTCATTTCTCCATGTTCCTTTCCATACTTATGTCCATCCGCACATTTTTGTACACCCGGGTAGTTCATCATAAAAACAACATGTGACACAACACGACACGACATGACACGGCACACCCACTCCCAGAGGTGTATGTGTGTGACTTATAGCACATGAGAGTGGTGCTCAGTAGGCACCTTGGTGAACACGTCGAACGAGCCCGTACCGGTAACGCCCAGCTTACCGACAACCAGTCTGCCTGATGGGGTGTCGAGGCTGTCCCAGTCGCCGTCGAGGACGGCGTCCTTGAGGAAACCGACGGTGGTTTCTGTTTGTGAAATAATGTCAGCGATGAAGCTCAGGCTACAGGTAAAATAATGAACGACTGGGTGATAACGTACCGTAACTCATCTTGGTGAAGGGGCTGACGTTGGTGGTCAGACCCATACGGTTGAAAGGAGTGAAGCCACCGTTTCTGTGAATTTACTGGTCAGTAACTTGTATCTCGCTCATTTTGTTTGTGTCGGGAAATTTGAATCTCACCTGGTCATGTAGTCGCCAATGAGGTTCAGATGGCGGGGGTCGACACCGATACCGTGACCCTTGAAGACACCGCTCAATTCGCGAACGATGCTGTTCCTGGCGGCCTCAACACCATAGATCTCGAGTACTTGAGCAATGTCGTTGGTCAAGATCTTGTTGGGGTTGATGTAGTCGGCATACTGCTGCATGGCCTTGATGTTGGAGCCCTCGGTGTGGATAAGACGCTCCTTGTTCTCCACGACGAATGTCGCGGTGCCGAGTCTGGGAATCTGCTGGATGAGCGCCTTCTTGACCGCCTCGGTGACGAGGTTGAGCATGAGAATCTTGGGTGTCGCGGGGTCAAACTCCAAGATCATCTCGCACCACTCGCCGCCCTGCTCGTCGCAGTGGAAGCGGGCAACGAAGTCGTTCTTGTCCTTGATGCGTGTCTCGCGTGATCGAGACTTGTACACGGACATGTCGCCATCGGCGTTGCGGTCCTCGGGCTCTGGGCTGCCACCGTAGCCCTCGTCATCAAACTCAAGTCTCTCCTCACCCTCCTCCTCATCGTCATCCGCGCGCTGCAGAGACTTCTGGATGACATCATCGTCGTCGTCGTTGGGGCCGTAGGACACTGCCTCGTGCCTGTTGGCCCTGTTCTTGGCGTTGGTGGCGTCATCATCACCGTCGTCATCGTCGTCCGCGTCGCCGTCCTCGCCGACAGCACGCTCGCCGTCGGGTGCCGCCATCTCCACAGTACCAACCTTGACACCAATCTCGGGAGTGGCAGCAGAGTTCTCCTTGTACTTCTTCTTGATCTCCTTCTTGGTGAGCTGACCAAGCAGGGGCAAAAACTTCCTCTCAACAGTAGCAAGAACATCCGCAATCTCGATCGCATATGTCTTGCAGTACTCCTCAGACGGGAAGAAGCGCAACCTGATCTCGAAGAGCTTGGCGAGAGGATAGCCCAAGCCACGGCCCATCTTCTCCCTGACGGTAACCTCCTTGGTAACATCGGCCAGGGGAAGAATGCTGATGGACTTGGCAAACTGCTCGCAGTCGGCATCTGAGAGCTCAGGGTTGGGGTAGAGGGTCATGGCAGGAGTCGAGATCTTGGCGGAAGCGGTCATGAGAATTTCACGAAGACGGGGGATACCCAATGTGACGTTCTTGGCCGAGTGACCAGCCAAATGGAAGGTGTTCAGTGTCATCTGTGTCGAGGGCTCACCGACGGACTGACCGGCCACGATACCAACAGCCTCACCGGGCTCTACCAGCGACCTGATGTACTTGGCCGCCAAAATCTTCTCGGCGGTCTTGCGGGAAATGATGCCAGAGGAGTCGCCCTTCTTCTCCTTGATCAAGCCATCCTTGTTCTCCTTGATGTACTTGGTCATCTTCTCGAAGAAGTTCTCCGAGGTGGCAAAAGCATACAAGGCAGGGTCAACATCCGACTCGATCGGGTTGAGCGGGTTACGGGTATCCCTCGACTTGATGGCAGCCTTCATCTGCTTGATCATCTCGTCCTTGTGCTCGAAGAGAGCCTGAGTACCCTCTTCCGAGTAGTTGAGATGCGCCAACTCGGATGCCATGTTGCGGAGGATGAACTCGAAATCGTTCAAGTACTTTTGCTTGGAGATATCGATACCATCCTCACCGAACAGGAACTGAATGATGGAGCCATCCGAGTCTCTGACCGAGCTGTCGTAAGCGACCTTGAGGCCTTCCATACCCTTGATCAAACATCTCTGAAGATAACCGGAACGCGATGTCTTGACGGCTGTGTCGATAAGACCCTCACGACCGGCCATGTGATGGAAGTAGTACTCCTGGGGGCGAATACCAGTCAAGAAACGCTGGACGATGTAACCACCAGCTCTGGCGTTGGTGTCGAAGGGCTTGAAACTAGGAAGAGTCTTGCCGCTCACCATGACGGGGACACGTCTACCTTCCAAAACCTGCTGGCCCAAGTTGCAAGAAATGAGGTTGGCGTTGACAGGAGAACCCTTAGCACCTGATGTTGTCATACTTTGCATTTGGTTCTTGGGGAACTTCTTTTGCAGACCAGCAGGAAGACATGTCTTGGTGATCTCGCTGGAGAGTTGGGCGCAGCGTTGGTTCATCAAAAGATCCAAGTTCTCTTGCTTCTTGTCGTTGCGCATAACTTCCTCCAAGCGTTGCAAAAGAAGGGGATCTTCAGGAGTAGGCTTCTGCTCCTCGAGCGACACATACTTGGCGGCGACCTCAAGACCGATGTGAGCGGCGGCCTTGATCTTCTCCCTCCTGTCTGCCTCTCCCTTGGGCGTCATTACTAGATCGTCCATACCGCACGAGAAGGCAACCATGGCCAGGTAACGGGTGAGAAGACGACCCATGCAACTGAGGAGCTTGCCGGCAGCTGAAGGGCCATAGACTTCGTGAATCGAGTGAATGAAACCGCCACTGCTGGGACCCAGCTGAGACTTGTCGAGAATACCGGTGATAAACTCTCCATCACGGAAAGTGACCTGGCCTTCTTCTGGGGCATGGTCACCCCACTGATGAGCCTTGACTTGTGTAGAGCCGTTCATCCACAGGTCACCGCAGTTTGGTGGCTTGATGTTCTTGAGAATTGTGGTAATAATTTGCTTACCCGTCCAGCGGGGGGCCGGCTTGATGATCGCCGGCGGTACAAGCTCAAGCTTGTCTCCCATAATGTGACCACTCTCGGGTCGGAGAGCGGCGTAGACGAGTTGGTGGTAGTTGGCCCGATCGAAGAAGGTGTCCTTGTTACACATAATAACGGAAACGGACAAATGATCCTGAATAAGACCACGGAGAGGCTTGCCAGCGGTGCCGGAGATGTACTGGTGGTCAGTGTCGGCGATCTGAAGGGCCTCGGCACGGGCAATCTCGTTTTGGGGGAAATGCATGTTCATCTCATCACCATCGAAATCGGCGTTGTAGGTGTTGCAGTTGGCGTAGTGCATGCGAATCGTCTTCTCGCCCGGCAGCACTCTGACTCTGTGACCCATGATGGAGGGCTTGTGAAGGGTGGGCTGACGGTTCATGAGGACGACATCACCGTTCGTGAGGTGGCGGTGGACCTTCTTGTTGCGAACTCCGCTGAAGTTGTTATTGGTCGGGGCCAAGAGCTGGTTGGCAAGGGCCGCGCGCTCCTCCGAGGACTTGTTCCTCAAGTTGATGATTTGGCCGTTCTCCATCTCGATCGCAGAAGCACCGGGCCACTTGTCCATACCGTTCTGGACTGCATTCTTGAGATCTTGGTAGTTGTGACTCGTTACCGGCTCGGGGTATGTGAGCTTCCTGGCGAATACCGGAGGGACACCGATTTCGCTGGTCTCAATGTTGGGATCGGGAGAGATGACGGATCTGGCGGCAAAGTTGACACGCTTACCCATCATGTTCTTACGGAACAGACCCTCCTTCTTCTCGAGCTTCTGCTTGATACCGTCCTCGTTGCGCTTTCCAGCAGCACCCTGGACGGGGTTCTTATCGCGATCGATCAAGGAGTTGACGGCGTCTTGGAGCTGCGTCCACGCTTGGTAGAGCGCATTTATATCCCTGGCTCTGCGTCCGTCCTCGGGAGCGTTACCCTTTGCGGTTTCGGAAACCTCGCGGGATATCTGGGCGACCATAGACGACCCCCTGAGGATCAACTTGTAGAGACTGTTTTGCTGCGCTTCCGTTACTTGGTCGCCCATTCTAGCCTCGGGTCTGAATTTGTTGGGAGGGACGAGGAGTGTCTGGATGAAGAACATGTCGGCAGTCATGGGCTTCGCGTGCTTGGGACGAGGCTTGGAGCTAAAGAGCAGAGCCACAATCTCTTGCTCCTTCTGGAAAAGGAAGTTTAACCTCTCCTTGACCTCGAGAGAGCTGATGTATCTCTGGGGAAGAGCCCTCTTCTCGGCCTTCTCCTTCGCCTTGGTCTTGCTGCCCGCGTCCGCCATGACGACGTCGCCGTTCTCGTCGAGCTCTTCGCCCTCGCCTTCGCTGTTGTCGGACTCGCTGGCTGTCGACTCGATATCGGCGATCCCCTCGTCGTCATCATGATCCTTCTTCTTGCCGCCCTTCATGGCCAGCGCATCGGCACGCTTCCTTCCAGCCTGGGCCATGGCGGCCTTCTCCTTTTGTGTGAGGTCGCGCTCGAAAATCTTCGTGTACCGATCCTTGCGGTAGACGGGAGAGATGCCGTCGCAGGTCTTGCACTTCTTGTCCTTGATGATGGCAGCCAGGAACTCCTTGACGAGAGCCCTGCGCATATCGGCGGCGCCCTCGTGCTTGCCCTTGTTGATGTCGCGCATAGTAACCTTAGCCCTATAGTCGCGAAGAACAGCGCGGACATATGCTTCCCGTTGGCGGATGGTGCTATCATTCAGGTTGTTCCCCTCCTCCTCAGCCTCGTCATCCTCCATCTCGGGCACGTCGGCTAGCTGGAATTGGCGAATGGCGGAACCGAACTCGCTTTCGCCGAAAGAGTCGATCATCTGGGCTTCCTTGAGAAGGCCGCACTGCAGCAGACGGAGCATGCAGGAGTAGCGGTGGATTTCCCTACGGGGGAGGCGGAACCGGTGGCAGTAAACACATTGCGCGCGCAGCAGACGGTATGCTTGGTCCATGAAGACGGGGTGGTAGACGGGCACGGGGAGCTCGATGTGGCCGGGATGGCCGGGACATTGCGACTGGCCAAGGTTACATGTTGTGCAGCTATTTAAGTCAACACCACTATCCAGACCAGACCAACCTCCAAGTTGAAAAGACAGACGACGGGATGGGGAGTCTCACAGTGAGTCGCCCCAGGAACCCAAGGCAGGGTCGTAGAGACCGCCGGGAACGGGGTTCAGCAGAGTGTCGAAGGTGCTCTCATTCTCGATCTTGCGCACCGAGATGGCGCGGATCTCGTTGTCGGTCAGGAAGGTGAACTCGACGCTGTCCAGAGAGGACGACACGGGCTGCGAAATATTCATGGTGGGCGAGAGTGGTGTGTGGTTACGGATTCGGAATCCTTAAAATCCCATGGCGAGGATTTCTCGTCTGAAGATGGCCGCAGGCAAGATGCACGGTCGGGGGGGACAGCGGCAACTTGCGAGGCCAAAACTTGTTGCAAGAAGTAAATTGAGCCTTCAGGGTGTTTACACAGCCAAAAGCCTTTCGCTATGCCACTGCAGTCAATCACAGTCTGCAGCTTCGCCTATTGGTGGGGACTTCGAGATGGAGCTCGCGCGAAAGAATATTTTTTGGCGGTCGCGGCTGGCAAAAACTCGCTGCTACGCCTGTGGGGAACCCGCACCTCGGTGGGCGGTGGCTGGCTTGGCTGACGGGACTCCATTCGCTGGATCCATTGATCAATGCAGTGCATTCAGGCATTCCACTTCCTTGTCGTCTGTCGCTATCGTCACTGCAACTCCACGTTTTGTTTTGTTTCCTCGACTTCAATCTTCAAAAATCCACTTCCTTTCCATCACGACGGGACCTCGAACTTCAACCATCAGGGCCGGGACCTGACCAGGGCAATCTGATATTGATATTGCGAACCGCATTCATCCACTTGGGACTTGGTACCATTACCTAAAGAGCGACGCCACTTCGCGCCTTGTCAACCACATCCCGGCAATCTTACCAAGAACCTCGACCTCTTCCTCTTCTTTCTATCAGACAGGCATTTCACATCAACATGGATCGAGGACAGCCAAGCGGGCTCGGCCCTCGCCATGACGCGACATCACGAGTTCAGAAACCCGAATCCGCCGCCGATCGCATGGCCGCACTCAAGGCCCGTGTCGCTGCAGCAGTCGGAGGCTCCAAAGCAAAGGGCGGCTTGAACACACCACTCCATCCCGCTCTCGCAGACCTCGGCGCACCCATCAAACCCGGTGACTCTCTCGCGGCCGCCGCAGCAGGCCGTCGAGCCGCTCAGAAAGTCGCAGAATCATTCAACAGGAAGGATCACCGAACACCTTCGGCAACAACAACAGGCCAGCCCCGAGCCAATCCCTACCTAGACACCAGCAGCCATGGACCGCAAGGCAAGCCCAAAGAGCCACGGCAGCTCATCTTCAACCAAAAGGGCAAATACATTGCCCAAGCGAATGCGCTACGCAGACAGGCCGCCCTGGAGGAGATGAAGAAGAGGATCGCAGAGCAGGCTAGGAAAGCAGGACTAGACGAGGACCGAGACATTGAAAAGGCATTCGTCGTCGAGGCGCCCCCGGATGTGGAATGGTGGGATCAGGGCCTTATCGACGGCAACGACTACAGCAACATTCCCGACTCGATAAAAGTCAACACTCCCGACAGCGTCGTTACCATCTATATTCAGCACCCAGTTGCCATCGAGCCACCACAGGACAAGCTTGCCGCTGAGCCAAAACCCATGTACCTTACGCCCAAGGAGCAACAGAAGCTGCGTCGCCAACGCCGCATGATGGAGCTCAAGGAGAAGCAAGCCAAGATCCGTCTCGGTTTGGAACCGGCCCCGCCACCCAAGGTCAAGAAGTCGAACCTGATGCGCGTGCTGGGCGAGGAAGCCGTCAAGGACCCGACGGCCGTTGAAGCGCGCGTCAACCGCGAGATCCAGGAGCGCTTCGATAAGCACATGCAGTCCAACGAGGAGCGCAAGCTCACAAAGGAGGAACGGCACGAGAAGCTCGCTCAGAACCAGCAAAAGGACGTCCAGAAGGGCGTCCACACGCTTGTCTTCAAGATCGGCAGTTTAGCCAATGGCAAGCACCGCTTCAAGATTGGGCAAAACGCCCAGCAGCACGCGCTTACGGGCGCGTGTATCATGCACCCCAAGTTCTGCCTGGTGATTGTGGAGGGCGGCGAGCACAGCGTGAACGCGTACAAGAAGCTGATGATGCGCCGCATCGACTGGACCGAGAGCGTGCCTTCGCTGGATAGGGAACCCAGCGCGTCCGGCGCGGCGGTGAGGGAGTGGTTGAAGGCGGAGGATGAGCAAGGCATGTTGAAGGACTTGTCGAATAACAAGTGCCAACTCATATTTGAGGGCGAGTCCAAGACGCAGTCATTTAAGAAGTGGAGCAGTAAAGTGTGTGAGACGGACCAGGAGGCTAGAGAGTTCTTGTCTCAGATGAAGATGGAGAACTTTTGGACGCAGGCGAAGAATACGCCGAGCCATGTATAAACTACGATGTCGACGGAGATACAGTATACTTCATCACCTGTCAAATGATGATTTGACTTGGTTGGACGGAAAGAGAGGGGGTACCATTGCTCCGCTAGTCTATCAATGGAAAAAAACGAGTAAACGTTTTAAGAGTCTTGAACATAGTTCACTTCGTTTGAAGTTATTGGCATTCATTCAGTGATGGAATACCGGCATTGTGGACGAGATCTGCGTACCCCAGATCTTGGTTTCCTGGTCTGTTGTTTCCCCACACCCGAGGCGAGCTATTGAGTGAGGGGTTGCAATCAAGAATAACTCCCACTTCCTCGGCTCTTGTCTGTCATTGTCTTGAACGCTAGTCTCCTCATGGGGTCTGCCTTTGGTGTCACCATATAAAGACTCCAAGAACGCAGCTTGTCACCTTATCCGTTCTTGTACCTGAAACCGTTCCCATCCCAATTAAATTATCTTCCAGTTTTCATTTTCTCGGTTAATACCAAGTCGACACAATGGTTCCAAAGCCCAAGATCACGCTCTACCTCGATACTGTTAGTCCGTTCGCGTACGAGGCGTATCACATCCTCCGGGTACGTAGGAATTAACATGAGGAGCCCATTAATTTACAGTCTACAAACCACAAGAAGAACCAAGCAAGCAAATGAATCGCTAATGCACTATCTTCAAACCAAACAGAACGACCCAATCTTCAAAAATGTCGACATCAAATATGTCCCCATCTTCCTCGGCGGCTTGATGGTCAAGGTCTGTCTCCTCCGTCCCATCCCTCCAGGCCTCCTTGCCTCCCATCCATCACACACATCCATGACATTACGTCCATTAACATGAAATCAACACTAACACATACAACCACCGCAGTGCTCCAACACCCCACCCCTCAAAATCAAAAACAAAGACAAATGGATCAACGTCGAACGCCTCCGCTGGGCCCGCGCCTTCTCCATTCCCATCACCGCCGACATGCCACCCAACTTCCCACCCAACACGCTCCCCGTTCAGCGCGTGCTAGCCGCCATCGAGTCTTCTTCCCAACAATCCCAACCCGCAGTAATCGCCGCCCTAGACGCCCTCTACAAATCCTTCTGGGCCAGTGGCACCCCCATCCACGAACCTGCCCAGCTACGCTCCGTCCTTTCCTCTTTGCTAGGGGGAGAAGAAGCTGCCGACAAGGTGTTGGGAGCAGCACAGACTGCTGAGGTCAAGCAAAGACTGGTGGAGAACACGGATCAGGCGTTTGCGGAGGGGGCGTTTGGGTTACCGTGGTTTACGTGCACCAACACGAAAGGGGAGACGGAGGGGTTTTGGGGGGTTGATCATTTGGGACAGGTGGTGCAGTTTTTGGGGCTGGATGGAGAAAAGAGTGGGAATGGAGGGTGGAAGTCGGTTTTGTGAAGAGCGAGGGAGGACTCGGGGGAACGGAAGTGAGGAGAGGACATGCATGAGAGGTGCACTGGTTTGAGGGCTGGTGGAGGAATTGAGGCTAGTGAGTGAGGCCTGGGATCACAGGACAGGCAGGCCCGCGGGCAGGCTGTAGTTTGTGGTGGTGATGGTTGATTTGAAGGTATTTCGGGAATTGAAGACGAGATCTCTGTGTAACTACCCAAAGAGTTTGATTCAGCCGGTGACTCATTTCAAGTGCTATTTCATCCCAGTTGGAGAATTCCCATGCAGGAGTTCACACATCATCGGCCATTTCTACCGAGTGCATCACGTAATCACGTAAGTGACATGGTGTTGCTGAACCCGCCAGGACTGAGGAAGCTGTCACGATCTCTTGGATGAACCATTATCTCCACAATATCCTCACATGGCTCGTGCAAGCCATGCCCATCGGGTGGAGCATTTCCACGCGCATCACGGTGGACCGCCGAAGGGCGAACCCTGTCACAATTGCGAACGGACGCGTCTCGATATGCGGGTCACAGTGATGTTTATGTCGAAGTCACGTCGCGTGAACATGAACGCAACGCGTTGTCATTTTCTACCACTACGGACATTCACAGCGATGCTCAATAACGCCTAATCGCTAGCTAAACTCCCATCATATCATTTGCGCTGTTGCTCCGAAACTCCTTTCTCCTCTATCATCAAAGCAGGCATACAGTGGTGAGAATTGTTGTTGTCAGGAAGAAAAGGTAAACGTGCAATGTCTGTCGACAGGGTATCGTGTGATCATGAACCAGGCCCTTTATTAGACCAAATCCGCCATCAGCGCTGCCGTGCGAAGCCATCCGTCCTTTTGTTCCGGTGCTCGCCAGCCGCTGTGCCCGCGTTGTAATGTACAAGCCATCAAGTACTAAGATGAAGAGAGAGAAAATGTAGTATCATCGCAATCAAGAACGCCGGATTACCCCCCATGTGTTGTGCCGTGAATGAAAATCCATCAACTCAGACGCGCATTCCCAAATGTTGTGCGAAGTGTGACGCGAGAAAAGTTGTCATGACCGCCCCGTGATATAACCCCAGAATCTGACTAGACTACCCCTGAAAACCAAAGCAAACTACTCCATGTCGAAGAGTCGCTTAGTTGCGCTCACCGCGGAGGCGGCGGGCGAGCTGGATGTCCTTGCTCTGGATGGTGACACGCTTGGCGTGGATAGCGCAGAGGTTGGTGTCCTCGAAGAGAGAGACGAGGTAAGACTCGACGGACTCCTGGAGAGCGCCGATAGCAGAGCTCTGGAAGCGGAGGTCGGACTTGAAGTCCTGGGCGATCTCACGGACCTGTGTAGCGACGCGTTAGCATGTGAAGCTAAGATGACATGTTGACAGGCAAAAACTTACGAGACGCTGGAAGGGGAGCTTGCGGATCAGAAGCTCAGTGGACTTCTGGTAGCGACGAATCTCACGGAGAGCGACGGTACCGGGCTTGTAACGGTGGGGCTTCTTGACACCGCCGGTGGAGGGGGCGGACTTGCGGGCAGCCTTGGAAGCGAGCTGCTTGCGGGGGGCCTTGCCACCGGTGGACTTGCGGGCGGTCTGCTTAGTGCGGGCCATTGTGATGGTTGATGTGTGTTGATAAAGTGTTTTTTGATGGATAGGCGATGATTAAGTGATGACCTGCGCTGGTGGTCGAGACTTGGTTGATGACTAGAAGTAGAGGCGGGAGTGGAAAGGGGAAAAAGTGGTGGGGGGTGCGAGGTTTATGTATGTGCGGACTGGGGTCAGGTGCTGGCTGATTTGGGGTGAATGGGTGGTGCGGCGCGTTGTGTGGCTGCTGCCTTTCGGTTTTTTTGCCTTCCTTGCTAATTCCGCTTTTTCCTGGTTGATTTACGACTGCCAATTTTTTTTGTTGCGGGCGACCAAACCGGGGTGTGAACCGGGGTTCGTTTTGCACTGATAACTGCCCTTGGTTTTGCTGGCAAAAGAGCGCTGTTTTGGGCGGTCGATTTGGATCGTGCACTGCTGACACGGGTTTGCAGAATTATGATTGGTCCAAATTTCTTAATAACGACGCACAGACCACCCACAAAGATGGGGTTAGTAACACGGAGCGACTAACCACGCATTCTTAGTTCGGCCCAGCCGTCCGATTCACTGCGTGCAACATTTCCCGTCTGTGGAATGGGTGAATGGATACAAGACCAAATCAAAGGTACAAAGGTACATGCCCAACCAACATTCACCCATAGGGCTGGGAAAGGTGAATGCTCTTGAAGGTTTGCATGCCTGGCACCAGGTTCAGTCCACTTTCTCTGTTGTGCAAGGAATCATATACAAGGGCCGTAGATGCCATTACGTACAGGGAGGATATGGGGAAGTTGAAGCTTGAACGAGGATCGTGAAGATGGAAGGACTGTCTCAAATGACAGAGCGCTTGCTAGAATGGCCTCAAGAGGTGCTTCCTTTGTTCACGCTTCAGTTCATGATTACATAGCACTGCTCGCTTTGCTCCTGAAAGTCTCTGGGCCAACTGGAACCGTAAAGATCGCATGTTCGATGCCACATTGTGCGCAGTCACAACTACCTGAAGCCCGTTTGCAATCCATGGAAGTCTCTCACGAACTCTGCCTTCTTTGGGGCCACGGTGAATGGTACTTTCCACTTGCTTGTTCAAAGCGGTCATCGTAGCAGTCAGTTATCACAGAGAACTAGAGGCAACCATGGCAGTCCAGATCTGCAATGCCACATACATCTTTCTCTTTGTTTCAGAGTAGACTCAGATGTGGAAGGTTAAACGCCACAATTCACAAGAGCATGCCTCATCCACGACTTGAACCCTCCCGTCAGCCCTTTTCAGATGACTGAAAAGACTAGGGTGCATGTAGCTGCTATTCTCAGGTCCCGGATGGGTCTCTCCGCAAAAAAAGACGGCAAGGCTGATGGGACCGGCTGATGCACATGGTACGGTATCCAGAAGGCAAAATGGATGTTCACTGCGGGTCGCCTTTCCGTGATGAAGGAGGTGTGTCAGGACAACAAAGTGGAAGTGAAGGCAGATCTCATCACTCGGTGGTGACTGGGCTGTGACGTGAAACTGCTGCCCAGCGAGTGCCAGAGTGTTGCTGCCCTGCCACTTCACCGGTGAGATGCGGTCCCCGGATCTGGATGTGCCACCCGAACGGTACGTACCGATGATCAATCCCTGTGCTGCTCCGTCGCAAAGAGACGACCCTTGTTTAGCAGCTAAAAGGAAAAATCCTATTTGGGTTTAGCGACGGTTTATTAGTGTTTACCTTGATGCGCGAGGTGAACCACTCTGAGCCACTGTCGAAAATGTAAATCGGGCAGAAATGCTTATTGGCTGATATTGATTCGAGGTGGGACTGCACGTCTTCACTCTGCGTTGTTGTGTCGTCCGACGGTCCGCCCCCCTGCAAGGAACGTGCGCCTTGGGACCGCGTCTCCCAAAATCAGCCAAGGTTGACGGAGTTCGCGCAAAGTGGGGCATCAGAACCTTTCCTGGGCCAATCAACAACAAGATCAGTGATCTGATTTGATTCCCACCGCCCTGCATGCCGCAACCGCGTTCCCGTACTTAAAGTCCGCTCTCTTCCCCGCCTTCTTCCCACCTTCCACGACTTCCAATCTCCCAAACGACCGGCCTTTTTTCAGCCTTACCACCTACACCACTCACTCCCACCCCCAACACATATCAAAATGACTGGACGTGAGTTATCTCCGGATCGCCAATACCATGTGTCGCGACATCATGACTGACTAGTATTCCTTGATTAGGCGGCAAGGGCGGCAAGGGCCTCGGAAAGGGCGGTGCCAAGCGCCATCGCAAGATTCTTCGTGACAACATCCAGGGTATCACCAAGCCCGCTATCCGCCGTCTCGCTCGTCGTGGTGGTGTCAAGCGTATCTCTGCCAGTACGTCATTACCTTTTCGAATCCTTGTACCCCATGGATAGCCGACTAACATATCAACCTTCAACAGTGATCTACGAGGAGACCCGTGGTGTCCTCAAGACCTTCCTCGAGGGTGTCATCCGTGACGCCGTCACCTACACCGAGCACGCCAAGCGCAAGACCGTCACCTCCCTCGACGTTGTCTACGCCCTCAAGCGCCAGGGCCGTACCCTCTACGGTTTCGGTGGTTAAATGTCTCGCCGTCATTTGCCAGCGTGTCTCTTTTCTTTTTTCTTCACCATAACGACGACGCAAATCACAATCACGTCTTCTCCCATCACCAACACAACCATCATGATGTTTATATACCACTAAAGTCGTCGTCTTTTATCATGATGATGATGATGTCACCACCGCCACCACAACATTAAACAACCGGCAACAACACGACACCCAAGGGGGGAAAAGGAGGGCGGTTCGTGGTCGGTCCTCTTTTGCACCACACTTCACTTGGTTGCAGCGTTCCATCTCACGATTGTCATTTTCGGGTTTTATCACGCGCAAAGGAGGGGTCTCTTTTTTCTCACATGCTCTGTACATCACATCAAGGGGTCATTCACAATAGGGGTGTTACTACTTTCGCAACTTTTTTTGAGCGCTTAATTGACTCAAAACGCCCTCTGGGTTTTCTGGAGGGTGATTCCAAAATTGTTTGAACCAGCCCCCTTTGTTTTTAGTGAAATGCTGTCTGCCAATGATGGATGTGTCTTGACGCGTGTCTTTTGGGTACATGTAAACAGGGTCGCGTGCCCGTCGCGTCCGGTGGGCTTGCTCCAGTCTTGCTTGGAACCTTGGCCGCTGGGCGAGCTGGGTCTTTGTATTGTACTGTTCGCTCAGATAAGGGCCCATGCGTCGGCGCCTCGGTGAACATGTGGTTCCTGGAGAGAGTGTTGGACGCTCGCAGCTCGACAGTCCCAAAGCATCTTCTATGTGTCTACGGGCATTGGACCTATGTACCTCTAGATGCTAGATAAGCTCAAGTATGGAAACGAAACCTGATGACAACACGTTTTACCTCAATCCAGCTTTATCCTGTTCGTTCCAGGAACATACATCATCGGAGAAACACCATCTATCCAAGGCGGGAGCCAACCACCTGCACACACCCCCCTCCCTACCTAATCCGTGGCGAACTTCGCTCCTTGACATGTGCCTGACACGGGAACACTGTTGGGTGACCCCCGATAGGGCAGATGGGGAAAGGGGGGGTGATGGGTCTGAGCGTACACGGATCTTTTATCTTCGTCTGAAGTTGCGTGCACCGTGAATGTCCCTGTCGACTTTGTTGGGATGTGTACCTTATGTACCTGTTACTGGGTTGCGTTATCTATACTTGAGAAGTGTGAGGAAATGAAGAATAGGGGTTACTTGTCCATTTCTTTTATCTTTCTTTGTCTCTTCATTGTACTGCATATAAGTGAGTTCGCACATTATATGTATGTTTGTGCATGAAAACAGAAGTTTTGATGCTTGAAGAAGAACCGTATAGACTTGGGAAAACCAAAAACAAAGGTCGTACAGAAAACGCAGAGTTATCGGTCTGTCAGTTTCTTTTGGCGACATGTATGTAGGTGGTTGCCGGGCATCTTTAACATTTGCCTGCCAGATTCTTGTTTTTCGGAGTCTAGTTGGTACACTTTACTACCGCTCTCTTTAGTCACCTCAGCTTGCCATCCATCAAGTATGAACAGAGTGAAGCATCAGATGTTTCATCAAGGTAAGACAACTTGAAAGACCAAAAATTGAACCATACTCAAAAAGTATTTTCCATCATACAAAGATTCATTCAATAGTTTTGAAGCTAGTTCGCCGTTCTTGGTTTGTGTTGCTGTAAATTCATATCTTTTATTTCCCACATGTGATTACAATTCAGATATATTGACCTCAAACTTGAATAAACTTTAGCTGTATTTTCCATGGATGTGGCCATCGACTTAAGGTACTTCGTGAGATAATCAACTATCAACCTTGCATGCAGTTTTATCTAGAGGTAGTAAATTCGATTTCAGTCACGGTTCTTCTGATAGTAAGCACCAATTGAGTCACTACCCGGAATCACAATAAATAAAGACCTTAAAGAATCTCAACATACCCCATGAACCTCTCTCCTCTTCCCAATGTCCTTGGCGGTTCTTCATTGTAACAACGTCAAAGTCATGAGCACCTCGTCACTGAGCTGACTAGAATAGGCACCACTCTGGTGGCAAGGCTGCCAGTCAGTCAGTCCCGTCATTTGTGTAAGTTCAAGTCATTCAAGTCAGGTCTGTGATTGATTTTGCCCACTCACTGAAATCAAATTCAAGTGAAGGGCTCCAGCAACGTGACTTCATTGACTTCATTGACAGCCCTGTCAGTGGTCACCGTCTCACGTAAGAGGTTATCGAACAGGATTCCGAATTATATCCCAGGTTCACATAGTCGTAGGAAGCCTGAGTGAGGAGTACAATTCATGTCTGTTCCAGTTGCGTTTTACCTGGAAGGTTCGTTCTTTGCCGGAGTTTCAGACACATCTAATGGATCATGTTATGTAGAGGTGAGAGAATGACTGTTTTCGAACCACCTAGGAATTTGCGAGCATAACGCGGCGGCTTCGACAATGGTGATTACCGATCTGCTGATTGGGCCAGGCGGTTCTTGTTTTGTCTTCAAACTTTTGTAGATTGTTACTACATCGAATCTCAATCTATCAGGCAGCCCGGAGACACTTGAATTGAAATCAACAAAACAATCTGTTCGAAGGGGCGGGCACCTTCGGCCGCCACCTCCCTCCCCCTACCGGACCGAACGCAAAGATATACGTAATCCACATTTTGTACCCGGCGCCGTCCTCTTTCAACTGTCGGGGAACTAATGTTCATGAGCGGTTACATGTCAATTCGAAAACGACGCTCTAAAACTAAAAGCTAAAATTGTTTAAATGAGACCGGGCTTCGCCTCAAACAAGCCCGTTGTTGACGCGGTGCCTACATATCCAGCAAGCAATTTCCTGAAGTTGATCAGCCTCACTTCCGGTGAAATCAGAGCGTGTCGAGACACAGTTCTGAAAGTCAACGGGGTTTAGCCGGGAGTCACGAGCCACGTGACAGCACATATCGACGAAGGGCATGATATGCAGAGGCCGTCGCCGATCCGAAGAATGCTTGGTGATGGGATAAGGGGGGTGCCTGTGGAAACATCACACCTACCGGTTGGCGTGATGGAACTCCGTATAGCAGATATCGTGCTATGCTTATTCACGACAAGCTTCCCGAGCTGACGGACCTTACCTTCTCCAGCAAAAGCGGCGTGAGCGAGGCAGAGTGAAGGCGGACCTGGTAAAACAACTGGGGGATACCACCTTTGCCATAAAACGCCCAAGTATAGGGATAACGTGATGCAGTGGATTCGTAAGCTTAACCACTTGCTCAAACCCAACCTTGCCATTCCTTGACTCGCTGAGACCCTTTTCCCGCCTCCTTCATCCATGCTTTCTCCTCTCGCGGGGCAGGAATAAGCATAAACCGCGGGACGGAGTGGAAGGGGACGGGAAGAAAGGGAAGCGACAAGGAAGGGAAAGGCAGAGGAGAGAAGAGGTGAAGTCAGGTGATGCTCGCTCATATCGTCTCCATCCAGCCTTCTCTTCGTGGGGTCGGGTCTGGGGATCCGGGGATCTCCGCCCCCAGATTTGAGGCGTGTTCCGGGCCCGACAACCTGGATATGCCTTCGGAAGGATTCCTGAAGATGTGGCCGTAAGGTACTTGGAAGTACACAAAATTGGATACGTACCTGATATTCCTGATCGTAGTCATTCCTTGGCAAGTCCCCTTCGACAGCTTCCCAGTGTTCATTGAATGTGGAAGGGAGATGTCTTGGAGCTTGGGTGCTCCACTATAAGCTGAATGTACGCACTGCGACTTCCAGACCTGCCAGTGGCCAGTCCGCCTTGACGACACCTTGTAGCTTCCAACTTCCGAAGCCATTTCCGAGCTCAGATTCCCAGGTTGCTGACATGAAGAGGAGAACAACAGGATTGGAGTCACTTGAGATCCGGATCCTTCAGCTTTTTTCAAGCACCGATTCCATGCTTCCCCATGGGGTCGCGGCTCAGCATCGAACCATAGCAAGGAGAATTTCTCCGATATCGGATGTGCGAACTCGCAGTGCTGTCAACTTGATCCGATTTTTTGGTGGAAAACAAATGCCAGAGCCGTGCAATTTTCGGAGCTGTTGTGCAGCAGCAGCCATGTTTTACCTGTGTCTCTGCGTTAACAAAATGAAGAAAAAAGGACACATTTTTCACAACTTCAGGTTGTTGTTAATACTCATGCCGGTGGTTTGCTCCGAACAATGACCGGCCCCGAAAAACAGCCGACACCGTTGCGTTTCATCATCAGAACCAAGCAAGGGCGTGTCCGATGGCTCGGAAATGCGGCCTGGAAATGCTGGCTCGGAAATGGATTTCAGGAGCCGAGTACGGACCATTTGGAAATGCTCTGTTCCAGGTCAGATTTCCAGAGGTCCAGAGGTCCGGAAGCTACTCTTGGAATTTTGGGTGTGAATGCGATGATCTGATTGGTGTTTTAGGCAGTTGTGGAGAAAATGATTTCCAGGTCTTGGAAATGGGGGATTTCCGCGTGGAAGACTTCCAAGTGTCGTCGAACAGCACTTGGAAAAAATGGCCTGGAAGATTTCCGAGCCAGATTTCCGAGCTATCGGACACGCCCCAAGTGGGAAGGGTCCTGTCTTGATTCTTGGATTCTGGGGACTCCACGGGGATGGGCTGCACAAGTGGGCAAGCTCCGAAGCCCAGCTCGCGGTGTGTTGCAGCACAGACTGCACGACGCACACTGGCGGCCAACACGTGGCAGATCTTTTTTTTTTTCACAAGGCCCGGTCTGAGACGCCGGCGCAAGCCCCAACTGACGCCCAACGTGACTTTGGGTGGCGGCCGCGTCCAGTCGGGGGTGTGAGGCGCAGATGCTCCGCATTTTTGTTGTGCAGCCAGGAAAATGGCACACACCCTCTTGTAAGTTGTGTCGGTCAAATCGTGGAGAAGGGCCCGGGGCTCGGAGTGGTGGGCGGCGGGCGGCAGCCGGCAGGCGGGCAAGGGAGGGCGCCCCTCTGAATTTCCCCCATACCTCGCCGCGTGTCTTTGACTGGAAAACGGCGCAAAAGAACCCACTTTCTCCCCCTTTTTTTCCCCGCGCAATGGCCAAAAGTGGACACAGGCAGCGGTACATCGTGGCCATTTCCAAGTTTGCGGGCGAGCTCGCGGGGTACCGCCAAAAACAGAAAGTTGGTTGAGGTGACTGCTGTGAGAGTTGAGGATGATGCAAAGAAGAGGTTGTGATCGCGAGCCAGAAAATGATGGAATGAGTGTGCGACTCGTGTGCAAATGACGTTGGAGTCCACAGCAGAGCCTCAATTTAGTTTTCGCAAGGAAATTGCTTCCCTTTTCTTGCATCTGGGCCTCTTGGAGATGCTCACGAGACCACGTTCCGGTTAAATGCAGCTATTTATCCAAAATACCCAGCCAATCAGAGGCCGGGCAGCTGTTTATCCTACAGCCGACTCGGTAACAGCTGCTCACTGTTCCTCGGTCCGTGATTGTCGTGCCTGAAAAACTCAGTAGTATAAGTGATTGCAATGCCCTATTTCGCGTGAAGCAGTGACACCTGGGGAAGTAATGCTCGTTGAGCCTGTCAAAATCGCAAAAGTCGCAGTCGCAACATGGAAGGAATCACGGAAAACGCACGGACCAACCGCGCCCGACTCTGGAGGTGACCACGATACACTCAGATTCTCTCCGCGCCCAGCTTCCCCAACATCCCGCAGCGGCCAGATGGCTCTTGGGCTTCTCGAACACCCCGTCTCCGGCTCCAACGCATCTCCAGTACTCCAGCTCGAGCTCCAGCACTCCAGGTCCGAGAATCTCACCACTCCCCATCGCATCCCCATATTGCTGCCGACTCCGTATCTTGAGCTACCCCCTGGGACCGTAGCAGAGACAGACGATCCCCCACAACCCAACGAAAGAAAGGGGGTGCGACGACGCAACGGTACCATCACACACAGCAGCGCAGTCCAGTTAGCGGCCCTCACCCTTTTCCCCGATCACCGAGGCACGACAATTCCCGAGCCGGCGGAGGTACGACAGGATACCATTGGTCCCCCACTCCGGGGCGAGAGAAAATTTGGTCTGGTCAGGCGGACGGCGGACGGCGTCAGCACAGTTCAAAAAGACACGGCATCAGCGCGGCGAAATCGACCCCCCGGCACGACACTCCGTTTTTGCGTTTTTTTTTCTTTTTCGACGACGACGTGGTGGATGTTCCGAGGTTGCGACTTGCACTGGCAAGTCCACAATGCTCACGGAACCCTTCGGTGTTCTTGATTTTGGGAGTGTTGGCATCGAAGACGGGCCGATAAGGGTCTCCAATCGATGGAGCCTCGGTCTCCACCGATGGAGCAGAGTTTTAGTGAGCTCAGGCCATTGTTTTGCAAAACTCGGGAGGCGACGAGCAGAAGGGAGATATTTCGCGGCAAAAAGTCTTGTCGAGAAAGCAGAGCCGAAAGCAAGTGCACCGCGGTTGACCAAGACGAAGCGGCAGGATATGTCGAATTGGGCGTCTGTTTTTGCCTTCTTGGATGCGGTTTCGAGGTGTTTGTCAGCCGCTTCGAAACAGCCGCGAGAGCGGCAGCAAAGTTCCGGCCCCTGACGAATGCGAGCTTCATGATTGGATCGGAGTCCGGACCTGCCCACTTTTCCCTTGGCCAGTCGATCTTGGCGATCTGCCCCTGGCAATCCGGCCCTTTGCGCGGGAATAGCGGCGCGGCGGTTTGTCCGACTGTTGACCGGCAGTGAGATCACTGTCAGGCCACCATATTTACAACTGACCGGCAACACTGCAAGTGCAGTTCTGCCCAGGCTCGGTAAGGCTACTCGCTGCCAAGAAAGTTGCAATCGCTTGTTGCCTCATCACGTTCAGAAGGCAATGGGGGAAGTCCAGATGCTCTGTGGGAAGCTGTTCTTCAGATGCATTACAACGGCGAGTCTGCCAAAAGGTCAGCACTGCAGCGCGGGCAGGATACCATGGCATGGACGGTCTTTTGGCGGGCCTTCTGTGATGAGATGGAGCCATTACTGCTTTGCATTTTTTTGATGGAGGAAGACGGCCCTTTTTTCTATTAGTTTGGCCATGGTTCATGGGCGGCAGTTGGAAACGGTTTGGTTTGGCGATCCACCATTCCACAACAACTGACCGTCTTGTTACCGTACGTTGTATTACACAGGACCAGGCAGGACACGAGACCGTACCGGATTTTCTTGATTGTACGCAGTCTGGCAGCATGACACAACGTCGGGTCGGCAGTAACTCGAAGCAAGCGTCTTGAGTGCCACGGCACATGGCGCCGTTGGATCCCCGGGAGTTTGTTGATGGAAGTCCAGTGTTGGCCCCCGTATGACAAAAGCACCAGACCATAACGTGTTGAAGGTGCTACAGTCTCGTTCTGAAGCAACGTAGAGTAGCCTCAACCTTCCTCAAATGTCATCATTTCAGTAGCATCTGCATTTACAAACTTGGTGGTTGTTCTCGTCGAGCTTGCATCCTGGTGGCCCTGACACCGACGTCTGACCGTGTGAACCAAGCTCAGACCGAATCCAACTCTCTGGATACGGTGTATCCTCGGTATCCTCTCGTCCAGGCTCCATGAACTGAACAGGGCTTTAATTTGGCCGAACTGTAATTGACGCAGCCGTTAGTTTTGTATGCCGGTGGAAACTACCACAGTAAGAGGGATTTTGATGGTCCGTTTCTGTAACGTTAGCGAACAGGAACTTCAGATCCAGGATCTTGCAAGCGCAGGTGGGTAAGGCCCATTGCGGCCGGAAATTGGATGAGCTTCAGCAGGATCTGTTCATCTTTTCGGAGTGTTGTGCCGGGGGTCTACGATTCAACGTCACTGGTCCCTTTTGACCATGTCGAAGCCCGACGAAAAGACGGAAGCGTGGCCCCTTGCGGCAGTTCGTAATCTTCATCGGTGCTTCTGGGGTTCTGCTTCTTGGGAGCGTAAAAGGATCGCTCGCGACACTTCACGAGTTTGTGGCGATCATTCACGAACGAAGTTTCTTTTGGGTTGGAGCTGTGCCCCCTGAACGTTTCTTAGCGCCGCGGCACGCCGCTCAGTAGCGGTTGACGGGTCTTGGCCCTCGTTGGGTGTTTCTGGTTAGAGGAGCCGCATCTCGGCACATACCCGCTCCCTTTGGTTGCAGTGCCTACTGCCAAGACTTTAGGGCCCGCTTAAATGGACTCGAGGATTGTCGACGTCATCCCATGGAAGAAACGTTGGCGGACGAAAAAGTCCAAAAGCCAGGGCGGAGTCCGTCAGCTCCAGGGCGTACCTTACCTGCACATACCGGCGACCAGGGATTGCACCCTTTCAGCATGAATGACGGCACTAAACTTCTTTCAGCTTTGTACCTCTAACATTGCATATTCTCAACGGGCGTCCGACGGGCGTCTGGTTTTTCCTACATTGCTCATGGAACTGCACTGAATCGGGCCCAGACCCCCCCTCCGAAAACATCAGATGCATGAGGCATCGGGCATCTGCTTGTTCACACCAGATGACCATCACGGTTTTTTATTCTGCAGTAACCTGCCGAGCTATCTCACCGGATGCCTTGTGTTGCAACAGAGTTTCACGCCCGGAATAATATGTGGCAACTGCACCAATCGCTTCGAACCGCGCTTGCGATTCGTTGGTGGCGTGCTCCTTTTGGTGGCACTTGCGCTTTGGCCTTAATCAGGAAAGAGGAGCCATGTAAGTGCAGTGCAGCACCAGAGTAAGTACCTTCAGTTATCTCACGCTCTGAACTTTTCAAGTGAGGTTCGGCGCTGGTTGAGAACCTGAACCTCACTCACGGCCAGAGTTCAGTCGACGGGAAAGGGGGACTGCATGCCCTGGAAACATGCCTTCCCCCCAAGAGAGCCGAAGGGAAGCCTTGCGTTCAAGAAACTGCAGTCGGCCCGTCCGTCACGAGGACTCTTTCCCAAACGGAAGGGCCGAGAACCACTGCACTTTTCACGTCACCGTCATGTAACAGCTAACGGTGACCGATCCCCGGTCTTTTCGGCTCTCTCTGGGGACTGGGGAGTGCAGTGTGCAGAAGAGTTTTTAGCGTAATGTGGGCAAATGGTACGGGGATATCTCCAGACAAGCTGGAGAGATGGTACCTTCTCCGTAACTCTCTGCATTGCATCGGCATCCCCAGTCGACCACCCCGCGCCCAGGGGCACCCTCCCGCACCCACGGCACGCACCCCGTCCTTTGGGAGACGTTGGAGACGTACACCCCCCCTCTCCTTCCTCCTTCCACGCTGCTCGCGACCCGACATATGTCGATGGAGTCTGGTCTTCTGACATGTACTCTCTGTACCTTCCCTGCTTCTTTCAACCTCGATCGACCTTTCCTAGGACATGCATGCGTGCCCATGCGTGGGTCGGCTCCGATGGATCCCCAGCTTCTAGGTCATTTCCAATTCACCGACTCGCAGCTGCTTCTTTCCCCGGTTTAAGCATCCAACAATTGGGGCCCCGATGGCAACTCGAGCGACATAAATGAAAGGCCCTGTCCACACTCCAGGTATTTCTTCTCCTCCCAGTGTTCTTTCGATTCTCCATTCTTCAAACATCTTCCACTCCTCCATCAAAGCCTTTAAAGGTTCACACTCCTACCATCCACCATCCACCATACACTGTCTGGTCGTTGGAGTGTGTCGATATTTCCATCAGTTGATCTGCCATCCTATCTACTACTTTTTGCTGTTCTCAGCCACTGTTCTCCACCCAACCGAGATCTCGAACAACGGATGAAAGACTTGAGGATATAAATACAACGATACGATCACAAAAATGGGTCTCTTCCCGAAAAAGCCGGCTGCGCCGAAGACCCAAACACAAGATGAGATTGACCTCGCTGCCGAGCAGAAGGTCACTTTCCGGGCCATTTGGCTCGGTGTCGTCGCCTCCGTAGGTGGCTTCATGTTTGGCTACGTCAGGTACGTTTCGAAACCCCTTGTACCCCTGTTGCCCCATCGCCATGGTACATGGTTACTGACCATTTATGGACAACAGTGGTCAAATTTCTGGTTTCTTCGATATGGGCGACTTCGGTCGCCGCTTCGGTAACTACTACGACAACGGCTGGGTCTTCTCGGCGTACCGCCAGGGCGCCATCGTCGCCCTGCTCCCCGCTGGCGCTCTCCTCGGTTCGCTGGTCGCTGGCAAGATTGCGGATTCCCTTGGTCGCCGTATCGCCATCTCTGCGTCTGCCCTTTTCTCCTGCATCGGAACAATCATTGAGATCGCCTCCACCACGCACTGGGCCCAGTTTGCGGTCGGCCGTCTTGTCACTGGTGTTGGTATCGGTGCCCTCTCCGTCGTCGTCCCGATGTACCAGTCTGAGTCCGCGCCCGCCATTCTCCGTGGTATCCTCGTCTCGTGCTACCAGCTCTTCATCACTCTCGGTATCTGGACCGCTGAGATGATCAACTACGGTACTCACGACCTCAGCAACTCCGCCTCTTGGCGTATTCCCAACGGTATCTCCTTCCTTTGGGCCTTGGTTCTCGGTGCCGGAATATTGTTCCTTCCCGAGTCTCCCCGTTACGCCTACCGTGTTGGTCGCGTTGACGAAGCCCGCAACACCATTGCCCGCCTTGCCGGTCTCGAGCCCACCGCCCGCTCCGTCAACATGCAAATCGATGAGATTCGTGTGAAGCTCGAGGAGGAAAAGGCTGGTGCCGACACTAAGTGGTACGAGATTTTCGGATCTAACCTGTTGCGCCGCACCCTCATTGGCATCATCCTTCAGTCTGGCCAGCAACTTACTGGTGCCAACTTCTTCTTCTACTACGGAACCACGATTTTCAAGGCCACCGGTTTGAGCGACTCTTACGTTACCCAGATCATTCTTGGTTCCGTCAACGTTGGATGCACTGTCGCGGGTCTCTGGGTTGTCAAGAATGTTGGCCGCCGCAAGGCCCTCATCGGTGGTGCCCTGTGGATGACCATGTGCTTCCTGATCTACTCTTTCGTCGGAAGATTTGTGCTCGACCCCGTCAACCCGGCTAGCACTCCTGAGGCCGGCAACGTCCTCATTGTTTTCTCATGCTTCTTCATTGTCGCCTTTGCCACCACCTGGGGTCCTCTCGTCTGGGCGGTCGTTGCTGAGCTCTACCCTGCTCGCTACCGCGCTCCTGCCATGGCCCTGGCCACCGCTTCCAACTGGGCCTGGAACTTCCTTATGTCCCTCTTCACGCGCCCCATCACCGACTCCATCAGCTATTTCTACGGCTTGGTGTTCGCCGGATGCTGCCTTGCCCTCGCCGCATTCGTTTGGCTCTTTGTGATAGAGTCCAAGGACCGCACTCTTGAGGAGATTGAGACCATGTATGAACAGAAGGTCAGCCCTAGGCACTCGAGCCGCTGGCACGCTGAAGGCCCCTTGGGCCAGCGTGATGCGGAGGAGAAGCCAGAGGTTCAGAGTGGATCTGCGACAACCTCTCACCATGGAGACGTTTAGAATACGTCCAAGCGAAATGGTTCTCGCTCTGACACGAAGCCAGAGGTCGTGAGAGTCGAATAGGGATGGGATGATGACTTGACACGCACGAAAAATGGAATGCAGTGGTCAGTCGTGATAATGGGGTTTGAAAGGATAATGAAATGCATGGTTTAGTTGTGGTAATGAGATTTGAAAGGATAATGAAATGCATAGTTATTCGCGGTAATCGGAGTTTTTCAAAAGGGTCTATGGCATGGACTTGGTATTCTTGATAGCACACATACAATAGATCTTGATGTGTACGCTTACATCCAAATCCACTACATCTTGGTTCTACTCGTGATCCCTACTATTCCTCTTAATCTGGAGACACCGCCCGGAAATCGACAGAGTTGCTGCCTGCCCTTTCAGTGCACCGGGCGTACTGCTGGCTCTTGGAATCCACTCGTTGTATGGTCCCAAAGCAACACCGCGAGAATATACTGTCGCCGACTTGGCGTCTCGTCATTCACCACGGCAAGGCAATTATCAGTCTTACTGTCATTATCCTTCGGACTCAAGTAAGTACAGAGCCGGGGCATGGATCCAATCCAATCCGCAACTCAGACCGTGGAAAGAAGGGGGAGATGATTGATGGTGTCTGTCATGCCTGCGAATGATGATTCGGAAGAGGAGGAGGGAGCTGACGTCGGCACGCTGATTGGGGAGTTGATCAGGGGAGGGCTCAGGGAGATGGAAAAGACGCAAAACGGGATTGGATTAGATTGGATCGTGGGTTTAGAGGCGGGTGACTACATCGCTTGAAGGGCCGAAGGAGGGAAGATGTGGCTTGAACATTTATGTGTCTGTGTAGGCGTGCGTGTAGGTCTACGTGTATGTGTTTACTAGGACGTTAGCGTGTTATTTACCCAAGTGAAGGAGGAGGCAGGGCTCGCCGAGTGTGGTCGATGTTGATGATGTTGGTTGTGAGATGCCGCGGTAGTAGTTGCTTGGTGTTCGATTGTTTTTGGTGTTTTCCACCGCCGTTGTCGTCTTGGTTAGCGTTCTCACAACTAAAACCACCCCTTGATACAGCTTGTATAAGGGTATGGTCGCTGAACAGCATGGATTGCTCCCATAGGAAGCAGCTCGCGGAACCTCTTTTTGCTGTCATGGCCGGGAAAGAGGCTGTCGATGGTTTGGCGGATCTCACCACGCTCGTCTGTTTCCAGAAGAGGCTTCAAGGACGGTGGCTTCAAACTCGTCTTCCAGCTCGCTGAGCCGTTGGCGTTGATGCTGCACCAGCTCAAAGGATTCGATGTCTAGGCCCGCTGGGCGGAATGGTTTTCGCATCATCAGATGGCTGGTCCGTCTATTATGCCTCTTGGTCGATGTGAATGAGTTGGAAATGAGATCCGATTTAGATAGTCACGAATAACGTACTGAGCTTTCGGTCAAAGGCCTCCAGTTTGGACAAGGGGTTGGGGGCATCATGGCGCGTCAGTTCGCGTTCAAACATGACGGATGAAGTGTTGTGCTTGATGGCAAGTGATTAGGACAGGGACCCGAAATTCTGGACGCGATGAGAGGGTCATATCATCCGTAGGGCTGAAGGCAGTAGCGCGGAGGAACGTGTATCAGCGGAGCGGAGCGGCGTGAAGAGCGCGTCGTGGGCTGGGCGTAGCGGGAGTTTTATTTACTTTAATGTGAAGTGTGACATGAAGCTATAGCCGGACAACACCTCGTCGTTTACTTTTACTGTTATTTAATGGTCCTTTGTTTTTAGGTCATGGCTCCTTTGGCGTGAGGGGGATTGAGTGTGCGTGTCAATGGACGTGGTTCTGACGTTGCAAAGCGCAAACAAGGGTGAGGGGTTAGGTAGAGTCCTTAATTGGAGAGAATGTTCGACAACTCTACTGTCGTCCTCAATGGCGGTGAGAATAACAACTCGGATCCGTGAGGAACGAAAGTCGAAAAGTCGTGCACAAGCAAGCAGAGAGGTGTTGTGAGACGTGAAGCTGTGGGAGGGACGGGAAGAAAGAAAGGAGGGGCATCATCCGCGATCCGTCGGGGGTAAAGCGTCCGAGTACAGGAAGTACCTAAAGGGTTTGCTATATCTTCTTGGCATTATCTGTGTATTAAACCACGGACGGGAATTCGCGGGCAATGGACCCCTGTTGGTTAGTCTTGGTAATGTGATTGAGTTAAGGTGGGCTAAGGAGGTACTTGTGAGTCCCGGTCCCGGTACCTGATGGCATCCTCCACTCCGCTTTCGGAAGCGGGAAGCAGCTTCAATGGACCCGCTCTATTTTTTTGGATGATGCTTGTTTGGAGAATTGAGTCACGGCGAACAGCGCACAGCTTCCTTTCCGGCCTCCCTCTCCAGCTTCCACTTTCTTTGCCTTGTCGCCCTTTTCCCCTCACCACCAAGACAAAGCTCCTGTATGCGGGAGACATCTTGATACATCTTTACACATTTTCCACTCACGAATATCGAGCAATTGCCCCACCATCCCGCAAGGTGGCCGCCACACTCTCTGGCTTTATGCGGCTCTCAATCTAAACACCACCTAATCAACCTGAACCGCCGCCCGCAGTCACTTCAGCTGCAGTCGCTGCCGTCACGGTCCAGAAGCCCTCGCCATGGCCGAGTCCAGCTCTAATCCTACCCGGATTAACATCCTGGGCAAGGACAACATCATCATCGACCACGGCATTTGGCTGAACTTCGTCGCCCAGGACCTTCTCCAGAACATCAAGTCCTCCACCTACATCCTCATCACCGACACGAACCTCTACGCGACCTATGTCCCCTCTTTCCAGTCCGTCTTCGAGAAGGCTGCTCCCCAAGATGTCCGCCTTCTTACCTACGCCATCCCTCCCGGCGAGTACTCCAAGGGCCGCGACACCAAGGCCGAGATCGAGGACTGGATGCTTTCGCACCAATGCACTCGCGACACCGTCATCATTGCCCTTGGTGGCGGTGTCATTGGCGACATGATCGGCTACGTCGCCGCTACCTTCATGCGCGGCGTCCGCTTCGTCCAGTGCCCGACCACCCTTCTCGCCATGGTCGACTCCTCCATCGGCGGCAAGACCGCCATTGACGTGCCCATGGGCAAGAACCTGATCGGCGCCTTCTGGCAGCCCGAGCGCATCTACATCGATCTCACCTTCCTCAACACACTGCCCGTGCGCGAGTTTATCAACGGCATGGCCGAGGTCATCAAGACTGCCGCCATTTGGGACGAGAACGAGTTTACCGCCCTCGAAGAGAACGCAAAGGCCATCCTCGAGGCCGTCCGCTCCAAGAACAAGTCGGCCGACCGCCTGGCCCCTATCCGCGACATCCTCAAGCGCATCGTTCTCGGTTCGGCCCGTGTCAAGGCCGAGGTTGTCTCGTCGGACGAAAGAGAAGGTGGACTCCGCAATTTGCTCAACTTTGGACACTCCATTGGTCATGCCTATGAGGCTATCCTGACTCCTCAGGTCCTCCACGGCGAAGCCGTTGCCATTGGCATGGTCAAGGAAGCTGAGCTTGCTCGCTTCCTCGGCGTCCTCCGCCCCAGCGCCGTTGCGCGCCTGTCCAAGTGCATTGCCAGCTACGACCTGCCCACCTCTCTGCAGGATAAGCGCATCGTCAAGCTTACTGCTGGAAAGGAGTGCCCCGTTGATGTGCTTCTCCAGAAGATGGCCGTTGACAAGAAGAACGAGGGCCGCAAGAAGAAGATTGTCCTGCTTTCCGCCATCGGAAAGACCTATGAGCCCAAGGCCAGCGTTGTCGAGGACCGCGCCATTCGCATTGTTCTCTCTCCTTGCATCAAGGTCTATGCTGGTGTACCCAAGGATCTCAACGTCAGCGTCACTCCCCCTGGATCGAAGAGTATCTCCAACCGTGCCCTTGTTCTGGCTGCCCTTGGTGAGGGTACCACCCGCATCCATAACTTGCTCCATTCCGACGACACCCAGGTCATGCTTAACGCCGTTGCGCAGCTCCAGGGTGCCTCCTTCTCCTGGGAGGATGGCGATGTGCTCGTCGTCAAGGGCAATGGTGGCAAGCTGCAGGCTACCTCGACCCCTCTGTATCTGGGCAACGCCGGAACTGCTTCTCGGTTCTTGACTTCCGTGGTGGCTCTTTGCAACCCTACCGACGTCAACTCTACTGTCTTGACCGGCAATGCCCGCATGAAGCAGAGACCCATCGGTGCTCTCGTCGATGCCCTGCGTGCCAACGGTGTCGGCGTCAAGTACCTTGAGAAGGAGCACAGTTTGCCCGTGCAAGTCGATGCTGCTGGCGGCCTTGCTGGTGGTGTTATGGAGCTTGCTGCCACCATATCGTCCCAGTACGTCTCCTCGCTCTTGATGGCTGCCCCCTACGCCCGCGAGCCCGTTACCCTTCGCCTGGTTGGCGGTAAGCCCATCTCCCAGCCCTACATCGACATGACCATCGCTATGATGGCTTCATTTGGTGTACAGGTTCAGAGATCTGCTGAGGATCCCAACACCTACTATATCCCCCAGGGCACCTACAAGAACCCCGAGACCTACGTCGTCGAGAGCGATGCCAGCTCTGCTACCTACCCTCTCGCCATTGCCGCCATCACTGGCACTACCTGCACCGTCCCCAACATTGGCTCCAAGTCTCTCCAGGGTGATGCTCGCTTCGCCATTGAGGTTCTCCGTCCCATGGGCTGCACCGTTGAGCAGACTGACGTCTCTACCACCGTTACTGGCCCTCCTGTTGGCACTCTCAAGGCCATTCCGCACGTTGATATGGAGCCCATGACTGATGCTTTCCTCACTGCGTCCGTGCTCGCCGCTGTTGCCTCTGGCACTACTCAGATTACTGGCATTGCCAACCAGAGAGTCAAGGAGTGCAACCGCATCAAGGCGATGAAGGACGAGCTTGCCAAGTTCGGCGTGCACTGCAATGAGCTCGAGGACGGTATCGAAGTTACTGGCATTCCTTACACTGAGCTGAAGAACCCAACGGAGGGCATCTACTGCTACGACGATCACCGTGTGGCCATGAGCTTGAGCGTCCTCGCCACCATTTCGCCCCACCCGGTACTCATCCTTGAGCGTGAGTGTACTGGCAAGACATGGCCTGGATGGTGGGATATCATGTCCAACTACTTCAAGGTCCATCTCGAGGGCGAGGAGGAGCCACACAGTAGCCATGTATCCCACGAGAAGCCTCGGAAGGGTAACCCCAAGTCTATCTTCATCATCGGTATGCGTGGCGCTGGCAAGTCTACCGCTGGCAAGTGGATGTCCGAGGTCCTCAACCGACCTCTTATCGATCTCGACCACG